GGAAAGGGTCTTTGGGTGCCCTGGCTCACCTCGAGAAGCGTCCCTTTTGCCCTGCCAAGCCTCGAAGAAATTGCTGAGGTGTCCCTCGTTACTAGACAGGAGTCCTGACGTCACTGAAGAAACTCGTGTTTTGAAGGGCCATCCCCGCCGTAAGTCGAGAACATAACCCAGGTCCCCGCCGCAACTCGAGAAAAACCATGAGACTTCCCCCTAGAGGCGAGATGAGGCCCCATTCCCCTGCAGTACATGCAGAGCTATTCCGTGATCCCATTCAAACAAGTCAGGAGCTTCGACTTGCTTAATGGATCTCGAGGCAGTCCCCAAGAACACTGTCACCAGTCTAGACGGACCCTGAGGTCACCCAGCAATGCAAAGCAGCTCCATGTGCCCCAAATCAACTCGAGATGAGGCCGGATTCCCCTGCATTGACTCCAGAGCCATTCCTTGTTCCCCATTCAACACGACCGGTGGCTCGACTTCTTTCAGGCAACTCCAGAGATGCCCCGAGAACACTGTCCCAAGTCTAGAGGACCACCAACTTCAGCACAGCAACTCGAGAAATGCTCTGTGTACCCCAAATCGTCTCGAGATGAGAGCTGATTCCCTGGCTTAGGCTCAAGACGTATGCCACCTTTCCAGAAACACCTCAGGAGGAGGCTTCTCTCAGCAATAGGTATGTGGGAGGGACCCCGAGTTTGCTGCCTCAAGGGGAATATACAGCGAGAAGTCCTAACTTGAAAGGAGGCCAGATTTCCTTGCAGTGGCTTGAATACCGGCTCGTCTTTCATCTCACAACATGAAGGGATGTCTGAATCCCCTGTGGAGACCTTAGAGAAAGCCCTACGTCCCTGCCTCATTTTGACGGAATCCTCACATCCCGCTGACACCTCAAGAGGCACGCGGAGTTCATTGCTTCAAAAGGTGACGATGCCTGACTCCTCTTGAATACTTATAGGAATCCCAAAATCCCTGTGGCTACTGGAAAGGGTACTTGGGTGCCCTGGCTCACCTCGAGAAGCGTCCCTTTTGCCCTGCCAAGCCTCAAAGAGATTCCTGAGGTGTCCCTCGTTACTAGACAGGAGTCCTGACGTCACTGAAGAAACTCGTGTTCTGAACTTCCATCCCCGCCGTAAGTCGAGAACATACCCCAGGTCCCCGCCGCAACTCGAGAAAAACCATGAGACTTCCCCCTAGAGGCGAGATGAGGCCCCATTCCCCTGCAGTGCATGCAGAGCTATTCCGTGATCCCATTCAAACAAGTCAGGAGCTTCGACTTGCTTAATGGATCTCGAGACAGTCCCCAAGAACACTGTCACCAGTCTAGACGGACCCTGAGGTCACCCCAGCAACGCAAAGCAGCTCCATGTGCCCCAAATCAACTCGAGATGAGGCCCGATTCCCCTGCATTGACTCCAGAGCCATTCCCCGTTCCCCATTCAACACGACTGGTGGCTCGCTTTCCTTCAGGCAACTCCAGAGATGCCCCGAGAACACTGTCCCAAGTCTAGAGGAACACCAACTTCAGCACAGCAACTCGAGGAATGCTCTGTGTACCCCAAATCGTCTCGAGATGAGAGCTGATTCCCTGGCTTAGGCTCAAGACGTATGCCAACTTTCCAGAAGCACCTCAGGAGGAGGCTTCTCAGCAATAGGTATGTGGGAGGGACTCCGAGTTTGCTGCCTCAAGGGGAATATACAGCGAGAAGCCCAAACTTGAAAGGAGGCCGGATTTCCTTGCAGTGGCTTGAATACAGGCTCGTCTTTCATCTCACAACATGAAGGGATGTCTGAATCCCCTGTGGAGACCTTAGAGAAAGCCCTAGGTCCCTGCCTCATTTTGACGGAATGCCTCACATCCCGCTGACACCTCGAGAGGCACGCAGAGTTCATTGCTTCAAAAGGTGACGATGCCTGGCTCCTCTTGAATACTGATAGGAATCCCATAATCCCTGTGGCTACTGGAAAGGGTCCTTGGGTGCCCTGGCTCACCTCGAGAAGCGTCCCTTTTGCCCTGCCAAGCCTCAAAGAGATTCCTGAGGTGTCCCTCGTTACTAGGCAGGAGTCCTGACGTCACTGGAGAAACTCGTGTTTTGAAGGGCCATCCCCGCCGTAAGTCGAGAACATACCCCAGGGCCCCGCCACAACTCGAGAAAAACCGTGAGACCTCCCCCTAGAGGCGAGATGAGGCCCCATTCCCCTGCAGTGCATGCAGAGCTATTCCGTGATCCCATTCAAACAAGTCAGGAGCTTCGACTTGCTTAATGGATCTCGAGACAGTCCCCAAGAACACTGTCACCAGTCTAGATGGACCCTGAGGTCACCCAGCAATGCAAAGCAGCTCCATGTGCCCCAAATCAACTCGAGATGAGGCCGGATTCCCCTGCATTGACTCCAGAGCCATTCCTTGTTCCCCATTCAACACGACCGGTGGCTCGACTTCCTTCAGGCAACTCCAGAGATGCCTCGAGAGCACTCTCCCAAGTCTAGAGGACCACCAACTTCAGCAGAGCAACTCGAGGAATGCTCTGTGTACCACAAATCGTCTCGAGATGAGAGCTGATTCCCTGGCTTAGGCTCAAGACGTATGCCACCTTTCCAGAAGCACCACAGGAGGAGGCTTCTCTCAGCAATAGGTATGTGGGAGGGACCCCGAGTTTGCTGCCTCAAGGGGAATATACAGCGAGAAGCCCTAACTTGAAAGGAGGCCGGATTTCCTTGCAGTGGCTTGAATACAGGCTCGTCTTTCATCTCACAACATGAAGGGATGTCTGAATCCCCTGTGGAGACCTTAGAGAAAGCCCTAGGTCCCTGCCTCATTTTGACGGAATGCCTCACATCCCGCTGACACCTCGAGAGGCACGCGGAGTTCATTGCTTCAAAAGGTGACGATGCCTGACTCCTCTTGAATACTGATAGGAATCCCAAAATCCCTGTGGCTACTGGAAAGGGTCCTTGGGTGCCCTGCCTCACCTCGAGAAGCGTCCCTTTTGCCCTGCCAAGCCTCGAAGAGATTCCTGAGGTGTCCCTCGTTACTAGGCAGGAGTCCTGACGTCACTGGAGAAACTCGTGTTTTGAAGGGCCATCCCCGCCGTAAGTCGAGAACATACCCCAGGTCCCCGCCGCAACTCGAGAAAAACCATGAGACTTCCCCCTAGAGGCGAGATGAGGCCCCATTCCCCTGCAGTGCATGCAGAGCTATTCCATGATCCCATTCAAACAAGTCAGGAGCTTCGACTTGCTTAATGGATCTCGAGACAGTCCCCAAGAACACTGTCACCAGTCTAGACGGACCCTGAGGTCACCCCAGCAACGCAAAGCAGCTCCATGTGCCCCAAATCAACTCGAGATGAGGCCCGATTCCCCTGCATTGACTCCAGAGCCATTCCCCATTCCCCATTCAACACGACCGGTGGCTCGACTTCCTTCAGGCAACTGCAGAGATGCCCCGAGAACACTGCCCCAAGTCTAGAGGAACACCAACTTCAGCACAGCAACTCGAGGAATGCTCCGTGTACCCCAAATCATCTCGAGATGAGAGCTGATTCTCTGGCTTAGGCTCAAGACGTATGCCACCTTTCCAGAAGCACCTCAGGAGGAGGCTTCTCTCAGCAATAGGTATGTGGGAGCGACCCCGAGTGTGCTGCCTCAAGGGGAATACACAGGGAGAAGCCCTAACGTGAACGGAGGCCAGATTTCCTTGCAGTGGGTTGAATAAAGGCTCGTCTTCGATCTGAAAACATGAAGGGATGTCTGAATTCCCTGTGGAGACCTTAGAGGAAGACCTAGGTCCCTGCCTCATTTTGACGGAATACCTCACATCCCCCTGACACCTCGAGAGGCACGCAGAGTTCATTGCTTCAAAAGGTGACGATGCCTGACTCCTCTTGAATACTTATAGGAATCCCAAAATCCCTGTTGCTACTGGAAAGGGTCCTTGGGTGCCCTGGCTCACCTCGAGAAGCGTCCCTTTTGCCCTGCCAAGCCTCGAAGAAATTGCTGAGGTGTCCCTCATTACTAGACAGGAGTCCTGACGTCACGGAAGAAACTCGTGTTTTGAAGGGCCATCCCCGCCGTAAGTTGAGAACATAACCCAGGTCCCCGCCGCAACTCGAGAAAAACCATGAGACTTCCCCCTAGAGGCGAGATGAGGCCCCATTCCCCTGCAGTGCATGCAGAGCTATTCCGTGATCCCATTCAAACAAGTCAGGAGCTTCGACTTGCTTAATGGATCTCGAGGCAGTCCCCAAGAACACTGTCACCAGTCTAGACGGACCCTGAGGTCACCCAGCAATGCAAAGCAGCTCCATGTGCCCCAAATCAACTCGAGATGAGGCCGGATTCCCCTGCATTGACCCCAGAGCCATTCCTTGTTCCACATTCAACACGACCGGTGGCTCGACTTCTTTCAGGCAACTCCAGAGATGCCCCGAGAACACTGTCCCAAGTCTAGAGGACCACCAACTTCAGCACAGCAACTCGAGAAATGCTCTGTGTACCCCAAATCGTCTCGAGATGAGAGCTGCATCCCTGGCTTAGGCTCAAGACGTATGCCACCTTTCCAGAAGCACCTCAGGAGGAGGCTTCTCTCAGCAATAGGTATGTGGGAGGGACCCCGAGTTTGCTGCCTCAAGGGGAATATACAGCGAGAAGCCCTAACTTGAAAGGAGGCCGGATTTCCTTGCAGTGGCTTGAATACAGGCTCGTCTTTGATCTGACAACATGAAGGGATGTCTGAATCCCCTGTGGAGACCTTAGAGGAAGCCCTAGGTCCCTGGCTCATTTTGACGGAATCCTCATATCCCGCTGACACCTCGAGAGGCACGCGGAGTTCATTGCTTCAAAAGGTGACGATGCCTGACTCCTCTTGCATACTTATAGGAATCCCAAAATCCCTGTGGCTACTGGAAAGGGTCCTTGGGTGCCCTGGCTCACCTCGAGAAGCGTCCCTTTTGCCCTGCCAAGCCTCAAAGAGATTGCTGAGGTGTCCCTCGTTACTAGACATGAGTCCTGACGTCACGGAAGAAACTCGTGTTTTGAAGGGCCATCCCCGCCGTAAGTCGAGAACATACCCCAGGTCCCCGCCGCAACTCGAGAAAAACCATGAGACTTCCCCCTAGAGGCGAGATGAGGCCCCATTCCCCTGCAGTGCATGCAGAGCTATTCCGTGATCCCATTCAAACAAGTCAGGAGCTTCGACTTGCTTAATGGATCTCGAGAGAGTCCCCAAGAACACTGTCACCAGTCTAGACGGACCCTGAGGTCACCCAGCAATGCAAAGCAGCTCCATGTGCCCCAAATCAACTCGAGATGAGGCCGGATTCCCCTGCATTGACTCCAGAGCCATTCCTTGTTCCCCATTCAACACGACCGGTGGCTCGACTTCCTTCAGGCAACTCCAGAGATGCCTCGAGAGCACTATCCCAAGTCTAGAGGAACACCAACTTCAGCAGAGCAACTCGAGGAATGCTCTGTGTACCCCAAATCGTCTCGAGATGAGAGCTGATTCCCTGGCTTAGGCTCAAGACGTATGCCACCTTTCCAGAAGCACCTCAGGAGGAGGCTTCTCTCAGCAATAGGTATGTGGGAGGGACCCCGAGTTTGCTGCCTCAAGGGGAATATACAGCGAGAAGCCCTAACTTGAAAGGAGGCCGGATTTCCTTGCAGTGGCTTGAATACAGGCTCGTCTTTCATCTCACAACATGAAGGGATGTCTGAATCCCCTGTGGAGACCTTAGAGAAAGCCCTAGGTCCCTGCCTCATTTTGACGGAATCCTCACATCCCGCTGACACCTCGAGAGGCACGCGGAGTTCATTGCTTCAAAAGGTGACGATGGCTGACTCATCTTGAATACTTATAGGAATCCCAAAATCCCTGTGGCTACTGGAAAGGGTCCTTGGGTGCCCTGGCTCACCTCGAGAAGCGTCCCTTTTGCCCTGCCAAGCCTCGAAGAGATTGCTGACGTGTCCCTCGTTACTAGACAGGAGTCCTGACGTCACTGAAGAAACTCGTGTTTTGAAGGGCCATCCCCGCCGTAAGTCGAGAACATACCCCAGGTCCCCGCCGCAACTCGAGAAAAACCATGAGACTTCCCCCTAGAGGCGAGATGAGGCCCCATTCCCCTGCAGTGCATGCAGAGCTATTCCGTGATCCCATTCAAACAAGTCAGGAGCTTCGACTTGCTTAATGGATCTCGAGACAGTCCCCAAGAACACTGTCACCAGTCTAGACGGACCTTGAGGTCACCCCAGCAACGCAAAGCAGCTCCATGTGCCCCAAATCAACTCGAGATGAGGCCCGATTCCCCTGCATTGACTCCAGAGCCATTCCCCGTTCCCCATTCAACACGACCGGTGGCTCGACTTCCTTCAGGCAACTGCAGAGATGCCCCGAGAACACTGCCCCAAGTCTAGAGGAACACCAACTTCAGCACAGCAACTCGAGGAATGCTCCGTGTACCCCAAATCATCTCGAGATGAGAGCTGATTCTCTGGCTTAGGCTCAAGACGTATGCCACCTTTCCAGAAGCACCTCAGGAGGAGGCTTCTCTCAGCAATAGGTATGTGGGAGCGACCCCGAGTTTGCTGCCTCAAGGGGAATACACAGGGAGAAGCCCTAACGTGAACGGAGGCCAGATTTCCTTGCAGTGGGTTGAATAAAGGCTCGTCTTCGATCTGAAAACATGAAGGGATGTCTGAATTCCCTGTGGAGACCTTAGAGGAAGCCCTAGGTCCCTGCCTCATTTTGACGGAATACCTCACATCCCCCTGACACCTCGAGAGGCACGCAGAGTTCATTGCTTCAAAAGGTGACGATGCCTGACTCCTCTTGAATACTTATAGGAATCCCAAAATCCCTGTTGCTACTGGAAAGGGTCCTTGGGTGCCCTGGCTCACCTCGAGAAGCGTCCCTTTTGCCCTGCCAAGCCTCGAAGAAATTGCTGAGGTGTCCCTCATTACTAGACAGGAGTCCTGACGTCACGGAAGAAACTCGTGTTTTGAAGGGCCATCCCCGCCGTAAGTTGAGAACATAACCCAGGTCCCCGCCGCAACTCGAGAAAAACCATGAGACTTCCCCCTAGAGGCGAGATGAGGCCCCATTCCCCTGCAGTGCATGCAGAGCTATTCCGTGATCCCATTCAAACAAGTCAGGAGCTTCGACTTGCTTAATGGATCTCGAGGCAGTCCCCAAGAACACTGTCACCAGTCTAGACGGACCCTGAGGTCACCCAGCAATGCAAAGCAGCTCCATGTGCCCCAAATCAACTCGAGATGAGGCCGGATTCCCCTGCATTGACTCCAGAGCCATTCCTTGTTCCCCATTCAACACGACCGGTGGCTCGACTTCTTTCAGGCAACTCCAGAGATGCCCCGAGAACACTGTCCCAAGTCTAGAGGACCACCAACTTCAGCACAGCAACTCGAGAAATGCTCTGTGTACCCCAAATCGTCTCGAGATGAGAGCTGAATCCCTGGCTTAGGCTCAAGACGTATGCCACCTTTCCAGAAGCACCTCAGGAGGAGGCTTCTCTCAGCAATAGGTATGTGGGAGGGACCCCGAGTTTGCTGCCTCAAGGGGAATATACAGCGAGAAGCCCTAACTTGAAAGGAGGCCGGATTTCCTTGCAGTGGCTTGAATACAGGCTCGTCTTTGATCTGACAAAATGAAGGGATGTCTGAATCCCCTGTGGAGACCTTAGAGGAAGCCCTAGGTCCCTGGCTCATTTTGACGGAATCCTCATATCCTGCTGACACCTCGAGAGGCACGCGGAGTTCATTGCTTCAAAAGGTGACGATGCCTGACTCCTCTTGCATACTTATAGGAATCCCAAAATCCCTGTGGCTACTGGAAAGGGTCCTTGGGTGCCCTGGCTCACCTCGAGAAGCGTCCCTTTTGCCCTGCCAAGCCTCGAAGAGATTGCTGAGGTGTCCCTCGTTACTAGACAGGAGTCCTGACGTCACGGAAGAAACTCGTGTTTTGAAGGGCCATCCCCGCCGTAAGTCGAGAACATACCCCAGGTACCCGCCGCAACTCGAGAAAAACCATGAGACTTCCCCCTAGAGGCGAGATGAGGCCCCATTCCCCTGCAGTGCATGCAGAGCTATTCCGTGATCCCATTCAAACAAGTCAGGAGCTTCGACTTGCTTAATGGATCTCGAGAGAGTCCCCAAGAACACTGTCACCAGTCTAGACGGACCCTGAGGTCACCCAGCAATGCAAAGCAGCTCCATGTGCCCCAAATCAACTCGAGATGAGGCCGGATTCCCCTGCATTGACTCCAGAGCCATTCCTTGTTCCCCATTCAACACGACCGGTGGCTCGACTTCCTTCAGGCAACTCCAGAGATGCCCCGAGAACACTCTCCCATGTCTAGAGGAACACCTACTTCAGCACAGCAACTCGAGGAATGCTCTGTGTACCCCAAATCGTCTCGAGATGAGAGCTGATTCCCTGGCTTAGGCTCAAGACGTATGCCACCTTTCCAGAAACACCTCAGGAGGAGGCTTCTCTCAGCAATAGGTATGTGGGAGGGACCCCGAGTTTGCTGCCTCAAGGGGAATATACAGCGAGAAGCCCTAACTTGAAAGGAGGCCGGATTTCCTTGCAGTGGCTTGAATACAGGCTCGTCTTTCATCTCACAACATGAAGGGATGTCTGAATCCCCTGTGGAGACCTTAGAGAAAGCCCTAGGTCCCTGCCTCATTTTGACGGAATCCTCACATCCCGCTGACACCTCGAGAGGCACGCGGAGTTCATTGCTTCAAAAGGTGACGATGCCTGACTCATCTTGAATACTTATAGGAATCCCAAAATCCCTGTGGCTACTGGAAAGGGTCCTTGGGTGCCCTGGCTCACCTCGAGAAGCGTCCCTTTTGCCCTGCCAAGCCTCGAAGAGATTGCTGACGTGTCCCTCGTTACTAGACAGGAGTCCTGACGTCACTGAAGAAACTCGTGTTTTGAAGGGCCATCCCCGCCGTAAGTCGAGAACATACCCCAGGTCCCCGCCGCAACTCGAGAAAAACCATGAGACTTCCCCCTAGAGGCGAGATGAGGCCCCATTCCCCTGCAGTGCATGCAGAGCTATTCCGTGATCCCATTCAAACAAGTCAGGAGCTTCGACTTGCTTAATGGATCTCGAGACAGTCCCCAAGAACACTGTCACCAGTCTAGACGGACCCTGAGGTCACCCCAGCAACGCAAAGCAGCTCCATGTGCCCCAAATCAACTCGAGATGAGGCCCGATTCCCCTGCATTGACTCCAGAGCCATTCCCCATTCCCCATTCAACACGACCGGTGGCTCGACTTCCTTCAGGCAACTGCAGAGATGCCCCGAGAACACTGCCCCAAGTCTAGAGGAACACCAACTTCAGCACAGCAACTCGAGGAATGCTCCGTGTACCCCAAATCATCTCGAGATGAGAGCTGATTCTCTGGCTTAGGCTCAAGACGTATGCCACCTTTCCAGAAGCACCTCAGGAGGAGGCTTCTCTCAGCAATAGGTATGTGGGAGCGACCCCGAGTGTGCTGCCTCAAGGGGAATACACAGGGAGAAGCCCTAACGTGAACGGAGGCCAGATTTCCTTGCAGTGGGTTGAATAAAGGCTCGTCTTCGATCTGAAAACATGAAGGGATGTCTGAATTCCCTGTGGAGACCTTAGAGGAAGCCCTAGGTCCCTGCCTCATTTTGACGGAATACCTCACATCCCCCTGACACCTCGAGAGGCACGCAGAGTTCATTGCTTCAAAAGGTGACGATGCCTGACTCCTCTTGAATACTTATAGGAATCCCAAAATCCCTGTTGCTACTGGAAAGGGTCTTTGGGTGCCCTGGCTCACCTCGAGAAGCGTCCCTTTTGCCCTGCCAAGCCTCGAAGAAATTGCTGAGGTGTCCCTCGTTACTAGACAGGAGTCCTGACGTCACTGAAGAAACTCGTGTTTTGAAGGGCCATCCCCGCCGTAAGTCGAGAACATAACCCAGGTCCCCGCCGCAACTCGAGAAAAACCATGAGACTTCCCCCTAGAGGCGAGATGAGGCCCCATTCCCCTGCAGTGCATGCAGAGCTATTCCGTGATCCCATTCAAACAAGTCAGGAGCTTCGACTTGCTTAATGGATCTCGAGGCAGTCCCCAAGAACACTGTCACCAGTCTAGACGGACCCTGAGGTCACCCAGCAATGCAAAGCAGCTCCATGTGCCCCAAATCAACTCGAGATGAGGCCGGATTCCCCTGCATTGACTCCAGAGCCATTCCTTTTTCCCCATTCAACACGACCGGTGGCTCGACTTCTTTCAGGCAACTCCAGAGATGCCCCGAGAACACTGTCCCAAGTCTAGAGGACCACCAACTTCAGCACAGCAACTCGAGAAATGCTCTGTGTACCCCAAATCGTCTCGAGATGAGAGCTGATTCCCTGGCTTAGGCTCAAGACGTATGCCACCTTTCCAGAAACACCTCAGGAGGAGGCTTCTCTCAGCAATAGGTATGTGGGAGGGACCCCGAGTTTGCTGCCTCAAGGGGAATATACAGCGAGAAGTCCTAACTTGAAAGGAGGCCAGATTTCCTTGCAGTGGCTTGAATACCGCTCGTCTTTCATCTCACAACATGAAGGGATGTCTGAATCCCCTGTGGAGACCTTAGAGAAAGCCCTACGTCCCTGCCTCATTTTGACGGAATCCTCACATCCCGCTGACACCTCAAGAGGCACGCGGAGTTCATTGCTTCAAAAGGTGACGATGCCTGACTCCTCTTGAATACTTATAGGAATCCCAAAATCCCTGTGGCTACTGGAAAGGGTACTTGGGTGCCCTGGCTCACCTCGAGAAGCGTCCCTTTTGCCCTGCCAAGCCTCAAAGAGATTCCTGAGGTGTCCCTCGTTACTAGACAGGAGTCCTGACGTCACTGAAGAAACTCGTGTTCTGAACTTCCATCCCCGCCGTAAGTCGAGAACATACCCCAGGTCCCCGCCGCAACTCGAGAAAAACCATGAGACTTCCCCCTAGAGGCGAGATGAGGCCCCATTCCCCTGCAGTGCATGCAGAGCTATTCCGTGATCCCATTCAAACAAGTCAGGAGCTTCGACTTGCTTAATGGATCTCGAGACAGTCCCCAAGAACACTGTCACCAGTCTAGACGGACCCTGAGGTCACCCCAGCAACGCAAAGCAGCTCCATGTGCCCCAAATCAACTCGAGATGAGGCCCGATTCCCCTGCATTGACTCCAGAGCCATTCCCCGTTCCCCATTCAACACGACTGGTGGCTCGCTTTCCTTCAGGCAACTCCAGAGATGCCCCGAGAACACTGTCCCAAGTCTAGAGGAACACCAACTTCAGCACAGCAACTCGAGGAATGCTCTGTGTACCCCAAATCGTCTCGAGATGAGAGCTGATTCCCTGGCTTAGGCTCAAGACGTATGCCAACTTTCCAGAAGCACCTCAGGAGGAGGCTTCTCAGCAATAGGTATGTGGGAGGGACTCCGAGTTTGCTGCCTCAAGGGGAATATACAGCGAGAAGCCCAAACTTGAAAGGAGGCCGGATTTCCTTGCAGTGGCTTGAATACAGGCTCGTCTTTCATCTCACAACATGAAGGGATGTCTGAATCCCCTGTGGAGACCTTAGAGAAAGCCCTAGGTCCCTGCCTCATTTTGACGGAATGCCTCACATCCCGCTGACACCTCGAGAGGCACGCAGAGTTCATTGCTTCAAAAGGTGACGATGCCTGGCTCCTCTTGAATACTGATAGGAATCCCATAATCCCTGTGGCTACTGGAAAGGGTCCTTGGGTGCCCTGGCTCACCTCGAGAAGCGTCCCTTTTGCCCTGCCAAGCCTCAAAGAGATTCCTGAGGTGTCCCTCGTTACTAGGCAGGAGTCCTGACATCACTGGAGAAACTCGTGTTTTGAAGGGCCATCCCCGCCGTAAGTCGAGAACATACCCCAGGGCCCCGCCACAACTCGAGAAAAACCGTGAGACCTCCCCCTAGAGGCGAGATGAGGCCCCATTCCCCTGCAGTGCATGCAGAGCTATTCCGTGATCCCATTCAAACAAGTCAGGAGCTTCGACTTGCTTAATGGATCTCGAGACAGTCCCCAAGAACACTGTCACCAGTCTAGATGGACCCTGAGGTCACCCAGCAATGCAAAGCAGCTCCATGTGCCCCAAATCAACTCGAGATGAGGCCGGATTCCCCTGCATTGACTCCAGAGCCATTCCTTGTTCCCCATTCAACACGACCGGTGGCTCGACTTCCTTCAGGCAACTCCAGAGATGCCTCGAGAGCACTCTCCCAAGTCTAGAGGACCACCAACTTCAGCAGAGCAACTCGAGGAATGCTCTGTGTACCACAAATCGTCTCGAGATGAGAGCTGATTCCCTGGCTTAGGCTCAAGACGTATGCCACCTTTCCAGAAGCACCACAGGAGGAGGCTTCTCTCAGCAATAGGTATGTGGGAGGGACCCCGAGTTTGCTGCCTCAAGGGGAATATACAGCGAGAAGCCCTAACTTGAAAGGAGGCCGGATTTCCTTGCAGTGGCTTGAATACAGGCTCGTCTTTCATCTCACAACATGAAGGGATGTCTGAATCCCCTGTGGAGACCTTAGAGAAAGCCCTAGGTCCCTGCCTCATTTTGACGGAATCCTCACATCCCGCTGACACCTCGAGAGGCATGCGGAGTTCATTGCTTCAAAAGGTGACGATGCCTGACTCCTCTTGAATACTTATAGGAATCCCAAAATCCCTGTGGCTACTGGAAAGGGTCCTTGGGTGCCCTGGCTCACCTCGAGAAGCGTCCCTTTTGCCCTGCCAAGCCTCGAAGAGATTGCTGACGTGTCCCTCGTTACTAGACAGGAGTCCTGACGTCACTGAAGAAACTCGTGTTTTGAAGGGCCATCCCCGCCGTAAGTCGAGAACATACCCCAGGTCCCCGCCGCAACTCGAGAAAAACCATGAGACTTCCCCCTAGAGGCGAGATGAGGCCCCATTCCCCTGCAGTGCATGCAGAGCTATTCCGTGATCCCATTCAAACAAGTCAGGAGCTTCGACTTGCTTAATGGATATCGAGGCAGTCCCCAAGAACACTGTCACCAGTCTAGACGGACCCTGAGGTCACCCAGCAATGCAAAGCAGCTCCATGTGCCCCAAATCAACTCGAGATGAGGCCGGATTCCCCCGCATTGACTCCAGAGCCATTCCTTGTTCCCCATTCAACACGACCGGTGGCTCGACTTCTTTCAGGCAACTCCAGAGATGCCCCGAGAACACTGTCCCAAGTCTAGAGGAACACCAACTTCAGCACAGCAACACGAGGAATGCTCTGTGTACCCCAAATCGTCTCGAGATGAGAGCTGATTCCCTGGCTTAGGCTCAAGACGTATGCCAACTTTCCAGAAGCACCTCAGGAGGCGGCTTCTCAGCAATAGGTATGTGGGAGGGACTCCGAGTTTGCTGCCTCAAGGGGAATATACAGCGAGAAGCCCTAACTTGAAAGGAGGCCGGATTTCCTTGCAGTAGCTTGTATACAGGCTTGTCTTTCATCTCACAACATGAAGGGATGTCTGAATCCCCTGTGAAGACCTTAGAGAAAGCCCTAGGACCCTGCCTCATTTTGACGGAATGCCTCACATCCCGCTGACACCTCGAGAGGCACGCGGAGTTCATTGCTTCAAAAGGTGACGATGCCTGACTCCTCTTGAATACTGATAGGAATCCCAAAATCCCTGTGGCTACTGGAAAGGTTCCTTGGGTGCCCTGGCTCACCTCGAGAAGCGTCCCTTTTGCCCTGCCAAGCCTCGAGGAGATTCCTGAGGTGTCCCTCATTACTAGACAGGAGTCCTGACGTCACTGAAGAAACTCGTGTTTTGAAGGCCCATCCCCGCCGTAAGTCGAGAACATACCCCAGGTCCCCGCCGCAACTCGAGAAAAACCATGAGACTTCCCCCTAGAGGCGAGATGAGGCCCCATTCCCCTGCAGTGCATGCAGAGCTATTCCGTGATCCCATTCAAACAAGTCAGGAGCTTCGACTTGCTTAATGGATCTCGAGACAGTCCCCAAGAACACTGTCACCAGTCTAGACGGACCCTGAGGTCACCCCAGCAACGCAAAGCTGCTCCATGTGCCCCAAATCAACTCGAGATGAGGCCCGATTCCCCTGCATTGACTCCAGAGCCATTCCCCGTTCCCCATTCAACACGACCGGTGGCTCGACTTCCTTCAGGCAACTCCAGAAATGCCTCGAGAGCACTATCCCAAGTCTAGAGGAACAACAAATTCAGCAGAGCAACCCGAGGAATGCTCTGTGTACCCCAAATCGTCTCGAGATGAGAGCTGATTCCCTGGCTTAGGCTCAAGACGTATGCCACCTTTCCAGAAGCACCTCAGGAGGAGGCTTCTCTCAGCAATAGGTATGTGGGAGGGACCCCGAGTTTGCTGCCTCAAGGGGAATACACAGGGAGAAGCCCTAACGTGAACGGAGGCCAGATTTCCTTGCAGTGGGTTGAATAAAGGCTCGTCTTCGATCTGAAAACATGAAGGGATGTCTGAATTCCCTGTGGAGACCTTAGAGGAAGCCCTAGGTCCCTGCCTCATTTTGACGGAATACCTCACATCCCCCTGACACCTCGAGAGGCACGCAGAGTTCATTGCTTCAAAAGGTGACGATGCCTGACTCCTCTTGAATACTTATAGGAATCCCAAAATCCCTGTTGCTACTGGAAAGGGTCCTTGGGTGCCCTGGCTCACCTCGAGAAGCGTCCCTTTTGCCCTGCCAAGCCTCGAAGAAATTGCTGAGGTGTCCCTCATTACTAGACAGGAGTCCTGACGTCACGGAAGAAACTCGTGTTTTGAAGGGCCATCCCCGCCGTAAGTCGAGAACATAACCCAGGTCCCCGCCGCAACTCGAGAAAAACCATGAGACTTCCCCCTAGAGGCGAGATGAGGCCCCATTCCCCTGCAGTGCATGCAGAGCTATTCCGTGATCCCATTCAAACAAGTCAGGAGCTTCGACTTGCTTAATGGATCTCGAGGCAGTCCCCAAGAACACTGTCACCAGTCTAGACGGACCCTGAGGTCACCCAGCAATGCAAAGCAGCTCCATGTGCCCCAAATCAACTCGAGATGAGGCCGGATTCCCCTGCATTGACTCCAGAGCCATTCCTTGTTCCCCATTCAACACGACCGGTGGCTCGACTTCTTTCAGGCAACTCCAGAGATGCCCCGAGAACACTGTCCCAAGTCTAGAGGACCACCAACTTCAGCACAGCAACTCGAGAAATGCTCTGTGTACCCCAAATCGTCTCGAGATGAGAGCTGATTCCCTGGCTTAGGCTCAAGACGTATGCCACCTTTCCAGAAGCACCTCAGGAGGAGGCTTCTCTCAGCAATAGGTATGTGGGAGGGACCCCGAGTTTGCTGCCTCAAGGGGAATATACAGCGAGAAGCCCTAACTTGAAAGGAGGCCGGATTTCCTTGCAGTGGCTTGAATACAGGCTCGTCTTTCATCTCACAACATGAAGGGATGTCTGAATTCCCTGTGGAGACCTTAGAGGAAGCCCTAGGTCCCTGCCTCATTTTGACGGAATACCTCACATCCCCCTGACACCTCGAGAGGCACGCAGAGTTCATTGCTTCAAAAGGTGACGATGCCTGACTCCTCTTGAATACTTATAGGAATCCCAAAATCCCTGTTGCTACAGGAAAGGGTACTTGGGTGCCCTGGCTCACCTCGAGAAGCGTCCCTTTTGCCCTGCCAAGCCTCGAAGAGATTGCTGAGGTGTCCCTCGTTACTAGACAGGAGTCCTGACGTCACTGAAGAAACTTGTGTTTTGAAGTTCCATCCCCGCCGTAAGTCGAGAACATACCCCAGGTCCCCGCCGCAACTCGAGAAAAACCATGAGACTTCCCCCTAGAGGCGAGATGAGGCCCCATTCCCCTGCAGTGCATGCAGAGCTATTCCGTGATCCCATTCAAACAAGTCAGGAGCTTCGACTTGCTTAATGGATCTCGAGACAGTCCCCAAGAACACTGTCACCAGTCTAGAGGGACCCTGAGGTCACCCCAGCAACGCAAAGCAGCTCCATGTGCCCCAAATCAACTCGAGATGAGGCCCGATTCCCCTGCATTGACTCCAGAGCCATTCCCCGTTCCCCATTCAACACGACTGGTGGCTCGCTTTCCTTCAGGCAACTCCAGAGATGCCCCGAGAACACTGTCCCAAGTCTAGAGGAACACCAACTTCAGCACAGCAACTCGAGGAATGCTCTGTGTACCCCAAATCGTCTCGAGATGAGAGCTGATTCCCTGGCTTAGGCTCAAGACGTATGCCAACTTTCCAGAAGCACCTCAGGAGGAGGCTTCTCAGCAATAGGTATGTGGGAGGGACTCCGAGTTTGCTGCCTCAAGGGGAATATACAGCGAGAAGCCCTAACTTGAAAGGAGGCCGGATTTCCTTGCAGTAGCTTGAATACAGGCTTGTCTTTCATCTCACAACATGAAGGGATGTCTGAATCCCCTGTGAAGACCTTAGAGAAAGCCCTAGGTCCCTGCCTCATTTTGACGGCATGCCTCACATCCCGCTGACAACTCGAGAGGCACGCGGAGTTCATTGCTTCAAAAGGTGACGATGCCTGACTCCTCTTGAATACTGATAGGAATCCCAAAATCCCTGTGGCTACTGGAAAGGTTCCTTGGGTGCCCTGGCTCACCTCGAGAAGCGTCCCTTTTGCCCTGCCAAGCCTCGAAGAGATTCCTGAGGTGTCCCTCGTTACTAGACAGGAGTCCTGACGTCACTGAAGAAACTCGTGTTTTGAAGGGCCATCCCCGCCGTAAGTCGAGAACATACCCCAGGTCCCCGCCGCAACTCGAGAAAAACCATGAGACTTCCCCCTAGAGGCGAGATGAGGCCCCATTCCCCTGCAGTGCATGCAGAGCTATTCCGTGATCCCATTCAAACAAGTCAGGAGCTTCGACTTGCTTAATGGATCTCGAGACAGTCCCCAAGAACACTGTCACCAGTCTAGACGGACCCTGAGGTCACCCCAGCAACGCAAAGCTGCTCCATGTGCCCCAAATCAACTTGAGATGAGGTCCGATTCCCCTGCATTGACTCCAGAGCCATTCCCCGTTCCCCATTCAACACGACCGGTGGCTCGACTTCCTTCAGGCAACTGCAGAGATGCCCCGATAACACTGCCCCAAGTCTAGAGGAACACCAACTTCAGCACAGCAACTCGAGGAATGCTCCGTGTACTCCAAATCATCTCGAGATGAGAGCTGATTCTCTGGCTTAGGCTCAAGACGTATGCCAACTTTCCAGAAGCACCTCAGGAGGAGGCTTCTCTCAGCAATAGGTATGTGGGAGCGACCCCGAGTTTGCTGCCTCAAGGGGAATACACAGGGAGAAGCCCTAACGTGAACGGAGGCCAGATTTCCTTGCAGTGGGTTGAATAAAGGCTCGTCTTCGATCTGAAAACATGAAGGGATGTCTGAATTCCCTGTGGAGACCTTAGAGGAAGCCCTAGGTCCCTGCCTCATTTTGACGGAATACCTCACATCCCCCTGACACCCCGAGAGGCACGCAGAGTTCATTGCTTCAAAAGGTGACGATGCCTGACTCCTCTTGAATACTTATAGGAATCCCAAAATCCCTGTTGCTACAGGAAAGGGTCCTTGGGTGCCCTGGCTCACCTCGAGAAGCGTCCCTTTTGCCCTGCCAAGCCTCGAAGAAATTGCTGAGGTGTCCCTCGTTACTAGACAGGAGTCCTGACGTCACGGAAGAAACTCGTGTTTTGAAGGGCCATCCCCGCCGTAAGTCGAGAACATACCCCAGGTCCCCGCCGCAACTCGAGAAAAACCATGAGACTTCCCCCTAGAGGCGAGATGAGGCCCCATTCCCCTGCAGTGCATGCAGAGCTATTCTGTGATCCCATTCAAACAAGTCAGGAGCTTCGACTTGCTTAATGGATCTCGAGACAGTCCCCAAGAACACTGTCACCAGTCTAGACGGACCCTGAGGTCACCACAGCAACGCAAAGCAGCTCCATGTGCCCCAAATCAACTCGAGATGAGGCCCGATTCCCCTGCATTGACTCCAGAGCCATTCCCCGTTCCCCGTTCAACACGAACGGAGGCTCGCCTTCCTTCAGGCAACTCCAGAGATGCCCCGAGAACACTGTCCCAAGTCTAGAGGAACACCAACTTCAGCACAGCAACTCGAGGAATGCTCTGTGTACCCCAAATCGTCTCGAGATGAGAGCTGATTCCCTGGCTTAGGCTCAAGACGTATGCCAACTTTCCAGAAGCACCTCAGGAGGAGGCTTCTCAGCAATAGGTATGTGGGAGGGACTCCGAGTTTGCTGCCTCAAGGGGAATATACAGCGAGAAGCCCTAACTTGAAAGGAGGCCGGATTTCCTTGCAGTGGCTTGAATACAGGCTCGTCTTTCATCTCACAACATGAAGGGATGTCTGAATCCCCTGTGGAGACCTTAGAGAAAGCCCTAGGTCCCTGCCTCATTTTGACGGAATGCCTCACATCCCGCTGACACCTCGAGAGGCACGCGGAGTTCATTGCTTCAAAAGGTGACGATGCCTGACTCCTCTTGAATACTGATAGGAATCCCATAATCCCTGTGGCTACTGGAAAGGGTCCTTGGGTGCCCTGGCTCACCTCGAGAAGCGTCCCTTTTGCCCTGCCAAGCCTCAAAGAGATTCCTGAGGTGTCCCTCGTTACTAGGCAGGAGTCCTGACGTCACTGGAGAAACTCGTGTTTTGAAGGGCCATCCCCGCCGTAAGTCGAGAACATACCCCAGGGCCCCGCCGCAACTCGAGAAAAACCGTGAGACTTCCCCCTAGAGGCGAGATGAGGCCCCATTCCCCTGCAGTGCATGCAGAGCTATTCCGTGATCCCATTCAAACAAGTCAGGAGCTTCGACTTGCTGAATGGATCTCGAGACAGTCCCCAAGAACACTGTCACCAGTCTAGACGGACCCTGAGGTCACCCAGCAATGCAAAGCAGCTCCATGTGCCCGAAATCAACTCGAGATGAGGCCGGATTCCCCTGCATTGACTCCAGAGCCATTCCTTGTTCCCCATTCAACACGACCGGTGGCTCGACTTCCTTCAGGCAACTCCAGAGATGCCTCGAGAACACTATCCCAAGTCTAGAGGACCACCAACTTCAGCAGAGCAACTCGAGGAATGCTCTGTGTACCCCAAATCGTCTCGAGATGAGAGCTGATTCCCTGGCTTAGGCTCAAGACGTATGCCACCTTTCCAGAAGCACCTCAGGAGGAGGCTTCTCTCAGCAATAGGTATGTGGGAGGGACCCCGAGTTTGCTGCCTCAAGGGGAATATACAGCGAGAAGCCCTAACTTGAAAGGAGGCCGGATTTCCTTGCAGTGGCTTGAATACAGGCTCGTCTTTCATCTCACAACATGAAGGGATGTCTGAATCCCCTGTGGAGACCTTAGAGAAAGCCCTAGGACCCTGCCTCATTTTGACGGAATCCTCACATCCCGCTGACACCTCGAGAGGCACGCGGAGTTCATTGCTTCAAAAGGTGACGATGCCTGACTCCTCTTGAATACTTATAGGAATCCCAAAATCCCTGTGGCTACTGGAAAGGGTCCTTGGGTGCCCTGGCTCACCTCGAGAAGCGTCCCTTTTGCCCTGCCAAGCCTCGAAGAGATTGCTGACGTGTCCCTCGTTACTAGACAGGAGTCCTGACGTCACTGAAGAAACTCGTGTTTTGAAGGGCCATCCCCGCCGTAAGTCGAGAACATACCCCAGGTCCCCGCCGCAACTCGAGAAAAACCATGAGACTTCCCCCTAGAGGCGAGATGAGGCCCCATTCCCCTGCAGTGCATGCAGAGCTATTCCGTGATCCCATTCAAACAAGTCAGGAGCTTCGACTTGCTTAATGGATCTCGAGGCAGTCCCCAAGAACACTGTCACCAGTCTAGACGGACCCTGAGGTCACCCAGCAATGCAAAGCAGCTCCATGTGCCCCAAATCAACTCGAGATGAGGCCGGATTCCCCTGCATTGACTCCAGAGCCATTCCTTGTTCCCCATTCAACACGACCGGTGGCTCGACTTCTTTCAGGCAACTCCAGAGATGCCCCGAGAGCACTGTCCCAAGTCTAGAGGAACACCAACTTCAGCACAGCAACACGAGGAATGCTCTGTGTACCCCAAATCGTCTCGAGATGAGAGCTGATTCCCTGGCTTAGGCTCAAGACGTATGCCAACTTTCCAGAAGCACCTCAGGAGGAGGCTTCTCAGCAATAGGTATGTGGGAGGGACTCCGAGTTTGCTGCCTCAAGGGGAATATACAGCGAGAAGCCCTAACTTGAAAGGAGGCCGGATTTCCTTGCAGTAGCTTGTATACAGGCTTGTCTTTCATCTCACAACATGAAGGGATGTCTGAATCCCCTGTGAAGACCTTAGAGAAAGCCCTAGGACCCTGCCTCATTTTGACGGAATGCCTCACATCCCGCTGACACCTCGAGAGGCACGCGGAGTTCATTGCTTCAAAAGGTGACGATGCCTGACTCCTCTTGAATACTGATAGGAATCCCAAAATCCCTGTTGCTACTGGAAAGGGTCCTTGGGTGCCCTGGCTCACCTCGAGAAGCGTCCCTTTTGCCCTGCCAAGCCTCGAAGAGATTGCTGAGGTGTCCCTCGTTACTAGACAGGAGTCCTGACGTCACGGAAGAAACTCGTGTTTTGAAGGGCCATCCCCGCCGTAAGTCGAGAACATACCCCAGGTCCCCGCCGCAACTCGAGAAAAACCATGAGACTTCCCCCTAGAGGCGAGATGAGGCCCCATTCCCCTGCAGTGCATGCAGAGCTATTCCGTGATCCCATTCAAACAAGTCAGGAGCTTCGACTTGCTTAATGGATCTCGAGACAGTCCCCAAGAACACTGTCACCAGTCTAGACGGACCCTGAGGTCACCCCAGCAACGCAAAGCTGCTCCATGTGCCCCAAATCAACTCGAGATGAGGCCCGATTCCCCTGCATTGACTCCAGAGCCATTCCCCGTTCCCCATTCAACACGACCTGTGGCTCGACTTCCTTCAGGCAACTGCAGAGATGCCCCGAGAACACTGCCCCAAGTCTAGAGGAACACCAACTTTAGCACAGCAACTCGAGGAATGCTCCGTGTACCCCAAATCATCTCGAGATGAGAGCTGATTCTCTGGCTTAGGCTCAAGACGAATGCCAACTTTCCAGAAGCACCTCAGGAGGAGGCTTCTCTCAGCAATAGGTATGTGGGAGCGACCCCGAGTTTGCTGCCTCAAGGGGAATACACAGGGAGAAGCCCTAACGTGAACGGAGGCCAGATTTCCTTGCAGTGGGTTGAATAAAGGCTCGTCTTCGATCTGAAAACATGAAGGGATGTCTGAATTCCCTGTGGAGACCTTAGAGGAAGCCCTAGGTCCCTGCCTCATTTTGACGGAATACCTCACATCTCCCTGACACCTCGAGAGGCACGCAGAGTTCATTGCTTCAAAAGGTGACGATGCCTGACTCCTCTTGAATACTTATAGGAATCCCAAAATCCCTGTTGCTACTGGAAAGGGTCCTTGGGTGCCCTGGATCACCTCGAGAAGCGTCCCTTTTGCCCTGCCAAGCCTCGAAGAAATTGCTGAGGTGTCCCTCGTTACTAGACAGGAGTCCTGACGTCACGGAAGAAACTCGTGTTTTGAAGGGCCATCCCCGCCGTAAGTCGAGAACATACGCCAGGTCCCCGCCGCAACTCGAGAAAAACCATGAGACTTCCCCCTAGAGGCGAGATGAGGCCCCATTCCCCTGCAGTGCATGCAGAGCTATTCCGTGATCCCATTCAAACAAGTCAGGAGCTTCGACTTGCTTAATGGATCTCGAGACAGTCCCCAAGAACACTGTCACCAGTCTAGACGGACCCTGAGGTCACCCCAGCAACGCAAAGCAGCTCCATGTGCCCCAAATCAACTCGAGATGAGGCCCGATTCCCCTGCATTGACTCCAGAGCCATTCCCCGTTCCCCATTCAACACGACTGGTGGCTCGCTTTCCTTCAGGCAACTCCAGAGATGCCCCGAGAACACTGTCCCAAGTCTAGAGGAACACCAACTTCAGCACAGCAACTCGAGGAATGCTCTGTATACCCCAAATCGTCTCGAGATGAGAGCTGATTCCCTGGCTTAGGCTCAAGACGTATGCCACCTTTCCAGAAGCACCTCAGGAGGAGGCTTCTCAGCAATAGGTATGTGGGAGGGACTCCGAGTTTGCTGCCTCAAGGGGAATATACAGCGAGAAGCCCTAACTTGAAAGGAGGCCGGATTTCCTTGCAGTGGCTTGAATACAGGCTCGTCTTTCATCTCACAACATGAAGGGATGTCTGAATCCCCTGTGGAGACCTTAGAGAAAGCCCTAGGACCCTGCCTCATTTTGACGGAATGCCTCACATCCCGCTAACACCTCGAGAGGCACGCGGAGTTCATTGCTTCAAAAGGTGACGATGCCTGACTCCTCTTGAATACTGATAGGAATCCCAAAATCCCTGTGGCTACTGGAAAGGGTCCTTGGGTGCCCTGCCTCACCTCGAGAAGCGTCCCTTTTGCCCTGCCAAGACTCGAAGAGATTCCTGAGGTGTCACTCGTTACTAGGCAGGAGTCCTGACCTCACTGAAGAAAGTCGTGTTTTGAAGGGCCATCCCTGCCGTAAGTCGAGAACATACACCAGGTCCCCGCCGCAACTCGAGAAAAACCATGAGACTTCCCCCTAGAGGCGAGATGAGGCCCCATTCCCCTGCAGTGCATGCAGAGCTATTCCGGGATCCCATTCAAACAAGTCAGGAGCTTCGACTTGCTTAATGGATCTCGAGACAGTCCCCAAGAACACTGTCACCAGTCTAGACGGACCCTGAGGTCACCCAGCAATGCAAAGCAGCTCCATGTGCCCCAAATCAACTCGAGATGAGGCCCGATTCCCCTGCATTGACTCCAGAGCCATTCCCCGTTCCCCATTCAACACGACCGGTGGCTAGACTTCCTTCAGGCAACTCCAGGGATGCCCCGAGAACACTGTCCCAAGTCTAGAGCAACACCAACTTCAGCACAGCAACTCGAGGAATGCTCTGTGTACCCCAAATCGTCTCGAGATGAGAGCTGATTCCCTGGCTTAGGCTCAAGACGTATGCCACCTTTCCAGAAGCACCTCAGGAGGAGGCTTCTCTCAGCAATAGGTATGTGGGAGGGACCCCGAGTTTGCTGCCTCAAGGGGAATATACAGCGAGAAGCCCTAACTTGAAAGGAGGCCGGATTTCCTTGCAGTGGCTTGAATATAGGCTCGTCTTTGATCTGACAACATGAAGGGATGTCTGAATCCCCTGTGGAGACCTTAGAGAAAGCCCTAGGTCCCTGCCTCATTTTGACGGAATGCCTCACATCCCGCTGACACCTCGAGAGGCACGCGGAGTTCATTGCTTCAAAAGGTGACGATGCCTGACTCCTCTTGAATACTGATAGGAATCCCAAAATCCCTGTGGCTACTGGAAAGGGTCCTTGGGTGCCCTGCCTCACCTCGAGAAGCGTCCCTTTTGCACTGCCAAGCCTCGAAGAGATTCCTGAGGTGTCCCTCGTTACTAGGCAGGAGTCCTGACGTCACTGGAGAAACTCGTGTTTTGAAGGGCCATCCCCGCCGTAAGTCGAGAACATACCCCAGGGCCCCGCCGCAACTCGAGAAAAACCGTGAGACTTCCCCCTAGAGGCGAGATGAGGCCCCATTCCCCTGCAGTGCATGCAGAGCTATTCCGTGATCCCATTCAAACAAGTCAGGAGCTTCGACTTGCTTAATGGATCTCGAGACAGTCCCCAAGAACACTGTCACCAGTCTAGACGGACCCTGAGGTCACCCAGCAATGCAAAGCAGCTCCATGTGCCCCAAATCAACTCGAGATGAGGCCGTATTCCCCTGCATTGACTCCAGAGCCATTCCTTGTTCCCCATTCAACACGACCGGTGGCTCGACTTCCTTCAGGCAACTCCAGAGATGCCTCGAGAGCACTATCCCAAGTCTAGAGGACCACCAACTTCAGCCGAGCAACTCGAGGAATGCTCTGTGTACCCCAAATCATCTCGAGATGAGAGCTGATTCCCTGGCTTAGGCTCAAGACGTATGCCACCTTTCCAGAAGCACCTCAGGAGGAGGCTTCTCTCAGCAATAGGTATGTGGGAGGGACCCCGAGTTTGCTGCCTCAAGGGGAATATACAGCGAGAAGCCCTAACTTGAAAGGAGGCCGGATTTCCTTGCAGTGGCTTGAATACAGGCTCGTCTTTCATCTCACAACATGAAGGGATGTCTGAATCCCCTGTGGAGACCTTAGAGAAAGCCCTAGGTCCCTGCCTCATTTTGACGGAATCCTCATATCCCGCTGACACCTCGAGAGGCACGCGGAGTTCATTGCTTCAAAAGGTGACGATGCCTGACTCCTCTTGAATACTTATAGGAATCCGAAAATCCCTGTGGCTACTGGAAAGGGTCCTTGGGTGCCCTGGCTCACCTCGAGAAGCGTCCCTTTTGCCCTGCCAAGCCTCGAAGAGATTGCTGAAGTGTCCCTCGTTACTAGACATGAGTCCTGACGTCACGGAAGAAACTCGTGTTTTGAAGGGCCATCCCCGCCGTAAGTCGAGAACATACCCCAGGTCCCCGCCGCAACTCGAGAAAAACCATGAGACTTCCCCCTAGAGGCGAGATGAGGCCCCATTCCCCTGCAGTGCATGCAGAGCTATTCCGTGATCCCATTCAAACAAGTCAGGAGCTTCGACTTGCTTAATGGATCTCGAGACAGTCCCCAAGAACACTGTCACCAGTCTAGACGGACCCTGAGGTCACCCAGCAATGCAAAGCAGCTCCATGTGCCCCAAATCAACTCGAGATGAGGTCGGATTCCCCTGCATTGACTCCAGTGCCATTCCTTGTTCCCCATTCAACACGACCGGTGGCTCGACTTCCTTCAGGCAACTCCAGAGTTTCCCCGAGAACACTGTCCCAAGACTAGAGGAACACCAACTTCAGCACAGCAACTCGAGGAATGCTCTGTGTACCCCAAATCGTCTCGAGATGAGAGCTGATTCCCTGGCTTAGGCTCAAGACGTATGCCACCTTTCCAGAAACACCTCAGGAGGAGGCTTCTCTCAGCAATAGGTATGTGGGAGGGACCCCGAGTTTGCTGCCTCAAGGGGAATATACAGCGAGAAGTCCTAACTTGAAAGGAGGCCGGATTTCCTTGCAGTGGCTTGAATACCGGCTCGTCTTTCATCTCACAACATGAAGGGATGTCTGAATCCCCTGTGGAGACCTTAGAGAAAGCCCTAGGTCCCTGCCTCATTTTCACGGAATCCTCACATCCCGCTGACAACTCGAGAGGCACGCGGAGTTCATTGCTTCAAAAGGTGACGATGCCTGACTCCTCTTGAATACTTATAGGAATCCCAAAATCCCTGTGGCTACTGGAAAGGGTACTTGGGTGCCCTGGCTCACCTCGAGAAGCGTCCCTTTTGCCCTGCCAAGACTCGAAGAGATTCCTGAGGTGTCACTCGTTACTAGGCAGGAGTCCTGACCTCACTGAAGAAAGTCGTGTTTTGAAGGGCCATCCCTGCCGTAAGTCGAGAACATACCCCAGGGCCCCGCCGCAACTCGAGAAAAACCATGAGACTTCCCCCTAGAGGCGAGATGAGGCCCCATTCCCCTGCAGTGCATGCAGAGCTATTCAGGGATCCCATTCAAACAAGTCAGGAGCTTCGACTTGCTTAATGGATCTCGAGACAGTCCCCAAGAACACTGTCACCAGTCTAGACGGACCCTGAGGTCACCCAGCAATGCAAAGCAGCTCCAGGTGCCCCAAATCAACTTGAGATGAGGCCCGATTCCCCTGCATTGACTCCAGAGCCATTCCCCGTTCCCCATTCAACAAGACCGGTGGCTCGATTTCCTTCAGGCAACTCCAGGGATGCCCCGAGAACACTGTCCCAAGTCTAGAGGAACACCAACTTCAGCACAGCAACTCGAGGAATGCTCCGTGTACCCCAAATCATCTCGAGATGAGAGCTGATTCTCTGGCTTAGGCTCAAGACGTATGCCAACTTTCCAGAAGCACCTCAGGAGGAGGCTTCTCTCAGCAATAGGTATGTGGGAGGGACCCCGAGTTTGCTGCCTCAAGGGTAATACACAGGGAGAAGCCCTAACGTGAACGGAGGCCAGATTTCCTTGCAGTGGGTTGAATAAAGGCTCGTCTTCGATCTGAAAACATGAAGGGATGTCTGAATTCCCTGTGGAGACCTTAGAGGAAGCCCTAGGTCCCTGCCTCATTTTGACGGAATACCTCACATCCCCCTGACACCTCGAGAGGCACGCAGAGTTCATTGCTTCAAAAGGTGACGATGCCTGACTCCTCTTGAATACTTATAGGAATCCCAAAATCCCTGTGGCTACTGGAAAGGGTCCTTGGGTGCCCTGGCTCACCTCAAGAAGCGTCCCTTTTGCCCTGCCAAGCCTCGAAGAGATTGCTGAGGTGTCCCTCGTTACTAGACAGGAGTCCTGACGTCACGGAAGAAACTCGTGTTTTGAAGGGCCATCCCCGCCGTAAGTCGAGAACATACCCCAGGTCCCCGCCGCAACTCGAGAAAAACCATGAGACTTCCCCCTAGAGGCGAGATGAGGCCCCATTCCCCTGCAGTGCATGCAGAGCTATTCCGTGATCCCATTCAAACAAGTCAGGAGCTTCGACTTGCTTAATGGATCTCGAGACAGTCCCCAAGAACACTGTCACCAGTCTAGACGGACCCTGAGGTCACCCCAGCAACGCAAAGCTGCTCCATGTGCCCCAAATCAACTCGAGATGAGGCCCGATTCCCCTGCATTGACTCCAGAGCCATTCCCCGTTCCCCATTCAACACGACCGGTGGCTCGACTTCCTTCAGGCAACTCCAGGGATGCCCCGAGAACACTGTCCCAAGTCTAGAGGAACAGCAACTTCAGCACAGCAACTCGAGGAATGCCCTGTGTACCACAAATCGTCTCGAGATGAGAGCTGATTCCCTGGCTTAGGCTCAAGACGTATGCCACCTTTCCAGAAGCACTTCAGGAGGACGCTTCTCTCAGCAATAGGTATGTGGGAGGGACCCCGAGTTTGCTGCCTCAAGGGGAATATACAGCGAGAAGTCCTAACTTGAAAGGAAGCCGGATTTCCTTCCAGTGGCTTGAATACAGGCTCGTCTTTCATCTCACAACATGAAGGGATGTCTGAATCCCCTGTAGAGACCTTAGAGAAAGCCCTAGGTCCCTGCCTCATTTTCACGGAATGCCTCACATCCCGCTGACACCTCGAGAGGCACGCGGAGTTCATTGCTTCAAAAGGTGACGATGCCTGACTCCTCTTGAATACTGATAGGAATCCCAAAATCCCTGTGGCTAATGGAAAGGGTCCTTGGGTGCCCTGCCTCACCTCGAGAAGCGTCCCTTTTGCCCTGCCAAGACTCGAAGAGATTCCTGAGGTGTCACTCGTTACTAGGCAGGAGTCCTGACCTCACTGAAGAAAGTCGTGTTTTGAAGGGCCATCCCTGCCGTAAGTCGAGAACATACCCCAGGTCCCCGCCGCAACTCGAGAAAAACCATGAGACTTCCCCCTAGAGGCGAGATGAGGCCCCATTCCCCTGCAGTGCATGCAGAGCTATTCCGTGATCCCATTCAAACAAGTCAGAAGCTTCGACTTGCTTAATGGATCTCGAGACAGTCCCCAAGAACACTGTCACCAGTCTAGACGGACCCTGAGGTCACCCAGCAATGCAAAGCAGCTCCATGTGTCCCAAATCAACTCGAGATGAGACCCGATTCCCCTGCATTGACTCCAGAGCCATTCCCCGTTCCCCATTCAACACGACCGGTGGCTCGACTTCCTTCAGGCAACTCCAGGGATGCCCCGAGAACACTGTCCCAAGTCTAGAGGAACACCAACTTCAGCACAGCAACTCGAGGAATGCTCTGTGTACCCCAAATCGTCTCGAGATGAGAGCTGATTCCCTGGCTTAGGCTCAAGACGTATGCCACCTTTCCAGAAGCACCTCAGGAGGAGGCTTCTCTCAGCAATAGGTATGTGGGAGGGACCCCGAGTTTGCTGCCTCAAGGGGAATATACAGCGAGAAGCCCTAACTTGAAAGGAGGCCGGATTTCCTTGCAGTGGCTTGAATACAGGCTCTTCTTTGATCTGACAACATGAAGGGATGTCTGAATCCCCTGTGGAGACCTTAGAGAAAACCCTAGGTCCCTGCCTCATTTTGACGGAATGCCTCACATCCCACTGACACCTCGAGAGGCACGCGGAGTTCATTGCTTCAAAAGGTGACGATGCCTGACTCCTCTTGAATACTGATAGGAATCCCAAAATCCCTGTGGCTACTGGAAAGGGTCCTTGGGTGCCCTGGCTCACCTCGAGAAGCGTCCCTTTTGCCCTGCCAAGCCTCGAAGAGATTGCTGAGGTGTCCCTCGTTACTAGACAGGAGTCCTGACGTCACGGAAGAAACTCGTGTTTTGAAGGGCCATCCCCGCCGTAAGTCGAGAACATACCCCAGGTCCCCGCCGCAACTCGAGAAAAACCATGAGACTTCCCCCTAGAGGCGAGATGAGGCCCCATTCCCCTGCAGTGCATGCAGAGCTATTCCGTGATCCCATTCAAACAAGTCAGGAGCTTCGACTTGCTTAATGGATCTCGAGACAGTCCCCAAGAACACTGTCACCAGTCTAGACGGACCCTGAGGTCACCCAGCAATGCAAAGCACCTCCATGTGCCCCAAATCAACTCGAGATGAGGCCGGATTCCCCTGCATTGACTCCAGAGCCATTCCTTGTTCCCCATTCAACACGACCGGTGGCTCGACTTCCTTCAGGCAACTCCAGAGATGCCCCGAGAACATTGTCCCAAGTCTAGAGGACCACCAACTTCAGCACAGCAACTCGAGAAATGCTCTGTGTACCCCAAATCGTCTCGAGATGAGAGCTGAATCCCTGGCTTAGGCTCAAGGCGTATGCCAACTTTCCAGAAGCACCTCAGGAGGAGGCTTCTCTCAGCAATAGGTATGTGGGAGGGACTCCGAGTTTGCTGCCTCAAGGGGAATATACAGCGAGAAGCCCTAACTTGAAAGGAGGCCGGATTTCCTTGCAGTGGCTTGAATACAGGCTCGTCTTTCATCTCACAACATGAAGGGATGTCTGAATCCCCTGTGGAGACCTTAGAGAAAGCCCTAGGTCCCTGCCTCATTTTGACGGAATCCTCACATCCCGCTGACACCTCGAGAGGCACGCGGAGTTCATTGCTTCAAAAGGTGACGATGCCTGACTCCTCTTGAATACTTATAGGAATCCCAAAATCCCTGTGGCTACTGGAAAGGGTCCTTGGGTGCCCTGGCTCACCTCGAGAAGCGTCCCTTTTGCCCTGCCAAGCCTCGAAGAGATTCCTGAGGTGTCCCTCATTACTAGACAGGAGTCCTGACGTCACTGAAGAAACTCGTGTTTTGAAGGGCCATCCCCGCCGTAAGTCGAGAACATACCCCAGGTCCCCGCCGCAACTCGAGAAAAACCATGAGACTTCCCCCTAGAGGCGAGATGAGGCCCCATTCCCCTGCAGTGCATGCAGAGCTATTCCGTGATCCCATTCAAACAAGTCAGGAGCTTCGACTTGCTTAATGGATCTCGAGACAGTCCCCAAGAACACTGTCACCAGTCTAGACGGACCCTGAGGTCACCCCAGCAACGCAAAGCAGCTCCATGTGCCCCAAATCAACTCGAGATGAGGCCCGATTCCCCTGCATTGACTCCAGAGCCATTCCCCGTTCCCCATTCAACACGACTGGTGGCTCGCTTTCCTTCAGGCAACTCCAGAGATGCCCCGAGAACACTGTCCCAAGTCTAGAGGAACACCAACTTCAGCACAGCAACTCGAGGAATGCTCTGTGTACCCCAAATCGTCTCGAGATGAGAGCTGATTCCCTGGCTTAGGCTCAAGACGTATGCCAACTTTCCAGAAGCACCTCAGGAGGAGGCTTCTCAGCAATAGGTATGTGGGAGGGACTCCGAGTTTGCTGCCTCAAGGGGAATATACAGCGAGAAGCCCAAACTTGAAAGGAGGCCGGATTTCCTTGCAGTGGCTTGAATACAGGCTCGTCTTTCATCTCACAACATGAAGGGATGTCTGAATCCCCTGTGGAGACCTTAGAGAAAGCCCTAGGTCCCTGCCTCATTTTGACGGAATGCCTCACATCCCGCTGACACCTCGAGAGGCACGCGGAGTTCATTGCTTCAAAAGGTGACGATGCCTGGCTCCTCTTGAATACTGATAGGAATCCCATAATCCCTGTGGCTACTGGAAAGGGTCCTTGGGTGCCCTGGCTCACCTCGAGAAGCGTCCCTTTTGCCCTGCCAAGCCTCAAAGAGATTCCTGAGGTGTCCCTCGTTACTAGGCAGGAGTCCTGACGTCACTGGAGAAACTCGTGTTTTGAAGGGCCATCCCCGCCGTAAGTCGAGAACATACCCCAGGGCCCCGCCACAACTCGAGAAAAACCGTGAGACCTCCCCCTAGAGGCGAGATGAGGCCCCATTCCCCTGCAGTGCATGCAGAGCTATTCCGTGATCCCATTCAAACAAGTCAGGAGCTTCGACTTGCTTAATGGATCTCGAGACAGTCCCCAAGAACACTGTCACCAGTCTAGATGGACCCTGAGGTCACCCAGCAATGCAAAGCAGCTCCATGTGCCCCAAATCAACTCGAGATGAGGCCGGATTCCCCTGCATTGACTCCAGAGCCATTCCTTGTTCCCCATTCAACACGACCGGTGGCTCGACTTCCTTCAGGCAACTCCAGAGATGCCTCGAGAGCACTCTCCCAAGTCTAGAGGACCACCAACTTCAGCAGAGCAACTCGAGGAATGCTCTGTGTACCACAAATCGTCTCGAGATGAGAGCTGATTCCCTGGCTTAGGCTCAAGACGTATGCCACCTTTCCAGAAGCACCACAGGAGGAGGCTTCTCTCAGCAATAGGTATGTGGGAGGGACCCCGAGTTTGCTGCCTCAAGGGGAATATACAGCGAGAAGCCCTAACTTGAAAGGAGGCCGGATTTCCTTGCAGTGACTTGAATACAGGCTCGTCTTTCATCTCACAACATGAAGGGATGTCTGAATCCCCTGTGGAGACCTTAGAGAAAGCCCTAGGTCCCTGCCTCATTTTGACGGAATCCTCACATCCCGCTGACACCTCGAGAGGCATGCGGAGTTCATTGCTTCAAAAGGTGACGATGCCTGACTCCTCTTGAATACTTATAGGAATCCCAAAATCCCTGTGGCTACTGGAAAGGGTCCTTGGGTGCCCTGGCTCACCTCGAGAAGCGTCCCTTTTGCCCTGCCAAGCCTCGAAGAGATTGCTGACGTGTCCCTCGTTACTAGACAGGAGTCCTGACGTCACTGAAGAAACTCGTGTTTTGAAGGGCCATCCCCGCCGTAAGTCGAGAACATACCCCAGGTCCCCGCCGCAACTCGAGAAAAACCATGAGACTTCCCCCTAGAGGCGAGATGAGGCCCCATTCCCCTGCAGTGCATGCAGAGCTATTCCGTGATCCCATTCAAACAAGTCAGGAGCTTCGACTTGCTTAATGGATATCGAGGCAGTCCCCAAGAACACTGTCACCAGTCTAGACGGACCCTGAGGTCACCCAGCAATGCAAAGCAGCTCCATGTGCCCCAAATCAACTCGAGATGAGGCCGGATTCCCCCGCATTGACTCCAGAGCCATTCCTTGTTCCCCATTCAACACGACCGGTGGCTCGACTTCTTTCAGGCAACTCCAGAGATGCCCCGAGAACACTGTCCCAAGTCTAGAGGAACACCAACTTCAGCACAGCAACACGAGGAATGCTCTGTGTACCCCAAATCGTCTCGAGATGAGAGCTGATTCCCTGGCTTAGGCTCAAGACGTATGCCAACTTTCCAGAAGCACCTCAGGAGGAGGCTTCTCAGCAATAGGTATGTGGGAGGGACTCCGAGTTTGCTGCCTCAAGGGGAATATACAGCGAGAAGCCCTAACTTGAAAGGAGGCCGGATTTCCTTGCAGTAGCTTGTATACAGGCTTGTCTTTCATCTCACAACATGAAGGGATGTCTGAATCCCCTGTGAAGACCTTAGAGAAAGCCCTAGGACCCTGCCTCATTTTGACGGAATGCCTCACATCCCGCTGACACCTCGAGAGGCACGCGGAGTTCATTGCTTCAAAAGGTGACGATGCCTGACTCCTCTTGAATACTGATAGGAATCCCAAAATCCCTGTGGCTACTGGAAAGGTTCCTTGGGTGCCCTGGCTCACCTCGAGAAGCGTCCCTTTTGCCCTGCCAAGCCTCGAGGAGATTCCTGAGGTGTCCCTCATTACTAGACAGGAGTCCTGACGTCACTGAAGAAACTCGTGTTTTGAAGGCCCATCCCCGCCGTAAGTCGAGAACATACCCCAGGTCCCCGCCGCAACTCGAGAAAAACCATGAGACTTCCCCCTAGAGGCGAGATGAGGCCCCATTCCCCTGCAGTGCATGCAGAGCTATTCCGTGATCCCATTCAAACAAGTCAGGAGCTTCGACTTGCTTAATGGATCTCGAGACAGTCCCCAAGAACACTGTCACCAGTCTAGACGGACCCTGAGGTCACCCCAGCAACGCAAAGCTGCTCCATGTGCCCCAAATCAACTCGAGATGAGGCCCGATTCCCCTGCATTGACTCCAGAGCCATTCCCCGTTCCCCATTCAACACGACCGGTGGCTCGACTTCCTTCAGGCAACTCCAGAAATGCCTCGAGAGCACTATCCCAAGTCTAGAGGAACAACAAATTCAGCAGAGCAACTCGAGGAATGCTCTGTGTACCCCAAATCGTCTCGAGATGAGAGCTGATTCCCTGGCTTAGGCTCAAGACGTATGCCACCTTTCCAGAAGCACCTCAGGAGGAGGCTTCTCTCAGCAATAGGTATGTGGGAGGGACCCCGAGTTTGCTGCCTCAAGGGGAATACACAGGGAGAAGCCCTAACGTGAACGGAGGCCAGATTTCCTTGCAGTGGGTTGAATAAAGGCTCGTCTTCGATCTGAAAACATGAAGGGATGTCTGAATTCCCTGTGGAGACCTTAGAGGAAGCCCTAGGTCCCTGCCTCATTTTGACGGAATACCTCACATCCCCCTGACACCTCGAGAGGCACGCAGAGTTCATTGCTTCAAAAGGTGACGATGCCTGACTCCTCTTGAATACTTATAGGAATCCCAAAATCCCTGTTGCTACTGGAAAGGGTCCTTGGGTGCCCTGGCTCACCTCGAGAAGCGTCCCTTTTGCCCTGCCAAGCCTCGAAGAAATTGCTGAGGTGTCCCTCATTACTAGACAGGAGTCCTGACGTCACGGAAGAAACTCGTGTTTTGAAGGGCCATCCCCGCCGTAAGTCGAGAACATAACCCAGGTCCCCGCCGCAACTCGAGAAAAACCATGAGACTTCCCCCTAGAGGCGAGATGAGGCCCCATTCCCCTGCAGTGCATGCAGAGCTATTCCGTGATCCCATTCAAACAAGTCAGGAGCTTCGACTTGCTTAATGGATCTCGAGGCAGTCCCCAAGAACACTGTCACCAGTCTAGACGGACCCTGAGGTCACCCAGCAATGCAAAGCAGCTCCATGTGCCCCAAATCAACTCGAGATGAGGCCGGATTCCCCTGCATTGACTCCAGAGCCATTCCTTGTTCCCCATTCAACACGACCGGTGGCTCGACTTCTTTCAGGCAACTCCAGAGATGCCCCGAGAACACTGTCCCAAGTCTAGAGGACCACCAACTTCAGCACAGCAACTCGAGAAATGCTCTGTGTACCCCAAATCGTCTCGAGATGAGAGCTGATTCCCTGGCTTAGGCTCAAGACGTATGCCACCTTTCCAGAAGCACCTCAGGAGGAGGCTTCTCTCAGCAATAGGTATGTGGGAGGGACCCCGAGTTTGCTGCCTCAAGGGGAATATACAGCGAGAAGCCCTAACTTGAAAGGAGGCCGGATTTCCTTGCAGTGGCTTGAATACAGGCTCGTCTTTCATCTCACAACATGAAGGGATGTCTGAATCCCCTGTGGAGACCTTAGAGAAAGCCCTAGGTCCCTGCCTCATTTTGACGGAATCCTCATATCCCGCTGACACCTCAAGAGGCACGCGGAGTTCATTGCTTCAAAAGGTGACGATGCCTGACTCCTCTTGAATACTTATAGGAATCCCAAAATCCCTGTGGCTACTGGAAAGGGTCCTTGGGTGCCCTGGCTCACCTCGAGAAGCTTCCCTTTTGCCCTGCCAAGCCTCGAAGAGATTGCTGAGGTGTCCCTTGTTACTAGACAGGAGTCCTGACGTCACGGAAGAAACTCGTGTTTTGAAGGGCCATCCCCGCCGTAAGTCGAGAACATACCCCAGGTCCCGGCCGCAACTCGAGAAAAATCATGAGACTTCCCCCTAGAGGCGAGATGAGGCCCCATTCCCCTGCAGTGCATGCAGAGCTATTCCGTGATCCCATTCAAACAAGTCAGGAGCTTCGACTTGCTTAATGGATCTCGAGAGAGTCCCCAAGAACACTGTCACCAGTCTAGACGGACCCTGAGGTCACCCAGCAATGCAAAGCAGCTCCATGTGCCCCAAATCAACTCGAGATGAGGCCGGATTCCCCTGCATTGACTCCAGAGCCATTCCTTGTTCCCCATTCAACACGACCGGTGGCTCGACTTCCTTCAGGCAACTCCAGAGATGCCCCGAGAACACTGTCCCAAGTCTAGAGGAACACCAACTTCAGCACAGCAACTCGAGGAATGCTCTGTGTACCCCAAATCGTCTCGAGATGAGAGCTGATTCCCTGGCTTAGGCTCAAGACGTATGCCACCTTTCCAGAAACACCTCAGGAGGAGGCCTCTCTCAGCAATAGGTATGTGGGAGGGACCCCGAGTGTGCTGCCTCAAGGGGAATATACAGCGAGAAGTCCTAACTTGAAAGGAGGCCGGATTTCCTTGCAGTGGCTTGAATACCGGCTCGTCTTTCATCTCACAACATGAAGGGATGTCTGAATCCCCTGTGGAAACCTTAGAGAAAGCCCTAGGTCCCTGCCTCATTTTGACGGAATCCTCACATCCCGCTGACACCTCGAGAGGCACGCGGAGTTCATTGCTTCAAAAGGTGACGATGCCTGACTACTCTTGAATACTTATAGGAATCCCAAAATCCCTGTGGCTACTGGAAAGGGTACTTGGGTGCCCTGGCTCACATCGAGAAGCGTCCCTTTTGCCCTGCCAAGCCTCGAAGAGATTGCTGAGGTGTCCCTCGTTACTAGACAGGAGTCCTGACATCACTGAAGAAACTCGTGTATTGAAGTTCCATCCCCGCCGTAAGTCGAGAACATACCCCAGGTCCCCGCCGCAACTCGAGAAAAACCATGAGACTTCCCCCTAGAGGCGAGATGAGGCCCCATTCCCCTGCAGTGCATGCAGAGCTATTCCGTGATCCCATTCAAACAAGTCAGGAGCTTCGACTTGCTTAATGGATCTCGAGACAGTCCCCAAGAACACTGTCACCAGTCTAGACGGACCCTGAGGTCACCCCAGCAACGCAAAGCAGCTCCATGTGCCCCAAATCAACTCGAGATGAGGCCCGATTCCCCTGCATTGACTCCAGAGCCATTCCCCGTTCCCCATTCAACACGACCGGTGGCTCGACTTCCTTCAGGCAACTCCAGGGATGCCCCGAGAACACTGTCCCAAGTCTAGAGGAACACCAACTTCAGCACAGCAACTCGAGGAATGCTCTGTGTACCCCAAATCGTCTCGAGATGAGAGCTGATTCCCTGGCTTAGGCTCAAGACGTATGCCAACTTTCCAGAAGCACCTCAGGAGGAGGCTTCTCAGCAATAGGTATGTGGGAGGGACTCCGAGTTTGCTGCCTCAAGGGGAATATACAGCGAGAAGCCCTAACTTGAAAGGAGGCCGGATTTCCTTGCAGTAGCTTGAATACAGGCTTGTCTTTCATCTCACAACATGAAGGGATGTCTGAATCCCCTGTGAAGACCTTAGAGAAAGCCCTAGGACCCTGCCTCATTTTGACGGAATGCCTCACATCCCGCTGACAACTCGAGAGGCACGCGGAGTTCATTGCTTCAAAAGGTGACGATGCCTGACTCCTCTTGAATACTGATAGGAATCCCAAAATCCCTGTGGCTACTGGAAAGGTTCCTTGGGTGCCCTGGCTCACCTCGAGAAGCGTCCCTTTTGCCCTGCCAAGCCTCGAAGAGATTCCTGAGGTGTCCCTCGTTACTAGACAGGAGTCCTGACGTCACTGAAGAAACTCGTGTTTTGAAGGGCCATCCCCGCCGTAAGTCGAGAACATACCCCAGGTCCCCGCCGCAACTCGAGAAAAACCATGAGACTTCCCCCTAGAGGCGAGATGAGGCCCCATTCCCCTGCACTGCATGCAGAGCTATTCCGTGATCCCATTCAAACAAGTCAGGAGCTTCGACTTGCTTAATGGATCTCGAGACAGTCCCCAAGAACACTGTCACCAGTCTAGACGGACCCTGAGGTCACCCCAGCAACGCAAAGCTGCTCCATGTGCCTCAAATCAACTCGAGATGAGGCCCGATTCCCCTGCATTGACTCCAGAGCCATTCCCCGTTCCCCATTCAACACGACCGGTGGCTCGACTTCCTTCAGGCAACTGCAGAGATGCCCCGAGAACACTGCCCCATGTCTAGAGGAACACCAACTTCAGCACAGCAACTCGAGGAATGCTCCGTGTACTCCAAATCATCTCGAGATGAGAGCTGATTCTCTGGCTTAGGCTCAAGACGTATGCCAACTTTCCAGAAGCACCTCAGGAGGAGGCTTCTCTCAGCAATAGGTATGTGGGAGCGACCCCGAGTTTGCTGCCTCAAGGGGAATACACAGGGAGAAGCCCTAACGTGAACGGAGGCAAGATTTCCTTGCAGTGGGTTGAATAAAGGCTCCTCTTCGATCTGAAAACATGAAGGGATGTCTGAATTCCCTGTGGAGACCTTAGAGGAAGCCCTAGGTCCCTGCCTCATTTTGACGGAATACCTCACATCCCCCTGACACCTCGAGAGGCACGCAGAGTTCATTGCTTCAAAAGGTGACGATGCCTGACTCCTCTTGAATACTTATAGGAATCCCAAAATCCCTGTTGCTACAGGAAAGGGTACTTGGGTGCCCTGGCTCACCTCGAGAAGCGTCCCTTTTGCCCTGCCAAGCCTCGAAGAGATTGCTGAGGTGTCCCTCGTTACTAGACAGGAGTCCTGACGTCACTGAAGAAACTTGTGTTTTGAAGTTCCATCCCCGCCGTAAGTCGAGAACATACCCCAGGTCCCCGCCGCAACTCGAGAAAAACCATGAGACTTCCCCCTAGAGGCGAGATGAGGCCCCATTCCCCTGCAGTGCATGCAGAGCTATTCCGTGATCCCATTCAAACAAGTCAGGAGCTTCGACTTGCTTAATGGATCTCGAGACAGTCCCCAAGAACACTGTCACCAGTCTAGACGGACCCTGAGGTCACCCCAGCAACGCAAAGCAGCTCCATGTGCCCCAAATCAACTCGAGATGAGGCCCGATTCCCCTGCATTGACTCCAGAGCCATTCCCCGTTCCCCATTCAACACGACTGGTGGCTCGCTTTCCTTCAGGCAACTCCAGAGATGCCCCGAGAACACTGTCCCAAGTCTAGAGGAACACCAACTTCAGCACAGCAACTCGAGGAATGCTCTGTGTACCCCAAATCGTCTCGAGATGAGAGCTGATTCCCTGGCTTAGGCTCAAGACGTATGCCAACTTTCCAGAAGCACCTCAGGAGGAGGCTTCTCAGCAATAGGTATGTGGGAGGGACTCCGAGTTTGCTGCCTCAAGGGGAATATACAGCGAGAAGCCCTAACTTGAAAGGAGGCCGGATTTCCTTGCAGTAGCTTGAATACAGGCTTGTCTTTCATCTCACAACATGAAGGGATGTCTGAATCCCCTGTGAAGACCTTAGAGAAAGCCCTAGGTCCCTGCCTCATTTTGACGGCATGCCTCACATCCCGCTGACAACTCGAGAGGCACGCGGAGTTCATTGCTTCAAAAGGTGACGATGCCTGACTCCTCTTGAATACTGATAGGAATCCCAAAATCCCTGTGGCTACTGGAAAGGTTCCTTGGGTGCCCTGGCTCACCTCGAGAAGCGTCCCTTTTGCCCTGCCAAGCCTCGAAGAGATTCCTGAGGTGTCCCTCGTTACTAGACAGGAGTCCTGACGTCACTGAAGAAACTCGTGTTTTGAAGGGCCATCCCCGCCGTAAGTCGAGAACATACCCCAGGTCCCCGCCGCAACTCGAGAAAAACCATGAGACTTCCCCCTAGAGGAGAGATGAGGCCCCATTCCCCTGCAGTGCATGCAGAGCTATTCCGTGATCCCATTCAAACAAGTCAGGAGCTTCGACTTGCTTAATGGATCTCGAGACAGTCCCCAAGAACACTGTCACCAGTCTAGACGGACCCTGAGGTCACCCCAGCAACGCAAAGCTGCTCCATGTGCCCCAAATCAACTTGAGATGAGGTCCGATTCCCCTGCATTGACTCCAGAGCCATTCCCCGTTCCCCATTCAACACGACCGGTGGCTCGACTTCCTTCAGGCAACTGCAGAGATGCCCCGAGAACACTGCCCCAAGTCTAGAGGAACACCAACTTCAGCACAGCAACTCGAGGAATGCTCCGTGTACTCCAAATCATCTCGAGATGAGAGCTGATTCTCTGGCTTAGGCTCAAGACGTATGCAAACTTTCCAGAAGCACCTCAGGAGGAGGCTTCTCTCAGCAATATGTATGTGGGAGCGACCCCGAGTTTGCTGCCTCAAGGGGAATACACAGGGAGAAGCCCTAACGTGAACGGAGGCCAGATTTCCTTGCAGTGGGTTGAATAAAGGCTCGTCTTCGATCTGAAAACATGAAGGGATGTCTGAATTCCCTGTGGAGACCTTAGAGGAAGCCCTAGGTCCCTGCCTCATTTTGACGGAATACCTCACATCCCCCTGACACCCCGAGAGGCACGCAGAGTTCATTGCTTCAAAAGGTGACGATGCCTGACTCCTCTTGAATACTTATAGGAATCCCAAAATCCCTGTTGCTACAGGAAAGGGTCCTTGGGTGCCCTGGCTCACCTCGAGAAGCGTCCCTTTTGCCCTGCCAAGCCTCGAAGAAATTGCTGAGGTGTCCCTCGTTACTAGACAGGAGTCCTGACGTCACGGAAGAAACTCGTGTTTTGAAGGGCCATCCCCGCCGTAAGTCGAGAACATACCCCAGGTCCCCGCCGCAACTCGAGAAAAACCATGAGACTTCCCCCTAGAGGCGAGATGAGGCCCCATTCCCCTGCAGTGCATGCAGAGCTATTCTGTGATCCCATTCAAACAAGTCAGGAGCTTCGACTTGCTTAATGGATCTCGAGACAGTCCCCAAGAACACTGTCACCAGTCTAGACGGACCCTGAGGTCACCACAGCAACGCAAAGCAGCTCCATGTGCCCCAAATCAACTCGAGATGAGGCCCGATTCCCCTGCATTGACTCCAGAGCCATTCCCCGTTCCCCGTTCAACACGAACGGAGGCTCGCCTTCCTTCAGGCAACTCCAGAGATGCCCCGAGAACACTGTCCCAAGTCTAGAGGAACACCAACTTCAGCACAGCAACTCGAGGAATGCTCTGTGTACCCCAAATCGTCTCGAGATGAGAGCTGATTCCCTGGCTTAGGATCAAGACGTATGCCAACTTTCCAGAAGCACCTCAGGAGGAGGCTTCTCAGCAATAGGTATGTGGGAGGGACTCCGAGTTTGCTGCCTCAAGGGGAATATACAGCGAGAAGCCCTAACTTGAAAGGAGGCCGGATTTCCTTGCAGTGGCTTGAATACAGGCTCGTCTTTCATCTCACAACATGAAGGGATGTCTGAATCCCCTGTGGAGACCTTAGAGAAAGCCCTAGGTCCCTGCCTCATTTTGACGGAATGCCTCACATCCCGCTGACACCTCGAGAGGCACGCGGAGTTCATTGCTTCAAAAGGTGACGATGCCTGACTCCTCTTGAATACTGATAGGAATCCCATAATCCCTGTGGCTACTGGAAAGGGTCCTTGGGTGCCCTGGCTCACCTCGAGAAGCGTCCCTTTTGCCCTGCCAAGCCTCAAAGAGATTCCTGAGGTGTCCCTCGTTACTAGGCAGGAGTCCTGACGTCACTGGAGAAACTCGTGTTTTGAAGGGCCATCCCCGCCGTAAGTCGAGAACATACCCCAGGGCCCCGCCGCAACTCGAGAAAAACCGTGAGACTTCCCCCTAGAGGCGAGATGAGGCCCCATTCCCCTGCAGTGCATGCAGAGCTATTCCGTGATCCCATTCAAACAAGTCAGGAGCTTCGACTTGCTTAATGGATCTCGAGACAGTCCCCAAGAACACTGTCACCAGTCTAGACGGACCCTGAGGTCACCCAGCAATGCAAAGCAGCTCCATGTGCCCCAAATCAACTCGAGATGAGGCCGGATTCCCCTGCATTGACTCCAGAGCCATTCCTTGTTCCCCATTCAACACGACCGGTGGCTCGACTTCCTTCAGGCAACTCCAGAGATGCCTCGAGAACACTATCCCAAGTCTAGAGGACCACCAACTTCAGCAGAGCAACTCGAGGAATGCTCTGTGTACCCCAAATCGTCTCGAGATGAGAGCTGATTCCCTGGCTTAGGCTCAAGACGTATGCCACCTTTCCAGAAGCACCTCAGGAGGAGGCTTCTCTCAGCAATAGGTATGTGAGAGGGACCCCGAGTTTGCTGCCTCAAGGGGAATATACAGCGAGAAGCCCTAACTTGAAAGGAGGCCGGATTTCCTTGCAGTGGCTTGAATACAGGCTCGTCTTTCATCTCACAACATGAAGGGATGTCTGAATCCCCTGTGGAGACCTTAGAGAAAGCCCTAGGACCCTGCCTCATTTTGACGGAATCCTCACATCCCGCTGACACCTCGAGAGGCACGCGGAGTTCATTGCTTCAAAAGGTGACGATGCCTGACTCCTCTTGAATACTTATAGGAATCCCAAAATCCCTGTGGCTACTGGAAAGGGTCCTTGGGTGCCCTGGCTCACCTCGAGAAGCGTCCCTTTTGCCCTGCCAAGCCTCGAAGAGATTGCTGACGTGTCCCTCGTTACTAGACAGGAGTCCTGACGTCACTGAAGAAACTCGTGTTTTGAAGGGCCATCCCCGCCGTAAGTCGAGAACATACCCCAGGTCCCCGCCGCAACTCGAGAAAAACCATGAGACTTCCCCCTAGAGGCGAGATGAGGCCCCATTCCCCTGCAGTGCATGCAGAGCTATTCCGTGATCCCATTCAAACAAGTCAGGAGCTTCGACTTGCTTAATGGATCTCGAGGCAGTCCCCAAGAACACTGTCACCAGTCTAGACGGACCCTGAGGTCACCCAGCAATGCAAAGCAGCTCCATGTGCCCCAAATCAACTCGAGATGAGGCCGGATTCCCCTGCATTGACGCCAGAGCCATTCCTTGTTCCCCATTCAACACGACCGGTGGCTCGACTTCTTTCAGGCAACTCCAGAGATGCCCCGAGAGCACTGTCCCAAGTCTAGAGGAACACCAACTTCAGCACAGCAACACGAGGAATGCTCTGTGTACCCCAAATCGTCTCGAGATGAGAGCTGATTCCCTGGCTTAGGCTCAAGACGTATGCCAACTTTCCAGAAGCACCTCAGGAGGAGGCTTCTCAGCAATAGGTATGTGGGAGGGACTCCGAGTTTGCTGCCTCAAGGGGAATATACAGCGAGAAGCCCTAACTTGAAAGGAGGCCGGATTTCCTTGCAGTAGCTTGTATACAGGCTTGTCTTTCATCTCACAACATGAAGGGATGTCTGAATCCCCTGTGAAGACCTTAGAGAAAGCCCTAGGACCCTGCCTCATTTTGACGGAATGCCTCACATCCCGCTGACACCTCGAGAGGCACGCGGAGTTCATTGCTTCAAAAGGTGACGATGCCTGACTCCTCTTGAATACTGATAGGAATCCCAAAATCCCTGTTGCTACTGGAAAGGGTCCTTGGGTGCCCTGGCTCACCTCGAGAAGCGTCCCTTTTGCCCTGCCAAGCCTCGAAGAGATTGCTGAGGTGTCCCTCGTTACTAGACAGGAGTCCTGACGTCACGGAAGAAACTCGTGTTTTGAAGGGCCATCCCCGCCGTAAGTCGAGAACATACCCCAGGTCCCCGCCGCAACTCGAGAAAAACCATGAGACTTCCCCCTAGAGGCGAGATGAGGCCCCATTCCCCTGCAGTGCATGCAGAGCTATTCCGTGATCCCATTCAAACAAGTCAGGAGCTTCGACTTGCTTAATGGATCTCGAGACAGTCCCCAAGAACACTGTCACCAGTCTAGACGGACCCTGAGGTCACCCCAGCAACGCAAAGCTGCTCCATGTGCCCCAAATCAACTCGAGATGAGGCCCGATTCCCCTGCATTGACTCCAGAGCCATTCCCCGTTCCCCATTCAACACGACCTGTGGCTCGACTTCCTTCAGGCAACTGCAGAGATGCCCCGAGAACACTGCCCCAAGTCTAGAGGAACACCAACTTTAGCACAGCAACTCGAGGAATGCTCCGTGTACCCCAAATCATCTCGAGATGAGAGCTGATTCTCTGGCTTAGGCTCAAGACGAATGCCAACTTTCCAGAAGCACCTCAGGAGGAGGCTTCTCTCAGCAATAGGTATGTGGGAGCGACCCCGAGTTTGCTGCCTCAAGGGGAATACACAGGGAGAAGCCCTAACGTGAACGGAGGCCAGATTTCCTTGCAGTGGGTTGAATAAAGGCTCGTCTTCGATCTGAAAACATGAAGGGATGTCTGAATTCCCTGTGGAGACCTTAGAGGAAGCCCTAGGTCCCTGCCTCATTTTGACGGAATACCTCACATCTCCCTGACACCTCGAGAGGCACGCAGAGTTCATTGCTTCAAAAGGTGACGATGCCTGACTCCTCTTGAATACTTATAGGAATCCCAAAATCCCTGTTGCTACTGGAAAGGGTCCTTGGGTGCCCTGGATCACCTCGAGAAGCGTCCCTTTTGCCCTGCCAAGCCTCGAAGAAATTGCTGAGGTGTCCCTCGTTACTAGACAGGAGTCCTGACGTCACGGAAGAAACTCGTGTTTTGAAGGGCCATCCCCGCCGTAAGTCGAGAACATACGCCAGGTCCCCGCCGCAACTCGAGAAAAACCATGAGACTTCCCCCTAGAGGCGAGATGAGGCCCCATTCCCCTGCAGTGCATGCAGAGCTATTCCGTGATCCCATTCAAACAAGTCAGGAGCTTCGACTTGCTTAATGGATCTCGAGACAGTCCCCAAGAACACTGTCACCAGTCTAGACGGACCCTGAGGTCACCCCAGCAACGCAAAGCAGCTCCATGTGCCCCAAATCAACTCGAGATGAGGCCCGATTCCCCTGCATTGACTCCAGAGCCATTCCCCGTTCCCCATTCAACACGACTGGTGGCTCGCTTTCCTTCAGGCAACTCCAGAGATGCCCCGAGAACACTGTCCCAAGTCTAGAGGAACACCAACTTCAGCACAGCAACTCGAGGAATGCTCTGTATACCCCAAATCGTCTCGAGATGAGAGCTGATTCCCTGGCTTAGGCTCAAGACGTATGCCACCTTTCCAGAAGCACCTCAGGAGGAGGCTTCTCAGCAATAGGTATGTGGGAGGGACTCCGAGTTTGCTGCCTCAAGGGGAATATACAGCGAGAAGCCCTAACTTGAAAGGAGGCCGGATTTCCTTGCAGTGGCTTGAATACAGGCTCGTCTTTCATCTCACAACATGAAGGGATGTCTGAATCCCCTGTGGAGACCTTAGAGAAAGCCCTAGGACCCTGCCTCATTTTGACGGAATGCCTCACATCCCGCTAACACCTCGAGAGGCACGCGGAGTTCATTGCTTCAAAAGGTGACGATGCCTGACTCCTCTTGAATACTGATAGGAATCCCAAAATCCCTGTGGCTACTGGAAAGGGTCCTTGGGTGCCCTGCCTCACCTCGAGAAGCGTCCCTTTTGCCCTGCCAAGACTCGAAGAGATTCCTGAGGTGTCACTCGTTACTAGGCAGGAGTCCTGACCTCACTGAAGTAAGTCGTGTTTTGAAGGGCCATCCCTGCCGTAAGTCGAGAACATACACCAGGTCCCCGCCGCAACTCGAGAAAAACCATGAGACTTCCCCCTAGAGGCGAGATGAGGCCCCATTCCCCTGCAGTGCATGCAGAGCTATTCCGGGATCCCATTCAAACAAGTCAGGAGCTTCGACTTGCTTAATGGATCTCGAGACAGTCCCCAAGAACACTGTCACCAGTCTAGACGGACCCTGAGGTCACCCAGCAATGCAAAGCAGCTCCATGTGCCCCAAATCAACTCGAGATGAGGCCCGATTCCCCTGCATTGACTCCAGAGCCATTCCCCGTTCCCCATTCAACACGACCGGTGGCTAGACTTCCTTCAGGCAACTCCAGGGATGCCCCGAGAACACTGTCCCAAGTCTAGAGCAACACCAACTTCAGCACAGCAACTCGAGGAATGCTCTGTGTACCCCAAATCGTCTCGAGATGAGAGCTGATTCCCTGGCTTAGGCTCAAGACGTATGCCACCTTTCCAGAAGCACCTCAGGAGGAGGCTTCTCTCAGCAATAGGTATGTGGGAGGGACCCCGAGTTTGCTGCCTCAAGGGGAATATACAGCGAGAAGCCCTAACTTGAAAGGAGGCCGGATTTCCTTGCAGTGGCTTGAATATAGGCTCGTCTTTGATCTGACAACATGAAGGGATGTCTGAATCCCCTGTGGAGACCTTAGAGAAAGCCCTAGGTCCCTGCCTCATTTTGACGGAATGCCTCACATCCCGCTGACACCTCGAGAGGCACGCGGAGTTCATTGCTTCAAAAGGTGACGATGCCTGACTCCTCTTGAATACTGATAGGAATCCCAAAATCCCTGTGGCTACTGGAAAGGGTCCTTGGGTGCCCTGCCTCACCTCGAGAAGCGTCCCTTTTGCACTGCCAAGCCTCGAAGAGATTCCTGAGGTGTCCCTCGTTACTAGGCAGGAGTCCTGACGTCACTGGAGAAACTCGTGTTTTGAAGGGCCATCCCCGCCGTAAGTCGAGAACATACCCCAGGGCCCCGCCGCAACTCGAGAAAAACCGTGAGACTTCCCCCTAGAGGCGAGATGAGGCCCCATTCCCCTGCAGTGCATGCAGAGCTATTCCGTGATCCCATTCAAACAAGTCAGGAGCTTCGACTTGCTTAATGGATCTCGAGACAGTCCCCAAGAACACTGTCACCAGTCTAGACGGACCCTGAGGTCACCCAGCAATGCAAAGCAGCTCCATGTGCCCCAAATCAACTCGAGATGAGGCCGTATTCCCCTGCATTGACTCCAGAGCCATTCCTTGTTCCCCATTCAACACGACCGGTGGCTCGACTTCCTTCAGGCAACTCCAGAGATGCCTCGAGAGCACTATCCCAAGTCTAGAGGACCACCAACTTCAGCCGAGCAACTCGAGGAATGCTCTGTGTACCCCAAATCATCTCGAGATGAGAGCTGATTCCCTGGCTTAGGCTCAAGACGTATGCCACCTTTCCAGAAGCACCTCAGGAGGAGGCTTCTCTCAGCAATAGGTATGTGGGAGGGACCCCGAGTTTGCTGCCTCAAGGGGAATATACAGCGAGAAGCCCTAACTTGAAAGGAGGCCGGATTTCCTTGCAGTGGCTTGAATACAGGCTCGTCTTTCATCTCACAACATGAAGGGATGTCTGAATCCCCTGTGGAGACCTTAGAGAAAGCCCTAGGTCCCTGGCTCATTTTGACGGAATCCTCATATCCCGCTGACACCTCGAGAGGCACGCGGAGTTCATTGCTTCAAAAGGTGACGATGCCTGACTCCTCTTGAATACTTATAGGAATCCGAAAATCCCTGTGGCTACTGGAAAGGGTCCTTGGGTGCCCTGGCTCACCTCGAGAAGCGTCCCTTTTGCCCTGCCAAGCCTCGAAGAGATTGCTGAAGTGTCCCTCGTTACTAGACATGAGTCCTGACGTCACGGAAGAAACTCGTGTTTTGAAGGGCCATCCCCGCCGTAAGTCGAGAACATACCCCAGGTCCCCGCCGCAACTCGAGAAAAACCATGAGACTTCCCCCTAGAGGCGAGATGAGGCCCCATTCCCCTGCAGTGCATGCAGAGCTATTCCGTGATCCCATTCAAACAAGTCAGGAGCTTCGACTTGCTTAATGGATCTCGAGACAGTCCCCAAGAACACTGTCACCAGTCTAGACGGACCCTGAGGTCACCCAGCAATGCAAAGCAGCTCCATGTGCCCCAAATCAACTCGAGATGAGGTCGGATTCCCCTGCATTGACTCCAGTGCCATTCCTTGTTCCCCATTCAACACGACCGGTGGCTCGACTTCCTTCAGGCAACTCCAGAGTTTCCCCGAGAACACTGTCCCAAGACTAGAGGAACACCAACTTCAGCACAGCAACTCGAGGAATGCTCTGTGTACCCCAAATCGTCTCGAGATGAGAGCTGATTCCCTGGCTTAGGCTCAAGACGTATGCCACCTTTCCAGAAACACCTCAGGAGGAGGCTTCTCTCAGCAATAGGTATGTGGGAGGGACCCCGAGTTTGCTGCCTCAAGGGGAATATACAGCGAGAAGTCCTAACTTGAAAGGAGGCCGGATTTCCTTGCAGTGGCTTGAATACCGGCTCGTCTTTCATCTCACAACATGAAGGGATGTCTGAATCCCCTGTGGAGACCTTAGAGAAAGCCCTAGGTCCCTGCCTCATTTTCACGGAATCCTCACATCCCGCTGACACCTCGAGAGGCACGCGGAGTTCATTGCTTCAAAAGGTGACGATGCCTGACTCCTCTTGAATACTTATAGGAATCCCAAAATCCCTGTGGCTACTGGAAAGGGTACTTGGGTGCCCTGGCTCACCTCGAGAAGCGTCCCTTTTGCCCTGCCAAGACTCGAAGAGATTCCTGAGGTGTCACTCGTTACTAGGCAGGAGTCCTGACCTCACTGAAGAAAGTCGTGTTTTGAAGGGCCATCCCTGCCGTAAGTCGAGAACATACCCCAGGGCCCCGCCGCAACTCGAGAAAAACCATGAGACTTCCCCCTAGAGGCGAGATGAGGCCCCATTCCCCTGCAGTGCATGCAGAGCTATTCAGGGATCCCATTCAAACAAGTCAGGAGCTTCGACTTGCTTAATGGATCTCGAGACAGTCCCCAAGAACACTGTCACCAGTCTAGACGGACCCTGAGGTCACCCAGCAATGCAAAGCAGCTCCATGTGCCCCAAATCAACTTGAGATGAGGCCCGATTCCCCTGCATTGACTCCAGAGCCATTCCCCGTTCCCCATTCAACACGACCGGTGGCTCGATTTCCTTCAGGCAACTCCAGGGATGCCCCGAGAACACTGTCCCAAGTCTAGAGGAACACCAACTTCAGCACAGCAACTCGAGGAATGCTCCGTGTACCCCAAATCATCTCGAGATGAGAGCTGATTCTCTGGCTTAGGCTCAAGACGTATGCCAACTTTCCAGAAGCACCTCAGGAGGAGGCTTCTCTCAGCAATAGGTATGTGGGAGCGACCCCGAGTTTGCTGCCTCAAGGGTAATACACAGGGAGAAGCCCTAACGTGAACGGAGGCCAGATTTCCTTGCAGTGGGTTGAATAAAGGCTCGTCTTCGATCTGAAAACATGAAGGGATGTCTGAATTCCCTGTGGAGACCTTAGAGGAAGCCCTAGGTCCCTGCCTCATTTTGACGGAATACCTCACATCCCCCTGACACCTCGAGAGGCACGCAGAGTTCATTGCTTCAAAAGGTGACGATGCCTGACTCCTCTTGAATACTTATAGGAATCCCAAAATCCCTGTTGCTACTGGAAAGGGTCCTTGGGTGCCCTGGCTCACCTCAAGAAGCGTCCCTTTTGCCCTGCCAAGCCTCGAAGAGATTGCTGAGGTGTCCCTCGTTACTAGACAGGAGTCCTGACGTCACGGAAGAAACTCGTGTTTTGAAGGGCCATCCCCGCCGTAAGTCGAGAACATACCCCAGGTCCCCGCCGCAACTCGAGAAAAACCATGAGACTTCCCCCTAGAGGCGAGATGAGGCCCCATTCCCCTGCAGTGCATGCAGAGCTATTCCGTGATCCCATTCAAACAAGTCAGGAGCTTCGACTTGCTTAATGGATCTCGAGACAGTCCCCAAGAACACTGTCACCAGTCTAGACGGACCCTGAGGTCACCCCAGCAACGCAAAGCTGCTCCATGTGCCCCAAATCAACTCGAGATGAGGCCCGATTCCCCTGCATTGACTCCAGAGCCATTCCCCGTTCCCCATTCAACACGACCGGTGGCTCGACTTCCTTCAGGCAACTCCAGGGATGCCCCGAGAACACTGTCCCAAGTCTAGAGGAACAGCAACTTCAGCACAGCAACTCGAGGAATGCCCTGTGTACCACAAATCGTCTCGAGATGAGAGCTGATTCCCTGGCTTAGGCTCAAGACGTATGCCACCTTTCCAGAAGCACCTCAGGAGGACGCTTCTCTCAGCAATAGGTATGTGGGAGGGACCCCGAGTTTGCTGCCTCAAGGGGAATATACAGCGAGAAGCCCTAACTTGAAAGGAAGCCGGATTTCCTTCCAGTGGCTTGAATACAGGCTCGTCTTTCATCTCACAACATGAAGGGATGTCTGAATCCCCTGTAGAGACCTTAGAGAAAGCCCTAGGTCCCTGCCTCATTTTCACGGAATGCCTCACATCCCGCTGACACCTCGAGAGGCACGCGGAGTTCATTGCTTCAAAAGGTGACGATGCCTGACTCCTCTTGAATACTGATAGGAATCCCAAAATCCCTGTGGCTAATGGAAAGGGTCCTTGGGTGCCCTGCCTCACCTCGAGAAGCGTCCCTTTTGCCCTGCCAAGACTCGAAGAGATTCCTGAGGTGTCACTCGTTACTAGGCAGGAGTCCTGACCTCACTGAAGAAAGTCGTGTTTTGAAGGGCCATCCCTGCCGTAAGTCGAGAACATACCCCAGGTCCCCGCCGCAACTCGAGAAAAACCATGAGACTTCCCCCTAGAGGCGAGATGAGGCCCCATTCCCCTGCAGTGCATGCAGAGCTATTCCGTGATCCCATTCAAACAAGTCAGGAGCTTCGACTTGCTTAATGGATCTCGAGACAGTCCCCAAGAACACTGTCACCAGTCTAGACGGACCCTGAGGTCACCCAGCAATGCAAAGCAGCTCCATGTGCCCCAAATCAACTCGAGATGAGACCCGATTCCCCTGCATTGACTCCAGAGCCATTCCCCGTTCCCCATTCAACACGACCGGTGGCTCGACTTCCTTCAGGCAACTCCAGGGATGCCCCGAGAACACTGTCCCAAGTCTAGAGGAACACCAACTTCAGCACAGCAACTCGAGGAATGCTCTGTGTACCCCAAATCGTCTCGAGATGAGAGCTGATTCCCTGGCTTAGGCTCAAGACGTATGCCACCTTTCCAGAAGCACCTCAGGAGGAGGCTTCTCTCAGCAATAGGTATGTGGGAGGGACCCCGAGTTTGCTGCCTCAAGGGGAATATACAGCGAGAAGCCCTAACTTGAAAGGAGGCCGGATTTCCTTGCAGTGGCTTGAATACAGGCTCTTCTTTGATCTGACAACATGAAGGGATGTCTGAATCCCCTGTGGAGACCTTAGAGAAAACCCTAGGTCCCTGCCTCATTTTGACGGAATGCCTCACATCCCACTGACACCTCGAGAGGCACGCGGAGTTCATTGCTTCAAAAGGTGACGATGCCTGACTCCTCTTGAATACTGATAGGAATCCCAAAATCCCTGTGGCTACTGGAAAGGGTCCTTGGGTGCCCTGGCTCACCTCGAGAAGCGTCCCTTTTGCCCTGCCAAGCCTCGAAGAGATTGCTGAGGTGTCCCTCGTTACTAGACAGGAGTCCTGACGTCACGGAAGAAACTCGTGTTTTGAAGGGCCATCCCCGCCGTAAGTCGAGAACATACCCCAGGTCCCCGCCGCAACTCGAGAAAAACCATGAGACTTCCCCCTAGAGGCGAGATGAGGCCCCATTCCCCTGCAGTGCATGCAGAGCTATTCCGTGATCCCATTCAAACAAGTCAGGAGCTTCGACTTGCTTAATGGATCTCGAGACAGTCCCCAAGAACACTGTCACCAGTCTAGACGGACCCTGAGGTCACCCAGCAATGCAAAGCACCTCCATGTGCCCCAAATCAACTCGAGATGAGGCCGGATTCCCCTGCATTGACTCCAGAGCCATTCCTTGTTCCCCATTCAACACGACCGGTGGCTCGACTTCCTTCAGGCAACTCCAGAGATGCCCCGAGAACATTGTCCCAAGTCTAGAGGACCACCAACTTCAGCACAGCAACTCGAGAAATGCTCTGTGTACCCCAAATCGTCTCGAGATGAGAGCTGAATCCCTGGCTTAGGCTCAAGGCGTATGCCAACTTTCCAGAAGCACCTCAGGAGGAGGCTTCTCTCAGCAATAGGTATGTGGGAGGGACTCCGAGTTTGCTGCCTCAAGGGGAATATACAGCGAGAAGCCCTAACTTGAAAGGAGGCCGGATTTCCTTGCAGTGGCTTGAATACAGGCTCGTCTTTCATCTCACAACATGAAGGGATGTCTGAATCCCCTGTGGAGACCTTAGAGAAAGCCCTAGGTCCCTGCCTCATTTTGACGGAATCCTCACATCCCGCTGACACCTCGAGAGGCACGCGGAGTTCATTGCTTCAAAAGGTGACGATGCCTGACTCCTCTTGAATACTTATAGGAATCCGAAAATCCCTGTGGCTACTGGAAAGGGTCCTTGGGTGCCCTGGCTCACCTCGAGAAGCGTCCCTTTTGCCCTGCCAAGCCTCGAAGAGATTGCTGAAGTGTCCCTCGTTACTAGACATGAGTCCTGACGTCACGGAAGAAACTCGTGTTTTGAAGGGCCATCCCCGCCGTAAGTCGAGAACATACCCCAGGTCCCCGCCGCAACTCGAGAAAAACCATGAGACTTCCCCCTAGAGGCGAGATGAGGCCCCATTCCCCTGCAGTGCATGCAGAGCTATTCCGTGATCCCATTCAAACAAGTCAGGAGCTTCGACTTGCTTAATGGATCTCGAGACAGTCCCCAAGAACACTGTCACCAGTCTAGACGGACCCTGAGGTCACCCAGCAATGCAAAGCAGCTCCATGTGCCCCAAATCAACTCGAGATGAGGTCGGATTCCCCTGCATTGACTCCAGTGCCATTCCTTGTTCCCCATTCAACACGACCGGTGGCTCGACTTCCTTCAGGCAACTCCAGAGTTTCCCCGAGAACACTGTCCCAAGACTAGAGGAACACCAACTTCAGCACAGCAACTCGAGGAATGCTCTGTGTACCCCAAATCGTCTCGAGATGAGAGCTGATTCCCTGGCTTAGGCTCAAGACGTATGCCACCTTTCCAGAAACACCTCAGGAGGAGGCTTCTCTCAGCAATAGGTATGTGGGAGGGACCCCGAGTTTGCTGCCTCAAGGGGAATATACAGCGAGAAGTCCTAACTTGAAAGGAGGCCGGATTTCCTTGCAGTGGCTTGAATACCGGCTCGTCTTTCATCTCACAACATGAAGGGATGTCTGAATCCCCTGTGGAGACCTTAGAGAAAGCCCTAGGTCCCTGCCTCATTTTCACGGAATCCTCACATCCCGCTGAAAACTCGAGAGGCACGCGGAGTTCATTGCTTCAAAAGGTGACGATGCCTGACTCCTCTTGAATACTTATAGGAATCCCAAAATCCCTGTGGCTACTGGAAAGGGTACTTGGGTGCCCTGGCTCACCTCGAGAAGCGTCCCTTTTGCCCTGCCAAGACTCGAAGAGATTCCTGAGGTGTCACTCGTTACTAGGCAGGAGTCCTGACCTCACTGAAGAAAGTCGTGTTTTGAAGGGCCATCCCTGCCGTAAGTCGAGAACATACCCCAGGGCCCCGCCGCAACTCGAGAAAAACCATGAGACTTCCCCCTAGAGGCGAGATGAGGCCCCATTCCCCTGCAGTGCATGCAGAGCTATTCAGGGATCCCATTCAAACAAGTCAGGAGCTTCGACTTGCTTAATGGATCTCGAGACAGTCCTCAAGAACACTGTCACCAGTCTAGACGGACCCTGAGGTCACCCAGCAATGCAAAGCAGCTCCATGTGCCCCAAATCAACTTGAGATGAGGCCCGATTCCCCTGCATTGACTCCAGAGCCATTCCCCGTTCCCCATTCAACAAGACCGGTGGCTCGATTTCCTTCAGGCAACTCCAGGGATGCCCCGAGAACACTGTCCCAAGTCTAGAGGAACACCAACTTCAGCACAGCAACTCGAGGAATGCTCCGTGTACCCCAAATCATCTCGAGATGAGAGCTGATTCTCTGGCTTAGGCTCAAGACGTATGCCAACTTTCCAGAAGCACCTCAGGAGGAGGCTTCTCTCAGCAATAGGTATGTGGGAGGGACCCCGAGTTTGCTGCCTCAAGGGTAATACACAGGGAGAAGCCCTAACGTGAACGGAGGCCAGATTTCCTTGCAGTGGGTTGAATAAAGGCTCGTCTTCGATCTGAAAACATGAAGGGATGTCTGAATTCCCTGTGGAGACCTTAGAGGAAGCCCTAGGTCCCTGCCTCATTTTGACGGAATACCTCACATCCCCCTGACACCTCGAGAGGCACGCAGAGTTCATTGCTTCAAAAGGTGACGATGCCTGACTCCTCTTGAATACTTATAGGAATCCCAAAATCCCTGTGGCTACTGGAAAGGGTCCTTGGGTGCCCTGGCTCACCTCAAGAAGCGTCCCTTTTGCCCTGCCAAGCCTCGAAGAGATTGCTGAGGTGTCCCTCGTTACTAGACAGGAGTCCTGACGTCACGGAAGAAACTCGTGTTTTGAAGGGCCATCCCCGCCGTAAGTCGAGAACATACCCCAGGTCCCCGCCGCAACTCGAGAAAAACCATGAGACTTCCCCCTAGAGGCGAGATGAGGCCCCATTCCCCTGCAGTGCATGCAGAGCTATTCCGTGATCCCATTCAAACAAGTCAGGAGCTTCGACTTGCTTAATGGATCTCGAGACAGTCCCCAAGAACACTGTCACCAGTCTAGACGGACCCTGAGGTCACCCCAGCAACGCAAAGCTGCTCCATGTGCCCCAAATCAACTCGAGATGAGGCCCGATTCCCCTGCATTGACTCCAGAGCCATTCCCCGTTCCCCATTCAACACGACCGGTGGCTCGACTTCCTTCAGGCAACTCCAGGGATGCCCCGAGAACACTGTCCCAAGTCTAGAGGAACAGCAACTTCAGCACAGCAACTCGAGGAATGCCCTGTGTACCACAAATCGTCTCGAGATGAGAGCTGATTCCCTGGCTTAGGCTCAAGACGTATGCCACCTTTCCAGAAGCACTTCAGGAGGACGCTTCTCTCAGCAATAGGTATGTGGGAGGGACCCCGAGTTTGCTGCCTCAAGGGGAATATACAGCGAGAAGTCCTAACTTGAAAGGAAGCCGGATTTCCTTCCAGTGGCTTGAATACAGGCTCGTCTTTCATCTCACAACATGAAGGGATGTCTGAATCCCCTGTAGAGACCTTAGAGAAAGCCCTAGGTCCCTGCCTCATTTTCACGGAATGCCTCACATCCCGCTGACACCTCGAGAGGCACGCGGAGTTCATTGCTTCAAAAGGTGACGATGCCTGACTCCTCTTGAATACTGATAGGAATCCCAAAATCCCTGTGGCTAATGGAAAGGGTCCTTGGGTGCCCTGCCTCACCTCGAGAAGCGTCCCTTTTGCCCTGCCAAGACTCGAAGAGATTCCTGAGGTGTCACTCGTTACTAGGCAGGAGTCCTGACCTCACTGAAGAAAGTCGTGTTTTGAAGGGCCATCCCTGCCGTAAGTCGAGAACATACCCCAGGTCCCCGCCGCAACTCGAGAAAAACCATGAGACTTCCCCCTAGAGGCGAGATGAGGCCCCATTCCCCTGCAGTGCATGCAGAGCTATTCCGTGATCCCATTCAAACAAGTCAGAAGCTTCGACTTGCTTAATGGATCTCGAGACAGTCCCCAAGAACACTGTCACCAGTCTAGACGGACCCTGAGGTCACCCAGCAATGCAAAGCAGCTCCATGTGTCCCAAATCAACTCGAGATGAGACCCGATTCCCCTGCATTGACTCCAGAGCCATTCCCCGTTCCCCATTCAACACGACCGGTGGCTCGACTTCCTTCAGGCAACTCCAGGGATGCCCCGAGAACACTGTCCCAAGTCTAGAGGAACACCAACTTCAGCACAGCAACTCGAGGAATGCTCTGTGTACCCCAAATCGTCTCGAGATGAGAGCTGATTCCCTGGCTTAGGCTCAAGACGTATGCCACCTTTCCAGAAGCACCTCAGGAGGAGGCTTCTCTCAGCAATAGGTATGTGGGAGGGACCCCGAGTTTGCTGCCTCAAGGGGAATATACAGCGAGAAGCCCTAACTTGAAAGGAGGCCGGATTTCCTTGCAGTGGCTTGAATACAGGCTCTTCTTTGATCTGACAACATGAAGGGATGTCTGAATCCCCTGTGGAGACCTTAGAGAAAACCCTAGGTCCCTGCCTCATTTTGACGGAATTCCTCACATCCCACTGACACCTCGAGAGGCACGCGGAGTTCATTGCTTCAAAAGGTGACGATGCCTGACTCCTCTTGAATACTGATAGGAATCCCAAAATCCCTGTGGCTACTGGAAAGGGTCCTTGGGTGCCCTGGCTCACCTCGAGAAGCGTCCCTTTTGCCCTGCCAAGCCTCGAAGAGATTGCTGAGGTGTCCCTCGTTACTAGACAGGAGTCCTGACGTCACGGAAGAAACTCGTGTTTTGAAGGGCCATCCCCGCCGTAAGTCGAGAACATACCCCAGGTCCCCGCCGCAACTCGAGAAAAACCATGAGACTTCCCCCTAGAGGCGAGATGAGGCCCCATTCCCCTGCAGTGCATGCAGAGCTATTCCGTGATCCCATTCAAACAAGTCAGGAGCTTCGACTTGCTTAATGGATCTCGAGACAGTCCCCAAGAACACTGTCACCAGTCTAGACGGACCCTGAGGTCACCCAGCAATGCAAAGCACCTCCATGTGCCCCAAATCAACTCGAGATGAGGCCGGATTCCCCTGCATTGACTCCAGAGCCATTCCTTGTTCCCCATTCAACACGACCGGTGGCTCGACTTCCTTCAGGCAACTCCAGAGATGCCCCGAGAACATTGTCCCAAGTCTAGAGGACCACCAACTTCAGCACAGCAACTCGAGAAATGCTCTGTGTACCCCAAATCGTCTCGAGATGAGAGCTGAATCCCTGGCTTAGGCTCAAGGCGTATGCCAACTTTCCAGAAGCACCTCAGGAGGAGGCTTCTCTCAGCAATAGGTATGTGGGAGGGACTCCGAGTTTGCTGCCTCAAGGGGAATATACAGCGAGAAGCCCTAACTTGAAAGGAGGCCGGATTTCCTTGCAGTGGCTTGAATACAGGCTCGTCTTTCATCTCACAACATGAAGGGATGTCTGAATCCCCTGTGGAGACCTTAGAGAAAGCCCTAGGTCCCTGCCTCATTTTGACGGAATCCTCACATCCCGCTGACACCTCGAGAGGCACGCGGAGTTCATTGCTTCAAAAGGTGACGATGCCTGACTCCTCTTGAATACTTATAGGAATCCCAAAATCCCTGTGGCTACTGGAAAGGGTCCTTGGGTGCCCTGGCTCACCTCGAGAAGCGTCCCTTTTGCCCTGCCAAGCCTCGAAGAGATTCCTGAGGTGTCCCTCATTACTAGACAGGAGTCCTGACGTCACTGAAGAAACTCGTGTTTTGAAGGGCCATCCCCGCCGTAAGTCGAGAACATACCCCAGGTCCCCGCCGCAACTCGAGAAAAACCATGAGACTTCCCCCTAGAGGCGAGATGAGGCCCCATTCCCCTGCAGTGCATGCAGAGCTATTCCGTGATCCCATTCAAACAAGTCAGGAGCTTCGACTTGCTTAATGGATCTCGAGACAGTCCCCAAGAACACTGTCACCAGTCTAGACGGACCCTGAGGTCACCCCAGCAACGCAAAGCAGCTCCATGTGCCCCAAATCAACTCGAGATGAGGCCCGATTCCCCTGCATTGACTCCAGAGCCATTCCCCGTTCCCCATTCAACACGACTGGTGGCTCGCTTTCCTTCAGGCAACTCCAGAGATTCCCCGAGAACACTGTCCCAAGTCTAGAGGAACACCAACTTCAGCACAGCAACTCGAGGAATGCTCTGTGTACCCCAAATCGTCTCGAGATGAGAGCTGATTCCCTGGCTTAGGCTCAAGACGTATGCCAACTTTCCAGAAGCACCTCAGGAGGAGGCTTCTCAGCAATAGGTATGTGGGAGGGACTCCGAGTTTGCTGCCTCAAGGGGAATATACAGCGAGAAGCCCAAACTTGAAAGGAGGCCGGATTTCCTTGCAGTGGCTTGAATACAGGCTCGTCTTTCATCTCACAACATGAAGGGATGTCTGAATCCCCTGTGGAGACCTTAGAGAAAGCCCTAGGTCCCTGCCTCATTTTGACGGAATGCCTCACATCCCGCTGACACCTCGAGAGGCACGCGGAGTTCATTGCTTCAAAAGGTGACGATGCCTGGCTCCTCTTGAATACTGATAGGAATCCCATAATCCCTGTGGCTACTGGAAAGGGTCCTTGGGTGCCCTGGCTCACCTCGAGAAGCGTCCCTTTTGCCCTGCCAAGCCTCAAAGAGATTCCTGAGGTGTCCCTCGTTACTAGGCAGGAGTCCTGACGTCACTGGAGAAACTCGTGTTTTGAAGGGCCATCCCCGCCGTAAGTCGAGAACATACCCCAGGGCCCCGCCACAACTCGAGAAAAACCGTGAGACCTCCCCCTAGAGGCGAGATGAGGCCCCATTCCCCTGCAGTGCATGCAGAGCTATTCCGTGATCCCATTCAAACAAGTCAGGAGCTTCGACTTGCTTAATGGATCTCGAGACAGTCCCCAAGAACACTGTCACCAGTCTAGATGGACCCTGAGGTCACCCAGCAATGCAAAGCAGCTCCATGTGCCCCAAATCAACTCGAGATGAGGCCGGATTCCCCTGCATTGACTCCAGAGCCATTCCTTGTTCCCCATTCAACACGACCGGTGGCTCGACTTCCTTCAGGCAACTCCAGAGATGCCTCGAGAGCACTCTCCCAAGTCTAGAGGACCACCAACTTCAGCAGAGCAACTCGAGGAATGCTCTGTGTACCACAAATCGTCTCGAGATGAGAGCTGATTCCCTGGCTTAGGCTCAAGACGTATGCCACCTTTCCAGAAGCACCACAGGAGGAGGCTTCTCTCAGCAATAGGTATGTGGGAGGGACCCCGAGTTTGCTGCCTCAAGGGGAATATACAGCGAGAAGCCCTAACTTGAAAGGAGGCCGGATTTCCTTGCAGTGACTTGAATACAGGCTCGTCTTTCATCTCACAACATGAAGGGATGTCTGAATCCCCTGTGGAGACCTTAGAGAAAGCCCTAGGTCCCTGCCTCATTTTGACGGAATCCTCACATCCCGCTGACACCTCGAGAGGCATGCGGAGTTCATTGCTTCAAAAGGTGACGATGCCTGACTCCTCTTGAATACTTATAGGAATCCCAAAATCCCTGTGGCTACTGGAAAGGGTCCTTGGGTGCCCTGGCTCACCTCGAGAAGCGTCCCTTTTGCCCTGCCAAGCCTCGAAGAGATTGCTGACGTGTCCCTCGTTACTAGACAGGAGTCCTGACGTCACTGAAGAAACTCGTGTTTTGAAGGGCCATCCCCGCCGTAAGTCGAGAACATACCCCAGGTCCCCGCCGCAACTCGAGAAAAACCATGAGACTTCCCCCTAGAGGCGAGATGAGGCCCCATTCCCCTGCAGTGCATGCAGAGCTATTCCGTGATCCCATTCAAACAAGTCAGGAGCTTCGACTTGCTTAATGGATATCGAGGCAGTCCCCAAGAACACTGTCACCAGTCTAGACGGACCCTGAGGTCACCCAGCAATGCAAAGCAGCTCCATGTGCCCCAAATCAACTCGAGATGAGGCCGGATTCCCCCGCATTGACTCCAGAGCCATTCCTTGTTCCCCATTCAACACGACCGGTGGCTCGACTTCTTTCAGGCAACTCCAGAGATGCCCCGAGAACACTGTCCCAAGTCTAGAGGAACACCAACTTCAGCACAGCAACACGAGGAATGCTCTGTGTACCCCAAATCGTCTCGAGATGAGAGCTGATTCCCTGGCTTAGGCTCAAGACGTATGCCAACTTTCCAGAAGCACCTCAGGAGGAGGCTTCTCAGCAATAGGTATGTGGGAGGGACTCCGAGTTTGCTGCCTCAAGGGGAATATACAGCGAGAAGCCCTAACTTGAAAGGAGGCCGGATTTCCTTGCAGTAGCTTGTATACAGGCTTGTCTTTCATCTCACAACATGAAGGGATGTCTGAATCCCCTGTGAAGACCTTAGAGAAAGCCCTAGGACCCTGCCTCATTTTGACGGAATGCCTCACATCCCGCTGACACCTCGAGAGGCACGCGGAGTTCATTGCTTCAAAAGGTGACGATGCCTGACTCCTCTTGAATACTGATAGGAATCCCAAAATCCCTGTGGCTACTGGAAAGGTTCCTTGGGTGCCCTGGCTCACCTCGAGAAGCGTCCCTTTTGCCCTGCCAAGCCTCGAGGAGATTCCTGAGGTGTCCCTCATTACTAGACAGGAGTCCTGACGTCACTGAAGAAACTCGTGTTTTGAAGGCCCATCCCCGCCGTAAGTCGAGAACATACCCCAGGTCCCCGCCGCAACTCGAGAAAAACCATGAGACTTCCCCCTAGAGGCGAGATGAGGCCCCATTCCCCTGCAGTGCATGCAGAGCTATTCCGTGATCCCATTCAAACAAGTCAGGAGCTTCGACTTGCTTAATGGATCTCGAGACAGTCCCCAAGAACACTGTCACCAGTCTAGACGGACCCTGAGGTCACCCCAGCAACGCAAAGCTGCTCCATGTGCCCCAAATCAACTCGAGATGAGGCCCGATTCCCCTGCATTGACTCCAGAGCCATTCCCCGTTCCCCATTCAACACGACCGGTGGCTCGACTTCCTTCAGGCAACTCCAGAAATGCCTCGAGAGCACTATCCCAAGTCTAGAGGAACAACAAATTCAGCAGAGCAACTCGAGGAATGCTCTGTGTACCCCAAATCGTCTCGAGATGAGAGCTGATTCCCTGGCTTAGGCTCAAGACGTATGCCACCTTTCCAGAAGCACCTCAGGAGGAGGCTTCTCTCAGCAATAGGTATGTGGGAGGGACCCCGAGTTTGCTGCCTCAAGGGGAATACACAGGGAGAAGCCCTAACGTGAACGGAGGCCAGATTTCCTTGCAGTGGGTTGAATAAAGGCTCGTCTTCGATCTGAAAACATGAAGGGATGTCTGAATTCCCTGTGGAGACCTTAGAGGAAGCCCTAGGTCCCTGCCTCATTTTGACGGAATACCTCACATCCCCCTGACACCTCGAGAGGCACGCAGAGTTCATTGCTTCAAAAGGTGACGATGCCTGACTCCTCTTGAATACTTATAGGAATCCCAAAATCCCTGTTGCTACTGGAAAGGGTCCTTGGGTGCCCTGGCTCACCTCGAGAAGCGTCCCTTTTGCCCTGCCAAGCCTCGAAGAAATTGCTGAGGTGTCCCTCATTACTAGACAGGAGTCCTGACGTCACGGAAGAAACTCGTGTTTTGAAGGGCCATCCCCGCCGTAAGTCGAGAACATAACCCAGGTCCCCGCCGCAACTCGAGAAAAACCATGAGACTTCCCCCTAGAGGCGAGATGAGGCCCCATTCCCCTGCAGTGCATGCAGAGCTATTCCGTGATCCCATTCAAACAAGTCAGGAGCTTCGACTTGCTTAATGGATCTCGAGGCAGTCCCCAAGAACACTGTCACCAGTCTAGACGGACCCTGAGGTCACCCAGCAATGCAAAGCAGCTCCATGTGCCCCAAATCAACTCGAGATGAGGCCGGATTCCCCTGCATTGACTCCAGAGCCATTCCTTGTTCCCCATTCAACACGACCGGTGGCTCGACTTCTTTCAGGCAACTCCAGAGATGCCCCGAGAACACTGTCCCAAGTCTAGAGGACCACCAACTTCAGCACAGCAACTCGAGAAATGCTCTGTGTACCCCAAATCGTCTCGAGATGAGAGCTGATTCCCTGGCTTAGGCTCAAGACGTATGCCACCTTTCCAGAAGCACCTCAGGAGGAGGCTTCTCTCAGCAATAGGTATGTGGGAGGGACCCCGAGTTTGCTGCCTCAAGGGGAATATACAGCGAGAAGCCCTAACTTGAAAGGAGGCCGGATTTCCTTGCAGTGGCTTGAATACAGGCTCGTCTTTCATCTCACAACATGAAGGGATGTCTGAATCCCCTGTGGAGACCTTAGAGAAAGCCCTAGGTCCCTGCCTCATTTTGACGGAATCCTCATATCCCGCTGACACCTCAAGAGGCACGCGGAGTTCATTGCTTCAAAAGGTGACGATGCCTGACTCCTCTTGAATACTTATAGGAATCCCAAAATCCCTGTGGCTACTGGAAAGGGTCCTTGGGTGCCCTGGCTCACCTCGAGAAGCTTCCCTTTTGCCCTGCCAAGCCTCGAAGAGATTGCTGAGGTGTCCCTTGTTACTAGACAGGAGTCCTGACGTCACGGAAGAAACTCGTGTTTTGAAGGGCCATCCCCGCCGTAAGTCGAGAACATACCCCAGGTCCCGGCCGCAACTCGAGAAAAATCATGAGACTTCCCCCTAGAGGCGAGATGAGGCCCCATTCCCCTGCAGTGCATGCAGAGCTATTCCGTGATCCCATTCAAACAAGTCAGGAGCTTCGACTTGCTTAATGGATCTCGAGAGAGTCCCCAAGAACACTGTCACCAGTCTAGACGGACCCTGAGGTCACCCAGCAATGCAAAGCAGCTCCATGTGCCCCAAATCAACTCGAGATGAGGCCGGATTCCCCTGCATTGACTCCAGAGCCATTCCTTGTTCCCCATTCAACACGACCGGTGGCTCGACTTCCTTCAGGCAACTCCAGAGATGCCCCGAGAACACTGTCCCAAGTCTAGAGGAACACCAACTTCAGCACAGCAACTCGAGGAATGCTCTGTGTACCCCAAATCGTCTCGAGATGAGAGCTGATTCCCTGGCTTAGGCTCAAGACGTATGCCACCTTTCCAGAAACACCTCAGGAGGAGGCCTCTCTCAGCAATAGGTATGTGGGAGGGACCCCGAGTGTGCTGCCTCAAGGGGAATATACAGCGAGAAGTCCTAACTTGAAAGGAGGCCGGATTTCCTTGCAGTGGCTTGAATACCGGCTCGTCTTTCATCTCACAACATGAAGGGATGTCTGAATCCCCTGTGGAAACCTTAGAGAAAGCCCTAGGTCCCTGCCTCATTTTGACGGAATCCTCACATCCCGCTGACACCTCGAGAGGCACGCGGAGTTCATTGCTTCAAAAGGTGACGATGCCTGACTACTCTTGAATACTTATAGGAATCCCAAAATCCCTGTGGCTACTGGAAAGGGTACTTGGGTGCCCTGGCTCACATCGAGAAGCGTCCCTTTTGCCCTGCCAAGCCTCGAAGAGATTGCTGAGGTGTCCCTCGTTACTAGACAGGAGTCCTGACATCACTGAAGAAACTCGTGTATTGAAGTTCCATCCCCGCCGTAAGTCGAGAACATACCCCAGGTCCCCGCCGCAACTCGAGAAAAACCATGAGACTTCCCCCTAGAGGCGAGATGAGGCCCCATTCCCCTGCAGTGCATGCAGAGCTATTCCGTGATCCCATTCAAACAAGTCAGGAGCTTCGACTTGCTTAATGGATCTCGAGACAGTCCCCAAGAACACTGTCACCAGTCTAGACGGACCCTGAGGTCACCCCAGCAACGCAAAGCAGCTCCATGTGCCCCAAATCAACTCGAGATGAGGCCCGATTCCCCTGCATTGACTCCAGAGCCATTCCCCGTTCCCCATTCAACACGACCGGTGGCTCGACTTCCTTCAGGCAACTCCAGGGATGCCCCGAGAACACTGTCCCAAGTCTAGAGGAACACCAACTTCAGCACAGCAACTCGAGGAATGCTCTGTGTACCCCAAATCGTCTCGAGATGAGAGCTGATTCCCTGGCTTAGGCTCAAGACGTATGCCAACTTTCCAGAAGCACCTCAGGAGGAGGCTTCTCAGCAATAGGTATGTGGGAGGGACTCCGAGTTTGCTGCCTCAAGGGGAATATACAGCGAGAAGCCCTAACTTGAAAGGAGGCCGGATTTCCTTGCAGTAGCTTGAATACAGGCTTGTCTTTCATCTCACAACATGAAGGGATGTCTGAATCCCCTGTGAAGACCTTAGAGAAAGCCCTAGGACCCTGCCTCATTTTGACGGAATGCCTCACATCCCGCTGACAACTCGAGAGGCACGCGGAGTTCATTGCTTCAAAAGGTGACGATGCCTGACTCCTCTTGAATACTGATAGGAATCCCAAAATCCCTGTGGCTACTGGAAAGGTTCCTTGGGTGCCCTGGCTCACCTCGAGAAGCGTCCCTTTTGCCCTGCCAAGCCTCGAAGAGATTCCTGAGGTGTCCCTCGTTACTAGACAGGAGTCCTGACGTCACTGAAGAAACTCGTGTTTTGAAGGGCCATCCCCGCCGTAAGTCGAGAACATACCCCAGGTCCCCGCCGCAACTCGAGAAAAACCATGAGACTTCCCCCTAGAGGCGAGATGAGGCCCCATTCCCCTGCACTGCATGCAGAGCTATTCCGTGATCCCATTCAAACAAGTCAGGAGCTTCGACTTGCTTAATGGATCTCGAGACAGTCCCCAAGAACACTGTCACCAGTCTAGACGGACCCTGAGGTCACCCCAGCAACGCAAAGCTGCTCCATGTGCCTCAAATCAACTCGAGATGAGGCCCGATTCCCCTGCATTGACTCCAGAGCCATTCCCCGTTCCCCATTCAACACGACCGGTGGCTCGACTTCCTTCAGGCAACTGCAGAGATTCCCCGAGAACACTGCCCCATGTCTAGAGGAACACCAACTTCAGCACAGCAACTCGAGGAATGCTCCGTGTACTCCAAATCATCTCGAGATGAGAGCTGATTCTCTGGCTTAGGCTCAAGACGTATGCCAACTTTCCAGAAGCACCTCAGGAGGAGGCTTCTCTCAGCAATAGGTATGTGGGAGCGACCCCGAGTTTGCTGCCTCAAGGGGAATACACAGGGAGAAGCCCTAACGTGAACGGAGGCAAGATTTCCTTGCAGTGGGTTGAATAAAGGCTCCTCTTCGATCTGAAAACATGAAGGGATGTCTGAATTCCCTGTGGAGACCTTAGAGGAAGCCCTAGGTCCCTGCCTCATTTTGACGGAATACCTCACATCCCCCTGACACCTCGAGAGGCACGCAGAGTTCATTGCTTCAAAAGGTGACGATGCCTGACTCCTCTTGAATACTTATAGGAATCCCAAAATCCCTGTTGCTACAGGAAAGGGTACTTGGGTGCCCTGGCTCACCTCGAGAAGCGTCCCTTTTGCCCTGCCAAGCCTCGAAGAGATTGCTGAGGTGTCCCTCGTTACTAGACAGGAGTCCTGACGTCACTGAAGAAACTTGTGTTTTGAAGTTCCATCCCCGCCGTAAGTCGAGAACATACCCCAGGTCCCCGCCGCAACTCGAGAAAAACCATGAGACTTCCCCCTAGAGGCGAGATGAGGCCCCATTCCCCTGCAGTGCATGCAGAGCTATTCCGTGATCCCATTCAAACAAGTCAGGAGCTTCGACTTGCTTAATGGATCTCGAGACAGTCCCCAAGAACACTGTCACCAGTCTAGACGGACCCTGAGGTCACCCCAGCAACGCAAAGCAGCTCCATGTGCCCCAAATCAACTCGAGATGAGGCCCGATTCCCCTGCATTGACTCCAGAGCCATTCCCCGTTCCCCATTCAACACGACTGGTGGCTCGCTTTCCTTCAGGCAACTCCAGAGATGCCCCGAGAACACTGTCCCAAGTCTAGAGGAACACCAACTTCAGCACAGCAACTCGAGGAATGCTCTGTGTACCCCAAATCGTCTCGAGATGAGAGCTGATTCCCTGGCTTAGGCTCAAGACGTATGCCAACTTTCCAGAAGCACCTCAGGAGGAGGCTTCTCAGCAATAGGTATGTGGGAGGGACTCCGAGTTTGCTGCCTCAAGGGGAATATACAGCGAGAAGCCCTAACTTGAAAGGAGGCCGGATTTCCTTGCAGTAGCTTGAATACAGGCTTGTCTTTCATCTCACAACATGAAGGGATGTCTGAATCCCCTGTGAAGACCTTAGAGAAAGCCCTAGGTCCCTGCCTCATTTTGACGGCATGCCTCACATCCCGCTGACAACTCGAGAGGCACGCGGAGTTCATTGCTTCAAAAGGTGACGATGCCTGACTCCTCTTGAATACTGATAGGAATCCCAAAATCCCTGTGGCTACTGGAAAGGTTCCTTGGGTGCCCTGGCTCACCTCGAGAAGCGTCCCTTTTGCCCTGCCAAGCCTCGAAGAGATTCCTGAGGTGTCCCTCGTTACTAGACAGGAGTCCTGACGTCACTGAAGAAACTCGTGTTTTGAAGGGCCATCCCCGCCGTAAGTCGAGAACATACCCCAGGTCCCCGCCGCAACTCGAGAAAAACCATGAGACTTCCCCCTAGAGGAGAGATGAGGCCCCATTCCCCTGCAGTGCATGCAGAGCTATTCCGTGATCCCATTCAAACAAGTCAGGAGCTTCGACTTGCTTAATGGATCTCGAGACAGTCCCCAAGAACACTGTCACCAGTCTAGACGGACCCTGAGGTCACCCCAGCAACGCAAAGCTGCTCCATGTGCCCCAAATCAACTTGAGATGAGGTCCGATTCCCCTGCATTGACTCCAGAGCCATTCCCCGTTCCCCATTCAACACGACCGGTGGCTCGACTTCCTTCAGGCAACTGCAGAGATGCCCCGAGAACACTGCCCCAAGTCTAGAGGAACACCAACTTCAGCACAGCAACTCGAGGAATGCTCCGTGTACTCCAAATCATCTCGAGATGAGAGCTGATTCTCTGGCTTAGGCTCAAGACGTATGCCAACTTTCCAGAAGCACCTCAGGAGGAGGCTTCTCTCAGCAATATGTATGTGGGAGCGACCCCGAGTTTGCTGCCTCAAGGGGAATACACAGGGAGAAGCCCTAACGTGAACGGAGGCCAGATTTCCTTGCAGTGGGTTGAATAAAGGCTCGTCTTCGATCTGAAAACATGAAGGGATGTCTGAATTCCCTGTGGAGACCTTAGAGGAAGCCCTAGGTCCCTGCCTCATTTTGACGGAATACCTCACATCCCCCTGACACCCCGAGAGGCACGCAGAGTTCATTGCTTCAAAAGGTGACGATGCCTGACTCCTCTTGAATACTTATAGGAATCCCAAAATCCCTGTTGCTACAGGAAAGGGTCCTTGGGTGCCCTGGCTCACCTCGAGAAGCGTCCCTTTTGCCCTGCCAAGCCTCGAAGAAATTGCTGAGGTGTCCCTCGTTACTAGACAGGAGTCCTGACGTCACGGAAGAAACTCGTGTTTTGAAGGGCCATCCCCGCCGTAAGTCGAGAACATACCCCAGGTCCCCGCCGCAACTCGAGAAAAACCATGAGACTTCCCCCTAGAGGCGAGATGAGGCCCCATTCCCCTGCAGTGCATGCAGAGCTATTCTGTGATCCCATTCAAACAAGTCAGGAGCTTCGACTTGCTTAATGGATCTCGAGACAGTCCCCAAGAACACTGTCACCAGTCTAGACGGACCCTGAGGTCACCACAGCAACGCAAAGCAGCTCCATGTGCCCCAAATCAACTCGAGATGAGGCCCGATTCCCCTGCATTGACTCCAGAGCCATTCCCCGTTCCCCGTTCAACACGAACGGAGGCTCGCCTTCCTTCAGGCAACTCCAGAGATGCCCCGAGAACACTGTCCCAAGTCTAGAGGAACACCAACTTCAGCACAGCAACTCGAGGAATGCTCTGTGTACCCCAAATCGTCTCGAGATGAGAGCTGATTCCCTGGCTTAGGATCAAGACGTATGCCAACTTTCCAGAAGCACCTCAGGAGGAGGCTTCTCAGCAATAGGTATGTGGGAGGGACTCCGAGTTTGCTGCCTCAAGGGGAATATACAGCGAGAAGCCCTAACTTGAAAGGAGGCCGGATTTCCTTGCAGTGGCTTGAATACAGGCTCGTCTTTCATCTCACAACATGAAGGGATGTCTGAATCCCCTGTGGAGACCTTAGAGAAAGCCCTAGGTCCCTGCCTCATTTTGACGGAATGCCTCACATCCCGCTGACACCTCGAGAGGCACGCGGAGTTCATTGCTTCAAAAGGTGACGATGCCTGACTCCTCTTGAATACTGATAGGAATCCCATAATCCCTGTGGCTACTGGAAAGGGTCCTTGGGTGCCCTGGCTCACCTCGAGAAGCGTCCCTTTTGCCCTGCCAAGCCTCAAAGAGATTCCTGAGGTGTCCCTCGTTACTAGGCAGGAGTCCTGACGTCACTGGAGAAACTCGTGTTTTGAAGGGCCATCCCCGCCGTAAGTCGAGAACATACCCCAGGGCCCCGCCGCAACTCGAGAAAAACCGTGAGACTTCCCCCTAGAGGCGAGATGAGGCCCCATTCCCCTGCAGTGCATGCAGAGCTATTCCGTGATCCCATTCAAACAAGTCAGGAGCTTCGACTTGCTTAATGGATCTCGAGACAGTCCCCAAGAACACTGTCACCAGTCTAGACGGACCCTGAGGTCACCCAGCAATGCAAAGCAGCTCCATGTGCCCGAAATCAACTCGAGATGAGGCCGGATTCCCCTGCATTGACTCCAGAGCCATTCCTTGTTCCCCATTCAACACGACCGGTGGCTCGACTTCCTTCAGGCAACTCCAGAGATGCCTCGAGAACACTATCCCAAGTCTAGAGGACCACCAACTTCAGCAGAGCAACTCGAGGAATGCTCTGTGTACCCCAAATCGTCTCGAGATGAGAGCTGATTCCCTGGCTTAGGCTCAAGACGTATGCCACCTTTCCAGAAGCACCTCAGGAGGAGGCTTCTCTCAGCAATAGGTATGTGAGAGGGACCCCGAGTTTGCTGCCTCAAGGGGAATATACAGCGAGAAGCCCTAACTTGAAAGGAGGCCGGATTTCCTTGCAGTGGCTTGAATACAGGCTCGTCTTTCATCTCACAACATGAAGGGATGTCTGAATCCCCTGTGGAGACCTTAGAGAAAGCCCTAGGACCCTGCCTCATTTTGACGGAATCCTCACATCCCGCTGACACCTCGAGAGGCACGCGGAGTTCATTGCTTCAAAAGGTGACGATGCCTGACTCCTCTTGAATACTTATAGGAATCCCAAAATCCCTGTGGCTACTGGAAAGGGTCCTTGGGTGCCCTGGCTCACCTCGAGAAGCGTCCCTTTTGCCCTGCCAAGCCTCGAAGAGATTGCTGACGTGTCCCTCGTTACTAGACAGGAGTCCTGACGTCACTGAAGAAACTCGTGTTTTGAAGGGCCATCCCCGCCGTAAGTCGAGAACATACCCCAGGTCCCCGCCGCAACTCGAGAAAAACCATGAGACTTCCCCCTAGAGGCGAGATGAGGCCCCATTCCCCTGCAGTGCATGCAGAGCTATTCCGTGATCCCATTCAAACAAGTCAGGAGCTTCGACTTGCTTAATGGATCTCGAGGCAGTCCCCAAGAACACTGTCACCAGTCTAGACGGACCCTGAGGTCACCCAGCAATGCAAAGCAGCTCCATGTGCCCCAAATCAACTCGAGATGAGGCCGGATTCCCCTGCATTGACTCCAGAGCCATTCCTTGTTCCCCATTCAACACGACCGGTGGCTCGACTTCTTTCAGGCAACTCCAGAGATGCCCCGAGAGCACTGTCCCAAGTCTAGAGGAACACCAACTTCAGCACAGCAACACGAGGAATGCTCTGTGTACCCCAAATCGTCTCGAGATGAGAGCTGATTCCCTGGCTTAGGCTCAAGACGTATGCCAACTTTCCAGAAGCACCTCAGGAGGAGGCTTCTCAGCAATAGGTATGTGGGAGGGACTCCGAGTTTGCTGCCTCAAGGGGAATATACAGCGAGAAGCCCTAACTTGAAAGGAGGCCGGATTTCCTTGCAGTAGCTTGTATACAGGCTTGTCTTTCATCTCACAACATGAAGGGATGTCTGAATCCCCTGTGAAGACCTTAGAGAAAGCCCTAGGACCCTGCCTCATTTTGACGGAATGCCTCACATCCCGCTGACACCTCGAGAGGCACGCGGAGTTCATTGCTTCAAAAGGTGACGATGCCTGACTCCTCTTGAATACTGATAGGAATCCCAAAATCCCTGTTGCTACTGGAAAGGGTCCTTGGGTGCCCTGGCTCACCTCGAGAAGCGTCCCTTTTGCCCTGCCAAGCCTCGAAGATATTGCTGAGGTGTCCCTCGTTACTAGACAGGAGTCCTGACGTCACGGAAGAAACTCGTGTTTTGAAGGGCCATCCCCGCCGTAAGTCGAGAACATACCCCAGGTCCCCGCCGCAACTCGAGAAAAACCATGAGACTTCCCCCTAGAGGCGAGATGAGGCCCCATTCCCCTGCAGTGCATGCAGAGCTATTCCGTGATCCCATTCAAACAAGTCAGGAGCTTCGACTTGCTTAATGGATCTCGAGACAGTCCCCAAGAACACTGTCACCAGTCTAGACGGACCCTGAGGTCACCCCAGCAACGCAAAGCTGCTCCATGTGCCCCAAATCAACTCGAGATGAGGCCCGATTCCCCTGCATTGACTCCAGAGCCATTCCCCGTTCCCCATTCAACACGACCTGTGGCTCGACTTCCTTCAGGCAACTGCAGAGATGCCCCGAGAACACTGCCCCAAGTCTAGAGGAACACCAACTTTAGCACAGCAACTCGAGGAATGCTCCGTGTACCCCAAATCATCTCGAGATGAGAGCTGATTCTCTGGCTTAGGCTCAAGACGAATGCCAACTTTCCAGAAGCACCTCAGGAGGAGGCTTCTCTCAGCAATAGGTATGTGGGAGCGACCCCGAGTTTGCTGCCTCAAGGGGAATACACAGGGAGAAGCCCTAACGTGAACGGAGGCCAGATTTCCTTGCAGTGGGTTGAATAAAGGCTCGTCTTCGATCTGAAAACATGAAGGGATGTCTGAATTCCCTGTGGAGACCTTAGAGGAAGCCCTAGGTCCCTGCCTCATTTTGACGGAATACCTCACATCTCCCTGACACCTCGAGAGGCACGCAGAGTTCATTGCTTCAAAAGGTGACGATGCCTGACTCCTCTTGAATACTTATAGGAATCCCAAAATCCCTGTTGCTACTGGAAAGGGTCCTTGGGTGCCCTGGATCACCTCGAGAAGCGTCCCTTTTGCCCTGCCAAGCCTCGAAGAAATTGCTGAGGTGTCCCTCGTTACTAGACAGGAGTCCTGACGTCACGGAAGAAACTCGTGTTTTGAAGGGCCATCCCCGCCGTAAGTCGAGAACATACGCCAGGTCCCCGCCGCAACTCGAGAAAAACCATGAGACTTCCCCCTAGAGGCGAGATGAGGCCCCATTCCCCTGCAGTGCATGCAGAGCTATTCCGTGATCCCATTCAAACAAGTCAGGAGCTTCGACTTGCTTAATGGATCTCGAGACAGTCCCCAAGAACACTGTCACCAGTCTAGACGGACCCTGAGGTCACCCCAGCAACGCAAAGCAGCTCCATGTGCCCCAAATCAACTCGAGATGAGGCCCGATTCCCCTGCATTGACTCCAGAGCCATTCCCCGTTCCCCATTCAACACGACTGGTGGCTCGCTTTCCTTCAGGCAACTCCAGAGATGCCCCGAGAACACTGTCCCAAGTCTAGAGGAACACCAACTTCAGCACAGCAACTCGAGGAATGCTCTGTATACCCCAAATCGTCTCGAGATGAGAGCTGATTCCCTGGCTTAGGCTCAAGACGTATGCCACCTTTCCAGAAGCACCTCAGGAGGAGGCTTCTCAGCAATAGGTATGTGGGAGGGACTCCGAGTTTGCTGCCTCAAGGGGAATATACAGCGAGAAGCCCTAACTTGAAAGGAGGCCGGATTTCCTTGCAGTGGCTTGAATACAGGCTCGTCTTTCATCTCACAACATGAAGGGATGTCTGAATCCCCTGTGGAGACCTTAGAGAAAGCCCTAGGACCCTGCCTCATTTTGACGGAATGCCTCACATCCCGCTAACACCTCGAGAGGCACGCGGAGTTCATTGCTTCAAAAGGTGACGATGCCTGACTCCTCTTGAATACTGATAGGAATCCCAAAATCCCTGTGGCTACTGGAAAGGGTCCTTGGGTGCCCTGCCTCACCTCGAGAAGCGTCCCTTTTGCCCTGCCAAGACTCGAAGAGATTCCTGAGGTGTCACTCGTTACTAGGCAGGAGTCCTGACCTCACTGAAGTAAGTCGTGTTTTGAAGGGCCATCCCTGCCGTAAGTCGAGAACATACACCAGGTCCCCGCCGCAACTCGAGAAAAACCATGAGACTTCCCCCTAGAGGCGAGATGAGGCCCCATTCCCCTGCAGTGCATGCAGAGCTATTCCGGGATCCCATTCAAACAAGTCAGGAGCTTCGACTTGCTTAATGGATCTCGAGACAGTCCCCAAGAACACTGTCACCAGTCTAGACGGACCCTGAGGTCACCCAGCAATGCAAAGCAGCTCCATGTGCCCCAAATCAACTCGAGATGAGGCCCGATTCCCCTGCATTGACTCCAGAGCCATTCCCCGTTCCCCATTCAACACGACCGGTGGCTAGACTTCCTTCAGGCAACTCCAGGGATGCCCCGAGAACACTGTCCCAAGTCTAGAGCAACACCAACTTCAGCACAGCAACTCGAGGAATGCTCTGTGTACCCCAAATCGTCTCGAGATGAGAGCTGATTCCCTGGCTTAGGCTCAAGACGTATGCCACCTTTCCAGAAGCACCTCAGGAGGAGGCTTCTCTCAGCAATAGGTATGTGGGAGGGACCCCGAGTTTGCTGCCTCAAGGGGAATATATAGCGAGAAGCCCTAACTTGAAAGGAGGCCGGATTTCCTTGCAGTGGCTTGAATATAGGCTCGTCTTTGATCTGACAACATGAAGGGATGTCTGAATCCCCTGTGGAGACCTTAGAGAAAGCCCTAGGTCCCTGCCTCATTTTGACGGAATGCCTCACATCCCGCTGACACCTCGAGAGGCACGCGGAGTTCATTGCTTCAAAAGGTGACGATGCCTGACTCCTCTTGAATACTGATAGGAATCCCAAAATCCCTGTGGCTACTGGAAAGGGTCCTTGGGTGCCCTGCCTCACCTCGAGAAGCGTCCCTTTTGCACTGCCAAGCCTCGAAGAGATTCCTGAGGTGTCCCTCGTTACTAGGCAGGAGTCCTGACGTCACTGGAGAAACTCGTGTTTTGAAGGGCCATCCCCGCCGTAAGTCGAGAACATACCCCAGGGCCCCGCCGCAACTCGAGAAAAACCGTGAGACTTCCCCCTAGAGGCGAGATGAGGCCCCATTCCCCTGCAGTGCATGCAGAGCTATTCCGTGATCCCATTCAAACAAGTCAGGAGCTTCGACTTGCTTAATGGATCTCGAGACAGTCCCCAAGAACACTGTCACCAGTCTAGACGGACCCTGAGGTCACCCAGCAATGCAAAGCAGCTCCATGTGCCCCAAATCAACTCGAGATGAGGCCGTATTCCCCTGCATTGACTCCAGAGCCATTCCTTGTTCCCCATTCAACACGACCGGTGGCTCGACTTCCTTCAGGCAACTCCAGAGATGCCTCGAGAGCACTATCCCAAGTCTAGAGGACCACCAACTTCAGCCGAGCAACTCGAGGAATGCTCTGTGTACCCCAAATCATCTCGAGATGAGAGCTGATTCCCTGGCTTAGGCTCAAGACGTATGCCACCTTTCCAGAAGCACCTCAGGAGGAGGCTTCTCTCAGCAATAGGTATGTGGGAGGGACCCCGAGTTTGCTGCCTCAAGGGGAATATACAGCGAGAAGCCCTAACTTGAAAGGAGGCCGGATTTCCTTGCAGTGGCTTGAATACAGGCTCGTCTTTCATCTCACAACATGAAGGGATGTCTGAATCCCCTGTGGAGACCTTAGAGAAAGCCCTAGGTCCCTGGCTCATTTTGACGGAATCCTCATATCCCGCTGACACCTCGAGAGGCACGCGGAGTTCATTGCTTCAAAAGGTGACGATGCCTGACTCCTCTTGAATACTTATAGGAATCCGAAAATCCCTGTGGCTACTGGAAAGGGTCCTTGGGTGCCCTGGCTCACCTCGAGAAGCGTCCCTTTTGCCCTGCCAAGCCTCGAAGAGATTGCTGAAGTGTCCCTCGTTACTAGACATGAGTCCTGACGTCACGGAAGAAACTCGTGTTTTGAAGGGCCATCCCCGCCGTAAGTCGAGAACATACCCCAGGTCCCCGCCGCAACTCGAGAAAAACCATGAGACTTCCCCCTAGAGGCGAGATGAGGCCCCATTCCCCTGCAGTGCATGCAGAGCTATTCCGTGATCCCATTCAAACAAGTCAGGAGCTTCGACTTGCTTAATGGATCTCGAGACAGTCCCCAAGAACACTGTCACCAGTCTAGACGGACCCTGAGGTCACCCAGCAATGCAAAGCAGCTCCATGTGCCCCAAATCAACTCGAGATGAGGTCGGATTCCCCTGCATTGACTCCAGTGCCATTCCTTGTTCCCCATTCAACACGACCGGTGGCTCGACTTCCTTCAGGCAACTCCAGAGTTTCCCCGAGAACACTGTCCCAAGACTAGAGGAACACCAACTTCAGCACAGCAACTCGAGGAATGCTCTGTGTACCCCAAATCGTCTCGAGATGAGAGCTGATTCCCTGGCTTAGGCTCAAGACGTATGCCACCTTTCCAGAAACACCTCAGGAGGAGGCTTCTCTCAGCAATAGGTATGTGGGAGGGACCCCGAGTTTGCTGCCTCAAGGGGAATATACAGCGAGAAGTCCTAACTTGAAAGGAGGCCGGATTTCCTTGCAGTGGCTTGAATACCGGCTCGTCTTTCATCTCACAACATGAAGGGATGTCTGAATCCCCTGTGGAGACCTTAGAGAAAGCCCTAGGTCCCTGCCTCATTTTCACGGAATCCTCACATCCCGCTGACACCTCGAGAGGCACGCGGAGTTCATTGCTTCAAAAGGTGACGATGCCTGACTCCTCTTGAATACTTATAGGAATCCCAAAATCCCTGTGGCTACTGGAAAGGGTACTTGGGTGCCCTGGCTCACCTCGAGAAGCGTCCCTTTTGCCCTGCCAAGACTCGAAGAGATTCCTGAGGTGTCACTCGTTACTAGGCAGGAGTCCTGACCTCACTGAAGAAAGTCGTGTTTTGAAGGGCCATCCCTGCCGTAAGTCGAGAACATACCCCAGGGCCCCGCCGCAACTCGAGAAAAACCATGAGACTTCCCCCTAGAGGCGAGATGAGGCCCCATTCCCCTGCAGTGCATGCAGAGCTATTCAGGGATCCCATTCAAACAAGTCAGGAGCTTCGACTTGCTTAATGGATCTCGAGACAGTCCCCAAGAACACTGTCACCAGTCTAGACGGACCCTGAGGTCACCCAGCAATGCAAAGCAGCTCCATGTGCCCCAAATCAACTTGAGATGAGGCCCGATTCCCCTGCATTGACTCCAGAGCCATTCCCCGTTCCCCATTCAACACGACCGGTGGCTCGATTTCCTTCAGGCAACTCCAGGGATGCCCCGAGAACACTGTCCCAAGTCTAGAGGAACACCAACTTCAGCACAGCAACTCGAGGAATGCTCCGTGTACCCCAAATCATCTCGAGATGAGAGCTGATTCTCTGGCTTAGGCTCAAGACGTATGCCAACTTTCCAGAAGCACCTCAGGAGGAGGCTTCTCTCAGCAATAGGTATGTGGGAGCGACCCCGAGTTTGCTGCCTCAAGGGTAATACACAGGGAGAAGCCCTAACGTGAACGGAGGCCAGATTTCCTTGCAGTGGGTTGAATAAAGGCTCGTCTTCGATCTGAAAACATGAAGGGATGTCTGAATTCCCTGTGGAGACCTTAGAGGAAGCCCTAGGTCCCTGCCTCATTTTGACGGAATACCTCACATCCCCCTGACACCTCGAGAGGCACGCAGAGTTCATTGCTTCAAAAGGTGACGATGCCTGACTCCTCTTGAATACTTATAGGAATCCCAAAATCCCTGTTGCTACTGGAAAGGGTCCTTGGGTGCCCTGGCTCACCTCAAGAAGCGTCCCTTTTGCCCTGCCAAGCCTCGAAGAGATTGCTGAGGTGTCCCTCGTTACTAGACAGGAGTCCTGACGTCACGGAAGAAACTCGTGTTTTGAAGGGCCATCCCCGCCGTAAGTCGAGAACATACCCCAGGTCCCCGCCGCAACTCGAGAAAAACCATGAGACTTCCCCCTAGAGGCGAGATGAGGCCCCATTCCCCTGCAGTGCATGCAGAGCTATTCCGTGATCCCATTCAAACAAGTCAGGAGCTTCGACTTGCTTAATGGATCTCGAGACAGTCCCCAAGAACACTGTCACCAGTCTAGACGGACCCTGAGGTCACCCCAGCAACGCAAAGCTGCTCCATGTGCCCCAAATCAACTCGAGATGAGGCCCGATTCCCCTGCATTGACTCCAGAGCCATTCCCCGTTCCCCATTCAACACGACCGGTGGCTCGACTTCCTTCAGGCAACTCCAGGGATGCCCCGAGAACACTGTCCCAAGTCTAGAGGAACAGCAACTTCAGCACAGCAACTCGAGGAATGCCCTGTGTACCACAAATCGTCTCGAGATGAGAGCTGATTCCCTGGCTTAGGCTCAAGACGTATGCCACCTTTCCAGAAGCACCTCAGGAGGACGCTTCTCTCAGCAATAGGTATGTGGGAGGGACCCCGAGTTTGCTGCCTCAAGGGGAATATACAGCGAGAAGCCCTAACTTGAAAGGAAGCCGGATTTCCTTCCAGTGGCTTGAATACAGGCTCGTCTTTCATCTCACAACATGAAGGGATGTCTGAATCCCCTGTAGAGACCTTAGAGAAAGCCCTAGGTCCCTGCCTCATTTTCACGGAATGCCTCACATCCCGCTGACACCTCGAGAGGCACGCGGAGTTCATTGCTTCAAAAGGTGACGATGCCTGACTCCTCTTGAATACTGATAGGAATCCCAAAATCCCTGTGGCTAATGGAAAGGGTCCTTGGGTGCCCTGCCTCACCTCGAGAAGCGTCCCTTTTGCCCTGCCAAGACTCGAAGAGATTCCTGAGGTGTCACTCGTTACTAGGCAGGAGTCCTGACCTCACTGAAGAAAGTCGTGTTTTGAAGGGCCATCCCTGCCGTAAGTCGAGAACATACCCCAGGTCCCCGCCGCAACTCGAGAAAAACCATGAGACTTCCCCCTAGAGGCGAGATGAGGCCCCATTCCCCTGCAGTGCATGCAGAGCTATTCCGTGATCCCATTCAAACAAGTCAGGAGCTTCGACTTGCTTAATGGATCTCGAGACAGTCCCCAAGAACACTGTCACCAGTCTAGACGGACCCTGAGGTCACCCAGCAATGCAAAGCAGCTCCATGTGCCCCAAATCAACTCGAGATGAGACCCGATTCCCCTGCATTGACTCCAGAGCCATTCCCCGTTCCCCATTCAACACGACCGGTGGCTCGACTTCCTTCAGGCAACTCCAGGGATGCCCCGAGAACACTGTCCCAAGTCTAGAGGAACACCAACTTCAGCACAGCAACTCGAGGAATGCTCTGTGTACCCCAAATCGTCTCGAGATGAGAGCTGATTCCCTGGCTTAGGCTCAAGACGTATGCCACCTTTCCAGAAGCACCTCAGGAGGAGGCTTCTCTCAGCAATAGGTATGTGGGAGGGACCCCGAGTTTGCTGCCTCAAGGGGAATATACAGCGAGAAGCCCTAACTTGAAAGGAGGCCGGATTTCCTTGCAGTGGCTTGAATACAGGCTCTTCTTTGATCTGACAACATGAAGGGATGTCTGAATCCCCTGTGGAGACCTTAGAGAAAACCCTAGGTCCCTGCCTCATTTTGACGGAATGCCTCACATCCCACTGACACCTCGAGAGGCACGCGGAGTTCATTGCTTCAAAAGGTGACGATGCCTGACTCCTCTTGAATACTGATAGGAATCCCAAAATCCCTGTGGCTACTGGAAAGGGTCCTTGGGTGCCCTGGCTCACCTCGAGAAGCGTCCCTTTTGCCCTGCCAAGCCTCGAAGAGATTGCTGAGGTGTCCCTCGTTACTAGACAGGAGTCCTGACGTCACGGAAGAAACTCGTGTTTTGAAGGGCCATCCCCGCCGTAAGTCGAGAACATACCCCAGGTCCCCGCCGCAACTCGAGAAAAACCATGAGACTTCCCCCTAGAGGCGAGATGAGGCCCCATTCCCCTGCAGTGCATGCAGAGCTATTCCGTGATCCCATTCAAACAAGTCAGGAGCTTCGACTTGCTTAATGGATCTCGAGACAGTCCCCAAGAACACTGTCACCAGTCTAGACGGACCCTGAGGTCACCCAGCAATGCAAAGCACCTCCATGTGCCCCAAATCAACTCGAGATGAGGCCGGATTCCCCTGCATTGACTCCAGAGCCATTCCTTGTTCCCCATTCAACACGACCGGTGGCTCGACTTCCTTCAGGCAACTCCAGAGATGCCCCGAGAACATTGTCCCAAGTCTAGAGGACCACCAACTTCAGCACAGCAACTCGAGAAATGCTCTGTGTACCCCAAATCGTCTCGAGATGAGAGCTGAATCCCTGGCTTAGGCTCAAGGCGTATGCCAACTTTCCAGAAGCACCTCAGGAGGAGGCTTCTCTCAGCAATAGGTATGTGGGAGGGACTCCGAGTTTGCTGCCTCAAGGGGAATATACAGCGAGAAGCCCTAACTTGAAAGGAGGCCGGATTTCCTTGCAGTGGCTTGAATACAGGCTCGTCTTTCATCTCACAACATGAAGGGATGTCTGAATCCCCTGTGGAGACCTTAGAGAAAGCCCTAGGTCCCTGCCTCATTTTGACGGAATCCTCACATCCCGCTGACACCTCGAGAGGCACGCGGAGTTCATTGCTTCAAAAGGTGACGATGCCTGACTCCTCTTGAATACTGATAGGAATCCCAAAATCCCTGTGGCTACTGGAAAGGGTCCTTGGGTGCCCTGGCTCACCTCGAGAAGCGTCCCTTTTGCCCTGCCAAGCCTCGAAGAGATTCCTGAGGTGTCCCTCATTACTAGACAGGAGTCCTGACGTCACTGAAGAAACTCGTGTTTTGAAGGGCCATCCCCGCCGTAAGTCGAGAACATACCCCAGGTCCCCGCCGCAACTCGAGAAAAACCATGAGACTTCCCCCTAGAGGCGAGATGAGGCCCCATTCCCCTGCAGGGCATGCAGAGCTATTCCGTGATCCCATTCAAACAAGTCAGGAGCTTCGACTTGCTTAATGGATCTCGAGACAGTCCCCAAGAACACTGTCACCAGTCTAGACGGACCCTGAGGTCACCCCAGCAACGCAAAGCTGCTCCATGTGCCCCAAATCAACTCGAGATGAGGCCCGATTCCCCTGCATTGACTCCAGAGCCATTCCCCATTCCCCATTCAACACGACCGGTGGCTCGACTTCCTTCAGGCAACTCCAGAGATGCCCCGAGAACACTCTCCCAAGTCTAGAGGAGCACCAATTTCAGCACAGCAACCCGAGGAATGCTCCGTGTACCCCAAATCATCTCGAGATGAGAGCTGATTCCCTGGCTTAGGCTCAAGACGTATGCCAACTTTCCAGAAGCACCTCAGGAGGAGGCTTCTCTCAGCAATAGGTATGTGGGAGGGACCCCGAGTTTGCTGCCTCAAGGGGAATACACAGGGAAAAGCCCTAATGTGAACGGAGGCCAGATTTCCTTGCAGTGGCTTGAATACAGGCTCGTCTTTGATCTGACAACATGAAGGTATTTCTGAATCCCCTGTGGAGAACTTAGAGGAAGCCCTAGGTCCCTGCCTCATTTTGACGGAATACCTCACATCCCCCTGACACCTCGAGAGGCACGCAGAGTTCATTGCTTCAAAAGGTGACGATGCCTGACTCCTCTTGAATACTTATAGGAATCCCAAAATCCCTGTGGCTACTGGAAAGGGTTCTTGGGTGCCCTGGCTCACCTCGAGAAGCGTCCCTTTTGCCCTGCCAAGCCTCGAAGAGATTGCTGACGTGTCCGTCGTTACTAGACAGGAGTCCTGACGTCACTGAAGAAACTCGTGTTTTGAAGGGCCATCCCCGCCGTAAGTCGAGAACATACCCCAGTTCCCCGCCGCAACTCGAGAAAAACCATGAGACTTCCCCCTAGAGGCGAGATGAGGCCCCATTCCCCTGCAGTGCATGCAGAGCTATTCCGTGATCCCATTCAAACAAGTCAGGAGCTTCGACTTGCTTAATGGATCTCGAGGCAGTCCCCAAGAACACTGTCACCAGTCTAGACGGACCCTGCGGTCACCCCAGCAACGCAAAGCAGCTCCAGGTGCCACAAATCAACTCTAGATGAGGCCCGATTCCCCTGCATTGACTCCAGAGCCATTCCCTGTTCCCCATTCAACACGACCGGTGGCTAGACTTCCTTCAGGCAACTCCAGAGATGCCCAGAGAACACTGTCCCAAGTCTAGAGGAACACCAACTTCAGCACAGCAACACGAGGAATGCTCTGTGTACCCCAAATCGTCTCGAGATGAGAGCTGAATCCCTGGCTTAGGCTCAAGACGTATGCCAACTTTCCAGAAGCACCTCAGGAGGAGGCTTCTCTCAGCAATAGGTATGTGGGAGGGACTCCGAGTTTGCTGCCTCAAGGGGAATATACAGCGAGAAGCCCTAACTTGAAAGGAGGCCGGATTTCCTTGCAGTGGCTTGAATACAGGCTCGTCTTTCATCTCACAACATGAAGGGATGTCTGAATCCCCTGTGGAGACCTTAGAGAAAGCCCTAGGTCCCTGCCTCATTTTGACGGAATCCTCACATCCCGCTGACACTTCGAGAGGCACGCGGAGTTCATTGCTTCAAAAGGTGACGATGCCTGACTCCTCTTGAATACTGATAGGAATCCCAAAATCCCTGTGGCTACTGGAAAGGGTCCTTGGGTGCCCTGGCTCACCTCGAGATGCGTCCCTTTTGCCCTGCCAAGCCTCGAAGAGATTGCTGATGTGTCCCTCGTTACTAGACAGGAGTCCTGTCGTCACTGAAGAAACTCGTGTTTTGAAGGGCCATCCCCGCCGTAAGTCGAGAACATACCCCAGGTCCCCGCCTCAACTCGAGAAAAACCATGAGACTTCCCCCTAGAAGCGAGATGAGGCCCCATTCCCCTGCACTGCATGCAGAGCTATTCCGTGATCCCATTCAAACAAGTCAGGAGCTTCGACTTGCTTAATGGATCTCGAGACAGTCCCCAAGAACACTGTCACCAGTCTAGACGGACCCTGAGGTCACCCAGCAATGCAAAGCAGCTCCATGTGCCCCAAATCAACTCGAGATGAGGCCGGATTCCCCTGCATTGACTCCAGAGCCATTCCTTGTTCCCCATTCAACACGACCGGTGGCTCGACTTCCTTTAGGCAACTCCGGAGATGCACCAAGAACACTGTCCCAAGTCTAGAGGACCACCAACTTCAGCACAGCAACTCGAGGAATGCTCTGTGTACCACAAATCGTCTCGAGATGAGAGCTGATTCCCTGGCTTAGGCTCAAGACGTATGCCACCTTTCCAGAAGCACCTCAGGAGGAGGCTTCTCTCAGCAATAGGTATGTGGGAGGGACCCCGAGTTTGCTGCCTCAAGGGGAATATACAGCGAGAAGCCCTAACTTGAAAGGAGGCCGGATTTCCTTGCAGTGGCTTGAATACAGGCTCGTCTTTCATCTCACAACATGAAGGGATGTCTGAGTCCCCTGTGGAGACCTTAGATAAAGCCCTAGGTCCCTGCCTCATTTTGACGGAATCCTCACATCCCGCTGACACCTCGAGAGGCACGCGGAGTTCATTGCTTCAAAAGGTGACGATGCCTGACTCCTCTTGAATACTGATAGGAATCCCAAAATCCCTGTGGCTACTGGAAAGGGTCCTTGGGTGCCCTGGCTCACCTCGAGAAGCGTCCCTTTTGCCCTGCCAAGCCTCGAAGAGATTGCTGATGTGTCCCTCGTTACTAGACAGGAGTCCTGACGTCACTGAAGAAACTCGTGTTTTGAAGGGCCATCCCCGCCGTAAGTCGAGAACATACCCCAGGTCCCCGCCTCAACTCGAGAAAAACCATGAGACTTCCCCCTAGAGGCGAGATGAGGCCCCATTCCCCTGCAGTGCATGCAGAGCTATTCCGTGATCCCATTCAAACAAGTCAGGAGCTTCGACTTGCTTAATGGATCTCGAGGCAGTCCCCAAGAACACTGTCACTAGTCTAGACGGACCCTGCGGTCACCCCAGCAACGCAAAGCAGCTCCAGGTGCCACAAATCAACTCTAGATGAGGCCCGATTCCCCTGCATTGACTCCAGAGCCATTCCCTGTTCCCCATTCAACACGACCGGTGGCTAGACTTCCTTCAGGCAACTCCAGAGATGCCCAGAGAACACTGTCCCAAGTCTAGAGGAACACCAACTTCAGCACAGCAACACGAGGAATGCTCTGTGTACCCCAAATCGTCTCGAGATGAGAGCTGAATCCCTGGCTTAGGCTCAAGACGTATGCCAACTTTCCAGAAGCACCTCAGGAGGAGGCTTCTCTCAGCAATAGGTATGTGGGAGGGACTCCGAGTTTGCTGCCTCAAGGGGAATATACAGCGAGAAGCCCTAACTTGAAAGGAGGCCGGATTTCCTTGCAGTGGCTTGAATACAGGCTCGTCTTTCATCTCACAACATGAAGGGATGTCTGAATCCCCTGTGGAGACCTTAGAGAAAGCCCTAGGTCCCTGCCTCATTTTGACGGAATCCTCACATCCCGCTGACACCTCGAGAGGCACGCGGAGTTCATTGCTTCAAAAGGTGACGATGCCTGACTCCTCTTGAATACTGATAGGAATCCCAAAATCCCTGTGGCTACTGGAAAGGGTCCTTGGGTGCCCTGGCTCACCTCGAGATGCGTCCCTTTTGCCCTGCCAAGCCTCGAAGAGATTGCTGATGTGTCCCTCGTTACTAGACAGGAGTCCTGTCGTCACTGAAGAAACTCGTGTTTTGAAGGGCCATCCCCGCCGTAAGTCGAGAACATACCCCAGGTCCCCGCCTCAACTCGAGAAAAACCATGAGACTTCCCCCTAGAAGCGAGATGAGGCCCCATTCCCCTGCACTGCATGCAGAGCTATTCCGTGATCCCATTCAAACAAGTCAGGAGCTTCGACTTGCTTAATGGATCTCGAGACAGTCCCCAAGAACACTGTCACCAGTCTAGACGGACCCTGAGGTCACCCAGCAATGCAAAGCAGCTCCATGTGCCCCAAATCAACTCGAGATGAGGCCGGATTCCCCTGCATTGACTCCAGAGCCATTCCTTGTTCCCCATTCAACACGACCGGTGGCTCGACTTCCTTTAGGCAACTCCGGAGATGCACCAAGAACACTGTCCCAAGTCTAGAGGACCACCAACTTCAGCACAACAACTCGAGGAATGCTCTGTGTACCAAAAATCGTCTCGAGATGAGAGCTGATTCCCTGGCTTAGGCTCAAGACGTATGCCACCTTTCCAGAAGCACCTCAGGAGGAGGCTTCTCTCAGCAATAGGTATGTGGGAGGGACCCCGAGTTTGCTGCCTCAAGGGGAATATACAGCGAGAAGTCCTAACTTGAAAGGAGGCCGGATTTCCTTGCAGTGGCTTGAATACCGGCTCGTCTTTCATCTCACAACATGAAGGGATGTCTGAATCCCCTGTGGAGACCTTAGAGAAAGCCCTAGGTCCCTGCCTCATTTTGACGGAATCCTCACATCCCGCTGACACCTCGAGAGGCACGCGGAGTTCATTGCTTCAAAAGGTGACGATGCCTGACTCCTCTTGAATACTTATAGGAATCCCAAAATCCCTGTGGCTACTGGAAAGGGTCCTTGGGTGCCCTGGCTCACCTCGAGAAGCGTCCCTTTTGCCCTGCCAAGCCTCGAAGAGATTCCTGAGGTGTCCCTCGTTACTAGACAGGAGTCCTGACGTCACTGAAGAAACTCGTGTTTTGAAGGGCCATCCCCGCCGTAAGTCGAGAACATACCCCAGGTCCCCGCCGCAACTCGAGAAAAACCATGAGACTTCCCCCTAGAGGCGAGATGAGGCCCCATTCACGTGCAGGGCATGCAGAGCTATTCCGTGATCCCATTCAAACAAGTCAGGAGCTTCGACTTGCTTAATGGATCTCGAGACAGTCCCCAAGAACACTGTCACCAGTCTAGACGGACCCTGAGGTCACCCCAGCAACGCAAAGCTGCTCCATGTGCCCCAAATCAACTCGAGATGAGGCCCGATTCCCCTGAATTGACTCCAGAGCCATTCCCCGTTCCCCATTCAACACGACCGGTGGCTCGACTTCCTTCAGGCAACTCCAGAGATGCCCCGAGAACACTCTCCCAAGTCTAGAGGAGCACCAATTTCAGCACAGCAACCCGAGGAATGCTCCGTGTACCCCAAATCATCTCGAGATGAGAGCTGATTCCCTGGCTTAGGCTCAAGACGTATGCCACCTTTCCAGAAGCACCTCAGGAGGAGGCTTCTCTCAGCAATAGGTATGTGGGAGGGACCCCGAGTTTGCTGCCTCAAGGGGAATATACAGCGAGAAGCCCTAACTAGAAAGGAGGCCGGATTTCCTTGCAGTGGCTTGAATACAGGCTCGTCTTTCATCTCACAACATGAAGGGATGTCTGAATCCCCTGTGGAGACCTTAGATAAAGCCCTAGGTCCCTGCCTCATTTTGACGGAATCCTCACATCCCGCTGACACCTCGAGAGGCACGCGGAGTTCATTGCTTCAAAAGGTGACGATGCCTGACTCCTCTTGAATACTGATAGGAATCCCAAAATCCCTGTGGCTACTGGAAAGGGTCCTTGGGTGCCCTGGCTCACCTCGAGAAGCGTCCCTTTTGCCCTGCCAAGCCTCGAAGAGATTGCTGATGTGTCCCTCGTTACTAGACAGGAGTCCTGACGTCACTGAAGAAACTCGTGTTTTGAAGGGCCATCCCCGCCGTAAGTCGAGAACATACCCCAGGTCCCCGCCTCAACTCGAGAAAAACCATGAGACTTCCCCCTAGAGGCGAGATGAGGCCCCATTCCCCTGCAGTGCATGCAGAGCTATTCCGTGATCCCATTCAAACAAGTCAGGAGCTTCGACTTGCTTAATGGATCTCGAGACAGTCCCCAAGAACACTGTCACCAGTCTAGAAGGACCCTGAGGTCACCCAGCAATGCAAAGCAGCTCCATGTGCCCCAAATCAACTCGAGATGAGGCCGGATTCCCCTGCATTGACTCCAGAGCCATTCCTTGTTCCCCATTCAACACGACCAGTGGCTCGACTTCCTTCAGGCAACTCCAGAGATGCCCCGAGAACACTGTCCCAAGTCTAGAGGAACACCAACTTCAGCACAGCAACTCGAGGAATGCTCTGTGTACCCCAAATCGTCTCAAGATGAGAGCTGATTCCCTGGCTTAGGCTCAAGACGTATGCCACCTTTCCAGAAGCTCCTCAGGAGGAGGCTTCTCTCAGCAATAGGTATGTGGGAGCGACCCCGAGTTTGCTGCCTCAAGGGTAATACACAGGGAGAAGCCCTAACGTGAACGGAGGCCAGATTTCCTTGCAGTGGGTTGAATAAAGGCTCGTCTTCGATCTGAAAACATGAAGGGATGTCTGAATTCCCTGTGGAGACCTTAGAGGAAGCCCTAGGTCCCTGCCTCATTTTGACGGAATACCTCACATCCCCCTGACACCTCGAGAGGCACGCAGAGTTCATTGCTTCAAAAGGTGACGATGCCTGACTCCTCTTGAATACTTATAGGAATCCCAAAATCCCTGTTGCTACTGGAAAGGGTCCTTGGGTGCCCTGGCTCACCTCGAGAAGCGTCCCTTTTGCCCTGCCAAGCCTCGAAGAAATTGCTGAGGTGTCCCTCGTTACTAGACAGGAGTCCTGACGTCACGGAAGAAACTCGTGTTTTGAAGGGCCATCCCCACCGTAAGTCGAGAACATACCCCAGGTCCCCGCCGCAACTCGAGAAAAACCATGAGACTTCCCCCTAGAGGCGAGATGAGGCCCCATTCCCCTGCAGTGCATGCAGAGCTATTCCGTGATCCCATTCAAACAAGTCAGGAGCTTCGACTTGCTTAATGGATCTCGAGACAGTCCCCAAGAACACTGTCACCAGTCTAGACGGACCCTGAGGTCACCCAGCAATGCAAAGCAGCTCCATGTGCCCCAAATCAACTCGAGATGAGGCCGGATTCCCCTGCATTGACTCCAGAGCCATTCCTTGTTCCCTATTCAACACGACCGGTGGCTCGACTTCTTTCAGGCAACTCCAGAGATGCCCCGAGAACACTGTCCCAGGTCTAGAGGACCACCAACTTCAGCACAGCAACTCGAGAAATGCTCTGTGTACCCCAAATCGCCTCGAGATGAGAGCTGATTCCCTGGCTTAGGCTCAAGACGTATGCCACCTTTCCAGAAGCACCTCAGGAGGAGGCTTCTCTCAGCAATAGGTATGTGGGAGGGACCCCGAGTTTGCTGCCTCAAGGGGAATATACAGCGAGAAGCCCTAACTTGAAAGGAGGCCGGATTTCCTTGCAGTGGCTTGAATACAGGCTCGTCTTTCATCTCACAACATGAAGGGATGTCTGAATCCCCTGTGGAGACCTTAGAGAAAGCCCTAGGTCCCTGCCTCATTTTGACGGAATCCTCATATCCCGCTGACACCTCGAGAGGCACGCGGAGTTCATTGCTTCAAAAGGTGACGATGCCTGACTCCTCTTGAATACTTATAGGAATCCCAAAATCCCTGTGGCTACTGGAAAGGGTCCTTGGGTGCCCTGGCTCACCTCAAGAAGCGTCCCTTTTGCCCTGCCAAGCCTCGAAGAGATTCCTGAGGTGTCCCTCGTTACTAGACAGGAGTCCTGACGTCACGGAAGAAACTCGTGTTTTGAAGGGCCATCCCCGCCGTAAGTCGAGAACATACCCCAGGTCCCCGCCGCAACTCGAGAAAAACCATGAGACTTCCCCCTAGAGGCGAGATGAGGCCCCATTCCCCTGCAGTGCATGCAGAGCTATTCCGTGATCCCATTCAAACAAGTCAGGAGCTTCGACTTGCTTAATGGATCTCGAGACAGTCCCCAAGAACACTGTCACCAGTCTAGACGGACCCTGAGGTCACCCAGCAATGCAAAGCAGCTCCATGTGCCCCAAATCAACTCGAGATGAGGCCGGATTAACCTGCATTGACTCCAGAGCCATTCCTTGTTCCCCATTCAACACGACCGGTGGCTCGACTTCCTTCAGGCAACTCCAGAGATGCCCCGAGAACACTGTCCCAAGTCTAGAGGAACACCAACTTCAGCACAGCAACTCGAGGAATGCTCTGTGTACCCCAAATCGTCTCGAGATGAGAGCTGATTCCCTGGCTTAGGCTCAAGACGTATGCCACCTTTCCAGAAACACCTCAGGAGGAGGCTTCTCTCAGTAATAGGTATGTGGGAGGGACCCCGAGTTTGCTGCCTCAAGGGGAATATACAGCGAGAAGCCCTAACTTGAAAGGAGGCCGGATTTCCTTGCAGTGGCTTGAATACAGGCTCATCTTTCATCTCACAACATGAAGGGATGTCTGAATCCCCTGTGGAGACCTTAGAGAAAGCCCTAGGTCCCTGCCTCATTTTGACGGAATCCTCATATCCCGCTGACACCTCGAGAGGCACGCGGAGTTCATTGCTTCAAAAGGTGACGATGCCTGACTCCTCTTGAATACTGATAGGAATCCCAAAATCCCTGTGGCTACTGGAAAGGGTCCTTGGGTGCCCTGGCTCACCTCGAGATGCGTCCCTTTTGCCCTGCCAAGCCTCGAAGAGATTGCTGATGTGTCCCTCGTTACTAGACAGGAGTCCTGACGTCACTGAAGAAACTCGTGTTTTGAAGGGCCATCCCCGCCGTAAGTCGAGAACATACCCCAGGTCCCCGCCTCAACTCGAGAAAAACCATGAGACTTCCCCCTAGAAGCGAGATGAGGCCCCATTCCCCTGCACTGCATGCAGAGCTATTCCGTGATCCCATTCAAACAAGTCAGGAGCTTCGACTTGCTTAATGGATCTCGAGACAGTCCCCAAGAACACTGTCACCAGTCTAGACGGACCCTGAGGTCACCCAGCAATGCAAAGCAGCTCCATGTGCCCCAAATCAACTCGAGATGAGGCCGGATTCCCCTGCATTGACTCCAGAGCCATTCCTTGTTCCCCATTCAACACGACCGGTGGCTCGACTTCCTTCAGGCAACTCCGGAGATGCACCAAGAACACTGTCCCAAGTCTAGAGTACCACCAACTTCAGCACAGCAACTCGAGGAATGCTCTGTGTACCACAAATCGGCTCGAGATGAGAGCTGATTCCCTGGCTTAGGCTCAAGACGTATGCCACCTTTCCAGAAGCACCTCAGGAGGAGGCTTCTCTCAGCAATAGGTATGTGGGAGGGACCCCGAGTTTGCTGCCTCAAGGGTAATATACAGCGAGAAGCCCTAACTTGAAAGGAGGCCGGATTTCCTTGCAGTGGCTTGAATACAGGCTCGTCTTTCATCTCACAACATGAAGGATGTCTGAATCCCCTGTAGAGACCTTAGAGAAAGCCCTAGGTCCCTGCCTCATTTTGACGGAATCCTCACATCCCGCTGACACCTCGAGAGGCACGTGGAGTTCATTGCTTCAAAAGGTGACGATGCCTGACTCCTCTTGAATACTGATAGGAATCCCAAAATCCCTGTGGCTACTGGAAAGGGTCCTTGGGTGCCCTGGCTCACCTCGAGAAGCGTCCCTTTTGCCCTGCCAAGCCTCGAAGAGATTGCTGAGGTGTCCCTCGTTACTAGACAGGAGTCCTGACGTCACTGAAGAAACTCGTGTTTTGAAGGGCCATCCCCGCCGTAAGTCGAGAACATACCCCAGGTCCCTGCCACAACTCGAGAAAAACCATGAGACTTCCCCCTAGAGGCGAGATGAGGCCCCATTCCCCTGCAGTGCATGCAGAGCTATTCCGTGATCCCATTCAAACAAGTCAGGAGCTTCGACTTGCTTAATGGATCTCGAGACAGTCCCCAAGAACACTGTCACCAGTCTAGACGGACCCTGAGGTCACCCAGCAATGCAAAGCAGCTCCATGTGCCCCAAATCAACTCGAGATGAGGCCCGATTCCCCTGCATTGACTCCAGAGCCATTCCCTGTTCCCCATTCAACACGACAGGTGGCTCGACTTCCTTCAGGCAACTCCAGGGATGCCCCGAGAACACTGTCCCAAGTCTAGAGGAACACCAACTTCAGCACAGCAACTCGAGGAATGCTCTGTGTACCCCTAATTGTCTCGAGATGAGAGCTGATTCCCTGGCTTAGGCTCAAGACGTATGCCACCTTTCCAGAAGCACCTCAGAAGGAGGCTTCTCTCAGCAATAGGTATGTGGGAGGGACCCCGAGTTTGCTGCCTCAAGGGGAATATACAGCGAGAAGCCCAAACTTGAAAGGAGGCCGGATTTCCTTGCAGTGGCTTGAATACAGGCTCGTCTTTGATCTGACAACATGAAGGGATGTCTGAATCCCCTGTGGAGACCTTAGAGAAAGCCCTAGGTCCCTGCCTCATTTTGACGGAATGCCTCACATCCCGCTGACACCTCGAGAGGCACGCCGAGTTCATTGCTTCAAAAGGTGACGATGCCTGACTCCTCTTGAATACTGATAGGAATCCCAAAATCCCTGTGGCTACTGGAAAGGGTCCTTGGGTGCCCTGGCTCACCTCGAGAAGCGTCCCTTTTGCCCTGCCAAGCCTCGAAGAGATTCCTGAGGTGTCCCTCTTTACTAGGCAGGAGTCCTGACGTCACTGGAGAAACTCGTGTTTTGAAGGGCCATCCCCGCCGTAAGTCGAGAACATACCCCAGGGCCCCGCCGCAACTCGAGAAAAACCGTGAGACTTCCCCCTAGAGGCGAGATGAGGCCCCATTCCCCTGCAGTGCATGCAGAGCTATTCCGTGATCCCATTCAAACAAGTCAGGAGCTTCGACTTGCTTAATGGATCTCGAGACAGTCCCCAAGAACACTGTCACCAGTCTAGACGGACCCTGAGGTCACCCAGCAATGCAAAGCAGCTCCATGTGCCCAAAATCAACTCGAGATGAGGCCGGATTCCCCTGCATTGACTCCAGAGCCATTCCTTGTTCCCCATTCAACACGACCGGTGGCTCGACTTCCTTCAGGCAACTCCAGAGATGCCTCGAGAGCACTATCCCAAGTCTAGAGGACCACCAACTTCAGCAGAGCAACTCGAGGAATGCTCTGTGTACCCCAAATCGTCTCGAGATGAGAGCTGATTCCCTGGCTTAGGCTCAAGACGTATGCCACCTTTCCAGAAGCACCTCAGGAGGAGGCTTCTCTCAGCAATAGGTATGTGGGAGGGACCCCGAGTTTGCTGCCTCAAGGGGAATATACAGCGAGAAGCCCTAACTTGAAAGGAGGCCGGATTTCCTTGCAGTGGCTTGAATACAGGCTCGTCTTTCATCTCACAACATGAAGGGATGTCTGAATCCCCTGTGGAGACCTTAGAGAAAGCCCTAGGTCCCTGCCTCATTTTGACGGAATCCTCACATCCCGCTGACACCTCGAGAGGCACGCGGAGTTCATTGCTTCAAAAGGTGACGATGCCTGACTCCTCTTGAATACTTATAGGAATCCCAAAATCCCTGTGGCTACTGGAAAGGGTCCTTGGGTGCCCAGGCTCACCTCGAGAAGCGTCCCTTTTGCCCTGCCAAGCCTCGAAGAGATTGCTGACGTGTCCCTCGTTACTAGGCAGGAGTCCTGACGTCACTGAAGAAACTCGTGTTTTGAAGGGCCATCCCCGCCGTAAGTCGAGAACATACCCCAGGTCCCCGCCGCAACTCGAGAAAAACCATGAGACTTCCCCCTAGAGGCGAGATGAGGCCCCATTCCCCTGCAGTGCATGCAGAGCTATTCCGTGATCCCATTCAAACAAGTCAGGAGCTTCGACTTGCTTAATGGATCTCGAGGCAGACCCCAAGAACACTGTCACCAGTCTAGACGGACCCTGAGGTCACCCAGCAATGCAAAGCAGCTCCATGTGCCCCAAATCAACTCGAGATGAGGCCGGATTCCCCTGCATTGACTCCAGAGCCATTCCTTGTTCCCCATTCAACAAGACCGGTGGCTCGACTTCTTTCAGGCAACTCCAGAGATGCCCCGAGAACACTGTCCCAAGTCTAGAGGACCACCAACTTCAGCACAGCAACTCGAGAAATGCTCTGTGTACCCCAAATCGTCTCGAGATGAGAGCTGATTCCCTGGCTTAGGCTCAAGACGTATGCCACCTTTCCAGAAGCACCTCAGGAGGAGGTTTCTCTCAGCAATAGGTATGTGGGAGGGACCCCGAGTTTGCTGCCTCAAGGGGAATATACAGCGAGAAGCCCTAACTTGAAAGGAGGCCGGATTTCCTTGCAGTGGCTTGAATACAGGCTCGTCTTTCATCTCACAACATGAAGGGATGTCTGAATCCCCTGTGGAGACCTTAGAGAAAGCCCTAGGTCCCTGCCTCATTTTGACGGAATCCTCATATCCCGCTGACACCTCGAGAGGCACGCGGAGTTCATTGCTTCAAAAGTTGACGATGCCTGACTCCTCTTGAATACTGATAGGAATCCCAAAATCCCTGTGGCTACTGGAAAGGGTCCTTGGGTGCCCTGGCTCACCTCGAGAAGCGTCCCTTTTGCCCTGCCAAGCCTCGAAGAGATTGCTGAGGTGTCCCTCGTTACTAGACAGGAGTCCTGACGTCACGGAAGAAACTCGTGTTTTGAAGGGCCATCCCCGCCGTAAGTCGAGAACATACCCCAGGTCCCAGCTGCAACTCGAGAAAAACCATGAGACTTCCCCCTAGAGGCGAGATGAGGCCCCATTCCCCTGCAGTGCATGCAGAGCTATTCCGTGAATCCATTCAAACAAGTCAGGAGCTTCGACTTGCTTAATGGATCTCGAGACAGTCCCCAAGAACACTGTCACCAGTCTAGACGGACCCTGAGGTCACCCAGCAATGCAAAGCAGCTCCATGTGCCCCAAATCAACTCGAGATGAGGCCGGATTCTCCTGCATTGACTCCAGAGCCATTCCTTGTTCCCCATTCAACACGACCGGTGGCTCGACTTCCTTCAGGCAACTCCAGAGATGCCCCGAGAACACTGTCCCAAGTCTAGAGGAACACCAACTTCAGCACAGCAACTCGAGGAATGCTCTGTGTACCCCAAATCGTCTCGAGATGAGAGCTGATTCCCTGGCTTAGGCTCAAGACGTATGCCACCTTTCCAGAAACACCTCAGGAGGAGGCTTCTCTCAGCAATAGGTATGTGGGAGGGACCCCGAGTTTGCTGCCTCAAGGGGAATATACAGCGAGAAGTCCTAACTTGAAAGGAGGCCGGATTTCCTTGCAGTAGCTTGAATACAGGCTTGTCTTTCATCTCACAACATGAAGGGATGTCTGAATCCCCTGTGGAGACCTTAGAGAAAGCCCTAGGACCCTGCCTCATTTTGACGGAATGCCTCACATCCCGCTGACAACCCGAGAGGCACGCGGAGTTCATTGCTTCAAAAGGTGACGATGCCTGACTCCTCTTGAATACTTATAGGAATCCCAAAATCCCTGTGGCTACTGGAAAGGTTCCTTGGGTGCCCTGGCTCACCTCGAGAAGCGTCCCTTTTGCCCTGCCAAGCCTCGAAGACATTCCTGAGGTGTCCCTCGTTACTAGACAGGAGTCCTGACGTCACTGAAGAAACTCGTGTTTTGAAGGGCCATCCCCGCCGTAAGTCGAGAACATACCCCAGGTCCCCGCCGCAACTCGAGAAAAACCATGAGACTTCCCCCTAGAGGCGAGATGAGGCCCCATTCCCCTGCAGTGCATGCAGAGCTATTCCGTGATCCCATTCAAACAAGTCAGGAGCTTCGACTTGCTTAATGGATCTCGAGACAGTCCCCAAGAACACTGTCACCAGTCTAGACGGACCGTGAGGTCACCCCAGCAACGCAAAGCTGCTCCATGTGCCCCAAATCAACTCGAGATGAGGCCCGATTCCCCTGCATTGACTCCAGAGCCATTCCCCGTTCCCCATTCAACACGACCGGTGGCTCGACTTCCTTCAGGCAACTGCAGAGATGCCCCGAGAACACTGCCCCAAGTCTAGAGGAACACCAACTTCAGCACAGCAACTCGAGGAATGCTCCATGTACCCCAAATCATCTCGAGATGAGAGCTGATTCTCTGGCTTAGGCTCAAGACGTATGCCAACTTTCCAGAAGCACCTCAGGAGGAGGCTTCTCTCAGCAATAGGTATGTGGGAGCGACCCCGAGTTTGCTGCCTCAAGGGTAATACACAGGGAGAAGCCCTAACGTGAACGGAGGCCAGATTTCCTTGCAGTGGGTTGAATAAAGGCTCGTCTTCGATCTGAAAACATGAAGGGATGTCTGAATTCCCTGTGGAGACCTTAGAGGAAGCCCTAGGTCCCTGCCTCATTTTGACGGAATACCTCACATCCCCCTGACACCTCGAGAGGCACGCAGAGTTCATTGCTTCAAAAGGTGACGATGCCTGACTCCTCTTGAATACTTATAGGAATCCCAAAATCCCTGTTGCTACTGGAAAGGGTCCTTGGGTGCCCTGGCTCACCTCGAGAAGCGTCCCTTTTGCCCTGCCAAGCCTCGAAGAAATTGCTGAGGTGTCCCTCGTTACTAGACAGGAGTCCTGACGTCACGGAAGAAACTCGTGTTTTGAAGGGCCATCCCCACCGTAAGTCGAGAACATACCCCAGGTCCCCACCGCAACTCGAGAAAAACCATGAGACTTCCATCTAGAGGCGAGATGAGGCCCCATTCCCCTGCAGTGCATGCAGAGCTATTCCGTGATCCCATTCAAACAAGTCAGGAGCTTCGACTTGCTTAATGGATCTCGAGACAGTCCCCAAGAACACTGTCACCAGTCTAGACGGACCCTGAGGTCACCCAGCAATGCAAAGCAGCTCCATGTGCCCCAAATCAACTCGAGATGAGGCCGGATTCCCCTGCATTGACTCCAGAGCCATTCCTTGTTCCGTATTCAACACGACCGGTGGCTCGACTTCTTTCAGGCAACTCCAGAGATGCCCCGAGAACACTGTCCCAAGTCTAGAGGACCACCAACTTCAGCACAGCAACTCGAGAAATGCTCTGTGTACCCCAAATCGCCTCGAGATGAGAGCTGATTCCCTGGCTTAGGCTCAAGACGTATGCCACCTTTCCAGAAGCACCTCAGGAGGAGGCTTCTCTCAGCAATAGGTATGTGGGAGGGACCCCGAGTTTGCTGCCTCAAGGGGAATATACAGCGAGAAGCCCTAACTTGAAAGGAGGCCGGATTTCCTTGCAGTGGCTTGAATACCGGCTCGTCTTTCATCTCACAACATGAAGGGATGTCTGAATCCCCTGTGGAGACCTTAGAGAAAGCCCTAGGTCCCTGCCTCATTTTGACGGAATCCTCATATCCCGCTGACACCTCGAGAGGCACGCGGAGTTCATTGCTTCAAAAGGTGACGATGCCTGACTCCTCTTGAATACTTATAGGAATCCCAAAATCCCTGTGGCTACTGGAAAGGGTCCTTGGGTGCCCTGGCTCACCTCAAGAAGCGTCCCTTTTGCCCTGCCAAGCCTCGAAGAGATTGCTGAGGTGTCCCTCGTTACTAGACAGGAGTCCTGACGTCACGGAAGAAACTCGTGTTTTGAAGGGCCATCCCCGCCGTAAGTCGAGAACATACCCCAGGTCCCCGCCGCAACTCGAGAAAAACCATGAGACTTCCCCCTAGAGGCGAGATGAGGCCCCATTCCCCTGCAGTGCATGCAGAGCTATTCCGTGATCCCATTCAAACAAGTCAGGAGCTTCGACTTGCTTAATGGATCTCGAGACAGTCCCCAAGAACACTGTCACCAGTCTAGACGGACCCTGAGGTCACCCAGCAATGCAAAGCAGCTCCATGTGCCCCAAATCAACTCGAGATGAGGCCGGATTAACCTGCATTGACTCCAGAGCCATTCCTTGTTCCCCATTCAACACGACCGGTGGCTCGACTTCCTTCAGGCAACTCCAGAGATGCCCCGAGAACACTGTCCCAAGTCTAGAGGAACACCAACTTCAGCACAGCAACTCGAGGAATGCTCTGTGTACCCCAAATCGTCTCGAGATGAGAGCTGATTCCCTGGCTTAGGCTCAAGACGTATGCCACCTTTCCAGAAACACCTCAGGAGGAGGCTTCTCTCAGTAATAGGTATGTGGGAGGGACCCCGAGTTTGCTGCCTCAAGGGGAATATACAGCGAGAAGCCCTAACTTGAAAGGAGGCCGGATTTCCTTGCAGTGGCTTGAATACAGGCTCGTCTTTCATCTCACAACATGAAGGGATGTCTGAATCCCCTGTGGAGACCTTAGAGAAAGCCCTAGGTCCCTGCCTCATTTTGACGGAATCCTCACATCCCGCTGACACCTCGAGAGGCACGCGGAGTTCATTGCTTCAAAAGGTGACGATGTCTGACTCCTCTTGAATACTGATAGGAATCCCAAAATCCCTGTGGCTACTGGAAAGGGTCCTTGGGTGCCCTGGCTCACCTCGAGATGCGTCCCTTTTGCCCTGCCAAGCCTCGAAGAGATTGCTGATGTGTCCCTCGTTACTAGACAGGAGTCCTGACGTCACTGAAGAAACTCGTGTTTTGAAGGGCCATCCCCGCCGTAAGTCGAGAACATATCCCAGGTCCCCGCCTCAACTCGAGAAAAACCATGAGACTTCCCCCTAGAAGCGAGATGAGGCCCCATTCCCCTGCACTGCATGCAGAGCTATTCCGTGATCCCATTCAAACAAGTCAGGAGCTTCGACTTGCTTAATGGATCTCGAGACAGTCCCCAAGAACACTGTCACCAGTCTAGACGGACCCTGAGGTCACCCAGCAATGCAAAGCAGCTCCATGTGCCCCAAATCAACTCGAGATGAGGCCGGATTCCCCTGCATTGACTCCAGAGCCATTCCTTGTTCCCCATTCAACACGACCGGTGGCTCGACTTCCTTCAGGCAACTCCGGAGATGCACCAAGAACACTGTCCCAAGTCTAGAGTACCACCAACTTCAGCACAGCAACTCGAGGAATGCTCTGTGTACCACAAATCGTCTCGAGATGAGAGCTGATTCCCTGGCTTAGGCTCAAGACGTATGCCACCTTTCCAGAAGCACCTCAGGAGGAGGCTTCTCTCAGCAATAGGTATGTGGGAGGGACCCCGAGTTTGCTGCCTCAAGGGTAATATACAGCGAGAAGCCCTAACTTGAAAGGAGGCCGGATTTCCTTGCAGTGGCTTGAATACAGGCTCGTCTTTCATCTCACAACATGAAGGATGTCTGAATCCCCTGTGGAGACCTTAGAGAAAGCCCTAGGTCCCTGCCTCATTTTGACGGAATCCTCACATCCCGCTGACCCCTCGAGAGGCACGCGGAGTTCATTGCTTCAAAAGGTGACGATGCCTGACTCCTCTTGAATACTGATAGGAATCCCAAAATCCCTGTGGCTACTGGAAAGGATCCTTGGGTGCCCTGGCTCACCTCGAGAAGCGTCCCTTTTGCCCTGCCAAGCCTCGAAGAGATTGCTGAGGTGTCCCTCGTTACTAGACAGGAGTCCTGACGTCACTGAAGAAACTCGTGTTTTGAAGGGCCATCCCCGCCGTAAGTCGAGAACATACCCCAGGTCCCTGCCGCAACTCGAGAAAAACCATGAGACTTCCCCCTAGAGGCGAGATGAGGCCCCATTCCCCTGCAGTGCATGCAGAGCTATTCCGTGATCCCATTCAAACAAGTCAGGAGCTTCGACTTGCTTAATGGATCTCGAGACAGTCCCCAAGAACACTGTCACCAGTCTAGACGGACCCTGAGGTCACCCAGCAATGCAAAGCAGCTCCATGTGCCCCAAATCAACTCGAGATGAGGCCGGATTCCCCTGCATTGACTCGAGAGCCATTCCTTGTTCCCCATTCAACACGACCGGTGGCTCGACTTCCTTCAGGCAACTCCAGAGATGCCCCGAGAACACTGTCCCAAGTCTAGAGGAACACCAACTTCAGCACAGCAACGCGAGGAATGCTCTGTGTACCCCAAATCATCTCGAGATGAGAGCTGATTCCCTGGCTTAGGCTCAAGACGTATGCCACCTTTCCAGAAGCACCTCAGGAGGAGGCTTCTCTCAGCAATAGGTATGTGGGAGGGACCCCGAGTTTGCTGCCTCAAGGGGAATATACAGCGAGAAGCCCTAACTTGAAAGGAGGCCGGATTTCCTTGCAGTGGCTTGAATACAGGCTCGTCTTTCATCTCACAACATGAAGGGATGTCTGAATCCCCTGTGGAGACCTTAGAGAAAGCCCTAGGTCCCTGCCTCATTTTGACGGAATCCTCACATCCCGCTGACACCTCGAGAGGCACGCGGAGTTCATTGCTTCAAAAGGTGACGATGCCTGACTCCTCTTGAATACTTATAGGAATACCAAAATCCCTGTGGCTACTGGAAAGGGTCCTTGGGTGCCCTGGCTCACCTCGAGAAGCGTCCCTTTTGCCCTGCCAAGCCTCGAAGAGATTGCTGAGGTGTCCCTCGTTACTAGACAGGAGTCCTGACGTCACGGAAGAAACTCGTGTTTTGAAGGGCCATCCCCGCCGTAAGTCGAGAACATACCCCAGGTCCCCGCCGCAACTCGAGAAAAACCATGAGACTTCCCCCTAGAGGCGAGATGAGGCCCCATTCCCCTGCAGTGCATGCAGAGCTATTCCGTGATCCCATTCAAACAAGTCAGGAGCTTCGACTTGCTTAATGGATCTCGAGACAGTCCCCAAGAACACTGTCACCAGTCTAGACGGACCCTGAGGTCACCCAGCAATGCAAAGCAGCTCCATGTGCCCCAAATCAACTCGAGATGAGGCCGGATTCCCCTGCATTGACTCCAGAGCCATTCCTTGTTCCCCATTCAACACGACCGGTGGCTCGACTTCCTTCAGGCAACTCCAGAGATGCCCCGAGAACACTGACCCAAGTCTAGAGGAACACCAACTTCAGCACAGCAACTCGAGGAATGCTCTGTGTACCCCAAATCGTCTCGAGATGAGAGCTGATTCCCTGGCTTAGGCTCAAGACGTATGCCACCTTTCCAGAAACACCTCAGGAGGAGGCTTCTCTCAGCAATAGGTATGTGGGAGGGACCCCGAGTTTGCTGCCTCACGGGGAATATACAGCGAGAAGTCCTAACTTGAAAGGAGGCCGGATTTCCTTGCAGTGGCTTGAATACAGGCTCGTCTTTCATCTCACAACATGAAGGGATGTCTGAATCCCCTGTGGAGACCTTAGAGAAAGCCCTAGGTCCCTGCCTCATTTTGACGGAATCCTCACATCCCGCTGACACCTCGAGAGGCACGCGGAGTTCATTGCTTCAAAAGGTGACGATGCCTGACTCCTCTTGAATACTTATAGGAATCCCAAAATCCCTGTGGCTACTGGAAAGGGTACTTGGGTGCCCTGGCTCACCTCGAGAAGCGTCCCTTTTGCCCTGCCAAGCCTCAAAGAGATTGCTGAGGTGTCCCTCGTTACTAGACAGGAGTCCTGACGTCACTGAAGAAACTCGTGTTTTGAAGGGCCATCCCCGCCGTAAGTCGAGAACATACCCCAGGTCCCCGCCGCAACTCGAGAAAAACCATGAGACTTCCCCTTTGAGGCGAGATGAGGCCCCATTCCCCTGCAGTGCATGCAGAGCTATTCCGTGATCCCATTCAAACAAGTCAGGAGCTTCGACTTGCTTAATGGATCTCGAGACAGTCCCCAAGAACACTGTCACCAGTCTAGACGGACCCTGAGGTCACCCCAGCAACGCAAAGCTGCTCCATGTGCCCCAAATCAACTCGAGATGAGGCCCGATTCCCCTGCATTGATTCCAGAGCCATTCCCCGTTCCCCATTCAACACGACTGGTGGCTCGCTTTCCTTCAGGCAACTCCAGAGATGGCCCGAGAACACTGTCCCAAGTCTAGAGGAACACCAACTTCAGCACAGCAACTCGAGGAATGCTCTGTGTACCCCAAATCGTCTCGAGATGAGAGCTGATTCCCTGGCTTAGGCTCAAGACGTATGCCAACTTTCCAGAAGCACCTCAGGAGGAGGCTTCTCAGCAATAGGTATGTGGGAGGGACTCCGAGTTTGCTGCCTCAAGGGGAATATACAGCGAGAAGCCCTAACTTGAAAGGAGGCCGGATTTCCTGGCAGTAGCTTGAACACAGGCTTGTCTTTCATCTCACAACATGAAGGGATGTCTGAATCCCCTGTGAAGACCTTAGAGAAAGCCCTAGGACCCTGCCTCATTTTGACGGAATGCCTCACATCCCGCTGACAACTCGAGAGGCACGCGGAGTTCATTGCTTCAAAAGGTGACGATGCCTGACTCCTCTTGAATACTGATAGGAATCCCAAAATCCCTGTGGCTACTGGAAAGGTTCCTTGGGTGCCCTGGCTCACCTCGAGAAGCGTCCCTTTTGCCCTGCCAAGCCTCGAAGACATTCCTGAGGTGTCCCTCGTTACTAGACAGGAGTCCTGACGTCACTGAAGAAACTCGTGTTTTGAAGGGCCATCCCCGCCGTAAGTCGAGAACATACCCCAGGTCCCCGCCGCAACTCGAGAAAAACCATGAGACTTCCCCCTAGAGGCGAGATGAGGCCCCATTCCCCTGCAGTGCATGCACAGCTATTCCGTGATCCCATTCAAACAAGTCAGGAGCTTCGACTTGCTTAATGGATCTCGAGACAGTCCCCAAGAACACTGTCACCAGTCTAGACGGACCCTGAGGTCACCCCAGCAACGCAAAGCAGCTCCATGTGCCCCAAATCAGCTCGAGATGAGGCCAGATTCCCCTGCATTGACTCCAGAGCCATTCCCCGTTCCCCATTCAACACGACTGGTGGCTCGCTTTCCTTCAGGCAACTCCAGAGATGGACCGAGAACACTGTCCCAAGTCTAGAGGAACACAAACTTCAGCACAGCAACTCGAGGAATGCTCTGTGTACCCCAAATCGTCTCGAGATGAGAGCTGATTCCCTGGCTTAGGCTCAAGACGTATGCCAACTTTCCAGAAGCACCTCAGGAGGAGGCTTCTCAGCAATAGGTATGTGGGAGGGACTCCGAGTTTGCTGCCTCAAGGGGAATATACAGCGAGAAGCCCTAACTTGAAAGGAGGCCGGATTTCCTGGCAGTAGCTTGAATACAGGCTTGTCTTTCATCTCACAACATGAAGGGATGTCTGAATCCCCTGTGAAGATCTTAGAGAAAGGCCTAGGACCCTGCCTCATTTTGACGGAATGCCTCACATCCCGCTGACAACTCGAGAGGCACGCGGAGTTCATTGCTTCAAAAGGTGACGATGCCTGACTCCTCTTGAATACTGATAGGAATCCCAAAATCCCTGTGGCTACTGGAAAGGTTCCTTTGGTGCCCTGGCTCACCTCGAGAAGCGTCCCTTTTGCCCTGCCAAGCCTCGAAGACATTCCTGAGGTGTCCCTCGTTACTAGACAGGAGTCCTGACGTCACTGAAGAAACTCGTGTTTTGAAGGGCCATCCCCGCCGTAAGTCGAGAACATACCCCAGGTCCCCGCCGCAACTCGAGAAAAACCATGAGACTTCCCCCTAGAGGCGAGATGAGGCCCCATTCCCCTGCAGTGCATGCAGAGCTATTCCGTGATCCCATTCAAACAAGTCAGGAGCTTCGACTTGCTTAATCGATCTCGAGACAGTCCCCAAGAACACTGTCACCAGTCTAGACGGACCCTGAGGTCACCCCAGCAACGCAAAGCTGCTCCATGTGCCCCAAATCAACTCGAGATGAGGCCCGATTCCCCTGCATTGACTCCAGAGCCATTCCCCGTTCCCCATTCAACACGACCGGTGGCTCGACTTCCTTCAGGCAACTGCAGAGATGCCCCAAGAACACTGCCCCAAGTCTAGAGGAATACCAACTTCAGCACAGCAACTCGAGGAATGCTCCATGTACCCCAAATCATCTCGAGATGAGAGCTGATTCTCTGGCTTAGGCTCAAGACGTATGCCAACTTTCCAGAAGCACCTCAGGAGGAGGCTTCTCTCAGCAATAGGTATGTGGGAGCGACCCCGAGTTTGCTGCCTCAAGGGTAATACACAGGGAGAAGCCCTAACGTGAACGGAGGCCAGATTTCCTTGCAGTGGGTTGAATAAAGGCTCGTCTTCGATCTGAAAACATGAAGGGATGTCTGAATTCCCTGTGGAGACCTTAGAGGAAGCCGTAGGTCCCTGCCTCATTTTGACGGAATACCTCACATCCCCCTGACACCTCGAGAGGCACGCAGAGTTCATTGCTTCAAAAGGTGACGATGCCTGACTCCTCTTGAATACTTATAGGAATCCCAAAATCCCTGTTGCTACTGGAAAGGGTCCTTGGGTGCCCTGGCTCACCTCGAGAAGCGTCCCTTTTGCCCTGCCAAGCCTCGAAGAAATTGCTGAGGTGTCCCTCGTTACTAGACAGGAGTCCTGACGTCACGGAAGAAACTCGTGTTTTGAAGGGCCATCCCCGCCGTAAGTCGAGAACATACCCCAGGTCCCCGCCGCAACTCGAGAAAAACCATGAGACTTCCCCCTAGAGGCGAGATGAGGCCCCATTCCCCTGCAGTGCATGCAGAGCTATTCCGTGATCCCATTCAAACAAGTCAGGAGCTTCGACTTGCTTAATGGATCTCGAGACAGTCCCCAAGAACACTGTCACCAGTCTAGATGGACCCTGAGGTCACCCAGCAATGCAAAGCAGCTCCATGTGCCCCAAATCAACTCGAGATGAGGCCGGATTCCCCTGCATTGACTCCAGAGCCATTCCTTGTTCCCCATTCAACACGACCGGTGGCTCGACTTCCTTCAGGCAACTCCGGAGATGCACCAAGAACACTGTCCCAAGTCTAGAGGACCACCAACTTCAGCACAGCAACTCGAGAAATGCTCTGTGTACCCCAAATCGTCTCGAGATGAGAGCTGATTCCCTGGCTTAGGCTCAAGACGTATGCCACCTTTCCAGAAGCACCTCAGGAGGAGGCTTCTCTCAGCAATAGGTATGTGGGAGGGACCCCGAGTTTGCTGCCTCAAGGGGAATATACAGCGAGAAGCCCTAACTTGAAAGGAGGCCGGATTTCCTTGCAGTGGCTTGAATACAGGCTCGTCTTTCATCTCACAACATGAAGGGATGTCTGAATCCCCTGTGGAGACCTTAGAGAAAGCCCTAGGTCCCTGCCTCATTTTGACGGAATCCTCACATCCCGCTGACACCTCGAGAGGCACGCGGAGTTCATTGCTTCAAAAGGTGACGATGCCTGACTCCTCTTGAATACTTATAGGAATCCCAAAATCCCTGTGGCTACTGGAAAGGGTCCTTGGGTGCCCTGGCTCACCTCGAGAAGCGTCCCTTTTGCCCTGCCAAGCCTCGAAGAGATTGCTGACGTGTCCCTCGTTACTAGACAGGAGTCCTGACGTCACTGAAGAAACTCGTGTTTTGAAGGGCCATCCCCGCCGTAAGTCGAGAACATACCCCAGGGCCCCGCCGCAACTCGAGAAAAACCATGAGACTTCCCCCTAGAGGCGAGATGAGGCCCCATTCTCCTGCAGTGCATGCAGAGCTATTCCGTGATCCCATTCAAACAAGTCAGGAGCTTCGACTTGCTTAATGGATCTCGAGACAGTCCCCAAGAACACTGTCACCAGTCTAGACGGACCCTGAGGTCACCCAGCAATGCAAAGCAGCTCCATGTGCCCCAAATCAACTCGAGATGAGGCCGGATTAACCTGCATTGACTCCAGAGCCATTCCTTGTTCCCCATTCAACACGACCGGTGGCTCGACTTCCTTCAGGCAACTCCAGAGATGCCCCGAGAACACTGTCCCAAGTCTAGAGGAACACCAACTTCAGCACAGCAACTCGAGGAATGCTCTGTGTACCCCAAATCGTCTCGAGATGAGAGCTGATTCCCTGGCTTAGGCTCAAGACGTATGCCACCTTTCCAGAAGCACCTCAGGAGGAGGCTTCTCTCAGCAATAGGTATGTGGGAGGGACCCCGAGTTTGCTGCCTCAAGGGGAATATACAGCGAGAAGCCCTAACTTGAAAGGAGGCCTTATTTCCTTGCAGTGGCTTGAATACAGGCTCGTCTTTCATCTCACAACATGAAGGGATGTCTGAATCCCCTGTGGAGACCTTAGAGAAAGCCCTAGGTCCCTGCCTCATTTTGACGGAATCCTCATATCCCGCTGACACCTCGAGAGGCACGCGGAGTTCATTGCTTCAAAAGGTGACGATGCCTGACTCCTCTTGAATACTTATAGGAATCCCAAAATCCCTGTGGCTACTGGAAAGGGTCCTTGGGTGCCCTGGCTCACCTCGAGAAGCGTCCCTTTTGCCCTGCCAAGCCTCGAAGAGATTGCTGATGTGTCCCTCCTTACTAGACAGGAGTCCTGACGTCACGGAAGAAACTCGTGTTTTGAAGGGCCATCCCCGCCGTAAGTCGAGAACATACCCCAGGGCCCCGCCGCAACTCGAGAAAAACCATGAGACTTCCCCCTAGAGGCGAGATGAGGCCCCATTCCCCTGCAGTGCATGCAGAGCTATTCCGTGATCCCATTCAAACAAGTCAGGAGCTTCGACTTGCTTAATGGATCTCGAGACAGTCCCAAGAACACTGTCACCAGTCTAGACGGACCCTGAGGTCACCCAGCAATGCAAAGCAGCTCCATGTGCCCCAAATCAACTCGAGATGAGGCCGGATTAACCTGCATTGACTCCAGAGCCATTCCTTGTTCCCCATTCAACACGACCGGTGGCTCGACTTCCTTCAGGCAACTCCAGAGATGCCCCGAGAACACTGTCCCAAGTCTAGAGGAACACCAACTTCAGCACAGCAACTCGAGGAATGCTCTGTGTACCCCAAATCGTCTCGAGATGAGAGCTGATTCCCTGGCTTAGGCTCAAGACGTATGCCAACTTTCCAGAAACACCTCAGGAGGAGGCTTCTCTCAGTAATAGGTATGTGGGAGGGACCCCGAGTTTGCTGCCTCAAGGGGAATATACAGCGAGAAGCCCTAACTTGAAAGGAGGCCGGATTTCCTTGCAGTGGCTTGAATACAGGCTCGTCTTTCATCTCACAACATGAAGGGATGTCTGAATCCCCTGTGGAGACCTTAGATAAAGCCCTAGGTCCCTGCCTCATTTTGACGGAATCCTCACATCCCGCTGACACCTCGAGAGGCACGCGGAGTTCATTGCTTCAAAAGGTGACGATGTCTGACTCCTCTTGAATAATGATAGGAATCCCAAAATCCCTGTGGCTACTGGAAAGGGTCCTTGGGTGCCCTGGCTCACCCCGAGATGCGTCCCTTTTGCCCTGCCAAGCCTCGAAGAGATTGCTGATGTGTCCCTGGTTACTAGACAGGAGTCCTGACGTCACTGAAGAAACTCGTGTTTTGAAGGGCCATCCCCGCCGTAAGTCGAGAACATACCCCAGGTCCCCGCCTCAACTCGAGAAAAACCATGAGACTTCCCCCTAGAGGCGAGATGAGGCCCCATTCCCCTGCACTGCATGCAGAGCTATTCCGTGATCCCATTCAAACAAGTCAGGAGCTTCGACTTGCTTAATGGATCTCGAGACAGTCCCCAAGAACACTGTCACCAGTCTAGACGGACCCTGAGGTCACCCAGCAATGCAAAGCAGCTCCATGTGCCCCAAATCAACTCGAGATGAGGCCGGATTCCCCTGCATTGACTCCAGAGCCATTCCTTGTTCCCCATTCAACACGACCGGTGGCTCGACTTCCTTCAGGCAACTCCAGGGATGCCCCGAGAACACTGTCCCAAGTCTAGAGGACCACCAACTTCAGCACAGCAACTCGAGGAATGCTCTGTGTACCCCAAATCGTCTCAAGATGAGAGCTGATTCCCTGGCTTAGGCTCAAGACGTATGCCACCTTTCCAAAAGCACCTCAGGAGGAGGCTTCTCTCAGCAATAGGTATGTGGGAGGGACCCCGAGTTTGCTGCCTCAAGGGGAATATACAACGAGAAGCCCTAACTTGAAAGGAGGCCGGATTTCCTTGCAGTGGCTTGAATACAGGCTCGTCTTTCATCTCACAACATGAAGGGATGTCTGAATCCCCTGTGGAGACCTTAGAGAAAGCCCTAGGTCCCTGCCTCATTTTGACGGAATCCTCACATCCCGCTGACACCTCGAGAGGCACGCGGAGTTCATTGCTTCAAAAGGTGACGATGCCTGACTCCTCTTGAATACTTATAGGAATCCCAAAATCCCTGTGGCTACTGGAAAGGGTCCTTGGGTGCCCTGGCTCACCTCGAGAAGCGTCCCTTTTGCCCTGCCAAGCCTCGAAGAGATTGCTGAGGTGTCCCTCGTTACTAGACAGGAGTCCTGACGTCACGGAAGAAACTCGTGTTTTGAAGGGCCATCCCCGCCGTAAGTCGAGAACATACCCCAGGGCCCCGCCGCAACTCGAGAAAAACCATGAGACTTCCCCCTAGAGGCGAGATGAGGCCCCATTCCCCTGCAGTGCATGCAGAGCTATTCCGTGATCCCATTCAAACAAGTCAGGAGCTTCGACTTGCTTAATGGATCTCGAGACAGTCCCCAAGAACACTGTCACCAGTCTAGACGGACCCTGAGGTCACCCAGCAATGCAAAGCAGCTCCATGTGCCCCAAATCAACTCGAGATGAGGCCGGATTAACCTGCATTGACTCCAGAGCCATTCCTTGTTCCCCATTCAACACGACCGGTGGCTCGACTTCCTTCAGGCAACTCCAGAGATGCCCCGAGAACACTGTCCCAAGTCTAGAGGAACACCAACTTCAGCACAGCAACTCGAGGAATGCTCTGTGTACCCCAAATCGTCTCGAGATGAGAGCTGATTCCCTGGCTTAGGCTCAAGACGTATGCCACCTTTCCAGAAGCACCTCAGGAGGAGGCTTCTCTCAGCAATAGGTATGTGGGAGGGACCCCGAGTTTGCTGCCTCAAGGGGAATATACAGCGAGAAGCCCTAACTTGAAAGGAGGCCGGATTTCCTTGCAGTGGCTTGAATACAGGCTCGTCTTTCATCTCACAACATGAAGGGATGTCTGAATCCCCTGTGGAGACCTTAGAGAAAGCCCTAGGTCCCTGCCTCATTTTGACGGAATCCTCATATCCCGCTGACACCTCGAGAGGCACGCGGAGTTCATTGCTTCAAAAGGTGACGATGCCTGACTCCTCTTGAATACTTATAGGAATCCCAAAATCCCTGTGGCTACTGGAAAGGGTACTTGGGTGCCCTGGCTCACCTCGAGAAGCGTCCCTTTTGCCCTGCCAAGCCTCGAAGAGATTGCTGATGTGTCCCTCCTTACTAGACAGGAGTCCTGACGTCACGGAAGAAACTCGTGTTTTGAAGGGCCATCCCCGCCGTAAGTCGAGAACATACCCCAGGGCTCCGCCGCAACTCGAGAAAAACCATGAGACTTCCCCCTAGAGGCGAGATGAGGCCCCATTCCCCTGCAGTGCATGCAGAGCTATTCCGTGATCCCATTCAAACAAGTCAGGAGCTTCGACTTGCTTAATGGATCTCGAGACAGTCCCCAAGAACACTGTCACCAGTCTAGACGGACCCTGAGGTCACCCAGCAATGCAAAGCAGCTCCATGTGCCCCAAATCAACTCGAGATGAGGCCGGATTAACCTGCATTGACTCCAGAGCCATTCCTTGTTCCCCATTCAACACGACCGGTGGCTCGACTTCCTTCAGGCAACTCCAGAGATGCCCCGAGAACACTGTCGCAAGTCTAGAGGAACACCAACTTCAGCACAGCAACTCGAGGAATGCTCTGTGTACCCCAAATCGTCTCGAGATGAGAGCTGATTCCCTGGCTTAGGCTCAAGACGTATGCCAACTTTCCAGAAACACCTCAGGAGGAGGCTTCTCTCAGTAATAGGTATGTGGGAGGGACCCCGAGTTTGCTGCCTCAAGGGGAATATACAGCGAGAAGCCCTAACTTGAAAGGAGGCCGGATTTCCTTGCAGTGGCTTGAATACAGGCTCGTCTTTCATCTCACAACATGAAGGGATGTCTGAATCCCCTGTGGAGACCTTAGATAAAGCCCTAGGTCCCTGCCTCATTTTGACGGAATCCTCACATCCCGCTGACACCTCGAGAGGCACGCGGAGTTCATTGCTTCAAAAGGTGACGATGTCTGACTCCTCTTGAATACTGATAGGAATCCCAAAATCCCTGTGGCTACTGGAAAGGGTCCTTGGGTGCCCTGGCTCACCCCGAGATGCGTCCCTTTTGCCCTGCCAAGCCTCGAAGAGATTGCTGATGTGTCCCTCGTTACTAGACAGGAGTCCTGACGTCACTGAAGAAACTCGTGTTTTGAAGGGCCATCCCCGCCGTAAGTCGAGAACATACCCCAGGTCCCCGCCTCAACTCGAGAAAAACCATGAGACTTCCCCCTAGAGGCGAGATGAGGCCCCATTCCCCTGCACTGCATGCAGAGCTATTCCGTGATCCCATTCAAACAAGTCAGGAGCTTCGACTTGCTTAATGGATCTCGAGACAGTCCCCAAGAACACTGTCACCAGTCTAGACGGACCCTGAGGTCACCCAGCAATGCAAAGCAGCTCCATGTGCCCCAAATCAACTCGAGATGAGGCCGGATTCCCCTGCATTGACTCCAGAGCCATTCCTTGTTCCCCATTCAACACGACCGGTGGCTCGACTTCCTTCAGGCAACTCCAGGGATGCCCCGAGAACACTGTCCCAAGTCTAGAGGACCACCAACTTCAGCACAGCAACTCGAGGAATGCTCTGTGTACCCCAAATCGTCTCAAGATGAGAGCTGATTCCCTGGCTTAGGCTCAAGACGTATGCCACCTTTCCAAAAGCACCTCAGGAGGAGGCTTCTCTCAGCAATAGGTATGTGGGAGGGACCCCGAGTTTGCTGCCTCAAGGGGAATATACAACGAGAAGCCCTAACTTGAAAGGAGGCCGGATTTCCTTTTAGTGGCTTGAATACAGGCTCGTCTTTCATCTCACAACATGAAGGGATGTCTGAATCCCCTGTGGAGACCTTAGAGAAAGCCCTAGGTCCCTGCCTCATTTTGACGGAATCCTCACTTCCCGCTGACACCTCGAGAGGCACGCGGAGTTCATTGCTTCAAAAGGTGACGATGCCTGACTCCTCTTGAATACTGATAGGAATCCCAAAATCCCTGTGGCTACTGGAAAGGGTCCTTGGGTGCCCTGCCTCACCTCGAGAAGCATCCCTTTTGCCCTGCCAAGCCTCGAAGAGATTGCTGAGGTGTCCCTCGTTACTAGACAGGAGTCCTGACGTCACGGAAGAAACTCGTGTTTTGAAGGGCCATCCCGGCCGTAAGTCGAGAACATACCCCAGGTCCCCGCCGCAACTCGAGAAAAACCATGAGACTTCCCCCTAGAGGCGAGATGAGGCCCCATTCCCCTGCAGTGCATGCAGAGCTATTCCGTGATCCCATTCAAACAAGTCAGGAGCTTCGACTTGCTTAATGGATCTCGAGACAGTCCCCAAGAACACTGTCACCAGTCTAGACGGACCCTGAGGTCACCCAGCAATGCAAAGCAGATCCATGTGCCCCAAATCAACTCGAGATGAGGCCGGATTCCCCTGCATTGACTCCAGAGCCATTCCTTGTTCCCCATTCAACACGACCGGTGGCTCGACTTCCTTCAGGCAACTCCGGAGATGCACCAAGAACACTGTCCCAAGTCTAGAGGACCACCAACTTCAGCACAGCAACTCGAGGAATGCTCTGTGTACCACAAATCGTCTCGAGATGAGAGCTGATTCCCTGGCTTAGGCTCAAGACGTATGCCACCTTTCCAGAAGCACCTCAGGAGGAGGCTTCTCTCAGCAATAGGTATGTGGGAGGGACCCCGAGTTTGCTGCCTCAAGGGTAATATACAGCGAGAAGCCCTAACTTGAAAGGAGGCCGGATTTCCTTGCAGTGGCTTGAATACAGGCTCGTCTTTCATCTCACAACATGAAGGATGTCTGAATCCCCTGTGGAGACCTTAGATAAAGCCCTAGGTCCCTGCCTCATTTTGACGGAATCCTCACATCCCGCTGACACCTCGAGAGGCACGCGGAGTTCATTGCTTCAAAAGGTGACGATGCCTGACTCCTCTTGAATACTGATAGGAATCCCAAAATCCCTGTGGCTACTGGAAAGGGTCCTTGGGTGCCCTGGCTCACCTCGAGAAGCGTCCCTTTTGCCCTGCCAAGCCTCGAAGAGATTGCTGAGGTGTCCCTCGTTACTAGACAGGAGTCCTGACGTCACTGAAGAAACTCGTGTTTTGAAGGGCCATCCCCGCCGTAAGTCGAGAACATACCCCAGGTCCCTGCCGCAACTCGAGAAAAACCATGAGACTTCCCCCTAGAGGCGAGATGAGGCCCCATTCCCCTGCAGTGCATGCAGAGCTATTCCGTGATCCCATTCAAACAAGTCAGGAGCTTCGACTTGCTTAATGGATCTCGAGACAGTCCCCAAGAACACTGTCACCAGTCTAGACGGACCCTGAGGTCACGCAGCAATGCAAAGCAGCTCCATGTGCCCCAAATCAACTCGAGATGAGGCCCGATTCCCCTGCATTGACTCCAGAGCCATTCCCTGTTCCCCATTCAACACGACCGGTGGCTCGACTTCCTTCAGGCAACTCCAGGGATGCCCCGAGAACACTGTCCCAAGTCTAGAGGAACATCAACTTCAGCACAGCAACTCGAGGAATGCTCTGTGTACCCCAAATTGTCTCGAGATGAGAGCTGATTCCCTGGCTTAGGCTCAAGACGCATGCCACCTTTCTAGAAGCACCTCAGGAGGAGGCTTCTCTCAGCAATAGGTATGTGGGAGGGACCCCGAGTTTGCAGCCTCAAGGGGAATATACAGCGAGAAGCCCTAACTTGAAAGGAGGCCGGATTTCCTTGCAGTGGCTTGAATACAGGCTCGTCTTTGATCTGACAACATGAAGGGATGTCTGAATCCCCTGTGGAGACCTTAGAGAAAGCCCTAGGTCCCTGCCTCATTTTGACGGAATGCCTCACATCCCGCTGACACCTCGAGAGGCACGCGGAGTTCATTGCTTCAAAAGGTGACGATGCCTGACTCCTCTTGAATAATGATAGGAATCCCAAAATCCCTGTGGCTACTGGAAAGGGTCCTTGGGTGCCCTGCCTCACCTCGAGAAGCGTCCCTTTTGCCCTGCCAAGCCTCGAAGAGATTGCTGACGTGTCCCTCGTTACTAGACAGGAGTCCTGACGTCACTGAAGAAACTCGTGTTTTGAAGGGCCATCCCCGCCGTAAGTCGAGAACATACCCCAGGTCCCCGCCGCAACTCGAGAAAAACCATGAGACTTCCCCCTAGAGGCGAGATGAGGCCCCATTCCCCTGCAGTGCATGCAGAGCTATTCCGTGATCCCATTCAAACAAGTCAGGAGCTTCGACTTGCTTAATGGATCTCGAGACAGTCCCCAAGAACACTGTCACCAGTCTAGACGGACCCTGAGGTCACCCAGCAATGCAAAGCAGCTCCATGTACCCCAAATCAACACGAGATGAGGCCGAATTCCCCTGCATTGACTCCAGAGCCATTCCTTGTTCCCCATTCAACACGACCGGTGGCTCGACTTCCTTCAGGCAACTCCAGGGATGCCCCGAGAACACTGTCCCAAGTCTAGAGGACCACCAACTTCAGCACAGCAACTCGAGGAATGCTCTGTGTACCCCAAATCGTCTCGAGATGAGAGCTGATTCCCTGGCTTAGGCTCAAGACGTATGCCACCTTTCCAGAAGCACCTCAGGAGGAGGCTTCTCTCAGCAATAGGTATGTGGGAGGGACCCCGAGTTTGCTGCCTCAAGGGGAATATACAGCGAGAAGCCCTAACTTGAAAGGAGGCCGGATTTCCTTGCAGTGGCTTGAATACAGGCTCGTCTTTCATCTCACAACATGAAGGGATGTCTGAATCCCCTGTGGAGACCTTAGATAAAGCCCTAGGTCCCTGCCTCATTTTGACGGAATCCTCACATCCCGCTGACACCTCGAGAGGCACGCGGAGTTCATTGCTTCAAAAGGTGACGATGCCTGACTCCTCTTGAATACTGATAGGAATCCCAAAATCCCTGTGGCTACAGGAAAGGGTCCTTGGGTGCCCTGGCTCACCTCGAGAAGCGTCCCTTTTGCCCTGCCAAGCCTCGAAGAGATTGCTGAGGTGTCCCTCGTTACTAGACAGGAGTCCTGACGTCACGGAAGAAACTCGTGTTTTGAAGGGCCATCCCCGCCGTAAGTCGAGAACATACCCCAGGTCCCCGCCGCAACTCGAGAAAAACCATGAGACTTCCCCCTAGAGGCGAGATGAGGCCCCATTCCCCTGCAGTGCATGCAGAGCTATTCCGTGATCCCATTCAAACAAGTCAGGAGCTTCGACTTGCTTAATGGATCTCGAGACAGTCCCCAAGAACACTGTCACCAGTCTAGACGGACCCTGAGGTCACCCAGCAATGCAAAGCAGCTCCATGTGCCCCAAATCAACTCGAGATGAGGCCGGATTCCCCTGCATTGACTCCAGAGCCATTCCTTGTTCCCCATTCAACACGACCGGTGGCTCGACTTCCTTCAGGCAACTCCAGGGATGCCCCGAGAACACTGTCCCAAGTCTAGAGGACCACAAACTTCAGCACAGCAACTCGAGGAATGCTCTGTGTACCCCAAATCGTCTCGAGATGAGAGCTGATTCCCTGGCTTAGGCTCAAGACGTATGCCACCTTTCCAGAAGCACCTCAGGAGGAGGCTTCTCTCAGCAATAGGTATGTGGGAGGGACCCCGAGTTTGCTGCCTCAAGGGGAATATACAGCGAGAAGCCCTAACTTGAAAGGAGGCCGGATTTCCTTGCAGTGGCTTGAATACAGGCTCGTCTTTCATCTCACAACATGAAGGGATGTCTGAATCCCCTGTGGAGACCTTAGAGAAAGCCCTAGGTCCCTGCCTCATTTTGACGGAATCCTCACATCCCGCTGACACCTCGAGAGGCACGCGGAGTTCATTGCTTCAAAAGGTGACGATGCCTGACTCCTCTTGAATACTGATAGGAATCCCAAAATCCCTGTGGCTACTGGAAAGGGTCCTTGGGTGCCCTGCCTCACCTCGAGAAGCGTCCCTTTTGCCCTGCCAAGCCTCGAAGAGATTGCTGAGGTGTCCCTCATTACTAGACAGGAGTCCTGACGTCACGGAAGAAACTCGTGTTTTGAAGGGCCATCCCCGCCGTAAGTCGAGAACATACCCCAGGTCCCCGCCTCAACTCGAGAAAAACCATGAGACTTCCCCCTAGAGGCGAGATGAGGCCCCATTCCCCTGCAGTGCATGCAGAGCTATTCCGTGATCCCATTCAAACAAGTCAGGAGCTTCGACTTGCTTAATGGATCTCGAGACAGTCCCCAAGAACACTGTCACCAGTCTAGACGGACCCTGAGGTCACCCAGCAATGCAAAGCAGCTCCATGTGCCCCAAATCAACTCGAGATGAGGCCGGATTCCACTGCATTGACTCCAGAGCCATTCCTTGTTCCCCATTAAACACGACCGGTGGCTCGACTTCCTTCAGGCAACTCCAGAGATGCCCCGAGAACACTGTCCCAAGTCTAGAGGACCACCAACTTCAGCACAGCAACGCGAGGAATGCTCTGTGTACCCCAAATCGTCTCAAGATGAGAGCTGATTCCCTGGCTTAGGCTCAAGACGTATGCCACCTTTCCAGAAGCTCCTCAGGAGGAGGCTTCTCTCAGCAATAGGTATGTGGGAGGGACCCCGAGTTTGCTGCCTCAAGGGGAATATACATCGAGAAGCCCTAACTTGAAAGGAGACCGGATTTCCTTTTAGTGGCTTGAATACAGGCTCGTCTTTCATCTCACAACATGAAGGGATGTCTGAATCCCCTGTGGAGACCTTAGAGAAAGCCCTAGGTCCCTGCCTCATTTTGACGGAATCCTCACATCCCGCTGACACCTCCAGAGGCACGCGGAGTTCATTGCTTCAAAAGGTGACGATGCCTGACTCCTCTTGAATACTGATAGGAATCCCAAAATCCCTGTGGCTACTGGACAGGGTCCTTGGGTGCCCTGGCTCACCTCGAGAAGCGTCCCTTTTGCCCTGCCAAGCCTCGAAGAGATTGCTGAGGTGTCCCTCGTTACTAGACAGGAGTCCTGACGTCACGGAAGAATCTCGTGTTTTGAAGGGCCATCCCCGCCGTAAGTCGAGAACATACCCCAGGTCCCCGCCGCAACTCGAGAAAAACCATGAGACTTCCCCCTAGAGGCGAGATGAGGCCCCATTCCCGTGCAGTGCATGCAGAACTATTCCGTGATCCCATTCAAACAAGTCAGGAGCTTCGACTTGCTTAATGGATCTCGAGACAGTCCCCAAGAACACTGTCACCAGTCTAGACGGACCCTGAGGTCACCCAGCAATGCAAAGCACCTCCATGTGCCCCAAATCTACTCGAGATGAGGCCGGATTCCCCTGCATTGACTCCAGAGCCATTCCTTGTTCCCCATTCAACACGACCGGTGGCTCAACTTCCTTCAGGCAACTCCGGAGATGCACCAAGAACACTGTCCCAAGTCTAGAGGACCACCAACTTCAGCACAGCAACTCGAGGAATGCTCTGTGTACCACAAATCGTCTCGAGATGAGAGCTGATTCCCTGGCTTAGGCTCAAGACGTATGCCACCTTTCCAGAAGCACCTCAGGAGGAGGCTTCTCTCAGCAATAGGTATGTGGGAGGGACCCCGAGTTTGCTGCCTCAAGGGGAATATACAGCGAGAAGCCCTAACTTGAAAGGAGGCCGGATTTCCTTGCAGTGGCTTGAATACAGGCTCGTCTTTCATCTCACAACATGAAGGATGTCTGAATCCCCTGTGGAGACCTTAGATAAAGCCCTAGGTCCCTGCCTCATTTTGACGGAATCCTCACATCCCGCTGACACCTCGAGAGGCACGCGGAGTTCATTGCTTCAAAAGGTGACGATGCCTGACTCCTCTTGAATACTGATAGGAATCCCAAAATCCCTGTGGCTACTGGAAAGGGTCCTTGGGTGCCCTGGCTCACCTCGAGAAGCGTCCCTTTTGCCCTGCCAAGCCTCGAAGAGATTGCTGAGGTGTCCCTCGTTACTAGACAGGAGTCCTGACGTCACTGAAGAAACTCGTGTTTTGAAGGGCCATCCCCGCCGTAAGTCGAGAACATACCCCAGGTCCCTGCCGCAACTCGAGAAAAACCATGAGACTTCCCCCTAGAGGCGAGATGAGGCCCCATTCCCCTGCAGTGCATGCAGAGCTATTCCGTGATCCCATTCAAACAAGTCAGGAGCTTCGACTTGCTTAATGGATCTCGAGACAGTCCCCAAGAACACTGTCACCAGTCTAGACGGACCCTGAGGTCACGCAGCAATGCAAAGCAGCTCCATGTGCCCCAAATCAACTCGAGATGAGGCCCGATTCCCCTGCATTGACTCCAGAGCCATTCCCTGTTCCCCATTCAACACGACCGGTGGCTCGACTTCCTTCAGGCAACTCCAGGGATGCCCCGAGAACACTGTCCCAAGTCTAGAGGAACATCAACTTCAGCACAGCAACTCGAGGAATGCTCTGTGTACCCCAAATTGTCTCGAGATGAGAGCTGATTCCCTGGCTTAGGCTCAAGACGCATGCCACCTTTCTAGAAGCACCTCAGGAGGAGGCTTCTCTCAGCAATAGGTATGTGGGAGGGACCCCGAGTTTGCAGCCTCAAGGGGAATATACAGCGAGAAGCCCTAACTTGAAAGGAGGCCGGATTTCCTTGCAGTGGCTTGAATACAGGCTCGTCTTTGATCTGACAACATGAAGGGATGTCTGAATCCCCTGTGGAGACCTTAGAGAAAGCCCTAGGTCCCTGCCTCATTTTGACGGAATGCCTCACATCCCGCTGACACCTCGAGAGGCACGCGGAGTTCATTGCTTCAAAAGGTGACGATGCCTGACTCCTCTTGAATAATGATAGGAATCCCAAAATCCCTGTGGCTACTGGAAAGGGTCCTTGGGTGCCCTGCCTCACCTCGAGAAGCGTCCCTTTTGCCCTGCCAAGCCTCGAAGAGATTGCTGACGTGTCCCTCGTTACTAGACAGGAGTCCTGACGTCACTGAAGAAACTCGTGTTTTGAAGGGCCATCCCCGCCGTAAGTCGAGAACATACCCCAGGTCCCCGCCGCAACTCGAGAAAAACCATGAGACTTCCCCCTAGAGGCGAGATGAGGCCCCATTCCCCTGCAGTGCATGCAGAGCTATTCCGTGATCCCATTCAAACAAGTCAGGAGCTTCGACTTGCTTAATGGATCTCGAGACAGTCCCCAAGAACACTGTCACCAGTCTAGACGGACCCTGAGGTCACCCAGCAATGCAAAGCAGCTCCATGTGCCCCAAATCAACACGAGATGAGGCCGAATTCCCCTGCATTGACTCCAGAGCCATTCCTTGTTCCCCATTCAACACGACCGGTGGCTCGACTTCCTTCAGGCAACTCCAGGGATGCCCCGAGAACACTGTCCCAAGTCTAGAGGACCACCAACTTCAGCACAGCAACTCGAGGAATGCTCTGTGTACCCCAAATCGTCTCGAGATGAGAGCTGATTCCCTGGCTTAGGCTCAAGACGTATGCCACCTTTCCAGAAGCACCTCAGGAGGAGGCTTCTCTCAGCAATAGGTATGTGGGAGGGACCCCGAGTTTGCTGCCTCAAGGGGAATATACAGCGAGAAGCCCTAACTTGAAAGGAGGCCGGATTTCCTTGCAGTGGCTTGAATACAGGCTCGTCTTTCATCTCACAACATGAAGGGATGTCTGAATCCCCTGTGGAGACCTTAGATAAAGCCCTAGGTCCCTGCCTCATTTTGACGGAATCCTCACATCCCGCTGACACCTCGAGAGGCACGCGGAGTTCATTGCTTCAAAAGGTGACGATGCCTGACTCCTCTTGAATACTGATAGGAATCCCAAAATCCCTGTGGCTACAGGAAAGGGTCCTTGGGTGCCCTGGCTCACCTCGAGAAGCGTCCCTTTTGCCCTGCCAAGCCTCGAAGAGATTGCTGAGGTGTCCCTCGTTACTAGACAGGAGTCCTGACGTCACGGAAGAAACTCGTGTTTTGAAGGGCCATCCCCGCCGTAAGTCGAGAACATACCCCAGGTCCCCGCCGCAACTCGAGAAAAACCATGAGACTTCCCCCTAGAGGCGAGATGAGGCCCCATTCCCCTGCAGTGCATGCAGAGCTATTCCGTGATCCCATTCAAACAAGTCAGGAGCTTCGACTTGCTTAATGGATCTCGAGACAGTCCCCAAGAACACTGTCACCAGTCTAGACGGACCCTGAGGTCACCCAGCAATGCAAAGCAGCTCCATGTGCCCCAAATCAACTCGAGATGAGGCCGGATTCCCCTGCATTGACTCCAGAGCCATTCCTTGTTCCCCATTCAACACGACCGGTGGCTCGACTTCCTTCAGGCAACTCCAGGGATGCCCCGAGAACACTGTCCCAAGTCTAGAGGACCACAAACTTCAGCACAGCAACTCGAGGAATGCTCTGTGTACCCCAAATCGTCTCGAGATGAGAGCTGATTCCCTGGCTTAGGCTCAAGACGTATGCCACCTTTCCAGAAGCACCTCAGGAGGAGGCTTCTCTCAGCAATAGGTATGTGGGAGGGACCCCGAGTTTGCTGCCTCAAGGGGAATATACAGCGAGAAGCCCTAACTTGAAAGGAGGCCGGATTTCCTTGCAGTGGCTTGAATACAGGCTCGTCTTTCATCTCACAACATGAAGGGATGTCTGAATCCCCTGTGGAGACCTTAGAGAAAGCCCTAGGTCCCTGCCTCATTTTGACGGAATCCTCACATCCCGCTGACACCTCGAGAGGCACGCGGAGTTCATTGCTTCAAAAGGTGACGATGCCTGACTCCTCTTGAATACTGATAGGAATCCCAAAATCCCTGTGGCTACTGGAAAGGGTCCTTGGGTGCCCTGCCTCACCTCGAGAAGCGTCCCTTTTGCCCTGCCAAGCCTCGAAGAGATTGCTGAGGTGTCCCTCATTACTAGACAGGAGTCCTGACGTCACGGAAGAAACTCGTGTTTTGAAGGGCCATCCCCGCCGTAAGTCGAGAACATACCCCAGGTCCCCGCCTCAACTCGAGAAAAACCATGAGACTTCCCCCTAGAGGCGAGATGAGGCCCCATTCCCCTGCAGTGCATGCAGAGCTATTCCGTGATCCCATTCAAACAAGTCAGGAGCTTCGACTTGCTTAATGGATCTCGAGACAGTCCCCAAGAACACTGTCACCAGTCTAGACGGACCCTGAGGTCACCCAGCAATGCAAAGCAGCTCCATGTGCCCCAAATCAACTCGAGATGAGGCCGGATTCCACTGCATTGACTCCAGAGCCATTCCTTGTTCCCCATTAAACACGACCGGTGGCTCGACTTCCTTCAGGCAACTCCAGAGATGCCCCGAGAACACTGTCCCAAGTCTAGAGGACCACCAACTTCAGCACAGCAACTCGAGGAATGCTCTGTGTACCACAAATCGTCTCGAGATGAGAGCTGATTCCCTGGCTTAGGCTCAAGACGTATGCCACCTTTCCAGAAGCACCTCAGGAGGAGGCTTCTCTCAGCAATAGGTATGTGGGAGGGACCCCGAGTTTGCTGCCTCAAGGGGAATATACAGCGAGAAGCCCTAACTTGAAAGGAGGCCGGATTTCCTTGCAGTGGCTTGAATACAGGCTCGTCTTTCATCTCACAACATGAAGGGATGTCTGAATCCCCTGTGGAGACCTTAGATAAAGCCCTAGGTCCCTGCCTCATTTTGACGGAATCCTCACATCCCACTGACACCTCGAGAGGCACGCGGAGTTCATTGCTTCAAAAGGTGACGAAGCCTGACTCCTCTTGAATACTGATAGGAATCCCAAAATCCCTGTGGCTACTGGAAAGGGTCCTTGGGTGCCCTGGCTCACCTCGAGAAGCGTCCCTTTTGCCCTGCCAAGCCTCGAAGAGATTGCTGAGGTGTCCCTCGTTACTAGACAGGAGTCCTGACGTCACGGAAGAAACTCGTGTTTTGAAGGGCCATCCCCGCCGTAAGTCGAGAACATCCCCCAGGTCCCTGCCGCAACTCGAGAAAAACCATGAGACTTCCCCTTAGAGGCGAGATGAGGCCGCATTCCCCTGCAGTGCATGCAGAGCTATTCCGTGATCCCATTCAAACAAGTCAGGAGCTTCGACTTGCTTAATGGATCTCGAGACAGTCCCCAAGAACACTGTCACAAGTCTAGACGGACCCTGAGGTCACCCAGCAATGCAAAGCAGCTCCATGTGCCCCAAATCAACTCGAGATGAGGCCCGATTCCCCTGCATTGACTCCAGAGCCATTCCCTGTTCCCCATTCAACACGACCGGTGGCTCGACTTCCTTCAGGCAACTCCAGGGATGCCCCGAGAACACTGTCCCAAGTCTAGAGGAACACGAACTTCAGCACAGCAACTCGAGGAATGCTCTGTGTACCCCAAATTGTCTCGAGATGAGAGCTGATTCCCTGGCTTAGGCTCAAGACGTATGCCACCTTTCCAGAAGCTCCTCAGGAGGAGGCTTCTCTCAGCAATAGGTATGTGGGAGGGACCCCGAGTTTGCTGCCTCAAGGGGAATATACATCGAGAAGCCCTAACTTGAAAGGAGACCGGATTTCCTTTTAGTGGCTTGAATACAGGCTCGTCTTTCATCTCACAACATGAAGGGATGTCTGAATCCCCTGTGGAGACCTTAGAGAAAGCCCTAGGTCCCTGCCTCATTTTGACGGAATCCTCACATCCCGCTGACACCTCGAGAGGCACGCAGAGTTCATTGCTTCAAAAGGTGACGATGCCTGACTCCTCTTGAATACTGATAGGAATCCCAAAATCCCTGTGGCTACTGGACAGGGTACTTGGGTGCCCTGGCTCACCTCGAGAAGCGTCCCTTTTGCCCTGCCAAGCCTCGAAGAGATTGCTGAGGTGTCCCTCGTTACTAGACAGGAGTCCTGACGTCACGGAAGAAACTCGTGTTTTGAAGGGCCATCCCCGCCGTAAGTCGAGAACATACCCCAGGTCCCCGCCGCAACTCGAGAAAAACCATGAGACTGCCCCCTAGAGGCGAGATGAGGCCCCATTCCCGTGCAGTGCATGCAGAACTATTTCGTGATCCCATTCAAACAAGTCAGGAGCTTCGACTTGCTTAATGGATCTCGAGACAGTCCCCAAGAACACTGTCACCAGTCTAGACGGACCCTGAGGTCACCCAGCAATGCAAAGCACCTCCATGTGCCCCAAATCAACTCGAGATGAGGCCGGATTCCCCTGCATTGACTCCAGAGCCATTCCTTGTTCCCCATTCAACACGACCGGTGGCTCAACTTCCTTCAGGCAACTCCGGAGATGCACCAAGAACACTGTCCCAAGTCTAGAGGACCACCAACTTCTGCACAGCAACTCGAGGAATGCTCTGTGTACCACAAATCGTCTCGAGATGAGAGCTGATTCCCTGGCTTAGGCTCAAGACGTATGCCACCTTTCCAGAAGCACCTCAGGAGGAGGCTTCTCTCAGCAATAGGTATGTGGGAGGGACCCCGAGTTTGCTGCCTCAAGGGGAATATACAGCGAGAAGCCCTAACTTGAAAGGAGGCCGGATTTCCTTGCAGTGGCTTGAATACAGGCTCGTCTTTCATCTCACAACATGAAGGGATGTCTGAATCCCCTGTGGAGACCTTAGATAAAGCCCTAGGTCCCTGCCTCATTTTGACGGAATCCTCACATCCCACTGACACCTCGAGAGGCACGCGGAGTTCATTGCTTCAAAAGGTGACGATGCCTGACTCCTCTTGAATACTGATAGGAATCCCAAAATCCCTGTGGCTACTGGAAAGGGTCCTTGGGTGCCCTGGCTCACCTCGAGAAGCGTCCCTTTTGCCCTGCCAAGCCTCGAAGAGATTGCTGAGGTGTCCCTCGTTACTAGACAGGAGTCCTGACGTCACGGAAGAAACTCGTGTTTTGAAGGGCCATCCCCGCCGTAAGTCGAGAACATCCCCCAGGTCCCTGCCGCAACTCGAGAAAAACCATGAGACTTCCCCCTAGAGGCGAGATGAGGCCCCATTCCCCTGCAGTGCATGCAGAGCTATTCCGTGATCCCATTCAAACAAGTCAGGAGCTTCGACTTGCTTAATGGATCTCGAGACAGTCCCCAAGAACACTGTCACAAGTCTAGACGGACCCTGAGGTCACCCAGCAATGCAAAGCAGCTCCATGTGCCCCAAATCAACTCGAGATGAGGCCCGATTCCCCTGCATTGACTCCAGAGCCATTCCCTGTTCCCCATTCAACACGACCAGTGGCTCGACTTCCTTCAGGCAACTCCAGGGATGCCCCGAGAACACTGTCCCAAGTCTAGAGGAACACGAACTTCAGCACAGCAACTCGAGGAATGCTCTGTGTACCCCAAATTGTCTCGAGATGAGAGCTGATTCCCTGGCTTAGGCTCAAGACGTATGCCACCTTTCCAGAAGCACCTCAGGAGGAGGCTTCTCTCAGCAAGAGGTATGTGGGAGGGACCCCGAGTTTGCTGCCTCAAGGGGAATATACAGCGAGAAGCCCTAACTTGAAAGGAGGCCGGATTTCCTTGCAGTGGCTTGAATACAGGCTCGTCTTTCATCTCACAACATGAAGGGATGTCTGAATCCCCTGTGGAGACCTTAGATAAAGCCCTAGGTCCCTGCCTCATTTTGACGGAATCCTCACATCCCGCTGACACCTCGAGAGGCACGCGGAGTTCATTGCTTCAAAAGGTGACGATGCCTGACTCCTCTTGAATACTGATAGGAATCACAAAATCCCTGTGGCTACAGGAAAGGGTCCTTGGGTGCCCTGCCTCACCTCGAGAAGCGTCCCTTTTGCCCTGCCAAGCCTCGAAGAGATTGCTGAGGTGTCCCTCGTTACTAGACAGGAGTCCTGACGTCACGGAAGAAACTCGTGTTTTGAAGGGCCATCCCCGCCGTAAGTCGAGAACATACCCCAGGTCCCCGCCGCAACTCGAGAAAAACCATGAGACTTCCCCCTAGAGGCGAGATGAGGCCCCATTCCCCTGCAGTGCATGCAGAGCTATTCCGTGATCCCATTCAAAAAGTCAGGAGCTTCGACTTGCTTAATGGATCTCGAGACAGTCCCCAAGAACACTGTCACCAGTCTAGACGGACCCTGAGGTAACCCAGCAATGCAAAGCAGCTCCATGTGCCCCAAATAAACACGAGATGAGGCCGAATTCCCCTGCATTGAATCCAGAGCCATTCCTTGTTCCCCATTCAACACGACCGGTGGCTCGACTTCCTTCAGGCAACTCCAGAGATGCCCCGAGAACACTGTCCCAAGTCTAGAGGACCACCAACTTCAGCACAGCAACTCGAGGATTGCTCTGTGTACCCCAAATCGTCTCGAGATGAGAGCTGATTCCCTGGCTTAGGCTCAAGACGTATGCCACCTTTCCAGAAGCACCTCAGGAGGAGGCTTCTCTCAGCAATAGGTATGTGGGAGGGACCCCGAGTTTGCTGCCTCAAGGGGAATATACAGCGAGAAGCCCTAACTTGAAAGGAGGCCGGATTTCCTTGCAGTGGCTTGAATACAGGCTCGTCTTTCATCTCACAACATGAAGGGATGTCTGAATCCCCTGTGGAGACCTTAGAGAAAGCCCTAGGTCCCTGCCTCATTTTGACGGAATCCTCACATCCCGCTGAAACCTCGAGAGGCACGCGGAGTTCATTGCTTCAAAAGGTGACGATGCCTGACTCCTCTTGAATACTGATAGGAATCCCAAAATCCCTGTGGCTACTGGAAAGGGTCCTTGGGTGCCCTGGCTCACCTCGAGAAGCGTCCCTTTTGCCCTGCCAAGCCTCGAAGAGATTGCTGAGGTGTCCCTCGTTACTAGACAGGAATCCTGACGTCACGGAAGAAACTCGTGTTTTGAGGGGCCATCCCCTCCGTAAGTCGAGAACATACAACAGGTCCCCGCCGCAACTCGAGAAAAACAATGAGACTTCCCCCTAGAGGCGAGATGAGGCCCCATTCCCCTGCAGTGCATGCAGAGCTATTCCGTGATCCCATTCAAACAAGTCAGGAGCTTCGACTTGCTTAATGGATCTCGAGACAGTCCCCAAGAACACTGTCACCAGTCTAGACGGACCCTGAGGTCACCCAGCAATGCAAAGCAGCTCCATGTCCCCCAAATCAACTCGAGATGAGGCCGGATTCCCCTGCATTGACTCCAGAGCCATTCCTTGTTCCCCATTCAACACGACCGGTGGCTCGACTTCCTTCAGGCAACTCCAGAGATGCCCCGAGAACACTGTCCCAAGTCTAGAGGACCACCAACTTCAGCACAGCAACTCGAGGAATGCTCTGTGTACCCCAAATCGTCTCAAGATGAGAGCTGATTCCCTGGCTTAGGCTCAAGACGTATGCCACCTTTCCAGAAGCACCTCAGGAGGAGGCTTCTCTCAGCAATAGGTATGTGGGAGGGACCCCGAGTTTGCTGCCTCAAGGGGAATATACAGCGAGAAGCCCTAACTTGAAAGGAGGCCGGATTTCCTTTTAGTGGCTTGAATAAGGCTCGTCTTTCATCTCACAACATGAAGGGATGTCTGAATCCCCTGTGGAGACCTTAGATAAAGCCCTAGGTCCCTGCCTCATTTTGACGGAATCCTCACATCCCGCTGACACCTCGAGAGGCACGCGGAGTTCATTGCTTCAAAAGGTGACGATGCCTGACTCCTCTTGAATACTGATAGGAATCCCAAAATCCCTGTGGCTACTGGAAAGGGTCCTTGGGTGCCCTGGCTCACCTCGAGAAGCGTCCCTTTTGCCCTGCCAAGCCTCGAAGAGATTGCTGAGGTGTCCCTCGTTACTAGACAGGAGTCCTGACGTCACTGAAGAAACTCGTGTTTTGAAGGGCCATCCCCGCCGTAAGTCGAGAACATACCCCAGGTCCCTGCCACAACTCGAGAAAAACCATGAGACTTCCCCCTAGAGCCGAGATGAGGCCCCATTCCCCTGCAGTGCATGCAGAGCTATTCCGTGATCCCATTCAAACAAGTCAGGAGCTTCGACTTGCTTAATGGATCTCGAGACAGTCCCCAAGAACACTGTCACCAGTCTAGACGGACCCTGAGGTCACCCAGCAATGCAAAGCAGCTCCATGTGCCCCAAATCAACTCGAGATGAGGCCCGATTCCCCTGCATTGACTCCAGAGCCATTCCCTGTTCCCCATTCAACACGACAGGTGGCTCGACTTCCTTCAGGCAACTCCAGGGATGCCCCGAGAACACTGTCCCACGTCTAGAGGAACACCAACTTCAGCACAGCAACACGAGGAATGCTCTGTGTACCCCTAATTGTCTCGAGATGAGAGCTGATTCCCTGGCTTAGGCTCAAGACGTATGCCACCTTTCCAGAAGCACCTCAGAAGGAGGCTTCTCTCAGCAATAGGTATGTGGGAGGGACCCCGAGTTTGCTGCCTCAAGGGGAATATACAGCGAGAAGCCCTAACTTGAAAGGAGGCCGGATTTCCTTGCAGTGGCTTGAATACAGGCTCGTCTTTGATCTGACAACATGAAGGGATGTCTGAATCCCCTGTGGAGACCTTAGAGAAAGCCCTAGGTCCCTGCCTCATTTTGACGGAATGCCTCACATCCCGCTGACACCTCGAGAGGCACGCGGAGTTCATTGCTTCAAAAGGTGACAATGCCTGACTCCTCTTGAATACTGATAGGAATCCCAAAATCCCTGTGGCTACTGGAAAGGTTCCTTGGGTGCCCTGGCTCACCTCGAGAAGCGTCCCTTTTGCCCTGCCAAGCCTCGAAGACATTCCTGAGGTGTCCCTCGTTACTAGGCAGGAGTCCTGACGTCACTGGAGAAACTCGTGTTTTGAAGGGCCATCCCCGCCGTAAGTCGAGAACATACCCCAGGGCCCCGCCGCAACTCGAGAAAAACCGTGAGACTTCCCCCTAGAGGCGAGATGAGGCCCCATTCCCCTGCAGTGCATGCAGAGCTATTCCGTGATCCCATTCAAACAAGTCAGGAGCTTCGACTTGCTTAATGGATCTCGAGACAGTCCCCAAGAACACTGTCACCAGTCTAGACGGACCCTGAGGTCACCCAGCAATGCAAAGCAGCTCCATGTGCCCAAAATCAACTCGAGATGAGGCCGGATTCCCCTGCATTGACTCCAGAGCCATTCCTTGTTCCCCATTCAACACGACCGGTGGCTCGACTTCCTTCAGGCAACTCCAGAGATGCCTCGAGAGCACTATCCCAAGTCTAGAGGACCACCAACTTCAGCAGAGCAACTCGAGGAATGCTCTGTGTACCCCAAATCGTCTCGAGATGAGAGCTGATTCCCTGGCTTAGGCTCAAGACGTATGCCACCTTTCCAGAAGCACCTCAGGAGGAGGCTTCTCTCAGCAATAGGTATGTGGGAGGGACCCCGAGTTTGCTGCCTCAAGGGGAATATACAGCGAGAAGCCCTAACTTGAAAGGAGGCCGGATTTCCTTGCAGTGGCTTGAATACAGGCTCGTCTTTCATCTCACAACATGAAGGGATGTCTGAATCCCCTGTGGAGACCTTAGAGAAAGCCCTAGGTCCCTGCCTCATTTTGACGGAATCCTCACATCCCGCTGACACCTCGAGAGGCACGCGGAGTTCATTGCTTCAAAAGGTGACGATGCCTGACTCCTCTTGAATACTTATAGGAATCCCAAAATCCCTGTGGCTACTGGAAAGGGTCCTTGGGTGCCCTGGCTCACCTCGAGAAGCGTCCCTTTTGCCCTGCCAAGCCTCGAAGAGATTGCTGAGGTGTCCCTCGTTACTAGACAGGAGTCCTGACGTCACGGAAGAAACACGTGTTTTGAAGGGCCATCCCCGCCGTAAGTCGAGAACATACCCCAGGTCCCCGCCGCAACTCGAGAAAAACCATGAGACTTCCCCCTAGAGGCGAGATGAGGCCCCATTCCCCTGCAGTGCATGCAGAGCTATTCCGTGATCCCATTCAAACAAGTCAGGAGCTTCGACTTGCTTAATGGATCTCGAGACAGTCCCCAAGAACACTGTCACCAGTCTAGACGGACCCTGAGGTCACCCAGCAATGCAAAGCAGCTCCATGTGCCCCAAATCAACTCGAGATGAGGCCGGATTCCCCTGCATTGACTCCAGAGCCATTCCTTGTTCCCCATTCAACACGACCGGTGGCTCGACTTCCTTCAGGCAACTCCAGAGATGCCCCGAGAACACTGTCCCAAGTCTAGAGGAACACCAACTTCAGCACAGCAACTCGAGGAATGCTCTGTGTACCCCAAATCGTCTCGAGATGAGAGCTGATTCCCTGGCTTAGGCTCAAGACGTATGCCACCTTTCCAGAAACACCTCAGGAGGAGGCTTCTCTCAGCAATAGGTATGTGGGAGGGACCCCGAGTTTGCTGCCTCAAGGGGAATATACAGCGAGAAGTCCTAACTTGAAAGGAGGCCGGATTTCCTTGCAGTGGCTTGAATACCGGCTCGTCTTTCATCTCACAACATGAAGGGATGTCTGAATCCCCTGTGGAGACCTTAGAGAAAGCCCTAGGTCCCTGCCTCATTTTGACGGAATCCTCACATCCTGCTGACACCTCGAGAGGCACGCGGAGTTCATTGCTTCAAAAGGTGACGATGCCTGACTCCTCTTGAATACTTATAGGAATCCCAAAATCCCTGTGGCTACTGGAAAGGGTACTTGGGTGCCCTGGCTCACCTCGAGAAGCGTCCGTTTTGCCCTGCCAAGCCTCGAAGAGATTGCTGAGGTGTCCCTCGTTACTAGACAGGAGTCCTGACGTCACTGAAGAAACTCGTGTTTTGAAGGGCCATCCCCGCCGTAAGTCGAGAACATACCCCAGGTCCCCGCCGCAACTCGAGAAAAACCATGAGACTTCCCCCTAGAGGCGAGATGAGGCCCCATTCCCCTGCAGTGCATGCAGAGCTATTCCGTGATCCCATTCAAACAAGTCAGGAGCTTCGACTTGCTTAATGGATCTCGAGACAGTCCCCAAGAACACTGTCACCAGTCTAGACGGACCCTGAGGTCACCCCAGCAACGCAAAGCAGCTCCATGTGCCCCAAATCAACTCGAGATGAGGCCAGATTCCCCTGCATTGACTCCAGAGCCATTCCCCGTTCCCCATTCAACACGACTGGTGGCTCGCTTTTCTTCAGGCAACTCCAGAGATGCCCCGAGAACACTGTCCCAAGTCTAGAGGAACACCAACTTCAGCACAGCAACTCGAGGAATGCTCTGTGTACCCCAAATCGTCTCGAGATGAGAGCTGATTCCCTGGCTTAGGCTCAAGACGTATGCCAACTTTCCAGAAGCACCTCAGGAGGAGGCTTCTCAGCAATAGGTATGTGGGAGGGACTCCGAGTTTGCTGCCTCAAGGGGAATATACAGCGAGAAGCCCTAACTTGAAAGGAGGCCGGATTTCCTGGCAGTAGCTTGAATACAGGCTTGTCTTTCATCTCACAACATGAAGGGATGTCTGAATCCCCTGTGAAGACCTTAGAGAAAGCCCTAGGACCCTGTCTCATTTTGACGGAATGCCTCACATCCCGCTGACAACTCGAGAGGCACGCGGAGTTCATTGCTTCAAAAGGTGACGATGCCTGACTCCTCTTGAATACTGATAGGAATCCCAAAATCCCTGTGGCTACTGGAAAGGTTCCTTTGGTGCCCTGGCTCACCTCGAGAAGCGTCCCTTTTGCCCTGCCAAGCCTCGAAGACATTCCTGAGGTGTCCCTCGTTACTAGACAGGAGTCCTGACGTCACTGAAGAAACTCGTGTTTTGAAGGGCCATCCCCGCCGTAAGTCGAGAACATACCCCAGGTCCCCGCCGCAACTCGAGAAAAACCATGAGACTTCCCCCTAGAGGCGAGATGAGGCCCCATTCCCCTGCAGTGCATGCAGAGCTATTCCGTGATCCCATTCAAACAAGTCAGGAGCTTCGACTTGCTTAATGGATCTCGAGACAGTCCCCAAGAACACTGTCACCAGTCTAGACGGACCCTGAGGTCACCCCAGCAACGCAAAGCTGCTCCATGTGCCCCAAATCAACTCGAGATGAGGCCCGGTTCCCCTGCATTGACTCCAGAGCCATTCCCCGTTCCCCATTCAACACGACCGGTGGCTCGACTTCCTTCAGGCAACTGCAGAGATGCCCCGAGAACACTGCCCCAAGTCTAGAGGAACACCAACTTCAGCACAGCAACTCGAGGAATGCTCCATGTACCCCAAATCATCTCGAGATGAGAGCTGATTCTCTGGCTTAGGCTCAAGACGTATGCCAACTTTCCAGAAGCACCTCAGGAGGAGGCTTCTCTCAGCAATAGGTATGTGGGAGCGACCCCGAGTTTGCTGCCTCAAGGGTAATACACAGGGAGAAGCCCTAACGTGAACGGAGGCCAGATTTCCTTGCAGTGGGTTGAATAAAGGCTCGTCTTCGATCTGAAAACATGAAGGGATGTCTGAATTCCCTGTGGAGACCTTAGAGGAAGCCCTAGGTCCCTGCCTCATTTTGACGGAATACCTCACATCCCCCTGACACCTCGAGAGGCACGCAGAGTTCATTGCTTTAAAAGGTGACGATGCCTGACTCCTCTTGAATACTTATAGGAATCCCAAAATCCCTGTTGCTACTGGAAAGGGTTCTTGGGTGCCCTGGCTCACCTCGAGAAGCGTCCCTTTTGCCCTGCCAAGCCTCGAAGAAATTGCTGAGGTGTCCCTCGTTACTAGACAGGAGTCCTGACGTCACGGAAGAAACTCGTGTTTTGAAGGGCCATCCCCACCGTAAGTCGAGAACATACCCCAGGTCCCCGCCGCAACTCGAGAAAAACCATGAGACTTCCCCCTAGAGGCGAGATGAGGCCCCATTCCCCTGCAGTGCATGCAGAGCTATTCCGTGATCCCATTCAAACAAGTCAGGAGCTTCGACTTGCTTAATGGATCTCGAGACAGTCCCCAAGAACACTGTCACCAGTCTAGACGGACCCTGAGGTCACCCAGCAATGCAAAGCAGCTCCATGTGCCCCAAATCAACTCGAGATGAGGCCGGATTCCCCTGCATTGACTCCAGAGCCATTCCTTGTTCCCCATTCAACACGACCGGTGGCTCGACTTCCTTCAGGCAATTCCGGAGATGCACCAAGAACACTGTCCCAAGTCTAGAGGACCACCAACTTCAGCACAGCAACTCGAGAAATGCTCTGTGTACCCCAAATCGTCTCGAGATGAGAGCTGATTCCCTGGCTTAGGCTCAAGACGTATGCCACCTTTCCAGAAGCACCTCAGGAGGAGGCTTCTCTCAGCAATAGGTATGTGGGAGGGACCCCGAGTTTGCTGCCTCAAGGGGAATATACAGCGAGAAGCCCTAACTTGAAAGGAGGCCGGATTTCCTTGCAGTGGCTTGAATACAGGCTCGTCTTTCATCTCACAACATGAAGGGATGTCTGAATCCCCTGTGGAGACCTTAGATAAAGCCCTAGGTCCCTGCCTCATTTTGACGGAATCCTCACATCCCGCTGACACCTCGAGAGGCACGCGGAGTTCATTGCTTCAAAAGGTGACGATGTCTGACTCCTCTTGAATACTGATAGGAATCCCAAAATCACTGTGGCTACTGGAAAGGGTCCTTGGGTGCCCTGGCTCACCCCGAGATGCGTCCCTTTTGCCCTGCCAAGCCTCGAAGAGATTGCTGATGTGTCCCTCGTTACTAGACAGGAGTCCTGACGTCACGGAAGAAACTCGTGTTTTGAAGGGCCATCCCCGCCGTAAGTCGAGAACATACCCCAGGTCCCCGCCGCAACTCGAGAAAAACCATGAGACTTCCCCCTAGAGGCGAGATGAGGCCCCATTCCCCTGCAGTGCATGCAGAGCTATTCCGTGATCCCATTCAAACAAGTCAGGAGCTTCGACTTGCTTAATGGATCTCGAGACAGTCCCCAAGAACACTGTCAGCAGTCTAGACGGACCCTGAGGTCACCCAGCAATGCAAAGCAGATCCATGTGCCCCAAATCAACTCGAGATGAGGCCGGATTCCCCTGCATTAACTCCAGAGCCATTCCTTGTTCCCCATTCAACACGACCGGTGGCTCGACTTCCTTCAGGCAACTCCGGAGATGCACCAAGAACACTGTCCCAAGTCTAGAGGACCACCAACTTCAGCACAGCAACTCGAGGAATGCTCTGTGTACCACAAATCGTCTCGAGATGAGAGCTGATTCCCTGGCTTAGGCTCAAGACGTATGCCACCTTTCCAGAAGCACCTCAGGAGGAGGCTTCTCTCAGCAATAGGTATGTGGGAGGGACCCCGAGTTTGCTGCCTCAAGGGTAATATACAGCGAGAAGCCCTAACTTGAAAGGAGGCCGGATTTCCTTGCAGTGGCTTGAATACAGGCTCGTCTTTCATCTCACAACATGAAGGGATGTCTGAATCCCCTGTGGAGACCTTAGAGAAAGCCCTAGGTCCCTGCCTCATTTTGACGGAATCCTCACATCCCGCTGACACCTCGAGAGGCACGCGGAGTTCATTGCTTCAAAAGGTGACGATGCCTGACTCCTCTTGAATACTGATAGGAATCCCAAAATACCTGCGGCTACTGCAAAGGGTCCTTGGGTGCCCTGGCTCACCTCGAGAAGCGTCCCTTTTGCCCTGCCAAGCCTCGAAGAGATTGCTGAGGTGTCCCTCGTTACTAGACAGGAGTCCTGACGTCACTGAAGAAACTCGTGTTTTGAAGGGCCATCCCCGCCGTAAGTCGAGAACATACCCCAGGTCCCTGCCGCAACTCGAGAAAAACCATGAGACTTCCCCCTAGAGGCGAGATGAGGCCCCATTCCCCTACAGTGCATGCAGAGCTATTCCGTGATCCCATTCAAACAAGTCAGGAGCTTCGACTTGCTTAATGGATCTCGAGACAGTCCCCAAGAACACTGTCACAAGTCTAGACGGACCCTGAGGTCACCCAGCAATGCAAAGCAGCTCCATGTGCCCCAAATCAACTCGAGATGAGGCCCGATTCCCCTGCATTGACTCCAGAGCCATTCCCTGTTCCCCATTCAACACGACCGGTGGCTCGACTTCCTTCAGGCAACTCCAGGGATGCCCCGAGAACACTGTCCGAAGTCTAGAGGAACACCAACTTCAGCACAGCAACTCGAGGAATGCTCTGTGTACCCCAAATTGTCTCGAGATGAGAGCTGATTCCCTGGCTTAGGCTCAAGACGCATGCCACCTTTCTAGAAGCACCTCAGGAGGAGGCTTCTCTCAGCAATAGGTATGTGGGAGGGACCCCGAGTTTGCTGCCTCAAGGGGAATATACAGCGAGAAGCCCTAACTTGAAAGGAGGCCGGATTTCCTTGCAGTGGCTTGAATACAGGCTCGTCTTTGATCTGACAACATGAAGGGATGTCTGAATCCCCTGTGGAGACCTTAGAGAAAGCCCTAGGTCCCTGCCTCATTTTGACGGAATGCCTCACATCCCGCTGACACCTCGAGAGGCACGCGGAGTTCATTGCTTCAAAAGGTGACGATGCCTGACTCCTCTTGAATACTGATAGGAATCCCAAAATCCCTGTGGCTACTGGAAAGGGTCCTTGGGTGCCCTGGCTCACCTCGAGAAGCGTCCCTTTTGCCCTGCCAAGCCTCGAAGAAATTGCTGAGGTGTCCCTCGTTACTAGACAGGAGTCCTGACGTCACGGAAGAAACTCGTGTTTTGAAGGGCCATCCCCACCGTAAGTCGAGAACATACCCCAGGTCCCCGCCGCAACTCGAGAAAAACCATGAGACTTCCCCCTAGAGGCGAGATGAGGCCCCATTCCCCTGCAGTGCATGCAGAGCTATTCCGTGATCCCATTCAAACAAGTCAGGAGCTTCGACTTGCTTAATGGATCTCGAGACAGTCCCCAAGAACACTGTCACCAGTCTAGACGGACCCTGAGGTCACCCAGCAATGCAAAGCAGCTCCATGTGCCCCAAATCAACTCGAGATGAGGCCGGATTCCCCTGCATTGACTCCAGAGCCATTCCTTGTTCCCCATTCAACACGACCGGTGGCTCGACTTCCTTCAGGCAATTCCGGAGATGCACCAAGAACACTGTCCCAAGTCTAGAGGACCACCAACTTCAGCACAGCAACTCGAGAAATGCTCTGTGTACCCCAAATCGTCTCGAGATGAGAGGTGATTCCCTGGCTTAGGCTCAAGACGTATGCCACCTTTCCAGAAGCACCTCAGGAGGAGGCTTCTCTCAGCAATAGGTATGTGGGAGGGACTCCGAGTTTGCTGCCTCAAGGGGAATATACAGCGAGAAGCCCTAACTTGAAAGGAGGCCGGATTTCCTTGCAGTGGCTTGAATACAGGCTCGTCTTTCATCTCACAACATGAAGGGATGTCTGAATCCCCTGTGGATACCTTAGAGAAAGCCCTAGGTCCCTGCCTCATTTTGACGGAATCCTCATATCCCGCTGACACCTCGAGAGGCACGCGGAGTTCATTGCTTCAAAAGGTGACGATGCCTGACTCCTCTTGAATACTTATAGGAATCCCAAAATCCCTGTGGCTACTGGAAAGGGTCCTTGGGTGCCCTGGCTCACCTCGAGAAGCGTCCCTTTTGCCCTGCCAAGCCTCGAAGAGATTGCTGAGGTGTCCCTCGTTACTAGACAGGAGTCCTGACGTCACGGAAGAAACTCGTGTTTTGAAGGGCCATCCCCGCCGTAAGTCGAGAACATACCCCAGGGCCCCGCCGCAACTCGAGAAAAACCATGAGACTTCCCCCTAGAGGCGAGATGAGGCCCCATTCCCCTGCAGTGCATGCAGAGCTATTCCGTGATCCCATTCAAACAAGTCAGGAGCTTCGACTTGCTTAATGGATCTCGAGACAGTCCCCAAGAACACTGTCACCAGTCTAGACGGACCCTGAGGTCACCCAGCAATGCAAAGCAGCTCCATGTGCCCCAAATCAACTCGAGATGAGGCCGGATTAACCTGCATTGACTCCAGAGCCATTCCTTGTTCCCCATTCAACACGACCGGTGGCTCGACTTCCTTCAGGCAACTCCAGAGATGCCCCGAGAACACTGTCCCAAGTCTAGAGGAACACCAACTTCAGCACAGCAACTCGAGGAATGCTCTGTGTACCCCAAATCGTCTCGAGATGAGAGCTGATTCCCTGGCTTAGGCTCAAGACGTATGCCAACTTTCCAGAAACACCTCAGGAGGAGGCTTCTCTCAGTAATAGGTATGTGGGAGGGACCCCGAGTTTGCTGCCTCAAGGGGAATATACAGCGAGAAGCCCTAACTTGAAAGGAGGCCGGATTTCCTTGCAGTGGCTTGAATACAGGCTCGTCTTTCATCTCACAACATGAAGGGATGTCTGAATCCCCTGTGGAGACCTTAGATAAAGCCCTAGGTCCCTGCCTCATTTTGACGGAATCCTCACATCCCGCTGACACCTCGAGAGGCACGCGGAGTTCATTGCTTCAAAAGGTGACGATGTCTGACTCCTCTTGAATACTGATAGGAATCCCAAAATCACTGTGGCTACTGGAAAGGGTCCTTGGGTGCCCTGGCTCACCCCGAGATGCGTCCCTTTTGCCCTGCCAAGCCTCGAAGAGATTGCTGATGTGTCCCTCGTTACTAGACAGGAGTCCTGACGTCACTGAAGAAACTCGTGTTTTGAAGGGCCATCCCCGCCGTAAGTCGAGAACATACCCCAGGTCCCCGCCGCAACTCGAGAAAAACCATGAGACTTCCCCCTAGAGGCGAGATGAGGCCCCATTCCCCTGCAGTGCATGCAGAGCTATTCCGTGATCCCATTCAAACAAGTCAGGAGCTTCGACTTGCTTAATGGATCTCGAGACAGTCCCCAAGAACACTGTCAGCAGTCTAGACGGACCCTGAGGTCACCCAGCAATGCAAAGCAGATCCATGTGCCCCAAATCAACTCGAGATGAGGCCGGATTCCCCTGCATTGACTCCAGAGCCATTCCTTGTTCCCCATTCAACACGACCGGTGGCTCGACTTCCTTCAGGCAACTCCGGAGATGCACCAAGAACACTGTCCCAAGTCTACAGGACCACCAACTTCAGCACAGCAACTCGAGGAATGCTCTGTGTACCACAAATCGTCTCGAGATGAGAGCTGATTCCCTGGCTTAGGCTCAAGACGTATGCCACCTTTCCAGAAGCACCTCAGGAGGAGGCTTCTCTCAGCAATAGGTATGTGGGAGGGACCCCGAGTTTGCTGCCTCAAGGGTAATATACAGCGAGAAGCCCTAACTTGAAAGGAGGCCGGATTTCCTTGCAGTGGCTTGAATACAGGCTCGTCTTTCATCTCACAACATGAAGGATGTCTGAATCCCCTGTGGAGACCTTAGATAAAGCCCTAGGTCCCTGCCTCATTTTGACGGAATCCTCACATCCCGCTGACACCTCGAGAGGCACGCGGAGTTCATTGCTTCAAAAGGTGACGATGCCTGACTCCTCTTGAATACTGATAGGAATCCCAAAATACCTGCGGCTACTGCAAAGGGTCCTTGGGTGCCCTGGCTCACCTCGAGAAGCGTCCCTTTTGCCCTGCCAAGCCTCGAAGAGATTGCTGAGGTGTCCCTCGTTACTAGACAGGAGTCCTGACGTCACTGAAGAAACTCGTGTTTTGAAGGGCCATCCCCGCCGTAAGTCGAGAACATACCCCAGGTCCCTGCCGCAACTCGAGAAAAACCATGAGACTTCCCCCTAGAGGCGAGATGAGGCCCCATTCCCCTACAGTGCATGCAGAGCTATTCCGTGATCCCATTCAAACAAGTCAGGAGCTTCGACTTGCTTAATGGATCTCGAGACAGTCCCCAAGAACACTGTCACAAGTCTAGACGGACCCTGAGGTCACCCAGCAATGCAAAGCAGCTCCATGTGCCCCAAATCAACTCGAGATGAGGCCCGATTCCCCTGCATTGACTCCAGAGCCATTCCCTGTTCCCCATTCAACACGACCGGTGGCTCGACTTCCTTCAGGCAACTCCAGGGATGCCCCGAGAACACTGTCCGAAGTCTAGAGGAACACCAACTTCAGCACAGCAACTCGAGGAATGCTCTGTGTACCCCAAATTGTCTCGAGATGAGAGCTGATTCCCTGGCTTAGGCTCAAGACGCATGCCACCTTTCTAGAAGCACCTCAGGAGGAGGCTTCTCTCAGCAATAGGTATGTGGGAGGGACCCCGAGTTTGCTGCCTCAAGGGGAATATACAGCGAGAAGCCCTAACTTGAAAGGAGGCCGGATTTCCTTGCAGTGGCTTGAATACAGGCTCGTCTTTGATCTGACAACATGAAGGGATGTCTGAATCCCCTGTGGAGACCTTAGAGAAAGCCCTAGGTCCCTGCCTCATTTTGACGGAATGCCTCACATCCCGCTGACACCTCGAGAGGCACGCGGAGTTCATTGCTTCAAAAGGTGACGATGCCTGACTCCTCTTGAATACTGATAGGAATCCCAAAATCCCTGTGGCTACTGGAAAGGGTCCTTGGGTGCCCTGGCTCACCTCGAGAAGCGTCCCTTTTGCCCTGCCAAGCCTCGAAGAGATTGCTGAGGTGTCCCTCGTTACTAGACATGAGTCCTGACGTCACGGAAGAAACTCGTGTTTTGAAGGGCCATCCCCGCCGTAAGTCGAGAACATACCCCAGGTCCCCGCCGCAACTCGAGAAAAACCATGAGACTTCCCCCTAGAGGCGAGATGAGGCCCCATTCCCCTGCAGTGCATGCAGAGCTATTCCGTGATCCCATTCAAACAAGTCAGGAGCTTCGACTTGCTTAATGGATCTCGAGACAGTCCCCAAGAACACTGTCACCAGTCTAGACGGACCCTGAGGTCACCCAGCAATGCAAAGCAGCTCCATGTGCCCCAAATCAACACGAGATGAGGCCGAATTCCCCTGCATTGACTCCAGAGCCATTCCTTGTTCCCCATTCAACACGACCGGTGGCTCGACTTCCTTCAGGCAACTCCAGAGATGCCCCGAGAACACTGTCCCAAGTCTAGAGGACCACCAACTTCAGCACAGCAACTCGAGGAATGCTCTGTGTACCCCAAATCGTCTCGAGATGAGAGCTGATTCCCTGGCTTAGGCTCAAGACGTATGCCACCTTTCCAGAAGCACCTCAGGAGGAGGCTTCTCTCAGCAATAGGTATGTGGGAGGGACCCCGAGTTTGCTGCCTCAAGGGGAATATACAGCGAGAAGCCCTAACTTGAAAGGAGGCCGGATTTCCTTGCAGTGGCTTGAATACAGGCTCGTCTTTCATCTCACAACATGAAGGGATGTCTGAATCCCCTGTGGAGACCTTAGATAAAGCCCTAGGTCCCTGCCTCATTTTGACGGAATCCTCACATCCCGCTGACACCTCGAGAGGCACGCGGAGTTCATTGCTTCAAAAGGTGACGATGCCTGACTCCTCTTGAATACTGATAGGAATCCCAAAATCCCTGTGGCTACTGGAAAGGGTCCTTGGGTGCCCTGGCTCACCTCGAGAAGCGTCCCTTTTGCCCTGCCAAGCCTCGAAGAGATTGCTGATGTGTCCCTCGTTACTAGACAGGAGTCCTGACGTCACTGAAGAAACTCGTGTTTTGAAGGGCCATCCCCGCCATAAGTCGAGAACATACCCCAGGTCCCCGCCTCAACTCGAGAAAAACCATGAGACTTCCCCCTAGAGGCGAGATTAGGCCCCATTCCCCTGCAGTGCATGCAGAGCTATTCCGTGATCCCATTCAAACAAGTCAGGAGCTTCGACTTGCTTAATGGATCTCGAGACAGTCCCCAAGAACACTGTCACCAGTCTAGACGGACCCTGAGGTCACCCAGCAATGCAAAGCAGCTCCATGTGCCCCAAATCAACTCGAGATGAGGCCGGATTCCCCTGCATTGACTCCAGAGCCATTCCTTGTTCCCCATTCAACACGACCGGTGGCTCGACTTCCTTCAGGCAACTCCAGAGATGCCCCGAGAACACTGTCCCAAGTCTATAGGACCACCAACTTCAGCACAGCAACTCGAGGAATGCTCTGTGTACCCCAAATCGTCTCAAGATGAGAGCTGATTCCCTGGCTTAGGCTCAAGACGTATGCCACCTTTCCAGAAGCACCTCAGGAGGAGGCTTCTCTCAGCAATAGGTATGTGGGAGGGACCCCGAGTTTGCTGCCTCAAGGGGAATATACAGCGAGAAGCCCTAACTTGAAAGGAGGCCGGATTTCCTTTTAGTGGCTTGAATACAGGCTCGTCTTTCATCTCACAACATGAAGGGATGTCTGAATCCCCTGTGGAGACCTTAGATAAAGCCCTAGGTCCCTGCCTCATTTTGACGGAATCCTCACATCCCGCTGACACCTCGAGAGGCACGCGCAGTTCATTGCTTCAAAAGGTGACGATGCCTGACTCCTCTTGAATACTGATAGGAATCCCAAAATCCCTGTGGCTACTGGAAAGGGTCCTTGGGTGCCCTGGCTCACCTCGAGAAGCGTCCCTTTTGCCCTGCCAAGCCTCGAAGAGATTGCTGAGGTGTCCCTCGTTACTAGACAGGAGTCCTGACGTCACTGAAGAAACTCGTGTTTTGAAGGGCCATCCCCGCCGTAAGTCGAGAACATACCCCAGGTCCCCGCCGCAACTCGAGAAAAACCATGAGACTTCCCCCTAGAGGCGAGATGAGGCCCCATTCCCCTGCAGTGCATGCAGAGCTATTCCGTGATCCCATTCAAACAAGTCAGGAGCTTCGACTTGCTTAATGGATCTCGAGACAGTCCCCAAGAACACTGTCACCAGTCTAGACGGACCCTGAGGTCACCCAGCAATGCAAAGCAGCTCCATGTGCCCCAAATCAACTCGAGATGAGGCCGGATTCCCCTGCATTGACTCCAGAGCCATTCCTTGTTCCCCATTCAACACGACCGGTGGCTCGACTTCCTTCAGGCAATTCCAGGGATGCCCCGAGAACACTGTCCCAAGTCTAGAGGACCACCAACTTCAGCACAGCAACTCGAGGAATGCTCTGTGTACCCCAAATCGTCTCGAGATGAGAGCTGATTCCCTGGCTTAGGCTCTAGACGTATGCCACCTTTCCAGAAGCACCTCAGGAGGAGGCTTCTCTCAGCAATAGGTATGTGGGAGGGACCCCGAGTTTGCTGCCTCAAGGGGAATATACAGCGAGAAGCCCTAACTTGAAAGGAGGCCGGATTTCCTTTTAGTGGCTTGAATACAGGCTCGTCTTTCATCTCACAACATGAAGGGATGTCTGAATCCCCTTTGGAGACCTTAGATAAAGCCCTAGGTCCCTGCCTCATTTTGACGGAATCCTCACATCCCGCTGACACCTCGAGAGGCACGCGGAGTTCATTGCTTCAAAAGGTGACGATGCCTTACTCCTCTTGAATACTGATAGGAATCCCAAAATCCCTGTGGCTACTGAAAAGGGTCCTTGGGTGCCCTGGCTCACCTCGAGAAGCGTCCCTTTTGCCCTGCCAAGCCTCGAAGAGATTGCTGAGGTGTCCCTCGTTACTAGACAGGAGTCCTGACGTCACGGAAGAAACTCGTGTTTTGAAGGGCCATCCCCGCCGTAAGTCGAGAACATACCCCAGGTCCCCGCCGCAACTCGAGAAAAACCATGAGACTTCCCCCTAGAGGCGAGATGAGGCCCCATTCCCCTGCAGTGCATGCAGAGCTATTCCGTGATCCCATTCAAACAAGTCAGGAGCTTCGACTTGCTTAATGGATCTCGAGACAGTCCCCAAGAACACTGTCACCAGTCTAGACGGACCCTGAGGTCACCCAGCAATGCAAAGCAGCTCCATGTGCCCCAAATCAACTCGAGATGAGGCCGGATTCCCCTGCATTGACTCCAGAGCCATTCCTTGTTCCCCATTCAACACGACCGGTGGATCGACTTCCTTCAGGCAACTCCAGGGATGCCCCGAGAACACTGTCCCAAGTCTAGAGGACCACCAACTTCAGCACAGCAACTCGAGGAATGCTCTGTGTACCCCAAATCGTCTCGAGATGAGAGCTGATTCCCTGGCTTAGGCTCAAGACGTATGCCACCTTTCCAGAAGCACCTCAGGAGGAGGCTTCTCTCAGCAATAGGTATGTGGGAGGGACCCCGAGTTTGCTGCCTCAAGGGGAATATACAGCGAGAAGCCCTAACTTGAAAGGAGGCCGGATTTCCTTGCAGTGGCTTGAATACAGGCTCGTCTTTCATCTCACAACATGAAGGGATGTCTGAATCCCCTGTGGAGACCTTAGAGAAAGCCCTAGGTCCCTGCCTCATTTTGACGGAATGCCTCACATCCCGCTGACACCTCGAGAGGCACGCGGAGTTCATTGCTTCAAAAGGTGACGATGCCTGACTCCTCTTGAATACTGATAGGAATCCCAAAATCCCTGTGGCTACTGGAAAGGGTCCTTGGGTGCCCTGGCTCACCTCGAGAAGCGTCCCTTTTGCCCTGCCAAGCCTCGAAGAGATTGCTGAGGTGTCCCTCATTACTAGACAGGAGTCCTGACGTCACGGAAGAAACTCGTGTTTTGAAGGGCCATCCCCGCCGTAAGTCGAGAACATACCCCAGGTCCCCGCCGCAACTCGAGAAAAACCATGAGACTTCCCCCTAGAGGCGAGATGAGGCCCCATTCCCCTGCAGTGCATGCAGAGCTATTCCGTGATCCCATTCAAACAAGTCAGGAGCTTCGACTTGCTTAATGGATCTCGAGACAGTCCCCAAGAACACTGTCACCAGTCTAGACGGACCCTGAGGTCACCCAGCAATGCAAAGCAGCTCCATGTGCCCCAAATCAACTCGAGATGAGGCCGGATTCCCCTGCATTGACTCCAGAGCCATTCCTTGTTCCCCATTCAACACGACCGGTGGCTCGACTTCCTTCAGGCAACTCCAGAGATGCCCCGAGAACACTGTCCCAAGTCTAGAGGACCACCAACTTCAGCACAGCAACTCGAGGAATGCTCTGTGTACCCCAAATCGTCTCGAGATGAGAGCTGATTCCCTGGCTTAGGCTCTAGACGTATGCCACCTTTCCAGAAGCACCTCAGGAGGAGGATTCTCTCAGCAATAGGTATGTGGGAGGGTCCCCGAGTTTGCTGCCTCAAGGGGAATATACAGCGAGAAGCCCTAACTTGAAAGGAGGCCGGATTTCCTTTTAGTGGCTTGAATACAGGCTCGTCTTTCATCTCACAACATGAAGGGATGTCTGAATCCCCTGTGGAGACCTTAGATAAAGCCCTAGGTCCCTGCCTCATTTTGACGGAATCCTCACATCCCGCTGACACCTCGAGAGGCACGCGGAGTTCATTGCTTCAAAAGGTGACGATGCCTGACTCCTCTTGAATACTTATAGGAATCCCAAAATCCCTGTGGCTACTGGAAAGGGTCCTTGGGTGCCCTGGCTCACCTCGAGAAGCGTCCCTTTTGCCCTGCCAAGCCTCGAAGAGATTGCTGAGGTGTCCCTCGTTACTAGACAGGAGTCCTGACGTCACGGAAGAAACTCGTGTTTTGAAGGGCCATCCCCGCCGTAAGTCGAGAACATACCCCAGGTCCCCGCCGCAACTCGAGAAAAACCATGAGACTTCCCCCTAGAGGCGAGATGAGGCCCCATTCCCCTGCAGTGCATGCAGAGCTATTCCGTGATCCCATTCAAACAAGTCAGGAGCTTCGACTTGCTTAATGGATCTCGAGACAGTCCCCAAGAACACTGTCACCAGTCTAGACGGACCCTCAGGTCACCCAGCAATGCAAAGCAGCTCCATGTGCCCCAAATCAACTCGAGATGAGGCCGGATTCCCCTGCATTGACTCCAGAGCCATTCCTTGTTCCCCATTCAACACGACAGGTGGCTCAACTTCCTTCAGGCAACTCCGGAGATGCACCAAGAACACTGTCCCAAGTCTAGAGGACCACCAACTTCAGCACAGCAACTCGAGGAATGCTCTGTGTACCACAAATCGTCTCGAGATGAGAGCTGATTCCCTGGCTTAGGCTCAAGACGTATGCCACCTTTCCAGAAGCACCTCAGGAGGAGGCTTCTCTCAGCAATAGGTATGTGGGAGGGACCCCGAGTTTGCTGCCTCAAGGGGAATATACAGCGAGAAGCCCTAACTTGAAAGGAGGCCGGATTTCCTTGCAGTGGCTTGAATACAGGCTCGTCTTTCATCTCACAACATGAAGGGATGTCTGAATCCCCTGTGGAGACCTTAGAGAAAGCCCTAGGTCCCTGCCTCATTTTGACGGAATCCTCACATCCCGCTGACACCTCGAGAGGCACGCGGAGTTCATTGCTTCAAAAGGTGACGATGCCTGACTCCTCTTGAATACTGATAGGAATCCCAAAATCCCTGTGGCTACTGGAAAGGGTCCTTGGGTGCCCTGGCTCACCTCGAGAAGCGTCCCTTTTGCCCTGCCAAGCCTCGAAGAGATTGCTGAGGTGTCCCTCGTTACTAGACAGTAGTCCTGACGTCACTGAAGAAACTCGTGTTTTGAAGGGCCATCCCCGCCGTAAGTCGAGAACATACCCCAGGTCCCTGCCACAACTCGAGAAAAACCATGAGACTTCCCCCTAGAGGCGAGATGAGGCCCCATTCCCCTGCAGTGCATGCAGAGCTATTCAGGGATCCCATTCAAACAAGTCAGGAGCTTCGACTTGCTTAATGGATCTCGAGACAGTCCCCAAGAACACTGTCACCAGTCTAGACGGACCCTGAGGTCACCCAGCAATGCAAAGCAGCTCCATGTGCCCCAAATCAACTCGAGATGAGGCCCGATTCCCCTGCATTGACTCCAGAGCCATTCCCTGTTCCCCATTCAACACGACAGGTGGCTCGACTTCCTTCAGGCAACTCCAGGGATGCCCCGAGAACACTGTCCCAAGTCCAGAGGAACACCAACTTCAGCACAGCAACTCGAGGAATGCTCTGTGTACCCCTAATTGTCTCGAGATGAGAGCTGATTCCCTGGCTTAGGCTCAAGACGTATGCCACCTTTCCAGAAGCACCTCAGAAGGAGGCTTCTCTCAGCAATAGGTATGTGGGAGGGACCCCGAGTTTGCTGCCTCAAGGGGAATATACAGCGAGAAGCCCTAACTTGAAAGGAGGCCGGATTTCCTTGCAGTGGCTTGAATACAGGCTCGTCTTTGATCTGACAACATGAAGGGATGTCTGAATCCCCTGTGGAGACCTTAGAGAAAGCCCTAGGTCCCTGCCTCATTTTGACGGAATGCCTCACATCCCGCTGACACCTCGAGAGGCACGCGGAGCTCATTGCTTCAAAAGGTGACGATGCCTGACTCCTCTTGAATACTGATAGGAATCCCAAAATCCCTGTGGCTACTGGAAAGGGTCCTTGGGTGCCCTGGCTCACCTCGAGAAGCGTCCCTTTTGCCCTGCCAAGCCTCGAAGAGATTCCTGAGGTGTCCCTCGTTACTAGGCAGGAGTCCTGACGTCACTGGAGAAACTCGTGTTTTGAAGGGCCATCCCCGCCGTAAGTCGAGAACATACCCCAGGGCCCCGCCGCAACTCGAGAAAAACCATGAGACTTCCCCCTAGAGGCGAGATGAGGCCCCATTCCCCTGCAGTGCATGCAGAGCTATTCCGTGATCCCATTCAAACAAGTCAGGAGCTTCGACTTGCTTAATGGATCTCGAGACAGTCCCCAAGAACACTGTCACCAGTCTAGACGGGCCCTGAGGTCACCCAGCAATGCAAAGCAGCTCCATGTGCCCCAAATCAACTCGAGATGAGGCCGGATTCCCCTGCATTGACTCCAGAGCCATTCCTTGTTCCCCATTCAACACGACCGGTGGCTCGACTTCCTTCAGGCAACTCCAGAGATGCCTCGAGAGCACTATCCCAAGTCTAGAGGACCACCAACTTCAGCAGAGCAACTCGAGGAATGCTCTGTGTACCCCAAATCGTCTCGAGATGAGAGCTGATTCCCTGGCTTAGGCTCAAGACGTATGCCACCTTTCCAGAAGCACCTCAGGAGGAGGCTTCTCTCAGCAATAGGTATGTGGGAGGGACCCCGAGTTTGCTGCCTCAAGGGGAATATACAGCGAGAAGCCCTAACTTGAAAGGAGGCCGGATTTCCTTGCAGTGGCTTGAATACAGGCTCGTCTTTCATCTCACAACATGAAGGGATGTCTGAATCCCCTGTGGAGACCTTAGAGAAAGCCCTAGGTCCCTGCCTCATTTTGACGGAATCCTCACATCCCGCTGACACCTCGAGAGGCACGCGGAGTTCATTGATTCAAAAGGTGACGATGCCTGACTCCTCTTGAATACTTATAGGAATCCCAAAATCCCTGTGGCTACTGGAAAGGGTCCTTGGGTGCCCTGGCTCACCTCGAGAAGCGTCCCTATTGCCCTGCCAAGCCTCGAAGAGATTGCTGACGTGTCCCTCGTTACTAGGCAGGAGTCCTGACGTCACTGAAGAAACTCGTGTTTTGAAGGGCCATCCCCGCCGTAAGTCGAGAACATACCCCAGGTCCCTGCCGCAACTCGAGAAAAACCATGAGACTTCCCCCTAGAGGCGAGATGAGGCCCCATTCCCCTGCAGTGCATGCAGAGCTATTCCGTGATCCCATTCAAACAAGTCAGGAGCTTCGACTTGCTTAATGGATCTCGAGGCAGTCCCCAAGAACACTGTCACCAGTCTAGACGGACCCTGAGGTCACCCAGCAATGCAAAGCAGCTCCATGTGCCCCAAATCAACTCGAGATGAGGCCGGATTCCCCTGCATTGACTCCAGAGCCATTCTCTGTTCCCCATTCAACAAGACCGGTGGCTCGACTTCTTTCAGGCAACTCCAGGGATGCCCCGAGAACACTGTCCCAAGCCTAGAGGACCACCAACTTCAGCACAGCAACTCGAGAAATGCTCTGTGTACCCCAAATCGTCTCGAGATGAGAGCTGATTCCCTGGCTTAGGCTCAAGACGTATGCCACCTTTCCAGAAGCACCTCAGGAGGAGGCTTCTCTCAGCAATAGGTATGTGGGAGGGACCCCGAGTTTGCTGCCTCAAGGGGAATATACAGCGAGAAGCCCTAACTTGAAAGGAGGCCGGATTTCCTTGCAGTGGCTTGAATACAGGCTCGTCTTTCATCTCACAACATGAAGGGATGTCTGAATCCCCTGTGGAGACTTTAGAGAAAGCCCTAGGACCCTGCCTCATTTTGACGGAATGCCTCACATCCCGCTGACAACTCGAGAGGCACGCGGAGTTCATTGCTTCAAAAGGTGACGATGCCTGACTCCTCTTGAATACTGATAGGAATCCCAAAATCCCTGTGGCTACTGGAAAGGTTCCTTGGGTGCCCTGGCTCACCTCGAGAAGCGTCCCTTTTGCCCTGCCAAGCCTCGAAGACATTCCTGAGGTGTCCCTCGTTACTAGACAGGAGTCCTGACGTCACTGAAGAAACTCGTGTTTTGAAGGGCCATCCCCGCCGTAAGTCGAGAACATACCCCAGGTCCCCGCCGCAACTCGAGAAAAACCATGAGACTTCCCCCTAGAGGCGAGATGAGGCCCCATTCCCCTGCAGTGCATGCAGAGCTATTCCGGGATCCCATTCAAACAAGTCAGGAGCTTCGACTTGCTTAATGGATCTCGAGACAGTCCCCAAAAACACTGTCACAAGTCTAGACGGACCCTGAGGTCACCCAGCAATGCAAAGCAGCTCCATGTGCCCCAAATCAACTCGAGATGAGGCCCGATTCCCCTGCATTGACTCCAGAGCCATTCCCTGTTCCCCATTCAACACGACCGGTGGCTCGACTTCCTTCAGGCAACTCCAGGGTTGCCCCGAGAACACTGTCCCAAGTCTAGAGGAACACCAACTTCAGCACAGCAACTCGAGGAATGCTCTGTGTACCCCAAATCGTCTCGAGATGAGAGCTGATTCCCTGGCTTAGGCTCAAGACGTATGCCACCTTTCCAGAAGCACCTCAGGAGGAGGCTTCTCTCAGCAATAGGTATGTGGGAGGGACCCCGAGTTTGCTGCCTCAAGGGGAATATACAGCGAGAAGCCCTAACTTGAAAGGAGGCCGGATTTCCTTTTAGTGGCTTGAATACAGGCTCGTCTTTCATCTCACAACATGAAGGGATGTCTGAATCCCCTGTGGAGACCTTAGATAAAGCCCTAGGTCCCTGCCTCATTTTGACGGAATCCTCACATCCCGCTGACACCTCGAGAGGCACGCGGAGTTCATTGCTTCAAAAGGTGACGATGCCTTACTCCTCTTGAATACTGATAGGAATCCCAAAATCCCTGTGGCTACTGGAAAGGGTCCTTGTGTGCCCTGGCTCACCTCGAGAAGCGTCCCTTTTGCCCTGCCAAGCCTCGAAGAGATTGCTGAGGTGTCCCTCGTTACTAGACAGGAGTCCTGACGTCACGGAAGAAACTCGTGTTTTGAAGGGCCATCCCCGCCGTAAGTCGAGAACATACCCCAGGTCCCCGCCGCAACTCGAGAAAAACCATGAGACTTCCCCCTAGAGGCGAGATGAGGCCCCATTCCCCTGCAGTGCATGCAGAGCTATTCCGTGATCCCATTCAAACAAGTCAGGAGCTTCGACTTGCTTAATGGATCTCGAGACAGTCCCCAAGAACACTGTCACCAGTCTAGACGGACCCTGAGGTCACCCAGCAATGCAAAGCAGCTCCATGTGCCCCAAATCAACTCGAGATGAGGCCGGATTCCCCTGCATTGACTCCAGAGCCATTCCTTGTTCCCCATTCAACACGACCGGTGGATCGACTTCCTTCAGGCAACTCCAGGGATGCCCCGAGAACACTGTCCCAAGTCTAGAGGACCACCAACTTCAGCACAGCAACTCGAGGAATGCTCTGTGTACCCCAAATCGTCTCGAGATGAGAGCTGATTCCCTGGCTTAGGCTCAAGACGTATGCCACCTTTCCAGAAGCACCTCAGGAGGAGGCTTCTCTCAGCAATAGGTATGTGGGAGGGACCCCGAGTTTGCTGCCTCAAGGGGAATATACAGCGAGAAGCCCTAACTTGAAAGGAGGCCGGATTTCCTTGCAGTGGCTTGAATACAGGCTCGTCTTTCATCTCACAACATGAAGGGATGTCTGAATTCCCTGTGGAGACCTTAGAGAAAGCCCTAGGTCCCTGCCTCATTTTGACGGAATGCCTCACATCCCGCTGACACCTCGAGAGGCACGCGGAGTTCATTGCTTCAAAAGGTGACGATGCCTGACTCCTCTTGAATACTGATAGGAATCCCAAAATCCCTGTGGCTACTGGAAAGGGTCCTTGGGTGCCCTGGCTCACCTCGAGAAGCGTCCCTTTTGCCCTGCCAAGTCTCGAAGAGATTGCTGAGGTGTCCCTCATTACTAGACAGGAGTCCTGACGTCACGGAAGAAACTCGTGTTTTGAAGGGCCATCCCCGCCGTAAGTCGAGAACATACCCCAGGTCCCCGCCGCAACTCGAGAAAAACCATGAGACTTCCCCCTAGAGGCGAGATGAGGCCCCATTCCCCTGCAGTGCATGCAGAGCTATTCCGTGATCCCATTCAAACAAGTCAGGAGCTTCGACTTGCTTAATGGATCTCGAGACAGTCCCCAAGAACACTGTCACCAGTCTAGACGGACCCTGAGGTCACCCAGCAATGCAAAGCAGCTCCATGTGCCCCAAATCAACTCGAGATGAGGCCGGATTCCCCTGCATTGACTCCAGAGCCATTCCTTGTTCCCCATTCAACACGACCGGTGGCTCGACTTCCTTCAGGCAACTCCAGAGATGCCCCGAGAACACTGTCCCAAGTCTAGAGGACCACCAACTTCAGCACAGCAACTCGAGGAATGCTCTGTGTACCCCAAATCGTCTCGAGATGAGAGCTGATTCCCTGGCTTAGGCTCTAGACGTATGCCACCTTTCCAGAAGCACCTCAGGAGGAGGATTCTCTCAGCAATAGGTATGTGGGAGGGTCCCCGAGTTTGCTGCCTCAAGGGGAATATACAGCGAGAAGCCCTAACTTGAAAGGAGGCCGGATTTCCTTTTAGTGGCTTGAATACAGGCTCGTCTTTCATCTCACAACATGAAGGGATGTCTGAATCCCCTGTGGAGACCTTAGATAAAGCCCTAGGTCCCTGCCTCATTTTGACGGAATCCTCACATCCCGCTGACACCTCGAGAGGCACGCGGAGTTCATTGCTTCAAAAGGTGACGATGCCTGACTCCTCTTGAATACTTATAGGAATCCCAAAATCCCTGTGGCTACTGGAAAGGGTCCTTGGGTGCCCTGGCTCACCTCGAGAAGCGTCCCTTTTGCCCTGCCAAGCCTCGAAGAGATTGCTGAGGTGTCCCTCGTTACTAGACAGGAGTCCTGACGTCACGGAAGAAACTCGTGTTTTGAAGGGCCATCCCCGCCGTAAGTCGAGAACATACCCCAGGTCCCCGCCTCAACTCGAGAAAAACCATGAGACTTCCCCCTAGAGGCGAGATGAGGCCCCATTCCCCTGCAGTGCATGCAGAGCTATTCCGTGATCCCATTCAAACAAGTCAGGAGCTTCGACTTACTTAATGGATCTCGAGACAGTCCCCAAGAACACTGTCACCAGTCTAGACGGACCCTGAGGTCACCCAGCAATGCAAAGCAGCTCCATGTGCCCCAAATCAACTCGAGATGAGGCCGGATTCCCCTGCATTGACTCCAGAGCCATTCCTTGTTCCCCATTCAACACGACCGGTGGCTCGACTTCCTTCAGGCAACTCCAGGGATGCCCCGAGAACACTGTCCCAAGTCTAGAGGACCACCAACATCAGCACAGCAACTCGAGGAATGCTCTGTGTACCCCAAATCGTCTCGAGATGAGAGCTGATTCCCTGGCTTAGGCTCAAGACGTATGCCACCTTTCCAGAAGCACCTCAGGAGGAGGCTTCTCTCAGCAATAGGTATGTGGGAGGGACCCCGAGTTTGCTGCCTCAAGGGGAATATACAGCGAGAAGCCCTAACTTGAAAGGAGGCCGGATTTCCTTTTAGTGGCTTGAATACAGGCTCGTCTTTCATCTCACAACATGAAGGGATGTCTGAATCCCCTGTGGAGACCTTAGATAAAGCCCTAGGTCCCTGCCTCATTTTGACGGAATCCTCACATCCCGCTGACACCTCGAGAGGCACGCGGAGTTCATTGCTTCAAAAGGTGACGATGCCTGACTCCTCTTGAATACTGATAGGAATCCCAAAATCCCTGTGGCTACTGGAAAGGGTCCTTGGGTGCCCTGGCTCACCTCGAGAAGCGTCCCTTTTGCCCTGCCAAGCCTCGAAGAGATTGCTGAGGTGTCCCTCGTTACTAGACAGGAGTCCTGACGTCACGGAAGAAACTCGTGTTTTGAAGGGCCATCCCCGCCGTAAGTCGAGAACATACCCCAGGTCCCCGCCGCAACTCGAGAAAAACCATGAGACTTCCCCCTAGAGGCGAGATGAGGCCCCATTCCCCTGCAGTGCATGCAGAGCTATTCCGTGATCCCATTCAAACAAGTCAGGAGCTTCGACTTGCTTAATGGATCTCGAGACAGTCCCCAAGAACACTGTCACCAGTCTAGACGGACCCTGAGGTCACCCAGCAATGCAAAGCAGCTCCATGTGCCCCAAATCAACTCGAGATGAGGCCGGATTCCCCTGCATTGACTCCAGAGCCATTCCTTGTTCCCCATTCAACACGACCGGTGGCTCGACTTCCTTCAGGCAACTCCAGAGATGCCCCGAGAACACTGTCCCAAGTCTAGAGGACCACCAACTTCAGCACAGCAACTCGAGGAATGCTCTGTGTACCCCAAATCGTCTCGAGATGAGAGCTGATTCCCTGGCTTAGGCTCTAGACGTATGCCACCTTTCCAGAAGCACCTCAGGAGGAGGATTCTCTCAGCAATAGGTATGTGGGAGGGTCCCCGAGTTTGCTGCCTCAAGGGGAATATACAGCGAGAAGCCCTAACTTGAAAGGAGGCCGGATTTCCTTTTAGTGGCTTGAATACAGGCTCGTCTTTCATCTCACAACATGAAGGGATGTCTGAATCCCCTGTGGAGACCTTAGATAAAGCCCTAGGTCCCTGCCTCATTTTGACGGAATCCTCACATCCCGCTGACACCTCGAGAGGCACGCGGAGTTCATTGCTTCAAAAGGTGACGATGCCTGACTCCTCTTGAATACTTATAGGAATCCCAAAATCCCTGTGGCTACTGGAAAGGGTCCTTGGGTGCCCTGGCTCACCTCGAGAAGCGTCCCTTTTGCCCTGCCAAGCCTCGAAGAGATTGCTGAGGTGTCCCTCGTTACTAGACAGGAGTCCTGACGTCACGGAAGAAACTCGTGTTTTGAAGGGCCATCCCCGCCGTAAGTCGAGAACATACCCCAGGTCCCCGCCTCAACTCGAGAAAAACCATGAGACTTCCCCCTAGAGGCGAGATGAGGCCCCATTCCCCTGCAGTGCATGCAGAGCTATTCCGTGATCCCATTCAAACAAGTCAGGAGCTTCGACTTGCTTAATGGATCTCGAGACAGTCCCCAAGAACACTGTCACCAGTCTAGACGGACCCTGAGGTCACCCAGCAATGCAAAGCAGCTCCATGTGCCCCAAATCAACTCGAGATGAGGCCGGATTCCCCTGCATTGACTCCAGAGCCATTCCTTGTTCCCCATTCAACACGACCGGTGGCTCGACTTCCTTCAGGCAACTCCAGGGATGCCCCGAGAACACTGTCCCAAGTCTAGAGGACCACCAACATCAGCACAGCAACTCGAGGAATGCTCTGTGTACCCCAAATCGTCTCGAGATGAGAGCTGATTCCCTGGCTTAGGCTCAAGACGTATGCCACCTTTCCAGAAGCACCTCAGGAGGAGGCTTCTCTCAGCAATAGGTATGTGGGAGGGACCCCGAGTTTGCTGCCTCAAGGGGAATATACAGCGAGAAGCCCTAACTTGAAAGGAGGCCGGATTTCCTTTTAGTGGCTTGAATACAGGCTCGTCTTTCATCTCACAACATGAAGGGATGTCTGAATCCCCTGTGGAGACCTTAGATAAAGCCCTAGGTCCCTGCCTCATTTTGACGGAATCCTCACATCCCGCTGACACCTCGAGAGGCACGCGGAGTTCATTGCTTCAAAAGGTGACGATGCCTGACTCCTCTTGAGTACTGATAGGAATCCCAAAATCCCTGTGGCTACTGGAAAGGGTCCTTGGGTGCCCTGGCTCACCTCGAGAAGCGTCCCTTTTGCCCTGCCAAGCCTCGAAGAGATTGCTGAGGTGTCCCTCGTTACTAGACAGGAGTCCTGACGTCACGGAAGAAACTCGTGTTTTGAAGGGCCATCCCCGCCGTAAGTCGAGAACATACCCCAGGTCCCCGCCGCAACTCGAGAAAAACCATGAGACTTCCCCCTAGAGGCGAGATGAGGCCCCATTCCCCTGCAGTGCATGCAGAGCTATTCCGTGATCCCATTCAAACAAGTCAGGAGCTTCGACTTGCTTAATGGATCTCGAGACAGTCCCCAAGAACACTGTCACCAGTCTAGACGGACCCTCAGGTCACCCAGCAATGCAAAGCAGCTCCATGTGCCCCAAATCAACTCGAGATGAGGCCGGATTCCCCTGCATTGACTCCAGAGCCATTCCTTGTTACCCATTCAACACGACAGGTGGCTCAACTTCCTTCAGGCAACTCCGGAGATGCACCAAGAACACTGTCCCAAGTCTAGAGGACCACCAACTTCAGCACAGCAACTCGAGGAATGCTCTGTGTACCACAAATCGTCTCGAGATGAGAGCTGATTCCCTGGCTTAGGCTCAAGACGTATGCCACCTTTCCAGAAGCACCTCAGGAGGAGGCTTCTCTCAGCAATAGGTATGTGGGAGGGACCCCGAGTTTGCTGCCTCAAGGGGAATATACAGCGAGAAGCCCTAACTTGAAAGGAGGCCGGATTTCCTTGCAGTGGCTTGAATACAGGCTCGTCTTTCATCTCACAACATGAAGGGATGTCTGAATCCCCTGTGGAGACCTTAGAGAAAGCCCTAGGTCCCTGCCTCATTTTGACGGAATCCTCACATCCCGCTGACACCTCGAGAGGCACGCGGAGTTCATTGCTTCAAAAGGTGACGATGCCTGACTCCTCTTGAATACTGATAGGAATCCCAAAATCCCTGTGGCTACTGGAAAGGGTCCTTGGGTGCCCTGGCTCACCTCGAGAAGCGTCCCTTTTGCCCTGCCAAGCCTCGAAGAGATTGCTGAGGTGTCCCTCGTTACTAGACAGTAGTCCTGACGTCACTGAAGAAACTCGTGTTTTGAAGGGCCATCCCCGCCGTAAGTCGAGAACATACCCCAGGTCCCTGCCACAACTCGAGAAAAACCATGAGACTTCCCCCTAGAGGCGAGATGAGGCCCCATTCCCCTGCAGTGCATGCAGAGCTATTCAGGGATCCCATTCAAACAAGTCAGGAGCTTCGACTTGCTTAATGGATCTCGAGACAGTCCCCAAGAACACTGTCACCAGTCTAGACGGACCCTGAGGTCACCCAGCAATGCAAAGCAGCTCCATGTGCCCCAAATCAACTCGAGATGAGGCCCGATTCCCCTGCATTGACTCCAGAGCCATTCCCTGTTCCCCATTCAACACGACAGGTGGCTCGACTTCCTTCAGGCAACTCCAGGGATGCCCCGAGAACACTGTCCCAAGTCTAGAGGAACACCAACTTCAGCACAGCAACTCGAGGAATGCTCTGTGTACCCCTAATTGTCTCGAGATGAGAGCTGATTCCCTGGCTTAGGCTCAAGACGTATGCCACCTTTCCAGAAGCACCTCAGAAGGAGGCTTCTCTCAGCAATAGGTATGTGGGAGGGACCCCGAGTTTGCTGCCTCAAGGGGAATATACAGCGAGAAGCCCTAACTTGAAAGGAGGCCGGATTTCCTTGCAGTGGCTTGAATACAGGCTCGTCTTTGATCTGACAACATGAAGGGATGTCTGAATCCCCTGTGGAGACCTTAGAGAAAGCCCTAGGTCCCTGCCTCATTTTGACGGAATGCCTCACATCCCGCTGACACCTCGAGAGGCACGCGGAGCTCATTGCTTCAAAAGGTGACGATGCCTGACTCCTCTTGAATACTGATAGGAATCCCAAAATCCCTGTGGCTACTGGAAAGGGTCCTTGGGTGCCCTGGCTCACCTCGAGAAGCGTCCCTTTTGCCCTGCCAAGCCTCGAAGAGATTCCTGAGGTGTCCCTCGTTACTAGGCAGGAGTCCTGACGTCACTGGAGAAACTCGTGTTTTGAAGGGCCATCCCCGCCGTAAGTCGAGAACATACCCCAGGGCCCCGCCGCAACTCGAGAAAAACCATGAGACTTCCCCCTAGAGGCGAGATGAGGCCCCATTCCCCTGCAGTGCATGCAGAGCTATTCCGTGATCCCATTCAAACAAGTCAGGAGCTTCGACTTGCTTAATGGATCTCGAGACAGTCCCCAAGAACACTGTCACCAGTCTAGACGGGCCCTGAGGTCACCCAGCAATGCAAAGCAGCTCCATGTGCCCCAAATCAACTCGAGATGAGGCCGGATTCCCCTGCATTGACTCCAGAGCCATTCCTTGTTCCCCATTCAACACGACCGGTGGCTCGACTTCCTTCAGGCAACTCCAGAGATGCCTCGAGAGCACTATCCCAAGTCTAGAGGACCACCAACTTCAGCAGAGCAACTCGAGGAATGCTCTGTGTACCCCAAATCGTCTCGAGATGAGAGCTGATTCCCTGGCTTAGGCTCAAGACGTATGCCACCTTTCCAGAAGCACCTCAGGAGGAGGCTTCTCTCAGCAATAGGTATGTGGGAGGGACCCCGAGTTTGCTGCCTCAAGGGGAATATACAGCGAGAAGCCCTAACTTGAAAGGAGGCCGGATTTCCTTGCAGTGGCTTGAATACAGGCTCGTCTTTCATCTCACAACATGAAGGGATGTCTGAATCCCCTGTGGAGACCTTAGAGAAAGCCCTAGGTCCCTGCCTCATTTTGACGGAATCCTCACATCCCGCTGACACCTCGAGAGGCACGCGGAGTTCATTGATTCAAAAGGTGACGATGCCTGACTCCTCTTGAATACTTATAGGAATCCCAAAATCCCTGTGGCTACTGGAAAGGGTCCTTGGGTGCCCTGGCTCACCTCGAGAAGCGTCCCTATTGCCCTGCCAAGCCTCGAAGAGATTGCTGACGTGTCCCTCGTTACTAGGCAGGAGTCCTGACGTCACTGAAGAAACTCGTGTTTTGAAGGGCCATCCCCGCCGTAAGTCGAGAACATACCCCAGGTCCCTGCCGCAACTCGAGAAAAACCATGAGACTTCCCCCTAGAGGCGAGATGAGGCCCCATTCCCCTGCAGTGCATGCAGAGCTATTCCGTGATCCCATTCAAACAAGTCAGGAGCTTCGACTTGCTTAATGGATCTCGAGGCAGTCCCCAAGAACACTGTCACCAGTCTAGACGGACCCTGAGGTCACCCAGCAATGCAAAGCAGCTCCATGTGCCCCAAATCAACTCGAGATGAGGCCGGATTCCCCTGCATTGACTCCAGAGCCATTCTCTGTTCCCCATTCAACAAGACCGGTGGCTCGACTTCTTTCAGGCAACTCCAGGGATGCCCCGAGAACACTGTCCCAAGCCTAGAGGACCACCAACTTCAGCACAGCAACTCGAGAAATGCTCTGTGTACCCCAAATCGTCTCGAGATGAGAGCTGATTCCCTGGCTTAGGCTCAAGACGTATGCCACCTTTCCAGAAGCACCTCAGGAGGAGGCTTCTCTCAGCAATAGGTATGTGGGAGGGACCCCGAGTTTGCTGCCTCAAGGGGAATATACAGCGAGAAGCCCTAACTTGAAAGGAGGCCGGATTTCCTTGCAGTGGCTTGAATACAGGCTCGTCTTTCATCTCACAACATGAAGGGATGTCTGAATCCCCTGTGGAGACTTTAGAGAAAGCCCTAGGACCCTGCCTCATTTTGACGGAATGCCTCACATCCCGCTGACAACTCGAGAGGCACGCGGAGTTCATTGCTTCAAAAGGTGACGATGCCTGACTCCTCTTGAATACTGATAGGAATCCCAAAATCCCTGTGGCTACTGGAAAGGTTCCTTGGGTGCCCTGGCTCACCTCGAGAAGCGTCCCTTTTGCCCTGCCAAGCCTCGAAGACATTCCTGAGGTGTCCCTCGTTACTAGACAGGAGTCCTGACGTCACTGAAGAAACTCGTGTTTTGAAGGGCCATCCCCGCCGTAAGTCGAGAACATACCCCAGGTCCCCGCCGCAACTCGAGAAAAACCATGAGACTTCCCCCTAGAGGCGAGATGAGGCCCCATTCCCCTGCAGTGCATGCAGAGCTATTCCGGGATCCCATTCAAACAAGTCAGGAGCTTCGACTTGCTTAATGGATCTCGAGACAGTCCGCAAGAACACTGTCACAAGTCTAGACGGACCCTGAGGTCACCCAGCAATGCAAAGCAGCTCCATGTGCCCCAAATCAACTCGAGATGAGGCCCGATTCCCCTGCATTGACTCCAGAGCCATTCCCTGTTCCCCATTCAACACGACCGGTGGCTCGACTTCCTTCAGGCAACTCCAGGGTTGCCCCGAGAACACTGTCCCAAGTCTAGAGGAACACCAACTTCAGCACAGCAACTCGAGGAATGCTCTGTGTACCCCAAATCGTCTCGAGATGAGAGCTGATTCCCTGGCTTAGGCTCAAGACGTATGCCACCTTTCCAGAAGCACCTCAGGAGGAGGCTTCTCTCAGCAATAGGTATGTGGGAGGGACCCCGAGTTTGCTGCCTCAAGGGGAATATACAGCGAGAAGCCCTAACTTGAAAGGAGGCCGGATTTCCTTTTAGTGGCTTGAATACAGGCTCGTCTTTCATCTCACAACATGAAGGGATGTCTGAATCCCCTGTGGAGACCTTAGATAAAGCCCTAGGTCCCTGCCTCATTTTGACGGAATCCTCACATCCCGCTGACACCTCGAGAGGCACGCGGAGTTCATTGCTTCAAAAGGTGACGATGCCTTACTCCTCTTGAATACTGATAGGAATCCCAAAATCCCTGTGGCTACTGGAAAGGGTCCTTGTGTGCCCTGGCTCACCTCGAGAAGCGTCCCTTTTGCCCTGCCAAGCCTCGAAGAGATTGCTGAGGTGTCCCTCGTTACTAGACAGGAGTCCTGACGTCACGGAAGAAACTCGTGTTTTGAAGGGCCATCCCCGCCGTAAGTCGAGAACATACCCCAGGTCCCCGCCGCAACTCGAGAAAAACCATGAGACTTCCCCCTAGAGGCGAGATGAGGCCCCATTCCCCTGCAGTGCATGCAGAGCTATTCCGTGATCCCATTCAAACAAGTCAGGAGCTTCGACTTGCTTAATGGATCTCGAGACAGTCCCCAAGAACACTGTCACCAGTCTAGACGGACCCTGAGGTCACCCAGCAATGCAAAGCAGCTCCATGTGCCCCAAATCAACTCGAGATGAGGCCGGATTCCCCTGCATTGACTCCAGAGCCATTCCTTGTTCCCCATTCAACACGACCGGTGGATCGACTTCCTTCAGGCAACTCCAGGGATGCCCCGAGAACACTGTCCCAAGTCTAGAGGACCACCAACTTCAGCACAGCAACTCGAGGAATGCTCTGTGTACCCCAAATCGTCTCGAGATGAGAGCTGATTCCCTGGCTTAGGCTCAAGACGTATGCCACCTTTCCAGAAGCACCTCAGGAGGAGGCTTCTCTCAGCAATAGGTATGTGGGAGGGACCCCGAGTTTGCTGCCTCAAGGGGAATATACAGCGAGAAGCCCTAACTTGAAAGGAGGCCGGATTTCCTTTTAGTGGCTTGAATACAGGCTCGTCTTTCATCTCACAACATGAAGGGATGTCTGAATCCCCTGTGGAGACCTTAGATAAAGCCCTAGGTCCCTGCCTCATTTTGACGGAATCCTCACATCCCGCTGACACCTCGAGAGGCACGCGGAGTTCATTGCTTCAAAAGGTGACGATGCCTGACTCCTCTTGAGTACTGATAGGAATCCCAAAATCCCTGTGGCTACTGGAAAGGGTCCTTGGGTGCCCTGGCTCACCTCGAGAAGCGTCCCTTTTGCCCTGCCAAGCCTCGAAGAGATTGCTGAGGTGTCCCTCGTTACTAGACAGGAGTCCTGACGTCACGGAAGAAACTCGTGTTTTGAAGGGCCATCCCCGCCGTAAGTCGAGAACATACCCCAGGTCCCCGCCGCAACTCGAGAAAAACCATGAGACTTCCCCCTAGAGGCGAGATGAGGCCCCATTCCCCTGCAGTGCATGCAGAGCTATTCCGTGATCCCATTCAAACAAGTCAGGAGCTTCGACTTGCTTAATGGATCTCGAGACAGTCCCCAAGAACACTGTCACCAGTCTAGACGGACCCTCAGGTCACCCAGCAATGCAAAGCAGCTCCATGTGCCCCAAATCAACTCGAGATGAGGCCGGATTCCCCTGCATTGACTCCAGAGCCATTCCTTGTTACCCATTCAACACGACAGGTGGCTCAACTTCCTTCAGGCAACTCCGGAGATGCACCAAGAACACTGTCCCAAGTCTAGAGGACCACCAACTTCAGCACAGCAACTCGAGGAATGCTCTGTGTACCACAAATCGTCTCGAGATGAGAGCTGATTCCCTGGCTTAGGCTCAAGACGTATGCCACCTTTCCAGAAGCACCTCAGGAGGAGGCTTCTCTCAGCAATAGGTATGTGGGAGGGACCCCGAGTTTGCTGCCTCAAGGGGAATATACAGCGAGAAGCCCTAACTTGAAAGGAGGCCGGATTTCCTTGCAGTGGCTTGAATACAGGCTCGTCTTTCATCTCACAACATGAAGGGATGTCTGAATCCCCTGTGGAGACCTTAGAGAAAGCCCTAGGTCCCTGCCTCATTTTGACGGAATCCTCACATCCCGCTGACACCTCGAGAGGCACGCGGAGTTCATTGCTTCAAAAGGTGACGATGCCTGACTCCTCTTGAATACTGATAGGAATCCCAAAATCCCTGTGGCTACTGGAAAGGGTCCTTGGGTGCCCTGGCTCACCTCGAGAAGCGTCCCTTTTGCCCTGCCAAGCCTCGAAGAGATTGCTGAGGTGTCCCTCGTTACTAGACAGTAGTCCTGACGTCACTGAAGAAACTCGTGTTTTGAAGGGCCATCCCCGCCGTAAGTCGAGAACATACCCCAGGTCCCTGCCACAACTCGAGAAAAACCATGAGACTTCCCCCTAGAGGCGAGATGAGGCCCCATTCCCCTGCAGTGCATGCAGAGCTATTCAGGGATCCCATTCAAACAAGTCAGGAGCTTCGACTTGCTTAATGGATCTCGAGACAGTCCCCAAGAACACTGTCACCAGTCTAGACGGACCCTGAGGTCACCCAGCAATGCAAAGCAGCTCCATGTGCCCCAAATCAACTCGAGATGAGGCCCGATTCCCCTGCATTGACTCCAGAGCCATTCCCTGTTCCCCATTCAACACGACAGGTGGCTCGACTTCCTTCAGGCAACTCCAGGGATGCCCCGAGAACACTGTCCCAAGTCTAGAGGAACACCAACTTCAGCACAGCAACTCGAGGAATGCTCTGTGTACCCCTAATTGTCTCGAGATGAGAGCTGATTCCCTGGCTTAGGCTCAAGACGTATGCCACCTTTCCAGAAGCACCTCAGAAGGAGGCTTCTCTCAGCAATAGGTATGTGGGAGGGACCCCGAGTTTGCTGCCTCAAGGGGAATATACAGCGAGAAGCCCTAACTTGAAAGGAGGCCGGATTTCCTTGCAGTGGCTTGAATACAGGCTCGTCTTTGATCTGACAACATGAAGGGATGTCTGAATCCCCTGTGGAGACCTTAGAGAAAGCCCTAGGTCCCTGCCTCATTTTGACGGAATGCCTCACATCCCGCTGACACCTCGAGAGGCACGCGGAGCTCATTGCTTCAAAAGGTGACGATGCCTGACTCCTCTTGAATACTGATAGGAATCCCAAAATCCCTGTGGCTACTGGAAAGGGTCCTTGGGTGCCCTGGCTCACCTCGAGAAGCGTCCCTTTTGCCCTGCCAAGCCTCGAAGAGATTCCTGAGGTGTCCCTCGTTACTAGGCAGGAGTCCTGACGTCACTGGAGAAACTCGTGTTTTGAAGGGCCATCCCCGCCGTAAGTCGAGAACATACCCCAGGGCCCCGCCGCAACTCGAGAAAAACCATGAGACTTCCCCCTAGAGGCGAGATGAGGCCCCATTCCCCTGCAGTGCATGCAGAGCTATTCCGTGATCCCATTCAAACAAGTCAGGAGCTTCGACTTGCTTAATGGATCTCGAGACAGTCCCCAAGAACACTGTCACCAGTCTAGACGGGCCCTGAGGTCACCCAGCAATGCAAAGCAGCTCCATGTGCCCCAAATCAACTCGAGATGAGGCCGGATTCCCCTGCATTGACTCCAGAGCCATTCCTTGTTCCCCATTCAACACGACCGGTGGCTCGACTTCCTTCAGGCAACTCCAGAGATGCCTCGAGAGCACTATCCCAAGTCTAGAGGACCACCAACTTCAGCAGAGCAACTCGAGGAATGCTCTGTGTACCCCAAATCGTCTCGAGATGAGAGCTGATTCCCTGGCTTAGGCTCAAGACGTATGCCACCTTTCCAGAAGCACCTCAGGAGGAGGCTTCTCTCAGCAATAGGTATGTGGGAGGGACCCCGAGTTTGCTGCCTCAAGGGGAATATACAGCGAGAAGCCCTAACTTGAAAGGAGGCCGGATTTCCTTGCAGTGGCTTGAATACAGGCTCGTCTTTCATCTCACAACATGAAGGGATGTCTGAATCCCCTGTGGAGACCTTAGAGAAAGCCCTAGGTCCCTGCCTCATTTTGACGGAATCCTCACATCCCGCTGACACCTCGAGAGGCACGCGGAGTTCATTGATTCAAAAGGTGACGATGCCTGACTCCTCTTGAATACTTATAGGAATCCCAAAATCCCTGTGGCTACTGGAAAGGGTCCTTGGGTGCCCTGGCTCACCTCGAGAAGCGTCCCTATTGCCCTGCCAAGCCTCGAAGAGATTGCTGACGTGTCCCTCGTTACTAGGCAGGAGTCCTGACGTCACTGAAGAAACTCGTGTTTTGAAGGGCCATCCCCGCCGTAAGTCGAGAACATACCCCAGGTCCCTGCCGCAACTCGAGAAAAACCATGAGACTTCCCCCTAGAGGCGAGATGAGGCCCCATTCCCCTGCAGTGCATGCAGAGCTATTCCGTGATCCCATTCAAACAAGTCAGGAGCTTCGACTTGCTTAATGGATCTCGAGGCAGTCCCCAAGAACACTGTCACCAGTCTAGACGGACCCTGAGGTCACCCAGCAATGCAAAGCAGCTCCATGTGCCCCAAATCAACTCGAGATGAGGCCGGATTCCCCTGCATTGACTCCAGAGCCATTCTCTGTTCCCCATTCAACAAGACCGGTGGCTCGACTTCTTTCAGGCAACTCCAGGGATGCCCCGAGAACACTGTCCCAAGCCTAGAGGACCACCAACTTCAGCACAGCAACTCGAGAAATGCTCTGTGTACCCCAAATCGTCTCGAGATGAGAGCTGATTCCCTGGCTTAGGCTCAAGACGTATGCCACCTTTCCAGAAGCACCTCAGGAGGAGGCTTCTCTCAGCAATAGGTATGTGGGAGGGACCCCGAGTTTGCTGCCTCAAGGGGAATATACAGCGAGAAGCCCTAACTTGAAAGGAGGCCGGATTTCCTTGCAGTGGCTTGAATACAGGCTCGTCTTTCATCTCACAACATGAAGGGATGTCTGAATCCCCTGTGGAGACTTTAGAGAAAGCCCTAGGACCCTGCCTCATTTTGACGGAATGCCTCACATCCCGCTGACAACTCGAGAGGCACGCGGAGTTCATTGCTTCAAAAGGTGACGATGCCTGACTCCTCTTGAATACTGATAGGAATCCCAAAATCCCTGTGGCTACTGGAAAGGTTCCTTGGGTGCCCTGGCTCACCTCGAGAAGCGTCCCTTTTGCCCTGCCAAGCCTCGAAGACATTCCTGAGGTGTCCCTCGTTACTAGACAGGAGTCCTGACGTCACTGAAGAAACTCGTGTTTTGAAGGGCCATCCCCGCCGTAAGTCGAGAACATACCCCAGGTCCCCGCCGCAACTCGAGAAAAACCATGAGACTTCCCCCTAGAGGCGAGATGAGGCCCCATTCCCCTGCAGTGCATGCAGAGCTATTCCGGGATCCCATTCAAACAAGTCAGGAGCTTCGACTTGCTTAATGGATCTCGAGACAGTCCGCAAGAACACTGTCACAAGTCTAGACGGACCCTGAGGTCACCCAGCAATGCAAAGCAGCTCCATGTGCCCCAAATCAACTCGAGATGAGGCCCGATTCCCCTGCATTGACTCCAGAGCCATTCCCTGTTCCCCATTCAACACGACCGGTGGCTCGACTTCCTTCAGGCAACTCCAGGGTTGCCCCGAGAACACTGTCCCAAGTCTAGAGGAACACCAACTTCAGCACAGCAACTCGAGGAATGCTCTGTGTACCCCAAATCGTCTCGAGATGAGAGCTGATTCCCTGGCTTAGGCTCAAGACGTATGCCACCTTTCCAGAAGCACCTCAGGAGGAGGCTTCTCTCAGCAATAGGTATGTGGGAGGGACCCCGAGTTTGCTGCCTCAAGGGGAATATACAGCGAGAAGCCCTAACTTGAAAGGAGGCCGGATTTCCTTTTAGTGGCTTGAATACAGGCTCGTCTTTCATCTCACAACATGAAGGGATGTCTGAATCCCCTGTGGAGACCTTAGATAAAGCCCTAGGTCCCTGCCTCATTTTGACGGAATCCTCACATCCCGCTGACACCTCGAGAGGCACGCGGAGTTCATTGCTTCAAAAGGTGACGATGCCTTACTCCTCTTGAATACTGATAGGAATCCCAAAATCCCTGTGGCTACTGGAAAGGGTCCTTGTGTGCCCTGGCTCACCTCGAGAAGCGTCCCTTTTGCCCTGCCAAGCCTCGAAGAGATTGCTGAGGTGTCCCTCGTTACTAGACAGGAGTCCTGACGTCACGGAAGAAACTCGTGTTTTGAAGGGCCATCCCCGCCGTAAGTCGAGAACATACCCCAGGTCCCCGCCGCAACTCGAGAAAAACCATGAGACTTCCCCCTAGAGGCGAGATGAGGCCCCATTCCCCTGCAGTGCATGCAGAGCTATTCCGTGATCCCATTCAAACAAGTCAGGAGCTTCGACTTGCTTAATGGATCTCGAGACAGTCCCCAAGAACACTGTCACCAGTCTAGACGGACCCTGAGGTCACCCAGCAATGCAAAGCAGCTCCATGTGCCCCAAATCAACTCGAGATGAGGCCGGATTCCCCTGCATTGACTCCAGAGCCATTCCTTGTTCCCCATTCAACACGACCGGTGGATCGACTTCCTTCAGGCAACTCCAGGGATGCCCCGAGAACACTGTCCCAAGTCTAGAGGACCACCAACTTCAGCACAGCAACTCGAGGAATGCTCTGTGTACCCCAAATCGTCTCGAGATGAGAGCTGATTCCCTGGCTTAGGCTCAAGACGTATGCCACCTTTCCAGAAGCACCTCAGGAGGAGGCTTCTCTCAGCAATAGGTATGTGGGAGGGACCCCGAGTTTGCTGCCTCAAGGGGAATATACAGCGAGAAGCCCTAACTTGAAAGGAGGCCGGATTTCCTTGCAGTGGCTTGAATACAGGCTCGTCTTTCATCTCACAACATGAAGGGATGTCTGAATTCCCTGTGGAGACCTTAGAGAAAGCCCTAGGTCCCTGCCTCATTTTGACGGAATGCCTCACATCCCGCTGACACCTCGAGAGGCACGCGGAGTTCATTGCTTCAAAAGGTGACGATGCCTGACTCCTCTTGAATACTGATAGGAATCCCAAAATCCCTGTGGCTACTGGAAAGGGTCCTTGGGTGCCCTGGCTCACCTCGAGAAGCGTCCCTTTTGCCCTGCCAAGTCTCGAAGAGATTGCTGAGGTGTCCCTCATTACTAGACAGGAGTCCTGACGTCACGGAAGAAACTCGTGTTTTGAAGGGCCATCCCCGCCGTAAGTCGAGAACATACCCCAGGTCCCCGCCGCAACTCGAGAAAAACCATGAGACTTCCCCCTAGAGGCGAGATGAGGCCCCATTCCCCTGCAGTGCATGCAGAGCTATTCCGTGATCCCATTCAAACAAGTCAGGAGCTTCGACTTGCTTAATGGATCTCGAGACAGTCCCCAAGAACACTGTCACCAGTCTAGACGGACCCTGAGGTCACCCAGCAATGCAAAGCAGCTCCATGTGCCCCAAATCAACTCGAGATGAGGCCGGATTCCCCTGCATTGACTCCAGAGCCATTCCTTGTTCCCCATTCAACACGACCGGTGGCTCGACTTCCTTCAGGCAACTCCAGAGATGCCCCGAGAACACTGTCCCAAGTCTAGAGGACCACCAACTTCAGCACAGCAACTCGAGGAATGCTCTGTGTACCCCAAATCGTCTCGAGATGAGAGCTGATTCCCTGGCTTAGGCTCTAGACGTATGCCACCTTTCCAGAAGCACCTCAGGAGGAGGATTCTCTCAGCAATAGGTATGTGGGAGGGTCCCCGAATTTGCTGCCTCAAGGGGAATATACAGCGAGAAGCCCTAACTTGAAAGGAGGCCGGATTTCCTTTTAGTGGCTTGAATACAGGCTCGTCTTTCATCTCACAACATGAAGGGATGTCTGAATCCCCTGTGGAGACCTTAGATAAAGCCCTAGGTCCCTGCCTCATTTTGACGGAATCCTCACATCCCGCTGACACCTCGAGAGGCACGCGGAGTTCATTGCTTCAAAAGGTGACGATGCCTGACTCCTCTTGAATACTTATAGGAATCCCAAAATCCCTGTGGCTACTGGAAAGGGTCCTTGGGTGCCCTGGCTCACCTCGAGAAGCGTCCCTTTTGCCCTGCCAAGCCTCGAAGAGATTGCTGAGGTGTCCCTCGTTACTAGACAGGAGTCCTGACGTCACGGAAGAAACTCGTGTTTTGAAGGGCCATCCCCGCCGTAAGTCGAGAACATACCCCAGGTCCCCGCCTCAACTCGAGAAAAACCATGAGACTTCCCCCTAGAGGCGAGATGAGGCCCCATTCCCCTGCAGTGCATGCAGAGCTATTCCGTGATCCCATTCAAACAAGTCAGGAGCTTCGACTTACTTAATGGATCTCGAGACAGTCCCCAAGAACACTGTCACCAGTCTAGACGGACCCTGAGGTCACCCAGCAATGCAAAGCAGCTCCATGTGCCCCAAATCAACTCGAGATGAGGCCGGATTCCCCTGCATTGACTCCAGAGCCATTCCTTGTTCCCCATTCAACACGACCGGTGGCTCGACTTCCTTCAGGCAACTCCAGGGATGCCCCGAGAACACTGTCCCAAGTCTAGAGGACCACCAACATCAGCACAGCAACTCGAGGAATGCTCTGTGTACCCCAAATCGTCTCGAGATGAGAGCTGATTCCCTGGCTTAGGCTCAAGACGTATGCCACCTTTCCAGAAGCACCTCAGGAGGAGGCTTCTCTCAGCAATAGGTATGTGGGAGGGACCCCGAGTTTGCTGCCTCAAGGGGAATATACAGCGAGAAGCCCTAACTTGAAAGGAGGCCGGATTTCCTTTTAGTGGCTTGAATACAGGCTCGTCTTTCATCTCACAACATGAAGGGATGTCTGAATCCCCTGTGGAGACCTTAGATAAAGCCCTAGGTCCCTGCCTCATTTTGACGGAATCCTCACATCCCGCTGACACCTCGAGAGGCACGCGGAGTTCATTGCTTCAAAAGGTGACGATGCCTGACTCCTCTTGAATACTGATAGGAATCCCAAAATCCCTGTGGCTACTGGAAAGGGTCCTTGGGTGCCCTGGCTCACCTCGAGAAGCGTCCCTTTTGCCCTGCCAAGCCTCGAAGAGATTGCTGAGGTGTCCCTCGTTACTAGACAGGAGTCCTGACGTCACGGAAGAAACTCGTGTTTTGAAGGGCCATCCCCGCCGTAAGTCGAGAACATACCCCAGGTCCCCGCCGCAACTCGAGAAAAACCATGAGACTTCCCCCTAGAGGCGAGATGAGGCCCCATTCCCCTGCAGTGCATGCAGAGCTATTCCGTGATCCCATTCAAACAAGTCAGGAGCTTCGACTTGCTTAATGGATCTCGAGACAGTCCCCAAGAACACTGTCACCAGTCTAGACGGACCCTGAGGTCACCCAGCAATGCAAAGCAGCTCCATGTGCCCCAAATCAACTCTAGATGAGGCCCGATTCCCCTGCATTGACTCCAGAGCCATTCCCTGTTCCCCATTCAACACGACCGGTGGCTCGACTTCCTTCAGGCAACTCCAGGGATGCCCCGAGAACACTGTCCCAAGTCTAGAGGAACACGAACTTCAGCACAGCAACTCGAGGAATGCTCTGTGTACCCCAAATTGTCTCGAGATGAGAGCTGATTCCCTGGCTTAGGCTCAAGACGTATGCCACCTTTCCAGAAGCACCTCAGGAGGAGGCTTCTCTCAGCAATAGGTATGTGGGAGGGACCCCGAGTTTGCTGCCTCAAGGGGAATATACAGCGAGAAGCCCTAACTTGAAAGGAGGCCGGATTTCCTTTTAGTGGCTTGAATACAGGCTCGTCTTTCATCTCACAACATGAAGGGATGTCTGAATCCCCTGTGGAGACCTTAGATAAAGCCCTAGGTCCCTGCCTCATTTTGACGGAATCCTCACATCCCGCTGACACCTCGAGAGGCACGCGGAGTTCATTGCTTCAAAAGGTGACGATGTCTGACTCCTCTTGAATACTGATAGGAATCCCAAAATCCCTGTGGCTACTGGAAAGGGTCCTTGGGTGCCCTGGCTCACCTCGAGAAGCGTCCCTTTTGCCCTGCCAAGCCTCGAAGAGATTGCTGAGGTGTCCCTCGTTACTAGACAGGAGTCCTGACGTCACGGAAGAAACTCGTGTTTTGAAGGGCCATCCCCGCCGTAAGTCGAGAACATACCCCAGGTCCCCGCCGCAACTCGAGAAAAACCATGAGACTTCCCCCTAGAGGCGAGATGAGGCCCCATTCCCCTGCAGTGCATGCAGAGCTATTCCGTGATCCCATTCAAAAAGTCAGGAGCTTCGACTTGCTTAATGGATCTCGAGACAGTCCCCAAGAACACTGTCACCAGTCTAGACGGACCCTGAGGTAACCCAGCAATGCAAAGCAGCTCCATGTGCCCCAAATAAACACGAGATGAGGCCGAATTCCCCTGCATTGAATCCAGAGCCATTCCTTGTTCCCCATTCAACACGACCGGTGGCTCGACTTCCTTCAGGCAACTCCAGAGATGCCCCGAGAACACTGTCCCAAGTCTAGAGGACCACCAACTTCAGCACAGCAACTCGAGGAATGCTCTGTGTACCCCAAATCGTCTCGAGATGAGAGCTGATTCCCTGGCTTAGGCTCAAGACGTATGCCACCTTTCCAGAAGCACCTCAGGAGGAGGCTTCTCTCAGCAATAGGTATGTGGGAGGGACCCCGAGTTTGCTGCCTCAAGGGGAATATACAGCGAGAAGCCCTAACTTGAAAGGAGGCCGGATTTCCTTGCAGTGGCTTGAATACAGGCTCGTCTTTCATCTCACAACATGAAGGGATGTCTGAATCCCCTGTGGAGACCTTAGAGAAAGCCCTAGGTCCCTGCCTCATTTTGACGGAATCCTCACATCCCGCTGAAACCTCGAGAGGCACGCGGAGTTCATTGCTTCAAAAGGTGACGATGCCTGACTCCTCTTGAATACTTATAGGAATCCCAAAATCCCTGTGGCTACTGGAAAGGGTCCTTGGGTGCCCTGGCTCACCTCGAGAAGCGTCCCTTTTGCCCTGCCAAGCCTCGAAGAGATTGCTGAGGTGTCCCTCGTTACTAGACAGGAGTCCTGACGACACGGAAGAAACTCGTGTTTTGAAGGGCCATCCCCTCCGTAAGTCGAGAACATACCCCAGGTCCCCGCCGCAACTCGAGAAAAACAATGAGTCTTCCCCCTAGAGGCGAGATGAGGCCCCATTCCCCTGCAGTGCATGCAGAGCTATTCCGTGATCCCATTCAAACAAGTCAGGAGCTTCGACTTGCTTAATGGATCTCGAGACAGTCCCCAAGAACACTGTCACCAGTCTAGACGGACCCTGAGGTCACCCAGCAATGCAATGCAGATCCATGTGCCCCAAATCAACTCGAGATGAGGCCGGATTCCCCTGCATTGACTCCAGAGCCATTCCTTGTTCCCCATTCAACACGACCGGTGGCTCGACTTCCTTCAGGCAACTCCAGAGATGCCCCGAGAACACTGTCCCAAGTCTAGAGGACAACCAACTTCAGCACAGCAACTCGAGGAATGCTCTGTGTACCCCAAATCGTCTCGAGATGAGAGCTGATTCCCTGGCTTAGGCTCAAGACGTATGCCACCTTTCCAGAAGCACCTCAGAAGGAGGCTTCTCTCAGCAATAGGTATGTGGGAGGGACCCCGAGTTTGCTGCCTCAAGGGGAATATACAGCGAGAAGCCCTAACTTGAAAGGAGGCCGGATTTCCTTGCAGTGGCTTGAATACAGGCTCGTCTTTGATCTGACAACATGAAGGGATGTCTGAATCCCCTGTGGAGACCTTAGAGAAAGCCCTAGGTCCCTGCCTCATTTTGACGGAATGCCTCACATCCCGCTGACACCTCGAGAGGCACGCGGAGCTCATTGCTTCAAAAGGTGACGATGCCTGACTCCTCTTGAATACTGATAGGAATCCCAAAATCCCTGTGGCTACTGGAAAGGGTCCTTGGGTGCCCTGGCTCACCTCGAGAAGCGTCCCTTTTGCCCTGCCAAGCCTCGAAGAGATTCCTGAGGTGTCCCTCGTTACTAGGCAGGAGTCCTGACGTCACTGGAGAAACTCGTGTTTTGAAGGGCCATCCCCGCCGTAAGTCGAGAACATACCCCAGGGCCCCGCCGCAACTCGAGAAAAACCATGAGACTTCCCCCTAGAGGCGAGATGAGGCCCCATTCCCCTGCAGTGCATGCAGAGCTATTCCGTGATCCCATTCAAACAAGTCAGGAGCTTCGACTTGCTTAATGGATCTCGAGACAGTCCCCAAGAACACTGTCACCAGTCTAGACGGGCCCTGAGGTCACCCAGCAATGCAAAGCAGCTCCATGTGCCCCAAATCAACTCGAGATGAGGCCGGATTCCACTGCATTGACTCCAGAGCCATTCCTTGTTCCCCATTCAACACGACCGGTGGCTCGACTTCCTTCAGGCAACTACAGAGATGCCTCGAGAGCACTATCCCAAGTCTAGAGGACCACCAACTTCAGCAGAGCAACTCGAGGAATGCTCTGTGTACCCCAAATCGTCTCGAGATGAGAGCTGATTCCCTGGCTTAGGCTCAAGACGTATGCCACCTTTCCAGAAGCACCTCAGGAGGAGGCTTCTCTCAGCAATAGGTATGTGGGAGGGACCCCGAGTTTGCTGCCTCAAGGGGAATATACAGCGAGAAGCCCTAACTTGAAAGGAGGCCGGATTTCCTTGCAGTGGCTTGAATACAGGCTCGTCTTTCATCTCACAACATGAAGGGATGTCTGAATCCCCTGTGGAGACCTTAGAGAAAGCCCTAGGTCCCTGCCTCATTTTGACGGAATCCTCACATCCCGCTGACACCTCGAGAGGCACGCGGAGTTCATTGATTCAAAAGGTGACGATGCCTGACTCCTCTTGAATACTTATAGGAATCCCAAAATCCCTGTGGCTACTGGAAAGGGTCCTTGGGTGCCCTGGCTCACCTCGAGAAGCGTCCCTATTGCCCTGCCAAGCCTCGAAGAGATTGCTGACGTGTCCCTCGTTACTAGGCAGGAGTCCTGACGTCACTGAAGAAACTCGTGTTTTGAAGGGCCATCCCCGCCGTAAGTCGAGAACATACCCCAGGTCCCCGCCGCAACTCGAGAAAAACCATGAGACTTCCCCCTAGAGGCGAGATGAGGCCCCATTCCCCTGCAGTGCATGCAGAGCTATTCCGTGATCCCATTCAAACAAGTCAGGAGCTTCGACTTGCTTAATGGATCTCGAGGCAGTCCCCAAGAACACTGTCACCAGTCTAGACGGACCCTGAGGTCACCCAGCAATGCAAAGCAGCTCCATGTGCCCCAAATCAACTCGAGATGAGGCCGGATTCCCCTGCATTGACTCCAGAGCCATTCCTTGTTCCCCATTCAACAAGACCGGTGGCTCGACTTCTTTCAGGCAACTCCAGGGATGCCCCGAGAACACTGTCCCAAGCCTAGAGGACCACCAACTTCAGCACAGCAACTCGAGAAATGCTCTGTGTACCCCAAATCGTCTCGAGATGAGAGCTGATTCCCTGGCTTAGGCTCAAGACGTATGCCACCTTTCCAGAAGCACCTCAGGAGGAGGCTTCTCTCAGCAATAGGTATGTGGGAGGGACCCCGAGTTTGCTGCCTCAAGGGGAATATACAGCGAGAAGCCCTAACTTGAAAGGAGGCCGGATTTCCTTGCAGTGGCTTGAATACAGGCTCGTCTTTCATCTCACAACATGAAGGGATGTCTGAATCCCCTGTGGAGACTTTAGAGAAAGCCCTAGGACCCTGCCTCATTTTGACGGAATGCCTCACATCCCGCTGACAACTCGAGAGGCACGCGGAGTTCATTGCTTCAAAAGGTGACGATGCCTGACTCCTCTTGAATACTGATAGGAATCCCAAAATCCCTGTGGCTACTGGAAAGGTTCCTTGGGTGCCCTGGCTCACCTCGAGAAGCGTCCCTTTTGCCCTGCCAAGCCTCGAAGACATTCCTGAGGTGTCCCTCGTTACTAGACAGGAGTCCTGACGTCACTGAAGAAACTCGTGTTTTGAAGGGCCATCCCCGCCGTAAGTCGAGAACATACCCCAGGTCCCCGCCGCAACTCGAGAAAAACCATGAGACTTCCCCCTAGAGGCGAGATGAGGCCCCATTCCCCTGCAGTGCATGCAGAGCTATTCCGGGATCCCATTCAAACAAGTCAGGAGCTTCGACTTGCTTAATGGATCTCGAGACAGTCCCCAAGAACACTGTCACAAGTCTAGACGGACCCTGAGGTCACCCAGCAATGCAAAGCAGCTCCATGTGCCCCAAATCAACTCGAGATGAGGCCCGATTCCCCTGCATTGACTCCAGAGCCATTCCCTGTTCCCCATTCAACACGACCGGTGGCTCGACTTCCTTCAGGCAACTCCAGGGTTGCCCCGAGAACACTGTCCCAAGTCTAGAGGAACACCAACTTCAGCACAGCAACTCGAGGAATGCTCTGTGTACCCCAAATCGTCTCGAGATGAGAGCTGATTCCCTGGCTTAGGCTCAAGACGTATGCCACCTTTCCAGAAGCACCTCAGGAGGAGGCTTCTCTCAGCAATAGGTATGTGGGAGGGACCCCGAGTTTGCTGCCTCAAGGGGAATATACAGCGAGAAGCCCTAACTTGAAAGGAGGCCGGATTTCCTTGCAGTGGCTTGAATACAGGCTCGTCTTTGATCTGACAACATGAAGGGATGTCTGAATCCCCTGTGGAGACCTTAGAGAAAGCCCTAGGTCCCTGCCTCATTTTGACGGAATGCCTCACATCCCGCTGACACCTCGAGAGGCACGCGGAGTTCATTGCTTCAAAAGGTGACGATGCCTGACTCCTCTTGAATACTGATAGGAATCCCAAAATCACTGTGGCTACTGGAAAGGGTCCTTGGGTGCCCTGCCTCACCTCGAGAAGCGTCCCTTTTGCCCTGCCAAGCCTCGAAGAGATTCCTGAGGTGTCCCTCGTTACTAGGCAGGAGTCCTGACGTCACTGGAGAAACTCTTGTTTTGAAGGGCCATCCCCGCCGTAAGTCGAGAACATATCCCAGGGCCCCGCCGCAACTCGAGAAAAACCGTGAGACTTCCCCCTAGAGGCGAGATGAGGCCCCATTCCCCTGCAGTGCATGCAGAGCTATTCCGTGATCCCATTCAAACAAGTCAGGAGCTTCGACTTGCTTAATGGATCTCGAGACAGTCCCCAAGAACACTGTCACCAGTCTAGACGGACCCTGAGGTCACCCAGCAATGCAAAGCAGCTCCATGTGCCCAAAATCAACTCGAGATGAGGCCGGATTCCCCTGCATTGACTCCAGAGCCATTCCTTGTTCCCCATTCAACACGACCGGTGGCTCGACTTCCTTCAGGCAACTCCAGAGATGCCTCGAGAGCACTATCCCAAGTCTAGAGGACCACCAACTTCAGCAGAGCAACTCGAGGAATGCTCTGTGTACCCCAAATCGTCTCGAGATGAGAGCTGATTCCCTGGCTTAGGCTCAAGACGTATGCCACCTTTCCAGAAGCACCTCAGGAGGAGGCTTCTCTCAGCAATAGGTATGTGGGAGGGACCCCGAGTTTGCTGCCTCAAGGGGAATATACAGCGAGAAGCCCTAACTTGAAAGGAGGCCGGATTTCCTTGCAGTGGCTTGAATACAGGCTCGTCTTTGATCTGACAACATGAAGGGATGTCTGAATCCCCTGTGGAGACCTTAGAGAAAGCCCTAGGTCCCTGCCTCATTTTGACGGAATCCTCACATCCCGCTGACACCTCGAGAGGCACGCGGAGTTCATTGCTTCAAAAGGTGACGATGCCTGACTCCTCTTGAATACTTATAGGAATCCCAAAATCCCTGTGGCTACTGGAAAGGGTCCTTGGGTGCCCTGGCTCACCTCGAGAAGCGTCCCTTTTGCCCTGCCAAGCCTCGAAGAGATTGCTGACGTGTCCCTCGTTACTAGACAGGAGTCCTGACGTCACGGAAGAAACTCGTGTTTTGAAGGGCCATCCCCGCCGTAAGTCGAGAACATACCCCAGGTCCCCGCCGCAACTCGAGAAAAACCATGAGACTTCCCCCTAGAGGCGAGATGAGGCCCCATTCCCCTGCAGTGCATGCAGAGCTATTCCGTGATCCCATTCAAACAAGTCAGGAGCTTCGACTTGCTTAATGGATCTCGAGGCAGTCCCCAAGAACACTGTCACCAGTCTAGACGGACCCTGAGGTCACCCAGCAATGCAAAGCAGCTCCATGTGCCCCAAATCAACTCGAGATGAGGCCGGATTCCCCTGCATTGACTCCAGAGCCATTCCTTGTTCCCCATTCAACATGACCGGTGGCTCGACTTCTTTCAGGCAACTCCAGAGATGCCCCGAGAACACTGTCCCAAGTCTAGAGGACCACCAACTTCAGCACAGCAACTCGAGAAATGCTCTGTGTACCCCAAATCGTCTCGACATGAGAGCTGATTCCCTGGCTTAGGCTCAAGACATATGCCACCTTTCCAGAAGCACCTCAGGAGGAGGCTTCTCTCAGCAATAGGTATGTGGGAGGGACCCCGAGTTTGCTGCCTCAAGGGGAATATACAGCGAGAAGCCCTAACTTGAAAGGAGGCCGGATTTCCTTGCAGTGGCTTGAATACAGGCTCGTCTTTCATCTCACAACATGAAGGGATGTCTGAATCCCTTGTGGAGACCTTAGAGAAAGCCCTAGGTCCCTGCCTCATTTTGACGGAATCCTCATATCCCGCTGACACCTCGAGAGGCACGCGGAGTTCATTGCTTCAAAAGGTGAAGATGCCTGACTCCTCTTGAATACTTATAGGAATCCCAAAATCCCTGTGGCTACTGGAAAGGGTCCTTGGGTGCCCTGGCTCACCTCGAGAAGCGTCCCTTTTGCCCTGCCAAGCCTCGAAGAGATTGCTGACGTGTCCCTCGTTACTAGACAGGAGTCCTGACGTCACGGAAGAAACTCGTGTTTTGAAGGGCCATCCCCGCCGTAAGTCGAGAACATACCCCAGGTTCCCGCCGCAACTCGAGAAAAACCATGAGACTTCCCCCTAGAGGCGAGATGAGGCCCCATTCCCCTGCAGTGCATGCAGAGCTATTCCGTGATCCCATTCAAACAAGTCAGGAGCTTCGACTTGCTTAATGGATCTCGAGACAGTCCCCAAGAACACTGTCACCAGTCTAGACGGACCCTGAGGTCACCCAGCAATGCAAAGCAGCTCCATGTGCCCCAAATCAACTCGAGATGAGGCCGGATTCCCCTGCATTGACTCCAGAGCCATTCCTTGTTCCCCATTCAACACGACCGGTGGCTCGACTTCCTTCAGGCAACTCTAGAGATGCCCCGAGAACACTGTCGCAAGTCTAGAGGAACACCAACTTCAGCACAGCAACTCGAGGAATGCTCTGTGTACCCCAAATCGTCTCGAGATGAGAGCTGATTCCCTGGCTTAGGCTCAAGACGTATGCCACTTTTCCAGAAACACCTCAGGAGGAGGCTTCTCTCAGCAATAGGTATGTGGGAGGGACCCCGAGTTTGCTGCCTCAAGGGGAATATACAGCGAGAAGTCCTAACTTGAAAGGAGGCCGGATTTCCTTTTAGTGGCTTGAATACCGGCTCGTCTTTCATCTCACAACATGAAGGGATGTCTGAATCCCCTGTGGAGACCTTAGAGAAAGCCCTAGGTCCCTGCCTCATTTTGACGGAATCCTCACATCCCGCTGACACCTCGAGAGGCACGCGGAGTTCATTGCTTCAAAAGGTGACGATGCCTGACTCCTCTTGAATACTTATAGGAATCCCAAAATCCCTGTGGCTACTTGAAAGGGTACTTGGGTGCCCTGGCTCACCTCGAGAAGCGTCCCTTTTGCCCTGCCAAGCCTCGAAGAGATTGCTGAGGTGTCCCTCGTTACTAGACAGGAGTCCTGACGTCACTGAAGAAACTCGTGTTTTGAAGGGCCATCCCCGCCGTAAGTCGAGAACATACCCCAGGTCCCCGCCGCAACTCGAGGAAAACCATGAGACTTCCCCCTAGAGGCGAGATGAGGCCCCATTCCCCTGCAGTGCATGCAGAGCTATTCCATGATCCCATTCAAACACGTCAGGAGCTTCGACTTGCTTAATGGATCTCGAGACAGTCCCCAAGAACACTGTCACCAGTCTAGACGGACCCTGAGGTCACCCAGCAATGCAAAGCAGCTCCATGTGCCCCAAATCAACTCGAGATGAGGCCAGATTAACCTGCATTGACTCCAGAGCCATTCCCCGTTCCCCATTCAACACGACCGGTGGCTCGACTTCCTTCAGGCAACTCCAGAGATGCCCAGAGAACACTGTCCCAAGTCTAGAGGAACACCAACTTCAGCACAGCAACTCGAGGAATGCTCTGTGTACCCCAAATCGTCTCGAGATGAGAGCTGAATCCCTGGTTAGGCTCAAGACGTATGCCACCTTTCCAGAAGCACCTCAGGAGGAGGCTTCTCTCAGCAATAGGTATGTGGGAGGGACCCCGAGTTTGCTGCCTCAAGGGGAATATACAGCGAGAAGCCCTAACTTGAAAGGAGGCCGGATTTCCTTGCAGTGGCTTGAATACAGGCTCGTCTTTCATCTCACAACATGAAGGGATGTCTGAATCCCCTGTGGAGACCTTAGAGAAAGCCCTAGGTCCCTGCCTCATTTTGACGGAAACCTCACATCCCGCTGACACCTCGAGAGTCACGCGGAGTTAATTGCTTCAAAAGGTGACGATGCCTGACTCCTCTTGAATATTTATGGGAATCCCAAAATCCCTGTGGCTACTGGAAAGGGTCCTTGGGTGCCCTGGCTCACCTCGAGAAGCGTCCCTTTTGCCCTGCCAAGCCTCGAAGAGATTGCTGAGGTGTCCCTCGTTACTAGACAGGAGTCCTGACGTCACGGAAGAAACTCGTGTTTTGAAGGGCCATCCCCGCCGTAAGTCGAGAACATACCCCAGGTCCCCGCCGCAACTCGAGAAAAACCATGAGACTTCCCCCTAGAGGCTAGATGAGGCCCCATTCCCCTGCAGTGCATGCAGAGCTATTCCGTGATCCCATTCAAACAAGTCAGGAGCTTCGACTTGCTTAATGGATCTCGAGACAGTCCCCAAGAACACTGTCACCAGTCTAGACGGACCCTGAGGTAACCCAGCAATGCAAAGCAGCTCCATGTGCCCCAAATAAACACGAGATGAGGCCGAATTCCCCTGCATTGAATCCAGAGCCATTCCTTGTTCCCCATTCAACACGACCGGTGGCTCGACTTCCTTCAGGCAACTCCAGAGATGCCCCGAGAACACTGTCCCAAGTCTAGAGGAACACCAACTTCAGCACAGCAACTCGAGGAATGCTCTGTGTACCACAAATCGTCTCGAGATGAGAGCTGATTCCCTGGCTTAGGCTCAAGACGTATGCCACCTTTCCAGAAGCACCTCAGGAGGAGGCTTCTCTCAGCAATAGGTATGTGGGAGGGACCCCGAGTTTGCTGCCTCAAGGGGAATATACAGCGAGAAGCCCTAACTTGAAAGGAGGCCGGATTTCCTTGCAGTGGCTTGAATACAGGCTCGTCTTTCATCTCACAACATGAAGGGATGTCTGAATCCCCTGTGGAGACCTTAGAGAAAGCCCTAGGTCCCTGCCTCATTTTGACGGAATCCTCACATCCCGCTGAAACCTCGAGAGGCACGCGAAGTTCATTGCTTCAAAAGGTGACGATGCCTGACTCCTCTTGAATACTTATAGGAATCCCAAAATCCCTGTGGCTACTGGAAAGGGTCCTTGGGTGCCCTGGCTCACCTCGAGAAGCGTCCCTTTTGCCCTGCCAAGCCTCGAAGAGATTGCTGAGGTGTCCCTCGTTACTAGACAGGAGTCCTGACGACACGGAAGAAACTCGTGTTTTGAAGGGCCATCCCCGCAGTAAGTCGAGAACATACCCCAGGTCCCCGCCGCAACTCGAGAAAAACAATGAGACTTCCCCCTAGAGGCGAGATGAGGCCCCATTCCCCTGCAGTGCATGCAGAGCTATTCCGTGATCCCATTCAAACAAGTCAGGAGCTTCGACTTGCTTAATGGATCTCGAGACAGTCCCCAAGAACACTGTCACCAGTCTAGACGGACCCTGAGGTCACCCAGCAATGCAAAGCAGATCCATGTGCCCCAAATCAACTCGAGATGAGGCCGGATTCCCCTGCATTGACTCCAGAGCCATTCCTTGTTCCCCATTCAACACGACCGGTGGCTCGACTTCCTTCAGGCAAATCCAGAGATGCCCCGAGAACACTGTCCCAAGTCTAGAGGACCACCAATTTCAGCACAGCAACTCGAGGAATGCTCTGTGTACCCCAAATCGTCTCAAGATGAGAGCTGATTCCCTGGCTTATGCTCAAGACGTATGCCACCTTTCCAGAAGCACCTCAGGAGGAGGCTTCTCTCAGCAATAGGTATGTGCGAGGGACCCCGAGTTTGCTGCCTCAAGGGGAATATACAGCGAGAAGCCCTAACTTGAAAGGAGGCCCGATTTCCTTTTAGTGGCTTGAATACAGGCTCGTCTTTCATCTCACAACATGAAGGGATGTCTGAATCCCCTGTGGAGACCTTAGAGAAAGCCCTAGGTCCCTGCCTCATTTTGACGGAATCCTCACATCCCGCTGACACCTCGAGAGGCACGCGGAGTTCATTGCTTCAAAAGGTGACGATGCCTGACTCCTCTTGAATACTGATAGGAATCCCAAAATCCCTGTGGCTACTGGAAAGGGTCCTTGGGTGCCCTGGCTCACCTCGAGAAGCGTCCCTTTTGCCCTGCCAAGCCTCGAAGAGATTGCTGAGGTGTCCCTCGTTACTAGACAGGAGTCCTGACGTCACGGAAGAAACTCGTGTTTTGAAGGGCCATCCCCGCCGTAAGTCGAGAACATACCCCAGGTCCCCGCCGCAACTCGAGAAAAACCATGAGACTTCCCCCTAGAGGCGAGATGAGGCCCCATTCCCCTGCAGTGCATGCAGAGCTATTCCGTGATCCCATTCAAACAAGTCAGGAGCTTCGACTTGCTTAATGGATCTCGAGACAGTCCCCAAGAACACTGTCACCAGTCTAGACGGACCCTCAGGTCACCCAGCAATGCAAAGCAGCTCCATGTGCCCCAAATCAACTCGAGATGAGGCCGGATTCCCCTTCATTGACTCCAGAGCCATTCCTTGTTCCCCATTCAACACGACCGGTGGCTCAACTTCCTTCAGGCAACTCCGGAGATGCACCAAGAACACTGTCCCAAGTCTAGAGGACCACCAACTTCAGCACAGCAACTCGAGGAATGCTCTGTGTACCACAAATCGTCTCGAGATGAGAGCTGATTCCCTGGCTTAGGCTCAAGACGTATGCCACCTTTCCAGAAGCACCTCAGGAGGAGGCTTCTCTCAGCAATAGGTATGTGGGAGGGACCCCGAGTTTGCTGCCTCAAGGGGAATATACAGCGAGAAGCCCTAACTTGAAAGGAGGCCGGATTTCCTTGCAGTGGCTTGAATACAGGCTCGTCTTTCATCTCACAACATGAAGGGATGTCTGAATCCCCTGTGGAGACCTTAGATAAAGCCCTAGGTCCCTGCCTCATTTTGACGGAATCCTCACATCCCGCTGACACCTCGAGAGGCACGCGGAGTTCATTGCTTCAAAAGGTGACGATGCCTGACTCCTCTTGAATACTGATAGGAATCCCAAAATCCCTGTGGCTACTGGAAAGGGTCCTTGGGTGCCCTGGCTCACCTCGAGAAGCGTCCCTTTTGCCCTGCCAAGCCTCGAAGAGATTGCTGAGGTGTCCCTCGTTACTAGACAGTAGTCCTGACGTCACTGAAGAAACTCGTGTTTTGAAGGGCCATCCCCGCCGTAAGTCGAGAACATACCCCAGGTCCCTGCCACAACTCGAGAAAAACCATGAGACTTCCCCCTAGAGGCGAGATGAGGCCCCATTCCCCTGCAGTGCATGCAGAGCTATTCCGGGATCCCATTCAAACAAGTCAGGAGCTTCGACTTGCTTAATGGATCTCGAGACAGTCCCCAAGAACACTGTCACCAGTCTAGACGGACCCTGAGGTCACCCAGCAATGCAAAGCAGCTCCATGTGCCCCAAATCAACTCGAGATGAGGCCCGATTCCCCTGCATTGACTCCAGAGCCATTCCCTGTTCCCCATTCAACACGACAGGTGGCTCGACTTCCTTCAGGCAACTCCAGGGATGCCCCGAGAACACTGTCCCAAGTCTAGAGGAACACCAACTTCAGCACAGCAACTCGAGGAATGCTCTGTGTACCCCTAATTGTCTCGAGATGAGAGCTGATTCCCTGGCTTAGGCTCAAGACGTATGCCACCTTTCCAGAAGCACCTCAGAAGGAGGCTTCTCTCAGCAATAGGTATGTGGGAGGGACCCCGAGTTTGCTGCCTCAAGGGGAATATACAGCGAGAAGCCCTAACTTGAAAGGAGGACGGATTTCCTTGCAGTGGCTTGAATACAGGCTCGTCTTTGATCTGACAACATGAAGGGATGTCTGAATCCCCTGTGGAGACCTTAGAGAAAGCCCTAGGTCCCTGCCTCATTTTGACGGAATGCCTCACATCCCGCTGACACCTCGAGAGGCACGCGGAGCTCATTGCTTCAAAAGGTGACGATGCCTGACTCCTCTTGAATACTGATAGGAATCCCAAAATCCCTGTGGCTACTGGAAAGGGTCCTTGGGTGCCCTGGCTCACCTCGAGAAGCGTCCCTTTTGCCCTGCCAAGCCTCGAAGAGATTCCTGAGGTGTCCCTCGTTACTAGGCAGGAGTCCTGACGTCACTGGAGAAACTCGTGTTTTGAAGGGCCATCCCCGCCGTAAGTCGAGAACATACCCCAGGGCCCCGCCGCAACTCGAGAAAAACCGTGAGACTTCCCCCTAGAGGCGTGATGAGGCCCCATTCCCCTGCAGTGCATGCAGAGCTATTCCGTGATCCCATTCAAACAAGTCAGGAGCTTCGACTTGCTTAATGGATCTCGAGACAGTCCCCAAGAACACTGTCACCAGTCTAGACGGACCCTGAGGTCACCCAGCAATGCAAAGCAGCTCCATGTGCCCAAAATCAACTCGAGATGAGGCCGGATTCCCCTGCATTGACTCCAGAGCCATTCCTTGTTCCCCATTCAACACGACCGGTGGCTCGACTTCCTTCAGGCAACTCCAGAGATGCCTCGAGAGCACTATCCCAAGTCTAGAGGACCACCAACTTCAGCAGAGCAACTCGAGGAATGCTCTGTGTACCCCAAATCGTCTCGAGATGAGAGCTGATTCCCTGGCTTAGGCTCAAGACGTATGCCACCTTTCCAGAAGCACCTCAGGAGGAGGCTTCTCTCAGCAATAGGTATGTGGGAGGGACCCCGAGTTTGCTGCCTCAAGGGGAATATACAGCGAGAAGCCCTAACTTGAAAGGAGGCCGGATTTCCTTGCAGTGGCTTGAATACAGGCTCGTCTTTCATCTCACAACATGAAGGGATGTCTGAATCCCCTGTGGAGACCTTAGAGAAAGCCCTAGGTCCCTGCCTCATTTTGACGGAATCCTCACATCCCGCTGACACCTCGAGAGGCACGCGGAGTTCATTGCTTCAAAAGGTGACGATGCCTGACTCCTCTTGAATACTTATAGGAATCCCAAAATCCCTGTGGCTACTGGAAAGGGTCCTTGGGTGCCCTGGCTCACCTCGAGAAGCGTCCCTTTTGCCCTGCCAAGGCTCGAAGAGATTGCTGACGTGTCCCTCGTTACTAGGCAGGAGTCCTGACGTCACTGAAGAAACTCGTGTTTTGAAGGGCCATCCCCGCCGTAAGTCGAGAACATACCCCAGGTCCCCGCCGCAACTCGAGAAAAACCATGAGACTTCCCCCTAGAGGCGAGATGAGGCCCCATTCCCCTGCAGTGCATGCAGAGCTATTCCGTGATCCCATTCCAACAAGTCAGGAGCTTCGACTTGCTTAATGGATCTCGAGGCAGTCCCCAAGAACACTGTCACCAGTCTAGACGGACCCTGAGGTCACCCAGCAATGCAAAGCAGCTCCATGTGCCCCAAATCAACTCGAGATGAGGCCGGATTCCGCTGCATTGACTCCAGAGCCATTCCTTGTTCCCCATTCAACAAGACCGGTGGCTCGACTTCTTTCAGGCAACTCCAGGGATGCCCCGAGAACACTGTCCCAAGCCTAGAGGACCACCAACTTCAGCACAGCAACTCGAGGAATGCTCTGTGTACCCCAAATCGTCTCGAGATGAGAGCTGATTCCCTGGCTTAGGCTCAAGACGTATGCCACCTTTCCAGAAGCACCTCAGGAGGAGGCTTCTCTCAGCAATAGGTATGTGGGAGGGACCCCGAGTTTGCTGCCTCAAGGGGAATATACAGCGAGAAGCCCTAACTTGAAAGGAGGCCGGATTTCCTTGCAGTGGCTTGAATACAGGCTCGTCTTTGATCTGACAACATGAAGGGATGTCTGAATCACCTGTGGAGACCTTAGAGAAAGCCCTAGGTCCCTGCCTCATTTTGACGGAATGCCTCACATCCCGCTACACCTCGAGAGGCACGCGGAGTTCATTGCTTCAAAAGGTGACGATGCCTGACTCCTCTTGAATACTGATAGGAATCCCAAAATCACTGTGGCTACTGGAAAGGGTCCTTGGGTGCCCTGCCTCACCTCGAGAAGCGTCCCTTTTGCCCTGCCAAGCCTCGAAGAGATTCCTGAGGTGTCCCTCGTTACTAGGCAGGAGTCCTGACGTCACTGGAGAAACTCTTGTTTTGAAGGGCCATCCCCGCCGTAAGTCGAGAACATATCCCAGGGCCCCGCCGCAACTCGAGAAAAACCGTGAGACTTCCCCCTAGAGGCGAGATGAGGCCCCATTCCCCTGCAGTGCATGCAGAGCTATTCCGTGATCCCATTCAAACAAGTCAGGAGCTTCGATTTGCTTAATGGATCTCGAGACAGTCCCCAAGAACACTGTCACCAGTCTAGACGGACCCTGAGTTCACCCAGCAATGCAAAGCAGCTCCATGTGCCCAAAATCAACTCGAGATGAGGCCGGATTCCCCTGCATTGACTCCAGAGCCATTCCTTGTTCCCCATTCAACACGACCGGTGGCTCGACTTCTTTCAGGCAACTCCAGAGATGCCCCGAGAACACTGTCCCAAGTCTAGAGGACCACCAACTTCAGCACAGCAACTCGAGAAATGCTCTGTGTACCCCAAATCGTCTCGACATGAGAGCTGATTCCCTGGCTTAGGCTCAAGACATATGCCACCTTTCCAGAAGCACCTCAGGAGGAGGCTTCTCTCAGCAATAGGTATGTGGGAGGGACCCCGAGTTTGCTGCCTCAAGGGGAATATACAGCGAGAAGCCCTAACTTGAAAGGAGGCCGGATTTCCTTGCAGTGGCTTGAATACAGGCTCGTCTTTCATCTCACAACATGAAGGGATGTCTGAATCCCTTGTGGAGACCTTAGAGAAAGCCCTAGGTCCCTGCCTCATTTTGACGGAATCCTCATATCCCGCTGACACCTCGAGAGGCACGCGGAGTTCATTGCTTCAAAAGGTGAAGATGCCTGACTCCTCTTGAATACTTATAGGAATCCCAAAATCCCTGTGGCTACTGGAAAGGGTCCTTGGGTGCCCTGGCTCACCTCGAGAAGCGTCCCTTTTGCCCTGCCAAGCCTCGAAGAGATTGCTGACGTGTCCCTCGTTACTAGACAGGAGTCCTGACGTCACGGAAGAAACTCGTGTTTTGAAGGGCCATCCCCGCCGTAAGTCGAGAACATACCCCAGGTTCCCGCCGCAACTCGAGAAAAACCATGAGACTTCCCCCTAGAGGTGAGATGAGGCCCCATTCCCCTGCAGTGCATGCAGAGCTATTCCGTGATCCCATTCAAACAAGTCAGGAGCTTCGACTTGCTTAATGGATCTCGAGACAGTCCCCAAGAACACTGTCACCAGTCTAGACGGACCCTGAGGTCACCCAGCAATGCAAAGCAGCTCCATGTGCCCCAAATCAACTCGAGATGAGGCCGGATTCCCCTGCATTGACTCCAGAGCCATTCCTTGTTCCCCATTCAACACGACCGGTGGCTCGACTTCCTTCAGGCAACTCTAGAGATGCCCCGAGAACACTGTCGCAAGTCTAGAGGAACACCAACTTCAGCACAGCAACTCGAGGAATGCTCTGTGTACCCCAAATCGTCTCGAGATGAGAGCTGATTCCCTGGCTTAGGCTCAAGACGTATGCCACTTTTCCAGAAACACCTCAGGAGGAGGCTTCTCTCAGCAATAGGTATGTGGGAGGGACCCCGAGTTTGCTGCCTCAAGGGCAATATACAGCGAGAAATCCTAACTTGAAAGGAGGCCGGATTTCCTTGCAGTGGCTTGAATACCGGCTCGTCTTTCATCTCACAACATGAAGGGATGTCTGAATCCCCTGTGGAGACCTTAGAGAAAGCCCTAGGTCCCTGCCTCATTTTGACGGAATCCTCACATCCCGCTGACACCTCGAGAGGCACGCGGAGTTCATTGCTTCAAAAGGTGACGATGCCTGACTCCTCTTGAATACTTATAGGAATCCCAAAATCCCTGTGGCTACTGGAAAGGTTCCTTGGGTACCCTGGCTCACCTCGAGAAGCGTCCCTTTTGCCCTGCCAAGCCTCGAAGAGATTCCTGAGGTGTCCCTCGTTACTAGACAGGAGTCCTGACGTCACTGAAGAAACTCGTGTTTTGAAGGGCCATCCCCGCAGTAAGTCGAGAACATACCCCAGGTCACCGCCGCAACTCGAGAAAAACCATGAGACTTCCCCCTAGAGGCGAGATGAGGCCCCATTCCCCTGCAGTGCATGCAGAGCTATTCCGTGATCCCATTCAAACAAGTCAGGAGCTTCGACTTGCTTAATGGATCTCGAGACAGTCCCCAAGAACACTGTCACCAGTCTACACGGACCCTGAGGTCACCCCAGCAACGCAAAGCTGCTCCATGTGCCCCAAATCAACTCGAGATGAGGCCCGATTCCCCTGCATTGACTCCAGAGCCATTCCCCGTTCCCCATTCAACACGACCGGTGGCTCGACTTCCTTCAGGCAACTGCAGAGATGCCCCGAGAACACTGCCCCAAGTCTAGAGGAACACCAACTTCAGCACAGCAACTCGAGGAATGCTCCGTGTACCCCAAATCATCTAGAGATGAGAGCTGATTCTCTGGCTTAGGCTCAAGACGTATGCCAACTTTCCAGAAGCACCTCAGGAGGAGGCTTCTCTCAGCAATAGGTATGTGGGAGCGACCCCGAGTTTGCTGCCTCAAGGGGAATACACAGGGAGAAGCCCTAACGTGAACGGAGGCCAGATTTCCTTGCAGTGGGTTGAATAAAGGCTCGTCTTCGATCTGAAAACATGAAGGGATGTCTGAATCCCCTGTGGAGACCTTAGAGGAAGCCCTAGGTCCCTGCCTCATTTTGACGGAATACCTCACATCCCCCTGACACCTCGAGAGGCACGCAGAATTCATTGCTTCAAAAGGTAACGATGCCTGACTCCTCTGAATACTTATAGGAATCCCAAAATCACTGTTGCTACTGGAAAGGGTCCTTGGGTGCCCTGGCTCACCTCGAGAAGCGTCCCTTTTGCCCTGCCAAGCCTCGAAGAAATTGCTGAGGTGTCCCTCGTTACTAGACAGGAGTCCTGACGTCACGGAAGAAACTCGTGTTTTGAAGGGCCATCCCCGCCGTAAGTCGAGAACATACCCCAGGTCCCCGCCGCAACTCGAGAAAAACCATGAGACTTCCCCCTAGAGGCGAGATGAGGCCCCATTCCCCTGCAGTGCATGCAGAGCTATTCCGTGATCCCATTCAAACAAGTCAGGAGCTTCGACTTGCTTAATGGATCTCGAGACAGTCCCCAAGAACACTGTCACCAGTCTAGACGGACCCTGAGGTCACCACAGCAACGCAAAGCAGCTCCATGTGCCCCAAATCAACTCGAGATGAGGCCCGATTCCCCTGCATTGACTCCAGAGCCATTCCCCGTTCCCCATTCAACACGAACAGAGGCTCGCCTTCCTTCAGGCAACTCCAGAGATGCCCCGAGAACACTGTCCCAAGTCTAGAGGAACACCAACTTCAGCACAGCAACTCGAGGAATGCTCTGTGTACCCCAAATCGTCTCGAGATGAGAGCTGATTCCCTGGCTTAGGCTCAAGACGTATGCCAACTTTCCAGAAGCACCTCAGGAGGAGGCTTCTCAGCAATAGGTATGTGGGAGGGACTCCGAGTTTGCTGCCTCAAGGGGAATATACAGCGAGAAGCCCTAACTTGAAAGGAGGCCGGATTTCCTTGCAGTGGCTTGAATACAGGCTCGTCTTTCATCTCACAACATGAAGGGATGTCTGAATCCCCTGTGGAGACCTTAGAGAAAGCCCTAGGTCCCTGCCTCATTTTGACGGAATGCCTCACATCCCGCTGACACCTCGAGAGGCACGCGGAGTTCATTGCTTCAAAAGGTGACGATGCCTGACTCCTCTTGAATACTGATAGGAATCCCAAAATCCCTGTGGCTACTGGAAAGGGTCCTTGGGTGCCCTGCCTCACCTCGAGAAGCGTCCCTTTTGCCCTGCCAAGACTCGAAGAGATTCCTGAGGTGTCACTCGTTACTAGGCAGGAGTCCTGACCTCACTGAAGAAAGTCGTGTTTTGAAGGGCCATCCCTGCCTTAAGTCGAGAACATACCCCAGGTCCCCGCCGCAACTCGAGAAAAACCATGAGACTTCCCCCTAGAGGCGAGATGAGGCCCCATTCCCCTGCAGTGCATGCAGAGCTATTCCGGGATCCCATTCAAACAAGTCAGGAGCTTCGATTTGCTTAATGGATCTCGAGACAGTCCCCAAGAACACTGTCACCAGTCTAGACGGACCCTGAGGTCACCCAGCAATGCAAAGCAGCTCCATGTGCCCCAAATCAACTCGAGATGAGGCCCGATTCCCCTGCATTGACTCCAGAGCCATTCCCTGTTCCCCATTCAACACGACCGGTGGCTCGACTTCCTTCAGGCAACTCCAGGGATGCCCCGAGAACACTTTCCCAAGTCTAGAGGAACACCAACTTCAGCACAGCAACTCGAGGAATGCTCTGTGTACCCCAAATCGTCTCGAGATGAGAGCTGATTCCCTGGCTTAGGCTCAAGACGTATGCCACCTTTCCAGAAGCACCTCAGGAGCAGGCTTCTCTCAGCAATAGGTATGTGGGAGGGACCCCGAGTTTGCTGCCTCAAGGGGAATATACAGCGAGAAGCCCTAACTTGAAAGGAGGCCGGATTTCCTTGCAGTGGCTTGAATACAGGCTCGTCTTTCATCTCACAACATGAAGGGATGTCTCAATCCCCTGTGGAGACCTTAGAGAAAGCCCTAGGTCCCTGCCTCATTTTGACGGAATGCCTCACATCCCGCTGACACCTCGAGAGGCACGCGGAGTTCATTGCTTCAAAAGGTGACGATGCCTGACTCCTCTTGAATACTGATAGGAATCCCAAAATCCCTGTGGCTACTGGAAAGGGTCCTTGGGTGCCCTGGCTCACCTCGAGAAGCGTCCCTTTTGCCCTGCCAAGCCTCGAAGAGATTCCTGAGGTGTCCCTCGTTACTAGGCAGGAGTCCTGACGTCACTGGAGAAACTCGTGTTTTGAAGGGCCATCCCCGCCGTAAGTCGAGAACATACCCCAGGTCCCCGCCGCAACTCGAGAAAAACCATGAGACTTCCCCCTAGAGGCGAGATGAGGCCCCATTCCCCTGCAGTGCATGCAGAGCTATTCCGTGATCCCATTCAAACAAGTCAGGAGCTTCGACTTGCTTAATGGATCTCGAGACAGTCCCCAAGAACACTGTCACCAGTCTAGACGGACCCTGAGGTCACCCAGCAATGCAAAGCAGCTCCATGTGCCCCAAATCAACTCGAGATGAGGCCGGATTCCCCTGCATTGACTCCAGAGCCATTCCTTGTTCCCCATTCAACACGACCGGTGGCTCGACTTCCTTCAGGCAACTCCAGAGATGCCTCGAGAGCACTATCCCAAGTCTAGAGGAACACCAACTTCAGCAGAGCAACTCGAGGAATGCTCTGTGTACCCCAAATCGTCTCGAGATGAGAGCTGATTCCCTGGCTTAGGCTCAAGACGTATGCCACCTTTCCAGAAGCACCTCAGGAGGAGGCTTCTCTCAGCAATAGGTATGTGGGAGGGACCCCGAGTTTGCTGCCTCAAGGGGAATATACAGCGAGAAGCCCTAACTTGAAAGGAGGCCGGATTTCCTTGCAGTGGCTTGAATACAGGCTCGTCTTTCATCTCACAACATGAAGGGATGTCTCAATCCCCTGTGGAGACCTTAGAGAAAGCCCTAGGTCCCTGCCTCATTTTGACGGAATCCTCACATCCCGCTGACACCTCGAGAGGCACGCGGAGTTCATTGCTTCAAAAGGTGACGATGCCTGACTCATCTTGAATACTTATAGGAATCCCAAAATCCCTGTGGCTACTGGAAAGGGTCCTTGGGTGCCCTGGCTCACCTCGAGAAGCGTCCCTTTTGCCCTGCCAAGCCTCGAAGAGATTGCTGACGTGTCCCTCGTTACTAGACAGGAGTCCTGACGTCACTGAAGAAACTCGTGTTTTGAAGGGCCATCCCCGCCGTAAGTCGAGAACATACCCCAGATCCCCGCCGCAACTCGAGAAAAACCATGAGACTTCCCCCTAGAGGCGAGATGAGGCCCCATTCCCCTGCAGTGCATGCAGAGCTATTCCGTGATCCCATTCAAACAAGTCAGGAGCTTCGACTTGCTTAATGGATCTCGAGACAGTCCCCAAGAACACTGTCACCAGTCTAGACGGACCCTGAGGTCACCCCAGCAACGCAAAGCAGCTCCATGTGCCCCAAATCAACTCGAGATGAGGCCCGATTCCCCTGCATTGACTCCAGAGCCATTCCCCGTTCCCCATTCAACACGACCGGTGGCTCGACTTCCTTCAGGCAACTGCAGAGATGCCCCGAGAACACTGCCCCAAGTCTAGAGGAACACCAACTTCAGCACAGCAACTCGAGGAATGCTCCGTGTACCCCAAATCATCTCGAGATGAGAGCTGATTCTCTGGCTTAGGCTCAAGACGTATGCCACCTTTCCAGAAGCACCTCAGGAGGAGGCTTCTCTCAGCAATAGGTATGTGGGAGCGACCCCGAGTTTGCTGCCTCAAGGGGAATACACAGGGAGAAGCCCTAACGTGAACGGAGGCCAGATTTCCTTGCAGTGGGTTGAATAAAGGCTCGTCTTCGATCTGAAAACATGAAGGGATGTCTGAATTCCCTGTGGAGACCTTAGAGGAAGCCCTAGGTCCCTGCCTCATTTTGACGGAATACCTCACATCCCCCTGACACCTCGAGAGGCACGCAGAGTTCATTGCTTCAAAAGGTGACGATGCCTGACTCCTCTTGAATACTTATAGGAATCCCAAAATCCCTGTTGCTACTGGAAAGGGTCCTTGGGTGCCCTGGCTCACCTCGAGAAGCGTCCCTTTTGCCCTGCCAAGCCTCGAAGAAATTGCTGAGGTGTCCCTCGTTACTAGACAGGAGTCCTGACGTCACTGAAGAAACTCGTGTTTTGAAGGGCCATCCCCGCCGTAAGTCGAGAACATACCCCAGGTCCCCGCCACAACTCGAGAAAAACCATGAGACTTCCCCCTAGAGGCGAGATGAGGCCCCATTCCCCTGCAGTGCATGCAGAGCTATTCCGTGATCCCATTCAAACAAGTCAGGAGCTTCGACTTGCTTAATGGATCTCGAGACAGTCCCCAAGAACACTGTCACCAGTCTAGACGGACCCTGAGGTCACCCCAGCAACGCAAAGCAGCTCCATGTGCCCCAAATCAACTCGAGATGAGTTCCGATTCCCCTGCATTGACTCCAGAGCCATTCCCCGTTCCCCATTCAACACGACCGGTGGCTCGACTTCCTTCAGGCAACTGCAGAGATGCCCCGAGAACACTGCCCCAAGTCTAGAGGAACACCAACTTCAGCACAGCAACTCGAGGAATGCTCCGTGTACCCCAAATCATCTCGAGATGAGAGCTGATTCTCTGGCTTAGGCTCAAGACGTATGCCACCTTTCCAGAAGCACCTCAGGAGGAGGCTTCTCTCAGCAATAGGTATGTGGGAGCGACCCCGAGTTTGCTGCCTCAAGGGGAATACACAGGGAGAAGCCCTAACGTGAACGGAGGCCAGATTTCCTTGCAGTGGGTTGAATAAAGGCTCGTCTTCGATCTGAAAACATGAAGGGATGTCTGAATTCCCTGTGGAGACCTTAGAGGAAGCCCTAGGTCCCTGCCTCATTTTGACGGAATACCTCACATCCCCCTGACACCTCGAGAGGCACGCAGAGTTCATTGCTTCAAAAGGTGACGATGCCTGACTCCTCTTGAATACTTATAGGAATCCCAAAATCCCTGTTGCTACTGGAAAGGGTCCTTGGGTGCCCTGGCTCACCTCGAGAAGCGTCCCTTTTGCCCTGCCAAGCCTCGAAGAAATTGCTGAGGTGTCCCTCATTACTAGACGGGAGTCCTGACGTCACGGAAGAAACTCGTGTTTTGAAGGGCCATCCCCGCCGTAAGTTGAGAACATAACCCAGGTCCCCGCCGCAACTCGAGAAAAACCATGAGACTTCCCCCTAGAGGCGAGATGAGGCCCCATTCCCCTGCAGTGCATGCAGAGCTATTCCGTGATCCCATTCAAACAAGTCAGGAGCTTCGACTTGCTTAATGGATCTCGAGGCAGTCCCCAAGAACACTGTCACCAGTCTAGACGGACCCTGAGGTCACCCAGCAATGCAAAGCAGCTCCATGTGCCCCAAATCAACTCGAGATGAGGCCGGATTCCCCTGCATTGACTCCAGAGCCATTCCTTGTTCCCCATTCAACACGACCGGTGGCTCGACTTCTTTCAGGCAACTCCAGAGATGCCCCGAGAACACTGTCCCAAGTCTAGAGGACCACCAACTTCAGCACAGCAACTCGAGAAATGCTCTGTGTACCCCAAATCGTCTCGAGATGAGAGCTGAATCCCTGGCTTAGGCTCAAGACGTATGCCACCTTTCCAGAAGCACCTCAGGAGGAGGCTTCTCTCAGCAATAGGTATGTGGGAGGGACCCCGAGTTTGCTGCCTCAAGGGGAATATACAGCGAGAAGCCCTAACTTGAAAGGAGGCCGGATTTCCTTGCAGTGGCTTGAATACAGGCTCGTCTTTGATCTGACAACATGAAGGGATGTCTGAATCCCCTGTGGAGACCTTAGAGGAAGCCCTAGGTCCCTGGCTCATTTTGACGGAATCCTCATATCCCGCTGACACCTCGAGAGGCACGCGGAGTTCATTGCTTCAAAAGGTGACGATGCCTGACTCCTCTTGAATACTTATAGGAATCCCAAAATCCCTGTGGCTACTGGAAAGGGTCCTTGGGTGCCCTGGCTCACCTCGAGAAGCGTCCCTTTTGCCCTGCCAAGCCTCGAAGAGATTGCTGAGGTGTCCCTCGTTACTAGACAGGAGTCCTGACGTCACGGAAGAAACTCGTGTTTTGAAGGGCCATCCCCGCCGTAAGTCGAGAACATACCCCAGGTCCCCGCCGCAACTCGAGAAAAACCATGAGACTTCCCCCTAGAGGCGAGATGAGGCCCCATTCCCCTGCAGTGCATGCAGAGCTATTCCGTGATCCCATTCAAACAAGTCAGGAGCTTCGACTTGCTTAATGGATCTCGAGAGAGTCCCCAAGAACACTGTCACCAGTCTAGACGGACCCTGAGGTCACCCAGCAATGCAAAGCAGCTCCATGTGCCCCAAATCAACTCGAGATGAGGCCGGATTCCCCTGCATTGACTCCAGAGCCATTCCTTGTTCCCCATTCAACACGACCGGTGGCTCGACTTCCTTCAGGCAACTCCAGAGATGCCCCGAGAACACTCTCCCAAGTCTAGAGGAACACCTACTTCAGCACAGCAACTCGAGGAATGCTCTGTGTACCCCAAATCGTCTCGAGATGAGAGCTGATTCCCTGGCTTAGGCTCAAGACGTATGCCACCTTTCCAGAAACACCTCAGGAGGAGGCTTCTCTCAGCAATAGGTATGTGGGAGGGACCCCGAGTTTGCTGCCTCAAGGGGAATATACAGCGAGAAGCCCTAACTTGAAAGGAGGCCGGATTTCCTTGCAGTGGCTTGAATACAGGCTCGTCTTTCATCTCACAACATGAAGGGATGTCTGAATCCCCTGTGGAGACCTTAGAGAAAGCCCTAGGTCCCTGCCTCATTTTGACGGAATCCTCACATCCCGCTGACACCTCGAGAGGCACGCGGAGTTCATTGCTTCAAAAGGTGACGATGCCTGACTCATCTTGAATACTTATAGGAATCCCAAAATCCCTGTGGCTACTGGAAAGGGTCCTTGGGTGCCCTGGCTCACCTCGAGAAGCGTCCCTTTTGCCCTGCCAAGCCTCGAAGAGATTGCTGACGTGTCCCTCGTTACTAGACAGGAGTCCTGACGTCACTGAAGAAACTCGTGTTTTGAAGGGCCATCCCCGCCGTAAGTCGAGAACATACCCCAGGTCCCCGCCGCAACTCGAGAAAAACCATGAGACTTCCCCCTAGAGGCGAGATGAGGCCCCATTCCCCTGCAGTGCATGCAGAGCTATTCCGTGATCCCATTCAAACAAGTCAGGAGCTTCGACTTGCTTAATGGATCTCGAGACAGTCCCCAAGAACACTGTCACCAGTCTAGACGGACCCTGAGGTCACCCCAGCAACGCAAAGCAGCTCCATGTGCCCCAAATCAACTCGAGATGAGGCCCGATTCCCCTGCATTGACTCCAGAGCCATTCCCCGTTCCCCATTCAACACGACCGGTGGCTCGACTTCCTTCAGGCAACTGCAGAGATGCCCCGAGAACACTGCCCCAAGTCTAGAGGAACACCAACTTCAGCACAGCAACTCGAGGAATGCTCCGTGTACCCCAAATCATCTCGAGATGAGAGCTGATTCTCTGGCTTAGGCTCAAGACGTATGCCAACTTTCCAGAAGCACCTCAGGAGGAGGCTTCTCTCAGCAATAGGTATGTGGGAGCGACCCCGAGTTTGCTGCCTCAAGGGGAATACACAGGGAGAAGCCCTAACGTGAACGGAGGCCAGATTTCCTTGCAGTGGGTTGAATAAAGGCTCGTCTTCGATCTGAAAACATGAAGGGATGTCTGAATTCCCTGTGGAGACCTTAGAGGAAGCCCTAGGTCCCTGCCTCATTTTGACGGAATACCTCACATCCCCCTGACACCCCGAGAGGCACCCAGAGTTCATTGCTTCAAAAGGTGACGATGCCTGACTCCTCTTGAATACTTATAGGAATCCCAAAATCCCTGTTGCTACAGGAAAGGGTCCTTGGGTGCCCTGGCTCACCTCGAGAAGCGTCCCTTTTGCCCTGCCAAGCCTCGAAGAAATTGCTGAGGTGTCCCTCGTTACTAGACAGGAGTCCTGACGTCACGGAAGAAACTCGTGTTTTGAAGGGCCATCCCCGCCGTAAGTCGAGAACATACCCCAGGTCCCCGCCGCAACTCGAGAAAAACCATGAGACTTCCCCCTAGAGGCGAGATGAGGCCCCATTCCCCTGCAGTGCATGCAGAGCTATTCTGTGATCCCATTCAAACAAGTCAGGAGCTTCGACTTGCTTAATGGATCTCGAGACAGTCCCCAAGAACACTGTCACCAGTCTAGACGGACCCTGAGGTCACCACAGCAACGCAAAGCAGCTCCATGTGCCCCAAATCAACTCGAGATGAGGCCCGATTCCCCTGCATTGACTCCAGAGCCATTCCCCGTTCCCCGTTCAACACGAACGGAGGCTCGCCTTCCTTCAGGCAACTCCAGAGATGCCCCGAGAACACTGTCCCAAGTCTAGAGGAACACCAACTTCAGCACAGCAACTCGAGGAATGCTCTGTGTACCCCAAATCGTCTCGAGATGAGAGCTAATTCCCTGGCTTAGGCTCAAGACGTATGCCAACTTTCCAGAAGCACCTCAGGAGGAGGCTTCTCAGCAATAGGTATGTGGGAGGGACTCCGAGTTTGCTGCCTCAAGGGGAATATACAGCGAGAAGCCCTAACTTGAAAGGAGGCCGGATTTCCTTGCAGTGGCTTGAATACAGGCTCGTCTTTCATCTCACAACATGAAGGGATGTCTGAATCCCCTGTGGAGACCTTAGAGAAAGTCCTAGGTCCCTGCCTCATTTTGACGGAATGCCTCCCATCCCGCTGACACCTCGAGAGGCACGCGGAGTTCATTGCTTCAAAAGGTGACGATGCCTGACTCCTCTTGAATACTGATAGGAATCCCATAATCCCTGTGGCTACTGGAAAGGGTCCTTGGGTGCCCTGGCTCACCTCGAGAAGCGTCCCTTTTGCCCTGCCAAGCCTCGAAGAGATTCCTGAGGTGTCCCTCGTTACTAGGCAGGAGTCCTGACGTCACTGGAGAAACTCGTGTTTTGAAGGGCCATCCCCGCCGTAAGTCGAGAACATACCCCAGGGCCCCGCCGCAACTCGAGAAAAACCGTGAGACTTCCCCCTAGAGGCGAGATGAGGCCCCATTCCCCTGCAGTGCATGCAGAGCTATTCCGTGATCCCATTCAAACAAGTCAGGAGCTTCGACTTGCTTAATGGATCTCGAGACAGTCCCCAAGAACACTGTCACCAGTCTAGACGGACCCTGAGGTCACCCAGCAATGCAAAGCAGCTCCATGTGCCCCAAATCAACTCGAGATGAGGCCGGATTCCCCTGCATTGACTCCAGAGCCATTCCTTGTTCCCCATTCAACACGACCGGTGGCTCGACTTCCTTCAGGCAACTCCAGAGATGCCTCGAGAACACTATCCCAAGTCTAGAGGACCACCAACTTCAGCAGAGCAACTCGAGGAATGCTCTGTGTACCCCAAATCGTCTCGAGATGAGAGCTGATTCCCTGGCTTAGGCTCAAGACGTATGCCACCTTTCCAGAAGCACCTCAGGAGGAGGCTTCTCTCAGCAATAGGTATGTGGGAGGGACCCCGAGTTTGCTGCCTCAAGGGGAATATACAGCGAGAAGCCCTAACTTGAAAGGAGGCCGGATTTCCTTGCAGTGGCTTGAATACAGGGTCGTCTTTCATCTCACAACATGAAGGGATGTCTGAATCCCCTGTGGAGACCTTAGAGAAAGCCCTAGGACCCTGCCTCATTTTGACGGAATCCTCACATCCCGCTGACACCTCGAGAGGCACGCGGAGTTCAATGCTTCAAAAGGTGACGATGCCTGACTCCTCTTGAATACTTATAGGAATCCCAAAATCCCTGTGGCTACTGGAAAGGGTCCTTGGGTGCCCTGGCTCACCTCGAGAAGCGTCCCTTTTGCCCTGCCAAGCCTCGAAGAGATTGCTGACGTGTCCCTCGTTACTAGACAGGAGTCCTGACGTCACTGAAGAAACTCGTGTTTTGAAGGGCCATCCCCGCCGTAAGTCGAGAACATACCCCAGGTCCCCGCCGCAACTCGAGAAAAACCATGAGACTTCCCCCTAGAGGCGAGATGAGGCCCCATTCCCCTGCAGTGCATGCAGAGCTATTCCGTGATCCCATTCAAACAAGTCAGGAGCTTCGACTTGCTTAATGGATCTCGAGGCAGTCCCCAAGAACACTGTCACCAGTCTAGACGGACCCTGAGGTCACCCAGCAATGCAAAGCAGCTCCATGTGCCCCAAATCAACTCGAGATGAGGCCGGATTCCCCTGCATTGACTCCAGAGCCATTCCTTGTTCCCCATTCAACACGACCGGTGGCTCGACTTCTTTCAGGCAACTCCAGAGATGCCCCGAGAACACTGTCCCAAGTCTAGAGGAACACCAACTTCAGCACAGCAACACGAGGAATGCTCTGTGTACCCCAAATCGTCTCGAGATGAGAGCTGATTCCCTGGCTTAGGCTCAAGACGTATGCCAACTTTCCAGAAGCACCTCAGGAGGAGGCTTCTCAGCAATAGGTATGTGGGAGGGACTCCGAGTTTGCTGCCTCAAGGGGAATATACAGCGAGAAGCCCTAACTTGAAAGGAGGCCGGATTTCCTTGCAGTAGCTTGTATACAGGCTTGTCTTTCATCTCACAACATGAAGGGATGTCTGAATCCCCTGTGAAGACCTTAGAGAAAGCCCTAGGACCCTGCCTCATTTTGACGGAATGCCTCACATCCCGCTGACACCTCGAGAGGCACGCGGAGTTCATTGCTTCAAAAGGTGACGATGCCTGACTCCTCTTGAATACTGATAGGAATCCCAAAATCCCTGTGGCTACTGGAAAGGTTCCTTGGGTGCCATGGCTCACCTCGAGAAGCGTCCCTTTTGCCCTGCCAAGCCTCGAAGAGATTCCTGAGGTGTCCCTCGTTACTAGACAGGAGTCCTGACGTCACTGAAGAAACTCGTGTTTTGAAGGGCCATCCCCGCCGTAAGTCGAGAACATACCCCAGGTCCCCGCCGCAACTCGAGAAAAACCATGAGACTTCCCCCTAGAGGCGAGATGAGGCCCCATTCCCCTGCAGTGCATGCAGAGCTATTCCGTGATCCCATTCAAACAAGTCAGGAGCTTCGACTTGCTTAATGGATCTCGAGACAGTCCCCAAGAACACTGTCACCAGTCTAGACGGACCCTGAGGTCACCCCAGCAACGCAAAGCTGCTCCATGTGCCCCAAATCAACTCGAGATGAGGCCCGATTCCCCTGCATTGACTCCAGAGCCATTCCCCGTTCCCCATTCAACACGACCTGTGGCTCGACTTCCTTCAGGCAACTGCAGAGATGCCCCGAGAACACTGCCCCAAGTCTAGAGGAACACCAACTTTAGCACAGCAACTCGAGGAATGCTCCGTGTACCCCAAATCATCTCGAGATGAGAGCTGATTCTCTGGCTTAGGCTCAAGACGAATGCCAACTTTCCAGAAGCACCTCAGGAGGAGGCTTCTCTCAGCAATAGGTATGTGGGAGCGACCCCGAGTTTGCTGCCTCAAGGGGAATACACAGGGAGAAGCCCTAACGTGAACGGAGGCCAGATTTCCTTGCAGTGGGTTGAATAAAGGCTCGTCTTCGATCTGAAAACATGAAGGGATGTCTGAATTCCCTGTGGAGACCTTAGAGGAAGCCCTAGGTCCCTGCCTCATTTTGACGGAATACCTCACATCTCCCTGACACCTCGAGAGGCACCCAGAGTTCATTGCTTCAAAAGGTGACGATGCCTGACTCCTCTTGAATACTTATAGGAATCCCAAAATCCCTGTTGCTACTGGAAAGGGTCCTTGGGTGCCCTGGATCACCTCGAGAAGCGTCCCTTTTGCCCTGCCAAGCCTCGAAGAAATTGCTGAGGTGTCCCTCGTTACTAGACAGGAGTCCTGACGTCACGGAAGAAACTCGTGTTTTGAAGGGCCATCCCCGCCGTAAGTCGAGAACATACGCCAGGTCCCCGCCGCAACTCGAGAAAAACCATGAGACTTCCCCCTAGAGGCGAGATGAGGCCCCATTCCCCTGCAGTGCATGCAGAGCTATTCCGTGATCCCATTCAAACAAGTCAGGAGCTTCGACTTGCTTAATGGATCTCGAGACAGTCCCCAAGAACACTGTCACCAGTCTAGACGGACCCTGAGGTCACCCCAGCAACGCAAAGCAGCTCCATGTGCCCCAAATCAACTCGAGATGAGGCCCGATTCCCCTGCATTGACTCCAGAGCCATTCCCCGTTCCCCATTCAACACGACTGGTGGCTCGCTTTCCTTCAGGCAACTCCAGAGATGCCCTGAGAACACTGTCCCAAGTCTAGAGGAACACCAACTTCAGCACAGCAACTCGAGGAATGCTCTGTATACCCCAAATCGTCTCGAGATGAGAGCTGATTCCCTGGCTTAGGCTCAAGACGTATGCCACCTTTCCAGAAGCACCTCAGGAGGAGGCTTCTCAGCAATAGGTATGTGGGAGGGACTCCGAGTTTGCTGCCTCAAGGGGAATATACAGCGAGAAGCCCTAACTTGAAAGGAGGCCGGATTTCCTTGCAGTGGCTTGAATACAGGCTCGTCTTTCATCTCACAACATGAAGGAATGTCTGAATCCCCTGTGGAGACCTTAGAGAAAGCCCTAGGTCCCTGCCTCATTTTGACGGAATCCTCATATCCCGCTGACACCTCGAGAGGCACGCGGAGTTCATTGCTTCAAAAGGTGAAGATGCCTGACTCCTCTTGAATACTTATAGGAATCCCAAAATCCCTGTGGCTACTGGAAAGGGTCCTTGGGTGCCCTGGCTCACCTCGAGAAGCGTCCCTTTTGCCCTGCCAAGCCTCGAAGAGATTGCTGACGTGTCCCTCCTTACTAGACAGGAGTCCTGACGTCACGGAAGAAACTCGTGTTTTGAAGGGCCATCCCCGCCGTAAGTCGAGAACATACCCCAGGTTCCCGCCGCAACTCGAGAAAAACCATGAGACTTCCCCCTAGAGGCGAGATGAGGCCCCATTCCCCTGCAGTGCATGCAGAGCTATTCCGTGATCCCATTCAAACAAGTCAGGAGCTTCGACTTGCTTAATGGATCTCGAGACAGTCCCCAAGAACACTGTCACCAGTCTAGACGGACCCTGAGGTCACCCAGCAATGCCAAGCAGCTCCATGTGCTCCAAATCAACTCGAGATGAGGCCGGATTCCCCTGCATTGACTCCAGAGCCATTCCTTGTTCCCCATTCAACACGACCGGTGGCTCGACTTCCTTCAGGCAACTCTAGAGATGCCCCGAGAACACTGTCGCAAGTCTAGAGGAACACCAACTTCAGCACAGCAACTCGAGGAATGCTCTGTGTACCCCAAATCGTCTCGAGATGAGAGCTGATTCCCTGGCTTAGGCTCAAGACGTATGCCACTTTTCCAGAAACACCTCAGGAGGAGGCTTCTCTCAGCAATAGGTATGTGGGAGGGACCCCGAGTTTGCTGCCTCAAGGGGAATATACAGCGAGAAGTCCTAACTTGAAAGGAGGCCGGATTTCCTTGCAGTGGCTTGAATACCGGCTCGTCTTTCATCTCACAACATGAAGGGATGTCTGAATCCCCTGTGGAGACCTTAGAGAAAGCCCTAGGTCCCTGCCTCATTTTGACGGAATCCTCACATCCCGCTGACACCTCGAGAGGCACGCGGAGTTCATTGCTTCAAAAGGTGACGATGCCTGACTCCTCTTGAATACTTATAGGAATCCCAAAATCCCTGTGGCTACTTGAAAGGGTACTTGGGTGCCCTGGCTCACCTCGAGAAGCGTCCCTTTTGCCCTGCCAAGCCTCGAAGAGATTGCTGAGGTGTCCCTCGTTACTAGACAGGAGTCCTGACGTCACTGAAGAAACTCGTGTTTTGAAGGGCCATCCCCGCCGTAAGTCGAGAACATACCCCAGGTCCCCGCCGCAACTCGAGGAAAACCATGAGACTTCCCCCTAGAGGCGAGATGAGGCCCCATTCCCCTGCAGTGCATGCAGAGCTATTCCGTGATCCCATTCAAACACGTCAGGAGCTTCGACTTGCTTAATGGATCTCGAGACAGTCCCCAAGAACACTGTCACCAGTCTAGACGGACCCTGAGGTCACCCAGCAATGCAAAGCAGCTCCATGTGCCCCAAATCAACTCGAGATGAGGCCAGATTAACCTGCATTGACTCCAGAGCCATTCCCCGTTCCCCATTCAACACGACCGGTGGCTCGACTTCCTTCAGGCAACTCCAGAGATGCCCAGAGAACACTGTCCCAAGTCTAGAGGAACACCAACTTCAGCACAGCAACTCGAGGAATGCTCTGTGTACCTCAAATCGTCTCGAGATGAGAGCTGAATCCCTGGCTTAGGCTCAAGACGTATGCCACCTTTCCAGAAGCACCTCAGGAGGAGGCTTCTCTCAGCAATAGGTATGTGGGAGGGACCCCGAGTTTGCTGCCTCAAGGGGAATATACAGCGAGAAGCCCTAACTTGAAAGGAGGCCGGATTTCCTTGCAGTGGCTTGAATACTGGCTCGTCTTTCATCTCACAACATGAAGGGATGTCTGAATCCCCTGTGGAGACCTTAGAGAAAGCCCTAGGTCCCTGCCTCATTTTGACGGAAACCTCACATCCCGCTGACACCTCGAGAGTCACGCGGAGTTCATTGCTTCAAAAGGTGACGATGCCTGACTCCTCTTGAATACTGATAGGAATCCCATAATCACTGTGGCTACTGGAAAGGGTCCTTGGGTGCCCTGGCTCACCTCGAGAAGCGTCCCTTTTGCCCTGCCAAGCCTCAAAGAGATTCCTGAGGTGTCCCTCGTTACCAGGCAGGAGTCCTGACGTCACTGGAGAAACTCGTGTTTTGAAGGGCCATCCCCGCCGTAAGTCGAGAACATACCCCAGGGCCCCGCCGCAACTCGAGAAAAACCGTGAGACTTCCCCCTAGAGGCGAGATGAGGCCCCATTCCCCTGCAGTGCATGCAGAGCTATTCCGTGATCCCATTCAAACAAGTCAGGAGCTTCGACTTGCTTAATGGATCTCGAGACAGTCCCCAAGAACACTGTCACCAGTCTAGACGGACCCTGAGGTCACCCAGCAATGCAAAGCAGCTCCATGTGCCCGAAATCAACTCGAGATGAGGCCGGATTCCCCTGCATTGACTCCAGAGCCATTCCTTGTTCCCCATTCAACACGACCGGTGGCTCGACTTCCTTCAGGCAACTCCAGAGATGCCTCGAGAACACTATCCCAAGTCTAGAGGACCACCAACTTCAGCAGAGCAACTCGAGGAATGCTCTGTGTACCCCAAATCGTCTCGAGATGAGAGCTGATTCCCTGGCTTAGGCTCAAGACGTATGCCACCTTTCCAGAAGCACCTCAGGAGGAGGCTTCTCTCAGCAATAGGTATGTGGGAGGGACCCCGAGTTTGCTGCCTCAAGGGGAATATACAGCGAGAAGCCCTAACTTGAAAGGAGGCCGGATTTCCTTGCAGTGGCTTGAATACAGGCTCGTCTTTCATCTCACAACATGAAGGGATGTCTGAATCCCCTGTGGAGACCTTAGAGAAAGCCCTAGGACCCTGCCTCATTTTGACGGAATCCTCACATCCCGCTGACACCTCGAGAGGCACGCGGAGTTCAATGCTTCAAAAGGTGACGATGCCTGACTCCTCTTGAATACTTATAGGAATCCCAAAATCCCTGTGGCTACTGGAAAGGGTCCTTGGGTGCCCTGGCTCACCTCGAGAAGCGTCCCTTTTGCCCTGCCAAGCCTCGAAGAGATTGCTGACGTGTCCCTCGTTACTAGACAGGAGTCCTGACGTCACTGAAGAAACTCGTGTTTTGAAGGGCCATCCCCGCCGTAAGTCGAGAACATACCCCAGGTCCCCGCCGCAACTCGAGAAAAACCATGAGACTTCCCCCTAGAGGCGAGATGAGGCCCCATTCCCCTGCAGTGCATGCAGAGCTATTCCGTGATCCCATTCAAACAAGTCAGGAGCTTCGACTTGCTTAATGGATCTCGAGGCAGTCCCCAAGAACACTGTCACCAGTCTAGACGGACCCTGAGGTCACCCAGCAATGCAAAGCAGCTCCATGTGCCCCAAATCAACTCGAGATGAGGCCGGATTCCCCTGCATTGACTCCAGAGCCATTCCTTGTTCCCCATTCAACACGACCGGTGGCTCGACTTCTTTCAGGCAACTCCAGAGATGCCCCGAGAACACTGTCTCAAGTCTAGAGGAACACCAACTTCAGCACAGCAACACGAGGAATGCTCTGTGTACCCCAAATCGTCTCGAGATGAGAGCTGATTCCCTGGCTTAGGCTCAAGACGTATGCCAACTTTCCAGAAGCACCTCAGGAGGAGGCTTCTCAGCAATAGGTATGTGGGAGGGACTCCGAGTTTGCTGCCTCAAGGGGAATATACAGCGAGAAGCCCTAACTTGAAAGGAGGCCGGATTTCCTTGCAGTAGCTTGTATACAGGCTTGTCTTTCATCTCACAACATGAAGGGATGTCTGAATCCCCTGTGAAGACCTTAGAGAAAGCCCTAGGACCCTGCCTCATTTTGACGGAATGCCTCACATCCCGCTGACACCTCGAGAGGCACGCGGAGTTCATTGCTTCAAAAGGTGACGATGCCTGACTCCTCTTGAATACTGATAGGAATCCCAAAATCCCTGTGGCTACTGGAAAGGGTCCTTGGGTGCCCTGCCTCACCTCGAGAAGCGTCCCTTTTGCACTGCCAAGCCTCGAAGAGATTCCTGAGTTGTCCCTCGTTACTAGGCAGGAGTCCTGACGTCACTGGAGAAACTCGTGTTTTGAAGGGCCATCCCCGCCGTAAGTCGAGAACATACCCCAGGTCCCCGCCGCAACTCGAGAAAAACCATGAGACTTCCCCCTAGAGGCGAGATGAGGCCCCATTCCCCTGCAGTGCATGCAGAGCTATTCCGTGATCCCATTCAAACAAGTCAGGAGCTTCGACTTGCTTAATGGATCTCGAGACAGTCCCCAAGAACACTGTCACCAGTCTAGACGGACCCTGAGGTCACCCCAGCAACGCAAAGCTGCTCCATGTGCCCCAAATCAACTCGAGATGAGGCCCGATTCCCCTGCATTGACTCCAGAGCCATTCCCCGTTCCCCATTCAACACGACCTGTGGCTCGACTTCCTTCAGGCAACTGCAGAGATGCCCCGAGAACACTGCCCCAAGTCAAGAGGAACACCAACTTTAGCACAGCAACTCGAGGAATGCTCCGTGTACCCCAAATCATCTCGAGATGAGAGCTGATTCTCTGGCTTAGGCTCAAGACGAATGCCAACTTTCCAGAAGCACCTCAGGAGGAGGCTTCTCTCAGCAATAGGTATGTGGGAGCGACCCCGAGTTTGCTGCCTCAAGGGGAATACACAGGGAGAAGCCCTAACGTGAACGGAGGCCAGATTTCCTTGCAGTGGGTTGAATAAAGGCTCGTCTTCGATCTGAAAACATGAAGGGATGTCTGAATTCCCTGTGGAGACCTTAGAGGAAGCCCTAGGTCCCTGCCTCATTTTGACGGAATACCTCACATCTCCCTGACACCTCGAGAGGCACGCAGAGTTCATTGCTTCAAAAGGTGACGATGCCTGACTCCTCTTGAATACTTATAGGAATCCCAAAATCCCTGTTGCTACTGGAAAGGGTCCTTGGGTGCCCTGGATCACCTCGAGAAGCGTCCCTTTTGCCCTGCCAAGCCTCGAAGAAATTGCTGAGGTGTCCCTCGTTACTAGACAGGAGTCCTGACGTCACGGAAGAAACTCGTGTTTTGAAGGGCCATCCCCGCCGTAAGTCGAGAACATACGCCAGGTCCCCGCCGCAACTCGAGAAAAACCATGAGACTTCCCCCTAGAGGCGAGATGAGGCCCCATTCCCCTGCAGTGCATGCAGAGCTATTCCGTGATCCCATTCAAACAAGTCAGGAGCTTCGACTTGCTTAATGGATCTCGAGACAGTCCCCAAGAACACTGTCACCAGTCTAGACGGACCCTGAGGTCACCCCAGCAACGCAAAGCAGCTCCATGTGCCCCAAATCAACTCGAGATGAGGCCCGATTCCCCTGCATTGACTCCAGAGCCATTCCCCGTTCCCCATTCAACACGACTGGTGGCTCGCTTTCCTTCAGGCAACTCCAGAGATGCCCCGAGAACACTGTCCCAAGTCTAGAGGAACACCAACTTCAGCACAGCAACTCGAGGAATGCTCTGTATACCCCAAATCGTCTCGAGATGAGAGCTGATTCCCTGGCTTAGGCTCAAGACGTATGCCACCTTTCCAGAAGCACCTCAGGAGGAGGCTTCTCAGCAATAGGTATGTGGGAGGGACTCCGAGTTTGCTGCCTCAAGGGGAATATACAGCGAGAAGCCCTAACTTGAAAGGAGGCCGGATTTCCTTGCAGTGGCTTGAATACAGGCTCGTCTTTAATCTCACAACATGAAGGGATGTCTGAATCCCCTGTGGAGACCTTAGAGAAAGCCCTAGGTCCCTGCCTCATTTTGACGGAATCCTCATATCCCGCTGACACCTCGAGAGGCACGCGGAGTTCATTGCTTCAAAAGGTGAAGATGCCTGACTCCTCTTGAATACTTATAGGAATCCCAAAATCCCTGTGGCTACTGGAAAGGGTCCTTGGGTGCCCTGGCTCACCTCGAGAAGCGTCCCTTTTGCCCTGCCAAGCCTCGAAGAGATTGCTGACGTGTCCCTCGTTACTAGACAGGAGTCCTGACGTCACGGAAGAAACTCGTGTTTTGAAGGGCCATCCCCGCCGTAAGTCGAGAACATACCCCAGGTTCCCGCCGCAACTCGAGAAAAACCATGAGACTTCCCCCTAGAGGCGAGATGAGGCCCCATTCCCCTGCAGTGCATGCAGAGCTATTCCGTGATCCCATTCAAACAAGTCAGGAGCTTCAACTTGCTTAATGGATCTCGAGACAGTCCCCAAGAACACTGTCACCAGTCTAGACGGACCCTGAGGTCACCCAGCAATGCCAAGCAGCTCCATGTGCCCCAAATCAACTCGAGATGAGGCCGGATTCCCCTGCATTGACTCCAGAGCCATTCCTTGTTCCCCATTCAACACGACCGGTGGCTCGACTTCCTTCAGGCAACTCTAGAGATGCCCCGAGAACACTGTCGCAAGTCTAGAGGAACACCAACTTCAGCACAGCAACTCGAGGAATGCTCTGTGTACCCCAAATCGTCTCGAGATGAGAGCTGATTCCCTGGCTTAGGCTCAAGACGTATGCCACTTTTCCAGAAACACCTCAGGAGGAGGCTTCTCTCAGCAATAGGTATGTGGGAGGGACCCCGAGTTTGCTGCCTCAAGGGGAATATACAGCGAGAAGTCCTAACTTGAAAGGAGGCCGGATTTCCTTCCAGTGGCTTGAATACCGGCTCGTCTTTCATCTCACAACATGAAGGGATGTCTGAATCCCCTGTGGAGACCTTAGAGAAAGCCCTAGGTCCCTGCCTCATTTTGACGGAATCCTCACATCCCGCTGACACCTAGAGAGGCACGCGGAGTTCATTGCTTCAAAAGGTGACGATGCCTGACTCATCTTGAATACTTATAGGAATCCCAAAATCCCTGTGGCTACTTGAAAGGGTACTTGGGTGCCCTGGCTCACCTCGAGAAGCGTCCCTTTTGCCCTGCCAAGCCTCGAAGAGATTGCTGAGGTGTCCCTCGTTACTAGACAGGAGTCCTGACGTCACTGAAGAAACTCGTGTTTTGAAGGGCCATCCCCGCCGTAAGTCGAGAACATACCCCAGGTCCCCGCCGCAACTCGAGGAAAACCATGAGACTTCCCCCTAGAGGCGAGATGAGGCCCTATTCCCCTGCAGTGCATGCAGAGCTATTCCGTGATCCCATTCAAACACGTCAGGAGCTTCGACTTGCTTAATGGATCTCGAGACAGTCCCCAAGAACACTGTCACCAGTCTAGACGGACCCTGAGGTCACCCAGCAATGCAAAGCAGCTCCATGTGCCCCAAATCAACTCGAGATGAGGCCAGATTAACCTGCATTGACTCCAGAGCCATTCCCCGTTCCCCATTCAACACGACCGGTGGCTCGACTTCCTTCAGGCAACTCCAGAGATGCCCAGAGAACACTGTCCCAAGTCTAGAGGAACACCAACTTCAGCACAGCAACTCGAGGAATGCTCTGTGTACCTCAAATCGTCTCGAGATGAGAGCTGAATCCCTGGCTTAGGCTCAAGACGTATGCCACCTTTCCAGAAGCACCTCAGGAGGAGGCTTCTCTCAGCAATAGGTATGTGGGAGGGACCCCGAGTTTGCTGCCTCAAGGGGAATATACAGCGAGAAGCCCTAACTTGAAAGGAGGCCGGATTTCCTTGCAGTGGCTTGAATACAGGCTCGTCTTTCATCTCACAACATGAAGGGATGTCTGAATCCCCTGTGGAGACCTTAGAGAAAGCCCTAGGTCCCTGCCTCATTTTGACGGAAAGCTCACATCCCGCTGACACCTCGAGAGTCACCCGGAGTTCATTGCTTCAAAAGGTGACGATGCCTGACTCCTCTTGAATATTTATAGGAATCCCAAAATCCCTGTGGCTACTGGAAAGGGTCCTTGGGTGCCCTGGCTCACCTCGAGAAGCGTCCCTTTTGCCCTGCCAAGCCTCGAAGAGATTGCTGAGGTGTCCCTCGTTACTAGACAGGAGTCCTGACGTCACGGAAGAAACTCGTGTTTTGAAGGGCCATCCCCGCCGTAAGTCGAGAACATACCCCAGGTCCCCGCCGCAACTCGAGAAAAACCATGAGACTTCCCCCTAGAGGCTAGATGAGGCCCCATTCCCCTGCAGTGCATGCAGAGCTATTCCGTGATCCCATTCAAACAAGTCAGGAGCTTCGACTTGCTTAATGGATCTCGAGACAGTCCCCAAGAACACTGTCACCAGTCTAGACGGACCCTGAGGTCACCCAGCAATGCAAAGCAGATCCATGTGCCCCAAATCAACTCGAGATGAGGCCGGATTAACCTGCATTGACTCCAGAGCCATTCCTTGTTCCCCATTCAACACGACCGGTGGCTCGACTTCCTTCAGGCAACTCCAGAGATGCCCCGAGAACACTGTCGCAAGTCTAGAGGAACACCAACTTCAGCACAGCAACTCGAGGAATGCTCTGTGTACCCCAAATCGTCTCGAGATGAGAGCTGATTCCCTGGCTTAGGCTCAAGACGTATGCCACCTTTCCAGAAACACCTCAGGAGGAGGCTTCTCTCAGCAATAGGTATGTGGGAGGGACCCCGAGTTTGCTGCCTCAAGGGGAATATACAGCGAGAAGTCCTAACTTGAAAGGAGGCCGGATTTCCTTGCAGTGGCTTGAATACCGGCTCGTCTTTCATCTCACAACATGAAGGGATGTCTGAATCCCCTGTGGAGACCTTAGAGAAAGCCCTAGGTCCCTGCCTCATTTTGACGGAATCCTCACATCCCGCTGACACCTCGAGAGGCACGCGGAGTTCATTGCTTCAAAAGGTGACGATGCCTGACTCCTCTTGAATACTTATAGGAATCCCAAAATCCCTGTGGCTACTTGAAAGGGTACTTGGGTGCCCTGGCTCACCTCGAGAAGCGTCCCTTTTGCCCTGCCAAGCCTCGAAGAGATTGCTGAGGTGTCCCTCGTTACTAGACAGGAGTCCTGACGTCACTGAAGAAACTCGTGTTTTGAAGGGCCATCCCCGCCGTAAGTCGAGAACATACCCCAGGTCCCCGCCGCAACTCGAGGAAAACCATGAGACTTCCCCCTAGAGGCGAGATGAGGCCCCATTCCCCTGCAGTGCATGCAGAGCTATTCCGTGATCCCATTCAAACACGTCAGGAGCTTCGACTTGCTTAATGGATCTCGAGACAGTCCCCAAGAACACTGTCACCAGTCTAGACGGACCCTGAGGTCACCCCAGCAACGCAAAGCAGCTCCATGTGCCCCAAATCAACTCGAGATGAGGCCCGATTCCCCTGCATTGACTCCAGAGCCATTCCCCGTTCCCCATTCAACACGACTGGTGGCTCGCTTTCCTTCAGGCAACTCCAGAGATGCCCCGAGAACACTGTCCCAAGTCTAGAGGAACACCAACTTCAGCACAGCAACTCGAGGAATGCTCTGTGTACCCCAAATCGTCTCGAGATGAGAGCTGATTCCCTGGCTTAGGCTCAAGACGTATGCCAACTTTCCAGAAGCACCTCAGGAGGAGGCTTCTCAGCAATAGGTATGTGGGAGGGACTCCGAGTTTGCTGCCTCAAGGGGAATATACAGCGAGAAGCCCTAACTTGAAAGGAGGCCGGATTTCCTTGCAGTAGCTTGAATACAGGCTTGTCTTTCATCTCACAACATGAAGGGATGTCTGAATCCCCTGTGAAGACCTTAGAGAAAGCCCTAGGACCCTGCCTCATTTTGACGGAATGCCTCACATCCTGCTGACAACTCGAGAGTCACGCGGAGTTCATTGCTTCAAAAGGTGACGATGCCTGACTCCTCTTGAATACTGATAAGAATCCCAAAATCCCTGTGGCTACTGGAAAGGTTCCTTGGGTACCCTGGCTCACCTCGAGAAGCGTCCCTTTTGCCCTGCCAAGCCTCGAAGAGATTCCTGAGGTGTCCCTCGTTACTAGACAGGAGTCCTGACGTCACTGAAGAAACTCGTGTTTTGAAGGGCCATCCCCGCAGTAAGTCGAGAACATACCCCAGGTCACCGCCGCAACTCGAGAAAAACCATGAGACTTCCCCCTAGAGGCGAGATGAGGCCCCATTCCCCTGCAGTGCATGCAGAGCTATTCCGTGATCCCATTCAAACAAGTCAGGAGCTTCGACTTGCTTAATGGATCTCGAGACAGTCCCCAAGAACACTGTCACCAGTCTACACGGACCCTGAGGTCACCCCAGCAACGCAAAGCTGCTCCATGTGCCCCAAATCAACTCGAGATGAGGTCCGATTCCCCTGCATTGACTCCAGAGCCATTCCCCGTTCCCCATTCAACACGACCGGTGGCTCGACTTCCTTCAGGCAACTGCAGAGATGCCCCGAGAACACTGCCCCAAGTCTAGAGGAACACCAACTTCAGCACAGCAACTCGAGGAATGCTCCGTGTACCCCAAATCATCTAGAGATGAGAGCTGATTCTCTGGCTTAGGCTCAAGACGTATGCCAACTTTCCAGAAGCACCTCAGGAGGAGGCTTCTCTCAGCAATAGGTATGTGGGAGCGACCCCGAGTTTGCTGCCTCAAGGGGAATACACAGGGAGAAGCCCTAACGTGAACGGAGGCCAGATTTCCTTGCAGTGGGTTGAATAAAGGCTCGTCTTCGATCTGAAAACATGAAGGGATGTCTGAATCCCCTGTGGAGACCTTAGAGGAAGCCCTAGGTCCCTGCCTCATTTTGACGGAATACCTCACATCCCCCTGACACCTCGAGAGGCACGCAGAATTCATTGCTTCAAAAGGTAACGATGCCTGACTCCTCTGAATACTTATAGGAATCCCAAAATCACTGTTGCTACTGGAAAGGGTCCTTGGGTGCCCTGCCTCACCTCGAGAAGCGTCCCTTTTGCCCTGCCAAGCCTCGAAGAAATTGCTGAGGTGTCCCTCGTTACTAGACAGGAGTCCTGACGTCACGGAAGAAACTCGTGTTTTGAAGGGCCATCCCCGCCGTAAGTCGAGAACATACCCCAGGTCCCCGCCGCAACTCGAGAAAAACCATGAGACTTCCCCCTAGAGGCAAGATGAGGCCCCATTCCCCTGCAGTGCATGCAGAGCTATTCCGTGATCCCATTCAAACAAGTCAGGAGCTTCGACTTGCTTAATGGATCTCGAGACAGTCCCCAAGAACACTGTCACCAGTCTAGACGGACCCTGAGGTCACCACAGCAACGCAAAGCAGCTCCATGTGCCCCAAATCAACTCGAGATGAGGCCCGATTCCCCTGCATTGACTCCAGAGCCATTCCCCGTTCCCCATTCAACACGAACAGAGGCTCGCCTTCCTTCAGGCAACTCCAGAGATGCCCCGAGAACACTGTCCCAAGTCTAGAGGAACACCAACTTCAGCACAGCAACTCGAGGAATGCTCTGTGTACCCCAAATCGTCTCGAGATGAGAGCTGATTCCCTGGCTTAGGCTCAAGACGTATGCCAACTTTCCAGAAGCACCTCAGGAGGAGGCTTCTCAGCAATAGGTATGTGGGAGGGACTCCGAGTTTGCTGCCTCAAGGGGAATATACAGCGAGAAGCCCTAACTTGAAAGGAGGCCGGATTTCCTTGCAGTGGCTTGAATACAGGCTCGTCTTTCATCTCACAACATGAAGGGATGTCTGAATCCCCTGTGGAGGCCTTAGAGAAAGCCCTAGGTCCCTGCCTCATTTTGACGGAATGCCTCACATCCCGCTGACACCTCGAGAGGCACGCGGAGTTCATTGCTTCAAAAGGTGACGATGCCTGACTCCTCTTGAATACTGATAGGAATCCCAAAATCCCTGTGGCTACTGGAAAGGGTCCTTGGGTGCCCTGCCTCACCTCGAGAAGCGTCCCTTTTGCCCTGCCAAGACTCGAAGAGATTCCTGAGGTGTCACTCGTTACTAGGCAGGAGTCCTGACCTCACTGAAGAAAGTCGTGTTTTGAAGGGCCATCCCTGCCTTAAGTCGAGAACATACCCCAGGTCCCCGCCGCAACTCGAGAAAAACCATGAGACTTCCCCCTAGAGGCGAGATGAGGCCCCATTCCCCTGCAGTGCATGCAGAGCTATTCCGGGATCCCATTCAAACAAGTCAGGAGCTTCGACTTGCTTAATGGATCTCGAGACAGTCCCCAAGAACACTGTCACCAGTCTAGACGGACCCTGAGGTCACCCAGCAATGCAAAGCAGCTCCATGTGCCCCAAATCAACTCGAGATGAGGCCCGATTCCCCTGCATTGACTCCAGAGCCATTCCCCGTTCCCCATTCAACACGACCCGTGGCTCGACTTCCTTAAGGCAACTCCAGGGATGCCCCGAGAACACTTTCCCAAGTCTAGAGGAACACCAACTTCAGCACAGCAACTCGAGGAATGCTCTGTGTACCCCAAATCGTCTCAAGATGAGAGCTGATTCCCTGGCTTAGGCTCAAGACGTATGCCACCTTTCCAGAAGCACCTCAGGAGCAGGCTTCTCTCAGCAATAGGTATGTGGGAGGGACCCCGAGTTTGCTGCCTCAAGGGGAATATACAGCGAGAAGCCCTAACTTGAAAGGAGGCCGGATTTCCTTGCAGTGGCTTGAATACTGGCTCGTCTTTCATCTCACAACATGAAGGGATGTCTGAATCCCCTGTGGAGACCTTAGAGAAAGCCCTAGGTCCCTGCCTCATTTTGACGGAATGCCTCACATCCCGCTGACACCTCGAGAGGCACGCGGAGTTCATTGCTTCAAAAGGTGACGATGCCTGACTACTCTTGAATACTGATAGGAATCCCAAAATCCCTGTGGCTACTGGAAAGGGTCCTTGGGTGCCCTGCCTCACCTCGAGAAGCGTCCCTTTTGCCCTGCCAAGCCTCGAAGAGATTCCTGAGGTGTCCCTCGTTACTAGGCAGGAGTCCTGACGTCACTGGAGAAACTCGTGTTTTGAAGGGCCATCCCCGCCGTAAGTCGAGAACATACCCCAGGTCCCCGCCGCAACTCGAGAAAAACCATGAGACTTCCCCCTAGAGGCGAGATGAGGCCCCATTCCCCTGCAGTGCATGCAGAGCTATTCCGTGATCCCATTCAAACAAGTCAGGAGCTTCGACTTGCTTAATGGATCTCGAGACAGTCCCCAAGAACACTGTCACCAGTCTAGACGGACCCTGAGGTCACCCAGCAATGCAAAGCAGCTCCATGTGCCCCAAATCAACTCGAGATGAGGCCGGATTCCCCTGCATTGACTCCAGAGCCATTCCTTGTTCCCCATTCAACACGACCGGTGGCTCGACTTCCTTCAGGCAACTCCAGAGATGCCTCGAGAGCACTATCCCAAGTCTAGAGGAACACCAACTTCAGCAGAGCAACTCGAGGAATGCTCTGTGTACCCCAAATCGTCTCGAGATGAGAGCTGATTCCCTGGCTTAGGCTCAAGACGTATGCCACCTTTCCAGAAGCACCTCAGGAGGAGGCTTCTCTCAGCAATAGGTATGTGGGAGGGACCCCGAGTTTGCTGCCTCAAGGGGAATATACAGCGAGAAGCCCTAACTTGAAAGGAGGCCGGATTTCCTTGCAGTGGCTTGAATACAGGCTCGTCTTTCATCTCACAACATGAAGGGATGTCTGAATCCCCTGTGGAGACCTTAGAGAAAGCCCTAGGTCCCTGCCTCATTTTGACGGAATCCTCACATCCCGCTGACACCTCGAGAGGCACGCGGAGTTCATTGCTTCAAAAGGTGACGATGCCTGACTCATCTTGAATACTTATAGGAATCCCAAAATCCCTGTGGCTACTGGAAAGGGTCCTTGGGTGCCCTGGCTCACCTCGAGAAGCGTCCCTTTTGCCCTGCCAAGCCTCGAAGAGATTGCTGACGTGTCCCTCGTTACTAGACAGGAGTCCTGACGTCACTGAAGAAACTCGTGTTTTGAAGGGCCATCCCCGCCGTAAGTCGAGAACATACCCCAGGTCCCCGCCGCAACTCGAGAAAAACCATGAGACTTCCCCCTAGAGGCGAGATGAGGCCCCATTCCCCTGCAGTGCATGCAGAGCTATTCCGTGATCCCATTCAAACAAGTCAGGAGCTTCGACTTGCTTAATGGATCTCGAGACAGTCCCCAAGAACACTGTCACCAGTCTAGACGGACCCTGAGGTCACCCCAGCAACGCAAAGCAGCTCCATGTGCCCCAAATCAACTCGAGATGAGGCCCGATTCCCCTGCATTGACTCCAGAGCCATTCCCCGTTCCCCATTCAACACGACCGGTGGCTCGACTTCCTTCAGGCAACTGCAGAGATGCCCCGAGAACACTGCCCCAAGTCTAGAGGAACACCAACTTCAGCACAGCAACTCGAGGAATGCTCCGTGTACCCCAAATCATCTCGAGATGAGAGCTGATTCTCTGGCTTAGGCTCAAGACGTATGCCACCTTTCCAGAAGCACCTCAGGAGGAGGCTTCTCTCAGCAATAGGTATGTGGGAGCGACCCCGAGTTTGCTGCCTCAAGGGGAATACACAGGGAGAAGCCCTAACGTGAACGGAGGCCAGATTTCCTTGCAGTGGGTTGAATAAAGGCTCGTCTTCGATCTGAAAACATGAAGGGATGTCTGAATTCCCTGTGGAGACCTTAGAGGAAGACCTAGGTCCCTGCCTCATTTTGACGGAATACCTCACATCCCCCTGACACCTCGAGAGGCACGCAGAGTTCATTGCTTCAAAAGGTGACGATGCCTGACTCCTCTTGAATACTTATAGGAATCCCAAAATCCCTGTTGCTACTGGAAAGGGTCCTTGGGTGCCCTGGCTCACCTCGAGAAGCGTCCCTTTTGCCCTGCCAAGCCTCGAAGAAATTGCTGAGGTGTCCCTCATTACTAGACAGGAGTCCTGACGTCACGGAAGAAACTCGTGTTTTGAAGGGCCATCCCCGCCGTAAGTTGAGAACATAACCCAGGTCCCCGCCGCAACTCGAGAAAAACCATGAGACTTCCCCCTAGAGGCGAGATGAGGCCCCATTCCCCTGCAGTGCATGCAGAGCTATTCCGTGATCCCATTCAAACAAGTCAGGAGCTTCGACTTGCTTAATGGATCTCGAGGCAGTCCCCAAGAACACTGTCACCAGTCTAGACGGACCCTGAGGTCACCCAGCAATGCAAAGCAGCTCCATGTGCCCCAAATCAACTCGAGATGAGGCCGGATTCCCCTGCATTGACTCCAGAGCCATTCCTTGTTCCCCATTCAACACGACCGGTGGCTCGACTTCTTTCAGGCAACTCCAGAGATGCCCCGAGAACACTGTCCCAAGTCTAGAGGACCACCAACTTCAGCACAGCAACTCGAGAAATGCTCTGTGTACCCCAAATCGTCTCGAGATGAGAGCTGAATCCCTGGCTTAGGCTCAAGACGTATGCCACCTTTCCAGAAGCACCTCAGGAGGAGGCTTCTCTCAGCAATAGGTATGTGGGAGGGACCCCGAGTTTGCTGCCTCAAGGGGAATATACAGCGAGAAGCCCTAACTTGAAAGGAGGCCGGATTTCCTTGCAGTGGCTTGAATACAGGCTCGTCTTTGATCTGACAACATGAAGGGATGTCTGAATCCCCTGTGGAGACCTTAGAGGAAGCCCTAGGTCCCTGGCTCATTTTGACGGAATCCTCATATCCCGCTGACACCTCGAGAGGCACGCGGAGTTCATTGCTTCAAAAGGTGACGATGCCTGACTCCTCTTGCATACTTATAGGAATCCCAAAATCCCTGTGGCTACTGGAAAGGGTCCTTGGGTGCCCTGGCTCACCTCGAGAAGCGTCCCTTTTGCCCTGCCAAGCCTCAAAGAGATTGCTGAGGTGTCCCTCGTTACTAGACAGGAGTCCTGACGTCACTGAAGAAACTCGTGTTTTGAAGGGCCATCCCCGCCGTAAGTCGAGAACATACCCCAGGTCCCCGCCGCAACTCGAGAAAAACCATGAGACTTCCCCCTAGAGGCGAGATGAGGCCCCATTCCCCTGCAGTGCATGCAGAGCTATTCCGTGATCCCATTCAAACAAGTCAGGAGCTTCGACTTGCTTAATGGATCTCGAGAGAGTCCCCAAGAACACTGTCACCAGTCTAGACGGACCCTGAGGTCACCCAGCAATGCAAAGCAGCTCCATGTGCCCCAAATCAACTCGAGATGAGGCCGGATTCCCCTGCATTGACTCCAGAGCCATTCCTTGTTCCCCATTCAACACGACCGGTGGCTCGACTTCCTTCAGGCAACTCCAGAGATGCCTCGAGAACACTGTCCCTAGTCTAGAGGACCACCAACTTCAGCAGAGCAACTCGAGGAATGCTCTGTGTACCCCAAATCGTCTCGAGATGAGAGCTGAATCCCTGGCTTAGGCTCAAGACCTATGCCACCTTTCCAGAAGCACCTCAGGAGGAGGCTTCTCTCAGCAATAGGTATGTGGGAGGGACCCCGAGTTTGCTGCCTCAAGGGGAATATACAGCGAGAAGCCCTAACTTGAAAGGAGGCCGGATTTCCTTGCAGTGGCTTGAATACAGGCTCGTCTTTCATCTCACAACATGAAGGGATGTCTGAATCCCCTGTGGAGACCTTAGAGAAAGCCCTAGGTCCCTGCCTCATTTTGACGGAATCCTCACATCCCGCTGACACCTCGAGAGGCACGCGGAGTTCATTGCTTCAAAAGGTGACGATGGCTGACTCATCTTGAATACTTATAGGAATCCCAAAATCCCTGTGGCTACTGGAAAGGGTCCTTGGGTGCCCTGGCTCACCTCGAGAAGCGTCCCTTTTGCCCTGCCAAGCCTCGAAGAGATTGCTGACGTGTCCCTCGTTACTAGACAGGAGTCCTGACGTCACTGAAGAAACTCGTGTTTTGAAGGGCCATCCCCGCCGTAAGTCGAGAACATACCCCAGGTCCCCGCCGCAACTCGAGAAAAACCATGAGACTTCCCCCTAGAGGCGAGATGAGGCCCCATTCCCCTGCAGTGCATGCAGAGCTATTCCGTGATCCCATTCAAACAAGTCAGGAGCTTCGACTTGCTTAATGGATCTCGAGACAGTCCCCAAGAACACTGTCACCAGTCTAGACGGACCCTGAGGTCACCCCAGCAACGCAAAGCAGCTCCATGTGCCCCAAATCAACTCGAGATGAGGCCCGATTCCCCTGCATTGACTCCAGAGCCATTCCCCGTTCCCCATTCAACACGACCGGTGGCTCGACTTCCTTCAGGCAACTGCAGAGATGCCCCGAGAACACTGCCCCAAGTCTAGAGGAACACCAACTTCAGCACAGCAACTCGAGGAATGCTCCGTGTACCCCAAATCATCTCGAGATGAGAGCTGATTCTCTGGCTTAGGCTCAAGACGTATGCCACCTTTCCAGAAGCACCTCAGGAGGAGGCTTCTCTCAGCAATAGGTATGTGGGAGCGACCCCGAGTTTGCTGCCTCAAGGGGAATACACAGGGAGAAGCCCTAACGTGAACGGAGGCCAGATTTCCTTGCAGTGGGTTGAATAAAGGCTCGTCTTCGATCTGAAAACATGAAGGGATGTCTGAATTCCCTGTGGAGACCTTAGAGGAAACCCTAGGTCCCTGCCTCATTTTGACGGAATACCTCACATCCCCCTGACACCTCGAGAGGCACGCAGAGTTCATTGCTTCAAAAGGTGACGATGCCTGACTCCTCTTGAATACTTATAGGAATCCCAAAATCCCTGTTGCTACTGGAAAGGGTCCTTGGGTGCCCTGCCTCACCTCGAGAAGCGTCCCTTTTGCCCTGCCAAGCCTCGAAGAAATTGCTGAGGTGTCCCTCATTACTAGACAGGAGTCCTGACGTCACGGAAGAAACTCGTGTTTTGAAGGGCCATCCCCGCCGTAAGTTGAGAACATAACCCAGGTCCCCGCCGCAACTCGAGAAAAACCATGAGACTTCCCCCTAGAGGCGAGATGAGGCCCCATTCCCCTGCAGTGCATGCAGAGCTATTCCGTGATCCCATTCAAACAAGTCAGGAGCTTCGACTTGCTTAATGGATCTCGAGGCAGTCCCCAAGAACACTGTCACCAGTCTAGACGGACCCTGAGGTCACCCAGCAATGCAAAGCAGCTCCATGTGCCCCAAATCAACTCGAGATGAGGCCGGATTCCCCTGCATTGACTCCAGAGCCATTCCTTGTTCCCCATTCAACACGACCGGTGGCTCGACTTCTTTCAGGCAACTCCAGAGATGCCCCGAGAACACTGTCCCAAGTCTAGAGGACCACCAACTTCAGCACAGCAACTCGAGAAATGCTCTGTGTACCCCAAATCGTCTCGAGATGAGAGCTGAATCCCTGGCTTAGGCTCAAGACGTATGCCACCTTTCCAGAAGCACCTCAGGAGGAGGCTTCTCTCAGCAATAGGTATGTGGGAGGGACCCCGAGTTTGCTGCCTCAAGGGGAATATACAGCAAGAAGCCCTAACTTGAAAGGAGGCCGGATTTCCTTGCAGTGGCTTGAATACAGGCTCGTCTTTGATCTGACAACATGAAGGGATGTCTGAATCCCCTGTGGAGACCTTAGAGGAAGCCCTAGGTCCCTGGCTCATTTTGACGGAATCCTCATATCCTGCTGACACCTCGAGAGGCACGCGGAGTTCATTGCTTCAAAAGGTGACGATGCCTGACTCCTCTTGCATACTTATAGGAATCCCAAAATCCCTGTGGCTACTGGAAAGGGTCCTTGGGTGCCCTGCCTCACCTCGAGAAGCGTCCCTTTTGCCCTGCCAAGCCTCGAAGAGATTGCTGAGGTGTCCCTCGTTACTAGACAGGAGTCCTGACGTCACGGAAGAAACTCGTGTTTTGAAGGGCCATCCCCGCCGTAAGTCGAGAACATACCCCAGGTCCCCGCCGCAACTCGAGAAAAACCATGAGACTTCCCCCTAGAGGCGAGATGAGGCCCCATTCCCCTGCAGTGCATGCAGAGCTATTCCGTGATCCCATTCAAACAAGTCAGGAGCTTCGACTTGCTTAATGGATCTCGAGAGAGTCCCCAAGAACACTGTCACCAGTCTAGACGGACCCTGAGGTCACCCAGCAATGCAAAGCAGCTCCATGTGCCCCAAATCAACTCGAGATGAGGCCGGATTCCCCTGCATTGACTCCAGAGCCATTCCTTGTTCCCCATTCAACACGACCGGTGGCTCGACTTCCTTCAGGCAACTCCAGAGATGCCCCGAGAACACTCTCCCAAGTCTAGAGGAACACCTACTTCAGCACAGCAACTCGAGGAATGCTCTGTGTACCCCAAATCGTCTCGAGATGAGAGCTGATTCCCTGGCTTAGGCTCAAGACGTATGCCACCTTTCCAGAAACACCTCAGGAGGAGGCTTCTCTCAGCAATAGGTATGTGGGAGGGACCCCGAGTTTGCTGCCTCAAGGGGAATATACAGCGAGAAGCCCTAACTTGAAAGGAGGCCGGATTTCCTTGCAGTGGCTTGAATACAGGCTCGTCTTTCATCTCACAACATGAAGGGATGTCTGAATCCCCTGTGGAGACCTTAGAGAAAGCCCTAGGTCCCTGCCTCATTTTGACGGAATCCTCACATCCCGCTGACACCTCGAGAGGCACGCGGAGTTCATTGCTTCAAAAGGTGACGATGCCTGACTCATCTTGAATACTTATAGGAATCCCAAAATCCCTGTGGCTACTGGAAAGGGTCCTTGGGTGCCCTGGCTCACCTCGAGAAGCGTCCCTTTTGCCCTGCCAAGCCTCGAAGAGATTGCTGACGTGTCCCTCGTTACTAGACAGGAGTCCTGACGTCACTGAAGAAACTCGTGTTTTGAAGGGCCATCCCCGCCGTAAGTCGAGAACATACCCCAGGTCCCCGCCGCAACTCGAGAAAAACCATGAGACTTCCCCCTAGAGGCGAGATGAGGCCCCATTCCCCTGCAGTGCATGCAGAGCTATTCCGTGATCCCATTCAAACAAGTCAGGAGCTTCGACTTGCTTAATGGATCTCGAGACAGTCCCCAAGAACACTGTCACCAGTCTAGACGGAACCTGAGGTCACCCCAGCAACGCAAAGCAGCTCCATGTGCCCCAAATCAACTCGAGATGAGGCCCGATTCCCCTGCATTGACTCCAGAGCCATTCCCCGTTCCCCATTCAACACGACCGGTGGCTCGACTTCCTTCAGGCAACTGCAGAGATGCCCCGAGAACACTGCCCCATGTCTAGAGGAACACCAACTTCAGCACAGCAACTCGAGGAATGCTCCGTGTACTCCAAATCATCTCGAGATGAGAGCTGATTCTCTGGCTTAGGCTCAAGACGTATGCCAACTTTCCAGAAGCACCTCAGGAGGAGGCTTCTCTCAGCAATAGGTATGTGGGAGCGACCCCGAGTTTGCTGCCTCAAGGGGAATACACAGGGAGAAGCCCTAACGTGAACGGAGGCCAGATTTCCTTGCAGTGGGTTGAATAAAGGCTCGTCTTCGATCTGAAAACATGAAGGGATGTCTGAATTCCCTGTGGAGACCTTAGAGGAAGCCCTAGGTCCCTGCCTCATTTTGACGGAATACCTCACATCCCCCTGACACCTCGAGAGGCACGCAGAGTTCATTGCTTCAAAAGGTGACGATGCCTGACTCCTCTTGAATACTTATAGGAATCCCAAAATCCCTGTTGCTACAGGAAAGGGTACTTGGGTGCCCTGGCTCACCTCGAGAAGCGTCCCTTTTGCCCTGCCAAGCCTCGAAGAGATTGCTGAGGTGTCCCTCGTTACTAGACAGGAGTCCTGACGTCACTGAAGAAACTTGTGTTTTGAAGTTCCATCCCCGCCGTAAGTCGAGAACATACCCCAGGTCCCCGCCGCAACTCGAGAAAAACCATGAGACTTCCCCCTAGAGGTGAGATGAGGCCCCATTCCCCTGCAGTGCATGCAGAGCTATTCCGTGATCCCATTCAAACAAGTCAGGAGCTTCGACTTGCTTAATGGATCTCGAGACAGTCCCCAAGAACACTGTCACCAGTCTAGACGGACCCTGAGGTCACCCCAGCAACGCAAAGCAGCTCCATGTGCCCCAAATCAACTCGAGATGAGGCCCGATTCCCCTGCATTGACTCCAGAGCCATTCCCCGTTCCCCATTCAACACGACTGGTGGCTCGACTTCCTTCAGGCAACTCCAGAGATGCCCCGAGAACACTGTCCCAAGTCTAGAGGAACACCAACTTCAGCACAGCAACTCGAGGAATGCTCTGTGTACCCCAAATCGTCTCGAGATGAGAGCTGATTCCCTGGCTTAGGGTCAAGACGTATGCCAACTTTCCGGAAGCACCTCAGGAGGAGGCTTCTCAGCAATAGGTATGTGGGAGGGACTCCGAGTTTGCTGCCTCAAGGGGAATATACAGCGAGAAGCCCTAACTTGAAAGGAGGCCGGATTTCCTTGCAGTAGCTTGAATACAGGCTTGTCTTTCATCTCACAACATGAAGGGATGGTTGAATCCCCTGTGAAGACCTTAGAGAAAGCCCTAGGACCCTGCCTCATTTTGACGGCATGCCTCACATCCCGCTGACAACTCGAGAGGCACGCGGAGTTCATTGCTTCAAAAGGTGACGATGCCTGACTCCTCTTGAATACTGATAGGAATCCCAAAATCCCTGTGGCTACTGGAAAGGTTCCTTGGGTGCCCTGGCTCACCTCGAGAAGCGTCCCTTTTGCCCTGCCAAGCCTCGAAGAGATTCCTGAGGTGTCCCTCGTTACTAGACAGGAGTCCTGACGTCACTGAAGAAACTCGTGTTTTGAAGGGCCATCCCCGCCGTAAGTCGAGAACATACCCCAGGTCCCCGCCGCAACTCGAGAAAAACCATGAGACTTCCCCCTAGAGGCGAGATGAGGCCCCATTCCCCTGCAGTGCATGCAGAGCTATTCCGTGATCCCATTCAAACAAGTCAGGAGCTTCGACTTGCTTAATGGATCTCGAGACAGTCCCCAAGAACACTGTCACCAGTCTAGACGGACCCTGAGGTCACCCCAGCAACGCAAAGCTGCTCCATGTGCCCCAAATCAACTCGAGATGAGGCCCGATTCCCCTGCATTGACTCCAGAGCCATTCCCCGTTCCCCATTCAACACGACCGGTGGCTCGACTTCCTTCAGGCAACTGCAGAGATGCCCCGAGAACACTGCCCCAAGTCTAGAGGAACACCAACTTCAGCACAGCAACTCGAGGAATGCTCCGTGTACTCCAAATCATCTCGAGATGAGAGCTGATTCTCTGGCTTAGGCTCAAGACGTATGCCAACTTTCCAGAAGCACCTCAGGAGGAGGCTTCTCTCAGCAATAGGTATGTGGGAGCGACCCCGAGTTTGCTGCCTCAAGGGGAATACACAGGGAGAAGCCCTAACGTGAACGGATGCCAGATTTCCTTGCAGTGGGTTGAATAAAGGCTCGTCTTCGATCTGAAAACATGAAGGGATGTCTGAATTCCCTGTGGAGACCTTAGAGGAAGCCCTAGGTCCCTGCCTCATTTTGACGGAATACCTCACATCCCCCTGACACCCCGAGAGGCACGCAGAGTTCATTGCTTCAAAAGGTGACGATGCCTGACTCCTCTTGAATACTTATAGGAATCCCAAAATCCCTGTTGCTACAGGAAAGGGTCCTTGGGTGCCCTGGCTCACCTCGAGAAGCGTCCCTTTTGCCCTGCCAAGCCTCGAAGAAATTGCTGAGGTGTCCCTCGTTACTAGACAGGAGTCCTGACGTCACGGAAGAAACTCGTGTTTTGAAGGGCCATCCCCGCCGTAAGTCGAGAACATACCCCAGGTCCCCGCCGCAACTCGAGAAAAACCATGAGACTTCCCCCTAGAGGCGAGATGAGGCCCCATTCCCCTGCAGTGCATGCAGAGCTATTCTGTGATCCCATTCAAACAAGTCAGGAGCTTCGACTTGCTTAATGGATCTCGAGACAGTCCCCAAGAACACTGTCACCAGTCTAGACGGACCCTGAGGTCACCACAGCAACGCAAAGCAGCTCCATGTGCCCCAAATCAACTCGAGATGAGGCCCGATTCCCCTGCATTGACTCCAGAGCCATTCCCCGTTCCCCGTTCAACACGAACGGAGGCTCGCCTTCCTTCAGGCAACTCCAGAGATGCCCCGAGAACACTGTCCCAAGTCTAGAGGAACACCAACTTCAGCACAGCAACTCGAGGAATGCTCTGTGTACCCCAAATCGTCTCGAGATGCGAGCTGATTCCCTGGCTTAGGCTCAAGACGTATGCCAACTTTCCAGAAGCACCTCAGGAGGAGGCTTCTCAGCAATAGGTATGTGGGAGGGACTCCGAGTTTGCTGCCTCAAGGGGAATATACAGCGAGAAGCCCTAACTTGAAAGGAGGCCGGATTTCCTTGCAGTGGCTTGAATACAGGCTCGTCTTTCATCTCACAACATGAAGGGATGTCTGAATCCCCTGTGGAGACCTTAGAGAAAGCCCTAGGTCCCTGCATCATTTTGACGGAATGCCTCACATCCCGCTGACACCTCGAGAGGCACGCGGAGTTCATTGCTTCAAAAGGTGACGATGCCTGACTCCTCTTGAATACTGATAGGAATCCCATAATCCCTGTGGCTACTGGAAAGGGTCCTTGGGTGCCCTGGCTCACCTCGAGAAACGTCCCTTTTGCCCTGCCAAGCCTCAAAGAGATTCCTGAGGTGTCCCTCGTTACTAGGCAGGAGTCCTGACGTCACTGGAGAAACTCGTGTTTTGAAGGGCCATCCCCGCCGTAAGTCGAGAACATACCCCAGGGCCCCGCCGCAACTCGAGAAAAACCGTGAGACTTCCCCCTAGAGGCGAGATGAGGCCCCATTCCCCTGCAGTGCATGCAGAGCTATTCCGTGATCCCATTCAAACAGGTCAGGAGCTTCGACTTGCTTAATGGATCTCGAGACAGTCCCCAAGAACACTGTCACCAGTCTAGACGGACCCTGAGGTCACCCAGCAATGCAAAGCAGCTCCATGTGCCCCAAATCAACTCGAGATGAGGCCGGATTCCCCTGCATTGACTCCAGAGCCATTCCTTGTTCCCCATTCAACACGACCGGTGGCTCGACTTCCTTCAGGCAACTCCAGAGATGCCCCGAGAACATTGTCCCAAGTCTAGAGGACCACCAACTTCAGCACAGAAACTCGAGGAATGCTCTGTGTACCCCAAATCGTCTCGAGATGAGAGCTGAATCCCTGGCTTAGGCTCAAGGCGTATGCCAACTTTCCAGAAGCACCTCAGGAGGAGGCTTCTCTCAGCAATAGGTATGTGGGAGGGACTCCGAGTTTGCTGCCTCAAGGGGAATATACAGCGAGAAGCCCTAACTTGAAAGGAGGCCGGATTTCCTTGCAGTGGCTTGAATACAGGCTCGTCTTTCATCTCACAACATGAAGGGATGTCTGAATCCCCTGTGGAGACCTTAGAGAAAGCCCTAGGTCCCTGCCTCATTTTGACGGAATCCTCACATCCCGCTGACACCTCGAGAGGCACGCGGAGTTCATTGCTTCAAAAGGTGACGATGCCTGACTCCTCTTGAATACTTATAGGAATCCCAAAATCCCTGTGGCTACTGGAAAAGGTCCTTGGGTTCCCTGGCTCACCTCGAGAAGCGTCCCTTTTGCCCTGCCAAGCCTCGAAGAGATTGCTGAGGTGTCCCTCGTTACTAGACAGGAGTCCTGACGTCACGGAAGAAACTCGTGTTTTGAAGGGCCATCCCCGCCGTAAGTCGAGAACATACCCCAGGTCCCCGCCGCAACTCGAGAAAAACCATGAGACTTCCCCCTAGAGGCGAGATGAGGCCCCATTCCCGTGCAGTGCATGCAGAGCTATTCCGTGATCCCATTCAAACAAGTCAGGAGCTTCGACTTGCTTAATGGATCTCGAGACAGTCCCCAAGAACACTGTCACCAGTCTAGACGGACCCTGAGGTCACCCAGCAATGCAAAGCACCTCCATGTGCCCCAAATCAACTCGAGATGAGGCCGGATTCCCCTGCATTGACTCCAGAGCCATTCCTTGTTCCCCATTCAACACGACCGGTGGCTCAACTTCCTTCAGGCAACTCCGGAGATGCACCAAGAACACTGTCCCAAGTCTAGAGGACCACCAACTTCAGCACAGCAACTCGAGGAATGCTCTGTGTACCACAAATCGTCTCGAGATGAGAGCTGATTCCCTGGCTTAGGCTCAAGACGTATGCCACCTTTCCAGAAGCACCTCAGGAGGAGGCTTCTCTCAGCAATAGGTATGTGGGAGGGACCCCGAGTTTGCTGCCTCAAGGGGAATATACAGCGAGAAGCCCTAACTTGAAAGGAGGCCGGATTTCCTTTTAGTGGCTTGAATACAGGCTCGTCTTTCATCTCACAACATGAAGGGATGTCTGAATCCCCTGTGGAGACCTTAGATAAAGCCCTAGGTCCCTGCCTCATTTTGACGGAATCCTCACATCCCGCTGACACCTCGAGAGGCACGCGGAGTTCATTGCTTCAAAAGGTGACGATGCCTGACTTCTCTTGAATACTGATAGGAATCCCAAAATCCCTGTGGCTACTGGAAAGGGTCCTTGGGTGCCCTGGCTCACCTCGAGAAGCGTCCCTTTTGCCCTGCCAAGCCTCGAAGAGATTGCTGAGGTGTCCCTCGTTACTAGACAGGAGTCCTGACGTCACGGAAGAAACTCGTGTTTTGAAGGGCCATCCCCTCCGTAAGTCGAGAACATACCCCAGGTCCCCGCCGCAACTCGAGAAAAACAATGAGACTTCCCCCTAGAGGCGAGATGAGGCCCCATTCCCCTGCAGTGCATGCAGAGCTATTCCGTGATCCCATTCAAACAAGTCAGGAGCTTCGACTTGCTTAATGGATCTCGAGACAGTCCCCAAGAACACTGTCACCAGTCTAGACGGACCCTGAGGTCACCCAGCAATGCAAAGCAGCTCCATGTGCCCCAAATCAACTCGAGATGAGGCCGGATTCCCCTGCATTGACTCCAGAGCCATTCCTTGTTCCCCATTCAACACGACCGGTGGCTCGACTTCCTTCAGGCAACTCCAGAGATGCCCCGAGAACACTGTCCCAAGTCTAGAGGACCACCAACTTCAGCACAGCAACTCGAGGAATGCTCTGTGTACCCCAAATCGTCTCAAGATGAGAGCTGATTCCCTGGCTTAGGCTCAAGACGTATGCCACCTTTCCAGAAGCACCTCAGGAGGAGGCTTCTCTCAGCAATAGGTATGTGGGAGGGACCCCGAGTTTGCTGCCTCAAGGGGAATATACAGCGAGAAGCCCTAACTTGAAAGGAGGCCGGATTTCCTTGCAGTGGCTTGAATACAGGCTCGTCTTTCATCTCACAACATGAAGGGATGTCTGAATCCCCTGTGGAGACCTTAGATAAAGCCCTAGGTCCCTGCCTCATTTTGACGGAATCCTCACATCCCGCTGACACCTCGAGAGGCACGCGGAGTTCATTGCTTCAAAAGGTGACGATGCCTGACTCCTCTTGAATACTGATAGGAATCCCAAAATCCCTGTGGCTCCTGGAAAGGTTCCTTGGGTGCCCTGGCTCACCTCGAGAAGCGTCCCTTTTGCCCTGCCAAGCCTCGAAGAGATTCCTGAGGTGTCCCTCGTTACTAGACAGGAGTCCTGACGTCACTGAAGAAACTCGTGTTTTGAAGGGCCATCCCTGCCTTAAGTCGAGAACATACCCCAGGTCCCCGCCGCAACTCGAGAAAAACCATGAGACTTCCCCCTAGAGGCGAGATGAGGAGCCATTCCCCTGCAGTGCATGCAGAGCTATTCCGGGATCCCATTCAAACAAGTCAGGAGCTTCGACTTGCTTAATGGATCTCGAGACAGTCCCCAAGAACACTGTCACCAGTCTAGACGGACCCTGAGGTCACCCAGCAATGCAAAGCAGCTCCATGTGCCCCAAATCAACTCGAGATGAGGCCCGATTCCCCTGCATTGACTCCAGAGCCATTCCCTGTTCCCCATTCAACACGACAGGTGGCTCGACTTCCTTCAGGCAACTCCAGAGATGCCCCGAGAACACTGTCCCAAGTCTAGAGGAACACCAACTTCAGCACAGCAACTCGAGGAATGCTCTGTGTACCCCTAATTGTCTCGAGATGAGAGCTGATTCCCTGGCTTAGGCTCAAGACGTATGCCACCTTTCCAGAAGCACCTCAGAAGGAGGCTTCTCTCAGCAATAGGTATGTGGGAGGGACCCCGAGTTTGCTGCCTCAAGGGGAATATACAGCGAGAAGCCCTAACTTGAAAGGAGGCCGGATTTCCTTGCAGTGGCTTGAATACAGGCTCGTCTTTGATCTGACAACATGAAGGGATGTCTGAATCCCCTGTGGAGACCTTAGAGAAAGCCCTAGGTCCCTGCCTCATTTTGACGGAATGCCTCACATCCCGCTGACACCTCGAGAGGCACGCGGAGTTCATTGCTTCAAAAGGTGACAATGCCTGACTCCTGTTGAATACTGATAGGAATCCCAAAATCCCTGTGGCTACTGGAAAGGGTCCTTGGGTGCCCTGGCTCACTCGAGAAGCGTCCCTTTTGCCCTGCCAAGCCTCGAAGAGATTCCTGAGGTGTCCCTCGTTACTAGGCAGGAGTCCTGACGTCACTGGAGAAACTCGTGTTTTGAAGGGCCATCCCCGCCGTAAGTCGAGAACATACCCCAGGGCCCCGCCGTAACTCGAGAAAAACCGTGAGACTTCCCCCTAGAGGCGAGATGAGGCCCCATTCCCCTGCAGTGCATGCAGAGCTATTCCGTGATCCCATTCAAACAAGTCAGGAGCTTCGACTTGCTTAATGGATCTCGAGACAGTCCCCAAGAACACTGTCACCAGTCTAGACGGACCCTGAGGTCACCCAGCAATGCAAAGCAGCTCCATGTGCCCCAAATCAACTCGAGATGAGGCCGGATTCCCCTGCATTGACTCCAGAGCCATTCCTTGTTCCCCATTCAACATGACCGGTGGCTCGACTTCCTTCAGGCAACTCCAGAGATGCCTCGAGAGCACTATCCCAAGTCTAGAGGAACAGCAACTTCAGCAGAGCAACTCGAGGAATGCTCTGTGTACCCCAAATCGTCTCGAGATGAGAGCTGATTCCCTGGCTTAGGCTCAAGACGTATGCCACCTTTCCAGAAGCACCTCAGGAGGAGGCTTCTCTCAGCAATAGGTATGTGGGAGGGACCCCGAGTTTGCTGCCTCAAGGGGAATATACAGCGAGAAGCCCTAACTTGAAAGGAGGCCGGATTTCCTTGCAGTGGCTTGAATACAGGCTCGTCTTTCATCTCACAACATGAAGGGATGTCTGAATCCCCTGTGGAGAACTTAGAGAAAGCCCTAGGTCCCTGCCTCATTTTGACGGAATCCTCACATCCCGCTGACACCTCGAGAGGCACGCGGAGTTCATTGCTTCAAAAGGTGACGATGCCTGACTCCTCTTGAATACTTATAGGAATCCCAAAATCCCTGTGGCTACTGGAAAGGGTCCTTGGGTGCCCTGGCTCACCTCGAGAAGCGTCCCTTTTGCCCTGCCAAGCCTCGAAGAGATTGCTGAGGTGTCCCTCGTTACTAGACAGGAGTCCTGACGTCACGGAAGAAACACGTGTTTTGAAGGGCCATCCCCGCCGTAAGTCGAGAACATACCCCAGGTCCCCGCCGCAACTCGAGAAAAACCATGAGACTTCCCCCTAGAGGCGAGATGAGGCCCCATTCCCCTGCAGTGCATGCAGAGCTATTCCGTGATCCCATTCAAACAAGTCAGGAGCTTCGACTTGCTTAATGGATCTCGAGACAGTCCCCAAGAACACTGTCACCAGTCTAGACGGACCCTGAGGTCACCCAGCAATGCAAAGCAGCTCCATGTGCCCCAAATCAACTCGAGATGAGGCCGGATTCCCCTGCATTGACTCCAGAGCCATTCCTTGTTCCCCATTCAACACGACCGGTGGCTCGACTTCCTTCAGGCAACTCCAGAGATGCCCCGAGAACACTGTCCCAAGTCTAGAGGAACACCAACTTCAGCACAGCAACTCGAGAAATGCTCTGTGTACCCCAAATCGTCTCGAGATGAGAGCTGATTCCCTGGCTTAGGCTCAAGACGTATGCCACCTTTCCAGAAACACCTCAGGAGGAGGCTTCTCTCAGCAATAGGTATGTGGGAGGGACCCCGAGTTTGCTGCCTCAAGGGGAATATACAGCGAGAAGTCCTAACTTGAAAGGAGGCCGGATTTCCTTGCAGTGGCTTGAATACCGGCTCGTCTTTCATCTCACAACATGAAGGGATGTCTGAATCCCCTGTGGAGACCTTAGAGAAAGCCCTAGGTCCCTGCCTCATTTTGACGGAATCCTCACATCCCGCTGACACCTCGAGAGGCACGCGGAGTTCATTGCTTCAAAAGGTGACGATGCCTGACTCCTCTTGAATACTTATAGGAATCCCAAAATCCCTGTGGCTACTGGAAAGGGTACTTGGGTGCCCTGGCTCACCTCGAGAAGCGTCCCTTTTGCCCTGCCAAGCCTCGAAGAGATTGCTGAGGTGTCCCTCGTTACTAGACAGGAGTCCTGACGTCACTGAAGAAACTCGTGTTTTGAAGGGCCATCCCCGCCGTAAGTCGAGAACATACCCCAGGTCCCCGCCGCAACTCGAGAAAAACGATGAGACTTCCCCTTTGAGGCGAGATGAGGCCCCATTCCCCTGCAGTGCATGCAGAGCTATTCCGTGATCCCATTCAAACAAGTCAGGAGCTTCGACTTGCTTAATGGATCTCGAGACAGTCCCCAAGAACACTGTCACCAGTCTTGACGGACCCTGAGGTCACCCCAGCAACGCAAAGCAGCTCCATGTGCCCCAAATCAACTCGAGATGAGGCCCGATTCCCCTGCATTGACTCCAGAGCCATTCCCCGTTCCCCATTCAACACGACTGGTGGCTCGCTTTCCTTCAGGCAACTCCAGAGATGGCCCGAGAACACTGTCCCAAGTCTAGAGGAACACCAACTTCAGCACAGCAACTCGAGGAATGCTCTGTGTACCCCAAATCGTCTCGAGATGAGAGCTGATTCCCTGGCTTAGGCTCAAGACGTATGCCAACTTTCCAGAAGCACCTCAGGAGGAGGCTTCTCAGCAATAGGTATGTGGGAGGGACTCCGAGTTTGCTGCCTCAAGGGGAATATACAGCGAGAAGCCCTAACTTGAAAGGAGGCCGGATTTCCTGGCAGTAGCTTGAACACAGGCTTGTCTTTCATCTCACAACATGAAGGGATGTCTGAATCCCCTGTGAAGACCTTAGAGAAAGCCCTAGGACCCTGCCTCATTTTGACGGAATGCCTCACATCCCGCTGACAACTCGAGAGGCACGCGGAGTTCATTGCTTCAAAAGGTGACGATGCCTGACTCCTCTTGAATACTGATAGGAATCCCAAAATCCCTGTGGCTACTGGAAAGGTTCCTTGGGTGCCCTGGCTCACCTCGAGAAGCGTCCCTTTTGCCCTGCCAAGCCTCGAAGACATTCCTGAGGTGTCCCTCGTTACTAGACAGGAGTCCTGACGTCACTGAAGAAACTCGTGTTTTGAAGGGCCATCCCCGCCGTAAGTCGAGAACATACCCCAGGTCCCCGCCGCAACTCGAGAAAAACCATGAGACTTCCCCCTAGAGGCGAGATGAGGCCCCATTCCCCTGCAGTGCATGCACAGCTATTCCGTGATCCCATTCAAACAAGTCAGGAGCTTCGACTTGCTTAATGGATCTCGAGACAGTCCCCAAGAACACTGTCACCAGTCTAGACGGACCCTGAGGTCACCCCAGCAACGCAAAGCAGCTCCATGTGCCCCAAATCAACTCGAGATGAGGCCAGATTCCCCTGCATTGACTCCAGAGCCATTCCCCGTTCCCCATTCAACACGACTGGTGGCTCGCTTTCCTTCAGGCAACTCCAGAGATGGCCCGAGAACACTGTCCCAAGTCTAGAGGAACACAAACTTCAGCACAGCAACTCGAGGAATGCTCTGTGTACCCCAAATCGTCTCGAGATGAGAGCTGATTCCCTGGCTTAGGCTCAAGACGTATGCCAACTTTCCAGAAGCACCTCAGGAGGAGGCTTCTCAGCAATAGGTATGTGGGAGGGACTCCGAGTTTGCTGCCTCAAGGGGAATATACAGCGAGAAGCCCTAACTTGAAAGGAGGCCGGATTTCCTGGCAGTAGCTTGAATACAGGCTTGTCTTTCATCTCACAACATGAAGGGATGTCTGAATCCCCTGTGAAGACCTTAGAGAAAGCCCTAGGACCCTGCCTCATTTTGACGGAATGCCTCACATCCCGCTGACAACTCGAGAGGCACGCGGAGTTCATTGCTTCAAAAGGTGACGATGCCTGACTCCTCTTGAATACTGATAGGAATCCCAAAATCCCTGTGGCTACTGGAAAGGTTCCTTGGGTGCCCTGGCTCACCTCGAGAAGCGTCCCTTTTGCCCTGCCAAGCCTCGAAGACATTCCTGAGGTGTCCCTCGTTACTAGACAGGAGTCCTGACGTCACTGAAGAAACTCGTGTTTTGAAGGGCCATCCCCGCCGTAAGTCGAGAACATACCCCAGGTCCCCGCCGCAACTCGAGAAAAACCATGAGACTTCCCCCTAGAGGCGAGATGAGGCCCCATTCCCCTGCAGTGCATGCAGAGCTATTCCGTGATCCCATTCAAACAAGTCAGGAGCTTCGACTTGCTTAATGGATCTCGAGACAGTCCCCAAGAACACTGTCACCAGTCTAGACGGACCCTGAGGTCACCCCAGCAACGCAAAGCTGCTCCATGTGTCCCAAATCAACTCGAGATGAGGCCCGATTCCCCTGCATTGACTCCAGAGCCATTCCCCGTTCCCCATTCAACACGACCGGTGGCTCGACTTCCTTCAGGCAACTGCAGAGATGCCCCGAGAACACTGCTCCAAGTCTAGAGGAACACCAACTTCAGCACAGCAACTCGAGGAATGCTCCATGTACCCCAAATCATCTCGAGATGAGAGCTGATTCTCTGGCTTAGGCTCAAGACGTATGCCAACTTTCCAGAAGCACCTCAGGAGGAGGCTTCTCTCAGCAATAGGTATGTGGGAGCGACCCCGAGTTTGCTGCCTCAAGGGTAATACACAGGGAGAAGCCCTAACGTGAACGGAGGCCAGATTTCCTTGCAGTGGGTTGAATAAAGGCTCGTCTTCGATCTGAAAACATGAAGGGATGTCTGAATCCCCTGTGGAGACCTTAGAGAAAGCCCTAGGTCCCTGCCTCATTTTGACGGAATCCTCATATCCCGCTGACACCTCGAGAGGCACGCGGAGTTCATTGCTTCAAAAGGTGACGATGCCTGACTCCTCTTGAATACTTATAGGAATCCCAAAATCCCTGTGGCTACTGGAAAGGGTCCTTGGGTGCCCTGGCTCACCTCGAGAAGCGTCCCTTTTGCCCTGCCAAGCCTCGAAGAGATTGCTGAGGTGTCCCTCGTTACTAGACAGGAGTCCTGACGTCACGGAAGAAACTCGTGTTTTGAAGGGCCATCCCCGCCGTAAGTCGAGAACATACCCCAGGGCCCCGCCGCAACTCGAGAAAAACAATGAGACTTCCCCCTAGAGGCGAGATGAGGCCCCATTACCCTGCAGTGCATGCAGAGCTATTCCGTGATCCCATTCAAACAAGTCAGGAGCTTCGACTTGCTTAATGGATCTCGAGACAGTCCCGAAGAACACTGTCACCAGTCTAGACGGACCCTGAGGTCACCCAGCAATGCAAAGCAGCTCCATGTGCCCCAAATCAACTCGAGATGAGGCCGGATTAACCTGCATTGACTCCAGAGCCATTCCTTGTTCCCCATTCAACACGACCGGTGGCTCGACTTCCTTCAGGCAACTCCAGAGATGCCCCGAGAACACTGTCCCAAGTCTAGAGGAACACCAACTTCAGCACAGCAACTCGAGGAATGCTCTGTGTACCCCAAATCGTCTCGAGATGAGAGCTGATTCCCTGGCTTAGGCTCAAGACGTATGCCAACTTTCCAGAAACACCTCAGGAGGAGGCTTCTCTCAGTAATAGGTATGTGGGAGGGACCCCGAGTTTGCTGCCTCAAGGGGAATATACAGCGAGAAGCCCTAACTTGAAAGGAGGCCGGATTTCCTTGCAGTGGCTTGAATACAGGCTCGTCTTTCATCTCACAACATGAAGGGATGTCTGAATCCCCTGTGGAGACCTTAGATAAAGCCCTAGGTCCCTGCCTCATTTTGACGGAATCCTCACATCCCGCTGACACCTCGAGAGGCACGCGGAGTTCACTGCTTCAAAAGGTGACGATGTCTGACTCCTCTTGAATACTGATAGGAATCCCAAAATCCCTGTGGCTACTGGAAAGGGTCCTTGGGTGCCCTGGCTCACCCCGAGATGCGTCCCTTTTGCCCTGCCAAGCCTCGAAGAGATTGCTGATGTGTCCCTCGTTACTAGACAGGAGTCCTGACGTCACTGAAGAAACTCGTGTTTTGAAGGGCCATCCCCGCCGTAAGTCGAGAACATACCCCAGGTCCCCGCCTCAACTCGAGAAAAACCATGAGACTTCCCCCTAGAGGCGAGATGAGGCCCCATTCCCCTGCACTGCATGCAGAGCTATTCCGTGATCCCATTCAAACAAGTCAGGAGCTTCGACTTGCATAATGGATCTCGAGACAGTCCCCAAGAACACTGTCACCAGTCTAGACGGACCCTCAGGTCACCCAGCAATGCAAAGCAGCTCCATGTGCCCCAAATCAACTCGAGATGAGGCCGGATTCCCCTGCATTGACTCCAGAGCCATTCCTTGTTCCCCATTCAACACGACCGGTGGCTCGACTTCCTTCAGGCAACTCCAGGGATGCCCCGAGAACACTGTCCCAAGTCTAGAGGACCACCAACTTCAGCACAGCAACTCGAGGAATGCTCTGTGTACCCCAAATCGACTCAAGATGAGAGCTGATTCCCTGGCTTAGGCTCAAGACGTATGCCACCTTTCCAGAAGCACCTCAGGAGGAGGCTTCTCTCAGCAATAGGTATGTGGGAGGGACCCCGAGTTTGCTGCCTCAAGGGGAATATACAACGAGAAGCCCTAACTTGAAAGGAGGCCGGATTTCCTTTTAGTGGCTTGAATACAGGCTCGTCTTTCATCTCACAACATGAAGGGTTGTCTGAATCCCCTGTGGAGACCTTAGAGAAAGCCCTAGGTCCCTGCCTCATTTTGACGGAATCCTCACATCCCGCTGACACCTCGAGAGGCACGCGGAGTTCATTGCTTCAAAAGGTGACGATGCCTGACTCCTCTTGAATACTGATAGGAATCCCAAAATCCCTGTGGCTACTGGAAAGGGTCCTTGGGTGCCCTGGCTCACCTCGAGAAGCGTCCCTTTTGCCCTGCCAAGCCTCGAAGAGATTGCTGAGGTGTCCCTCGTTACTAGACAGGAGTCCTGACGTCACGGAAGAAACTCGTGTTTTGAAGGGCCATCCCCGCCGTAAGTCGAGAACATACCCCACGTCCCCGCCGCAACTCGAGAAAAACCATGAGACTTCCCCCTAGAGGCGAGATGAGGCCCCATTCCCCTGCAGTGCATGCAGAGCTATTCCGTGATCCCATTCAAAGAAGTCAGGAGCTTCGACTTGCTTAATGGATCTCGAGACAGTCCCCAAGAACACTGTCACCAGTCTAGACGGACCCTGAGGTCACCCAGCAATGCAAAGCAGCTCCATGTGCCCCAAATCAACTCGAGATGAGGCCGGATTCCCCTGCATTGACTCCAGAGCCATTCCTTGTTCCCCATTCAACACGACCGGTGGCTCGACTACCTTCAGGCAACTCCAGAGATGCCCCGAGAACACTGTCCCAAGTCTAGAGGACCACCAACTTCAGCACAGCAACTCGAGGAATGCTCTGTGTACCACAAATCGTCTCAAGATGAGAGCTGATTCCCTGGCTTAGGCTCAAGACGTATGCCACCTTTCCAGAAGCATCTCAGGAGGAGGCTTCTCTCAGCAATAGGTATGTGGGAGGGACCCCGAGTTTGCTGCCTCAAGGGGAATATACAGCGAGAAGCCCTAACTTGAAAGGAGGCCGGATTTCCTTGCAGTGGCTTGAATACAGGCTCGTCTTTCATCTCACAACATGAAGGGATGTCTGAATCCCCTGTGGAGATCTTAGAGAAAGCCCTAGGTCCCTGCCTCATTTTGACGGAATCCTCACATCCCGCTGACACCTCGAGAGGCACGCGCAGTTCATTGCTTCAAAAGGTGACGATGCCTGACTCCTCTTGAATACTGATAGGAATCCCAAAATCCCTGTGGCTACTGGAAAGGGTCCTTGGGTGCCCTGGCTCACCTCGAGAAGCGTCCCTTTTGCCCTGCCAAGCCTCGAAGAGATTGCTGAGGTGTCCCTCGTTACTAGACAGGAGTCCTGACGTCACGGAAGAAACTCGTGTTTTGAAGGGCCATCCCCGCCGTAAGTCGAGAACATACCCCAGGTCCCCGCCGCAACTCGAGAAAAACCATGAGACTTCCCCCTAGAGGCGAGATGAGGCCCCATTCCCCTGCAGTGCATGCAGAGCTATTCCGTGATCCCATTCAAACAAGTCAGGAGCTTCGACTTGCTTAATGGATCTCGAGACAGTCCCCAAGAACACTGTCACCAGTCTAGACGGACCCTGAGGTCACCCAGCAATGCAAAGCAGCTCCATGTGCCCCAAATCAACTCGAGATGAGGCCGGATTCCCCTGCATTGACTCCAGACCCATTCCTTGTTCCCCATTCAACACGACCGGTGGCTCGACTTCCTTCAGGCAACTCCAGAGATGCCCCGAGAACACTGTCCCAAGTCTAGAGGACCACCAACTTCAGCACAGCAACTGGAGGAATGCTCTGTGTACCCCAAATCGTCTCGAGATGAGAGCTGATTCCCTGGCTTAGGCTCTAGACGTATGCCACCTTTCCAGAAGCACCTCAGGAGGAGGCTTCTCTCAGCAATAGGTATGTGGGAGGGACCCCGAGTTTGCTGCCTCAAGGGGAATATACAGCGAGAAGCCCTAACTTGAAAGGAGGCCGGATTTCCTTGCAGTGGCTTGAATACAGGCTCGTCTTTCATCTCACAACATGAAGGGATGTCTGAATCCCCTGTGGAGACCTTAGATAAAGCCCTAGGTCCCTGCCTCATTTTGACGGAATCCTCACATCCCGCTGACACCTCGAGAGGCACGCGGAGTTCATTGCTTCAAAAGGTGACGATGCCTGACTCCTCTTGAATACTGATAGGAATCCCAAAATCCCTGTGGCTACTGGAAAGGGTCCTTGGGTGCCCTGGCTCACCTCGAGAAGCGTCCCTTTTGCCCTGCCAAGCCTCGAAGAGATTGCTGAGGTGTCCCTCGTTACTAGACAGGAGTCCTGACGTCACTGAAGAAACTCGTGTTTTGAAGGGCCATCCCCGCCGTAAGTCGAGAACATACCCCAGGTCCCCGCCGCAACTCGAGAAAAACCATGAGACTTCCCCCTAGAGGCGAGATGAGGCCCCATTCCCCTGCAGTGCATGCAGAGCTATTCCGTGATCCCATACAAACAAGTCAGGAGCTTCGACTTGCTTAATGGATCTCGAGACAGTCCCCAAGAACACTGTCACCAGTCTAGACGGACCCTGAGGTCACCCAGCAATGCAAAGCAGCTCCATGTGCCCCAAATCAACTCGAGATGAGGCCGGATTCCCCTGCATTGACTCCAGAGCCATTCCTTGTTCCCCATTCAACACGACCGGTGGCTCGACTTCCTTCAGGCAACTCCAGGGATGCCCCGAGAACACTGTCCCAAGTCTAGAGGACCACCAACTTTAGCACAGCAACTCGAGGAATGCTCTGTGTACCCCAAATCGTCTCGAGATGAGAGCTGATTCCCTGGCTTAGGCTCTAGACGTATGCCACCTTTCCAGAAGCACCTCAGGAGGAGGCTTCTCTCAGCAATAGGTATGTGGGAGGGACCCCGAGTTTGCTGCCTCAAGGGGAATATACAGCGAGAAGCCCTAACTAGAAAGGAGGCCGGATTTCCTTTTAGTGGCTTGAATACAGGCTCGTCTTTCATCTCACAACATGAAGGGATGTCTGAATCCCCTGTGGAGACCTTAGATAAAGCCCTAGGTCCCTGCCTCATTTTGACGGAATCCTCACATCCCGCTGACACCTCGAGAGGCACGCGGAGTTCATTGCTTCAAAAGGTGACGATGCCTGACTCCTCTTGAATACTGATAGGAATCCCAAAATCCCTGTGGCTACTGGACAGGGTCCTTGGGTGCCCTGGCTCACCCCGAGAAGCGTCCCTTTTGCCCTGCCAAGCCTCGAAGAGATTGCTGAGGTGTCCCTCGTTACTAGACAGGAGTCCTGACGTCACGGAAGAAACTCGTGTTTTGAAGGGCCATCCCCGCCGTAAGTCGAGAACATACCCCAGGTCCCCGCCGCAACTCGAGAAAAACCATGAGACTTCCCCCTAGAGGCGAGATGAGGCCCCATTCCCCTGCAGTGCATGCAGAGCTATTCCGTGATCCCATTCAAACAAGTCAGGAGCTTCGACTTGCTTAATGGATCTCGAGACAGTCCCCAAGAACACTGTCACCAGTCTAGACGGACCCTGAGGTCACCCAGCAATGCAAAGCACTTCCATGTGCCCCAAATCAACTCGAGATGAGGCCGGATTCCCCTGCATTGACTCCAGAGCCATTCCTTGTTCCCCATTCAACACGACCGGTGGCTCAACTTCCTTCAGGCAACTCCGGAGATGCACCAAGAACACTGTCCCAAGTCTAGAGGACCACCAACTTCAGCACAGCAACTCGAGGAATGCTCTGTGTACCACAAATCGTCTCGAGATGAGAGCTGATTCCCTGGCTTAGGCTCAAGACGTATGCCACCTTTCCAGAAGCACCTCAGGAGGAGGCTTCTCTCAGCAATAGGTATGTGGGAGGGACCCCGAGTTTGCTGCCTCAAGGGGAATATACAGCGAGAAGCCCTAACTTGAAAGGAGGCCGGATTTCCTTGCAGTGGCTTGAATACAGGCTCGTCTTTCATCTCACAACATGAAGGGATGTCTGAATCCCCTGTGGAGACCTTAGAGAAAGCCCTAGGTCCCTGCCTCATTTTGAGGGAATGCCTCACATCCCGCTGACACCTCGAGAGGCACGCGGAGTTCATTGCTTCAAAAGGTGACGATGCCTGACTCCTCTTGAATACTGATAGGAATCCCAAAATCCCTGTGGCTACTGGAAAGGGTCCTTGGGTGCCCTGGCTCACCTCGAGAAGCGTCCCTTTTGCCCTGCCAAGCCTCGAAGAGATTGCTGAGGTGTCCCTCGTTACTAGACAGGAGTCCTGACGTCACTGAAGAAACTCGTGTTTTGAAGGGCCATCCCCGCCGTAAGTCGAGAACATACCCCAGGTCCCCGCCGCAACTCGAGAAAAACCATGAGACTTCCCCCTAGAGGCGAGATGAGGCCCCATTCCCCTGCAGTGCATGCAGAGCTATTCCGTGATCCCATTCAAACAAGTCAGGAGCTTCGACTTGCTTAATGGATCTCGAGACAGTCCCCAAGAACACTGTCACCAGTCTAGACGGACCCTGAGGTCACCCAGCAATGCAAAGCAGCTCCATGTGCCCCAAATCAACTAGAGATGAGGCCGGATTCCCCTGCATTGACTCCAGAGCCATTCCCTGTTCCCCATTCAACACGACCGGTGGCTCGACTTCCTTCAGGCAACTCCAGGGATGCCCCGAGAACACTGTCCCAAGTCTAGAGGAACACGAACTTCAGCACAGCAACTCGAGGAATGCTCTGTGTACCCCAAATTGTCTCGAGATGAGAGCTGATTCCCTGGCTTAGGCTCAAGACGTATGCCACCTTTCCAGAAGCACCTCAGGAGGAGGCTTCTCTCAGCAATAGGTATGTGGGAGGGACCCCGAGTTTGCTGCCTCAAGGGGAATATACAGCGAGAAGCCCTAACTTGAAAGGAGGCCGGATTTCCTTTTAGTGGCTTGAATACAGGCTCGTCTTTCATCTCACAACATGAAGGGATGTCTGAATCCCCTGTGGAGACCTTAGATAAAGCCCTAGGTCCCTGCCTCATTTTGACGGAATCCTCACATCCCGCTGACACCTCGAGAGGCACGCGGAGTTCATTGCTTCAAAAGGTGACGATGCCTGACTCCTCTTGAATACTGATAGGAATCCCAAAATCCCTGTGGCTACTGGAAAGGGTCCTTGGGTGCCCTGGCTCACCTCGAGAAGCGTCCCTTTTGCCCTGCCAAGCCTCGAAGAGATTGCTGATGTGTCCCTCGTTACTTGACAGGAGTCCTGACGTCACGGAAGAAACTCGTGTTTTGAAGGGCCATCCCCGCCGTAAGTCGAGAACATACCCCAGGTCCCCGCCGCAACTCGAGAAAAACCATGAGACTTCCCCCTAGAGGCGAGATGAGGCCCCATTCCCCTGCAGTGCATGCAGAGCTATTCCGTGATCCCATTCAAACAAGTCAGGAGCTTCGACTTGCTTAATGGATCTCGAGACAGTCCCCAAGAACACTGTCACCAGTCTAGACGGACCCTCAGGTCACCCAGCAATGCAAAGCAGCTCCATGTGCCCCAAATCAACTCGAGATGAGGCCGGATTCCCCTGCATTGACTCCAGAGCCATTCCTTGTTCCCCATTCAACACGACCGGTGGCTCGACTTCCTTCAGGCAACTCCAGAGATGCCCCGAGAACACTGTCCCAAGTCTAGAGGACCACCAACTTCAGCACAGCAACTCGAGGAATGCTCTGTGTACCCCAAATCGTCTCAAGATGAGAGCTGATTCCCTGGCTTAGGCTCAAGACGTATGCCACCTTTCCAGAAGCTCCTCAGGAGGAGGCTTCTCTCAGCAATAGGTATGTGGGAGGGACCCCGAGTTTGCTGCCTCAAGGGGAATATACATCGAGAAGCCCTAACTTGAAAGGAGACCGGATTTCCTTTTAGTGGCTTGAATACAGGCTCGTCTTTCATCTCACAACATGAAGGGATGTCTGAATCCCCTGTGGAGACCTTAGAGAAAGCCCTAGGTCCCTGCCTCATTTTGACGGAATCCTCACATCCCGCTGACACCTCGAGAGGCACGCGGAGTTCATTGCTTCAAAAGGTGACGATGCCTGACTCCTCTTGAATACTGATAGGAATCCCAAAATCCCTGTGGCTACTGGACAGGGTCCTTGGGTGCCCTGGCTCACATCGAGAAGCGTCCCTTTTGCCCTGCCAAGCCTCGAAGAGATTGCTGAGGTGTCCCTCGTTACTAGACAGGAGTCCTGACGTCACGGAAGAAACTCGTGTTTTGAAGGGCCATCCCCGCCGTAAGTCGAGAACATACCCCAGGTCCCCGCCGCAACTCGAGAAAAACCATGAGACTTCCCCCTAGAGGCGAGATGAGGCCCCATTCCCCTGCAGTGCATGCAGAGCTATTCCGTGATCCCATTCAAACAAGTCAGGAGCTTCGACTTGCTTAATGGATCTCGAGACAGTCCCCAAGAACACTGTCACCAGTCTAGACGGACCCTGAGGTCACCCAGCAATGCAAAGCACTTCCATGTGCCCCAAATCAACTCGAGATGAGGCCGGATTCCCCTGCATTGACTCCAGAGCCATTCCTTGTTCCCCATTCAACACGACCGGTGGCTCAACTTCCTTCAGGCAACTCCGGAGATGCACCAAGAACACTGTCCCAAGTCTAGAGGACCACCAACTTCAGCACAGCAACTCGAGGAATGCTCTGTGTACCACAAATCGTCTCGAGATGAGAGCTGATTCCCTGGCTTAGGCTCAAGACGTATGCCACCTTTCCAGAAGCACCTCAGGAGGAGGCTTCTCTCAGCAATAGGTATGTGGGAGGGACCCCGAGTTTGCTGCCTCAAGGGGAATATACAGCGAGAAGCCCTAACTTGAAAGGAGGCCGGATTTCCTTGCAGTGGCTTGAATACAGGCTCGTCTTTCATCTCACAACATGAAGGGATGTCTGAATCCCCTGTGGAGACCTTAGAGAAAGCCCTAGGTCCCTGCCTCATTTTGAGGGAATGCCTCACATCCCGCTGACACCTCGAGAGGCACGCGGAGTTCATTGCTTCAAAAGGTGACGATGCCTGACTCCTCTTGAATACTGATAGGAATCCCAAAATCCCTGTGGCTACTGGAAAGGGTCCTTGGGTGCCCTGGCTCACCTCGAGAAGCGTCCCTTTTGCCCTGCCAAGCCTCGAAGAGATTGCTGAGGTGTCCCTCGTTACTAGACAGGAGTCCTGACGTCACTGAAGAAACTCGTGTTTTGAAGGGCCATCCCCGCCGTAAGTCGAGAACATACCCCAGGTCCCTGCCGCAACTCGAGAAAAACCATGAGACTTCCCCCTAGAGGCGAGATGAGGCCCCATTCCCCTGCAGTGCATGCAGAGCTATTCCGTGATCCCATTCAAACAAGTCAGGAGCTTCGACTTGCTTAATGGATCTCGAGACAGTCCCCAAGAACACTGTCACCAGTCTAGACGGACCCTGAGGTCACCCAGCAATGCAAAGCAGCTCCATGTGCCCCAAATCAACTCGAGATGAGGCCGGATTTCCCTGCATTGACTCCAGAGCCATTCCCTGTTCCCCATTCAACACGACCGGTGGCTCGACTTCCTTCAGGCAACTCCAGGGATGCCCCGAGAACACTGTCCCAAGTCTAGAGGAACACGAACTTCAGCACAGCAACTCGAGGAATGCTCTGTGTACCCCAAATTGTCTCGAGATGAGAGCTGATTCCCTGGCTTAGGCTCAAGACGTATGCCACCTTTCCAGAAGCACCTCAGGAGGAGGCTTCTCTCAGCAATAGGTATGTGGGAGGGACCCCGAGTTTGCTGCCTCAAGGGGAATATACAGCGAGAAGCCCTAACTTGAAAGGAGGCCGGATTTCCTTTTAGTGGCTTGAATACAGGCTCGTCTTTCATCTCACAACATGAAGGGATGTCTGAATCCCCTGTGGAGACCTTAGATAAAGCCCTAGGTCCCTGCCTCATTTTGACGGAATCCTCACATCCCGCTGACACCTCGAGAGGCACGCGGAGTTCATTGCTTCAAAAGGTGACGATGCCTGACTCCTCTTGAATACTGATAGGAATCCCAAAATCCCTGTGGCTAATGGAAAGGGTCCTTGGGTGCCCTGCCTCACCTCGAGAAGCGTCCCTTTTGCCCTGCCAAGCCTCGAAGAGATTGCTGAGGTGTCCCTCGTTACTAGACAGGAGTCCTGACGTCACGGAAGAAACTCGTGTTTTGAAGGGCCATCCCCGCCGTAAGTCGAGAACATACCCCAGGTCCCCGCCGCAACTCGAGAAAAACCATGAGACTTCCCCCTAGAGGCGAGATGAGGCCCCATTCCCCTGCAGTGCATGCAGAGCTATTCCGTGATCCCATTCAAAAAGTCAGGAGCTTCGACTTGCTTAATGGATCTCGAGACAGTCCCCAAGAAGACTGTCACCAGTCTAGACGGACCCTGAGGTAACCCAGCAATGCAAAGCAGCTCCATGTGCCCCAAATAAACACGAGATGAGGCCGAATTCCCCTGCATTGAATCCAGAGCCATTCCTTGTTCCCCATTCAACACGACCGGTGGCTCGACTTCCTTCAGGCAACTCCAGAGATGCCCCGAGAACACTGTCCCAAGTCTAGAGGACCACCAACTTCAGCACAGCAACTCGAGGAATGCTCTGTGTACCCCAAATCGTCTCGAGATGATAGCTGATTCCCTGGCTTAGGCTCAAGACGTATGCCACCTTTCCAGAAGCACCTCAGGAGGAGGCTTCTCTCAACAATAGGTATGTGGGAGGGACCCCGAGTTTGCTGCCTCAAGGGGAATATACAGCGAGAAGCCCTAACTTGAAAGGAGGCCGGATTTCCTTGCAGTGGCTTGAATACAGGCTCGTCTTTCATCTCACAACATGAAGGGATGTCTGAATCCCCTGTGGAGACCTTAGAGAAAGCCCTAGGTCCCTGCCTCATTTTGACGGAATCCTCACATCCCGCTGAAACCTCGAGAGGCACGCGGAGTTCATTGCTTCAAAAGGTGACGATGCCTGACTCCTCTTGAATACTTATAGGAATCCCAAAATCCCTGTGGCTACTGGAAAGGGTCCTTGGGTGCCCTGGCTCACCTCGAGAAGCGTCCCTTTTGCCCTGCCAAGCCTCGAAGAGATTGCTGAGGTGTCCCTCGTTACTAGACAGGAGTCCTGACGTCACTGGAGAAACTCGTGTTTTGAAGGGCCATCCCCGCCGTAAGTCGAGAACATACCCCAGGGCCCCGCCGCAACTCGAGAAAAACCGTGAGACTTCCCCCTAGAGGCGAGATGAGGCCCCATTCCCCTGCAGTGCATGCAGAGCTATTCCGTGATCCCATTCAAACAAGTCAGGAGCTTCGACTTGCTTAATGGATCTCGAGACAGTCCCCAAGAACACTGTCACCAGTCTAGACGGGCCCTGAGGTCACCCAGCAATGCAAAGCAGCTCCATGTGCCCAAAATCAACTCGAGATGAGGCCGGATTCCCCTGCATTGACTCCAGAGCCATTCCTTGTTCCCCATTCAACACGACCGGTGGCTCGACTTCCTTCAGGCAACTCCAGAGATGCCTCGAGAGCACTATCCCAAGTCTAGAGGACCACCAACTTCAGCAGAGCAACTCGAGGAATGCTCTGTGTACCCCAAATCGTCTCGAGATGAGAGCTGATTCCCTGGCTTAGGCTCAAGACGTATGCCACCTTTCCAGAAGCACCTCAGGAGGAGGCTTCTCTCAGCAATAGGTATGTGGGAGGGACCCCGAGTTTGCTGCCTCAAGGGGAATATACAGCGAGAAGCCCTAACTTGAAAGGAGGCCGGATTTCCTTTTAGTGGCTTGAATACAGGCTCGTCTTTCATCTCACAACATGAAGGGATGTCTGAATCCCCTGTGGAGACCTTAGAGAAAGCCCTAGGTCCCTGCCTCATTTTGACGGAATCCTCACATCCCGCTGACACCTCGAGAGGCACGCGGAGTTCATTGCTTCAAAAGGTGACGATGCCTGACTCCTCTTGAATACTTATAGGAATCCCAAAATCCCTGTGGCTACTGGAAAGGGTCCTTGGGTGCCCTGGCTCACCTCGAGAAGCGTCCCTTTTGCCCTGCCAAGCCTCGAAGAGATTGCTGACGTGTCCCTCGTTACTAGGCAGGAGTCCTGACGTCACTGAAGAAACTCGTGTTTTGAAGGGCCATCCCCGCCGTAAGTCGAGAACATACCCCAGGTCCCCGCCGCAACTCGAGAAAAACCATGAGACTTCCCCCTAGAGGCGAGATGAGGCCCCATTCCCCTGCAGTGCATGCAGAGCTATTCCGTGATCCCATTCAAACAAGTCAGGAGCTTCGACTTGCTTAATGGATCTCGAGGCAGTCCCCAAGAACACTGTCACCAGTCTAGACGGACCCTGAGGTCACCCAGCAATGCAAAGCAGCTCCATGTGCCCCAAATCAACTCGAGATGAGGCCGGATTCCCCTGCATTGACTCCAGAGCCATTCCTTGTTCCCCATTCAACAAGACCGGTGGCTCGACTTCTTTCAGGCAACTCCAGAGATGCCCCGATAACACTGTCCCAAGTCTAGAGGACCACCAACTTCAGCACAGCAACTCGAGAAATGCTCTGTGTACCCCAAATCGTCTCGAGATGAGAGCTGATTCCCTGGCTTAGGCTCAAGACGTATGCCACCTTTCCAGAAGCACCTCAGGAGGAGGCTTCTCTCAGCAATAGGTATGTGGGAGGGACCCCGAGTTTGCTGCCTCAAGGGGAATATACAGCGAGAAGCCCTAACTTGAAAGGAGGCCGGATTTCCTTGCAGTGGCTTGAATACAGGCTCGTCTTTCATCTCACAACATGAAGGGATGTCTGAATCCCCTGTGGAGACCTTAGAGAAAGCCCTAGGTCCCTGCCTCATTTTGACGGAATCCTCATATCCCGCTGACAGCTCGAGAGGCACGCGGAGTTCATTGCTTCAAAAGGTGACGATGCCTGACTCCTCTTGAATACTGATAGGAATCCCAAAATCCCTGTGGCTACTGGAAAGGGTCCTTGGGTGCCCTGGCTCACCTCGAGAAGCGTCCCTTTTGCCCTGCCAAGCCTCGAAGACATTCCTGAGGTGTCCCTCGTTACTAGACAGGAGTCCTGACGTCACTGAAGAAACTCGTGTTTTGAAGGGCCATCCCCGCCGTAAGTCGAGAATATACCCCAGGTCCCCGCCGCAACTCGAGAAAAACCATGAGACTTCCCCCTAGAGGCGAGATGAGGCCCCATTCCCCTGCAGTGCATGCAGAGCTATTCCGTGATCCCATTCAAACAAGTCAGGAGCTTCGACTTGCTTAATGGATCTCGAGACAGTCCCCAAGAACACTGTCACCAGTCTAGACGGACCCTGAGGTCACCCCAGCAACGCAAAGCTGCTCCATGTGCCCCAAATCAACTCGAGATGAGGCCCGATTCCCCTGCATTGACTCCAGAGCCATTCCCCGTTCCCCATTCAACACGACCGGTGGCTCGACTTCCTTCAGGCAACTCCAGAGATGCCCCGAGAACACTGTCGCAAGTCTAGAGGAACACCAACTTCAGCACAGCAACTCGAGGAATGCTCTGTGTACCCCAAATCGTCTCGAGATGAGAGCTGATTCCCTGGCTTAGGCTCAAGACGTATGCCACCTTTCCAGAAACACCTCAGGAGGAGGCTTCTCTCAGCAATAGGTATGTGGGAGGGACCCCGAGTTTGCTGCCTCAAGGGGAATATACAGCGAGAAGTCCTAACTTGAAAGGAGGCCGGATTTCCTTGCAGTGGCTTGAATACCGGCTCGTCTTTCATCTCACAACATGAAGGGATGTCTGAATCCCCTGTGAAGACCTTAGAGAAAGCCCTAGGACCCTGCCTCATTTTGACGGAATGCCTCACATCCTGCTGACAACTCGAGAGTCACGCGGAGTTCATTGCTTCAAAAGGTGACGATGCCTGACTCCTCTTGAATACTGATAGGAATCCCAAAATCCCTGTGGCTCCTGGAAAGGTTCCTTGGGTGCCCTGGCTCACCTCGAGAAGCGTCCCTTTTGCCCTGCCAAGCCTCGAAGAGATTCCTGAGGTGTCCCTCGTTACTAGACAGGAGTCCTGACGTCACTGAAGAAACTCGTGTTTTGAAGGGCCATCCCTGCCTTAAGTCGAGAACATACCCCAGGTCCCCGCCGCAACTCGAGAAAAACCATGAGACTTCCCCCTAGAGGCGAGATGAGGAGCCATTCCCCTGCAGTGCATGCAGAGCTATTCCGGGATCCCATTCAAACAAGTCAGGAGCTTCGACTTGCTTAATGGATCTCGAGACAGTCCCCAAGAACACTGTCACCAGTCTAGACGGACCCTGAGGTCACCCAGCAATGCAAAGCAGCTCCACGTGCCCCAAATCAACTCGAGATGAGGCCCGATTCCCCTGCATTGACTCCAGAGCCATTCCCCGTTCCCCATTCAACACGACCGGTGGCTCGACTTCCTTCAGGCAACTCCAGGGATGCCCCGAGAACACTGTCCCAAGTCTAGAGGAACACCAACTTCAGCACAGCAACTCGAGGAATGCTCTGTGTACCCCAAATCGTCTCGAGATGAGAGCTGATTCCCTGGCTTAGGCTCAAGACGTATGCCACCTTTCCAGAAGCACCTCAGGAGGAGGCTTCTCTCAGCAATAGGTATGTGGGAGGGACCCCGAGTTTGCTGCCTCAAGGGGAATATACAGCGAGAAGCCCTAACTTGAAAGGAGGCCGGATTTCCTTGCAGTGGCTTGAATACAGGCTCGTCTTTCATCTCACAACATGAAGGGATGTCTGAATCCCCTGTGGAGACCTTAGAGAAAGCCCTAGGTCCCTGCCTCATTTTGACGGAATGCCTCACATCCCGCTGACACCTCGAGAGGCACGCGGAGTTCATTGCTTCAAAAGTTGACGATGCCTGACTCCTCTTGAATACTGATAGGAATCCCAAAATCCCTGTGGCTACTGGAAAGGGTCCTTGGGTGCCCTGCCTCACCTCGAGAAGCGTCCCTTTTGCCCTGCCAAGCCTCGAAGAGATTCCTGAGGTGTCCCTCGTTACTAGGCAGGAGTCCTGACGTCACTGGAGAAACTCGTGTTTTGAAGGGCCATCCCCGCCGTAAGTCGAGAACATAACCCAGGTCCCCGCCGCAACTCGAGAAAAACCATGAGACTTCCCCCTAGAGGCGAGATGAGGCCCCATTCCCCTGCAGTGCATGCAGAGCTATTCCGTGATCCCATTCAAACAAGTCAGGAGCTTCGACTTGCTTAATGGATCTCGAGACAGTCCCCAAGAACACTGTCACCAGTCTAGACGGACCCTGAGGTCACCCAGCAATGCAAAGCAGCTCCATGTGCCCCAAATCACCTCGAGATGAGGCCGGATTCCCCTGCATTGACTCCAGAGCCATTCCTTGTTCCCCATTCAACACGACCGGTGGCTCGACTTCCTTCAGGCAACTCCAGAGATGCCTCGAGAGCACTATCCCAAGTCTAGAGGAACACCAACTTCAGCAGAGCAACTCTAGGAATGCTCTGTGTACCCCAAATCGTCTCGAGATGAGAGCTGATTCCCTGGCTTAGGCTCAAGACGTATGCCACCTTTCCAGAAGCACCTCAGGAGGAGGCTTCTCTCAGCAATAGGTATGTGGGAGGGACCCCGAGTTTGCTGCCTCAAGGGGAATATACAGCGAGAAGCCCTAACTTGAAAGGAGGCCGGATTTCCTTGCAGTGGCTTGAATACAGGCTCGTCTTTCATCTCACAACATGAAGGGATGTCTGAATCCCCTGTGGAGACCTTAGAGAAAGCAATAGGTCCCTGCCTCATTTTGACGGAATCCTCACATCCCGCTGACACCTCGAGAGGCACGCGGAGTTCATTGCTTCAAAAGGTGACGATGCCTGACTCATCTTGAATACTTATAGGAATCCCAAAATCCCTGTGGCTACTGGAAAGGGTCCTTGGGTGCCCTGGCTCACCTCGAGAAGCGTCCCTTTTGCCCTGCCAAGCCTCGAAGAGATTGCTGACGTGTCCCTCGTTACTAGACAGGAGTCCTGACGTCACTGAAGAAACTCGTGTTTTGAAGGGCCATCCCCGCCGTAAGTCGAGAACATACCCCAGGTCCCCGCCGCAACTCGAGAAAAACCATGAGACTTCCCCCTAGAGGCGAGATGAGGCCCCATTCCCCTGCAGTGCATGCAGAGCTATTCCGTGATCCCATTCAAACAAGTCAGGAGCTTCGACTTGCTTAATGGATCTCGAGACAGTCCCCAAGAACACTGTCACCAGTCTAGACGGACCCTGAGGTCACCCCAGCAACGCAAAGCAGCTCCATGTGCCCCAAATCAACTCGAGATGAGGCCCGATTCCCCTGCATTGACTCCAGAGCCATTCCCCGTTCCCCATTCAACACGACCGGTGGCTCGACTTCCTTCAGGCAACTGCAGAGATGCCCCGAGAACACTGCCCCAAGTCTAGAGGAACACCAACTTCAGCACAGCAACTCGAGGAATGCTCCGTGTACCCCAAATCATCTCGAGATGAGAGCTGATTCTCTGGCTTAGGCTCAAGACGTATGCCACCTTTCCAGAAGCACCTCAGGAGGAGGCTTCTCTCAGCAATAGGTATGTGGGAGCGACCCCGAGTTTGCTGCCTCAAGGGGAATACACAGGGAGAAGCCCTAACGTGAACGGAGGCCAGATTTCCTTGCAGTGGGTTGAATAAAGGCTCGTCTTCGATCTGAAAACATGAAGGGATGTCTGAATTCCCTGTGGAGACCTTAGAGGAAGCCCTAGGTCCCTGCCTCATTTTGACGGAATACCTCACATCCCCCTGACACCTCGAGAGGCACGCAGAGTTCATTGCTTCAAAAGGTGACGATGCCTGACTCCTCTTGAATACTTATAGGAATCCCAAAATCCCTGTTGCTACTGGAAAGGGTCCTTGGGTGCCCTGGCTCACCTCGAGAAGCGTCCCTTTTGCCCTGCCAAGCCTCGAAGAAATTGCTGAGGTGTCCCTCATTACTAGACAGGAGTCCTGACGTCACGGAAGAAACTCGTGTTTTGAAGGGCCATCCCCGCCGTAAGTTGAGAACATAACCCAGGTCCCCGCCGCAACTCGAGAAAAACCATGAGACTTCCACCTAGAGGCGAGATGAGGCCCCATTCCCCTGCAGTGCATGCAGAGCTATTCCGTGATCCCATTCAAACAAGTCAGGAGCTTCGACTTGCTTAATGGATCTCGAGGCAGTCCCCAAGAACACTGTCACCAGTCTAGACGGACCCTGAGGTCACCCAGCAATGCAAAGCAGCTCCATGTGCCCCAAATCAACTCGAGATGAGGCCGGATTCCCCTGCATTGACTCCAGAGCCATTCCTTGTTCCCCATTCAACACGACCGGTGGCTCGACTTCTTTCAGGCAACTCCAGAGATGCCCCGAGAACACTGTCCCAAGTCTAGAGGACCACCAACTTCAGCACAGCAACTCGAGAAATGCTCTGTGTACCCCAAATCGTCTCGAGATGAGAGCTGATTCCCTGGCTTAGGCTCAAGACGTATGCCACCTTTCCAGAAGCACCTCAGGAGGAGGCTTCTCTCAGCAATAGGTATGTGGGAGGGACCCCGAGTTTGCTGCCTCAAGGGGAATATACAGCGAGAAGCCCTAACTTGAAAGGAGGCCGGATTTCCTTGCAGTGGCTTGAATACAGGCTCGTCTTTGATCTGACAACATGAAGGGATGTCTGAATCCCCTGTGGAGACCTTAGAGGAAGCCCTAGGTCCCTGCCTCATTTTGACGGAATCCTCACATCCCGCTGACACCTCGAGAGGCACGCGGAGTTCATTGCTTCAAAAGGTGACGATGCCTGACTCCTCTTGAATACTGATAGGAATCCCAAAATCCCTGTGGCTACTGGAAAGGGTCCTTGGGTGCCCTGGCTCACCTCGAGAAGCGTCCCTTTTGCCCTGCCAAGCCTCGAAGAGATTGCTGAGGTGTCCCTCGTTACTAGACAGGAGTCCTGACGTCACGGAAGAAACTCGTGTTTTGAAGGGCCATCCCCGCCGTAAGTCGAGAACATACCCCAGGTCCCCGCCACAACTCGAGAAAAACCATGAGACTTCCCCCTAGAGGCGAGATGAGGCCCCATTCCCCTGCAGTGCATGCAGAGCTATTCCGTGATCCCATTCAAACAAGTCAGGAGCTTCGACTTGCTTAATGGATCTCGAGACAGTCCCCAAGAACACTGTCACCAGTCTAGACGGACCCTGAGGTCACCCAGCAATGCAAAGCAGCTCCATGTGCCCCAAATCAACTCGAGATGAGGCCGGATTCCCCTGCATTGACTCCAGAGCCATTCCTTGTTCCCCATTCAACACGACCGGTGGCTCGACTTCCTTCAGGCAACTCCAGAGATGCCCCGAGAACACTCTCCCAAGTCTAGAGGAACACCTACTTCAGCACAGCAACTCGAGGAATGCTCTGTGTACCCCAAATCGTCTCGAGATGAGAGCTGATTCCCTGGCTTAGGCTCAAGACGTATGCCACCTTTCCAGAAACAGCTCAGGAGGAGGCTTCTCTCAGCAATAGGTATGTGGGAGGGACCCCGAGTTTGCTGCCTCAAGGGGAATATACAGCGAGAAGCCCTAACTTGAAAGGAGGCCGGATTTCCTTGCAGTGGCTTGAATACAGGCTCGTCTTTCATCTCACAACATGAAGGGATGTCTGAATCCCCTGTGGAGACCTTAGAGAAAGCCCTAGGTCCCTGCCTCATTTTGACGGAATCCTCACATCCCGCTGACACCTCGAGAGGCACGCGGAGTTCATTGCTTCAAAAGGTGACGATGCCTGACTCATCTTGAATACTTATAGGAATCCCAAAATCCCTGTGGCTACTGGAAAGGGTCCTTGGGTGCCCTGGCTCACCTCGAGAAGCGTCCCTTTTGCCCTGCCAAGCCTCGAAGAGATTGCTGACGTGTCCCTCGTTACTAGACAGGAGTCCTGACGTCACTGAAGAAACTCGTGTTTTGAAGGGCCATCCCCGCCGTAAGTCGAGAACATACCCCAGGTCCCTGCCGCAACTCGAGAAAAACCATGAGACTTCCCCCTAGAGGCGAGATGAGGCCCCATTCCCCTGCAGTGCATGCAGAGCTATTCCGTGATCCCATTCAAACAAGTCAGGAGCTTCGACTTGCTTAATGGATCTCGAGACAGTCCCCAAGAACACTGTAACCAGTCTAGACGGACCCTGAGGTCACCCCAGCAACGCAAAGCAGCTCCATGTGCCCCAAATCAACTCGAGATGAGGCCCGATTCCCCTGCATTGACTCCAGAGCCATTCCCCGTTCCCCATTCAACACGACCGGTGGCTCGACTTCCTTCAGGCAACTGCAGAGATGCCCCGAGAACACTGCCCCAAGTCTAGAGGAACACCAACTTCAGCACAGCAACTCGAGGAATGCTCCGTGTACCCCAAATCATCTCGAGATGAGAGCTGATTCTCTGGCTTAGGCTCAAGACGTATGCCACCTTTCCAGAAGCACCTCAGGAGGAGGCTTCTCTCAGCAATAGTTATGTGGGAGCGACCCCGAGTTTGCTGCCTCAAGGGGAATACACAGGGAGAAGCCCTAACGTGAACGGAGGCCAGATTTCCTTGCAGTGGGTTGAATAAAGGCTCGTCTTCGATCTGAAAACATGAAGGGATGTCTGAATTCCCTGTGGAGACCTTAGAGGAAGCCCTAGGTCCCTGCCTCATTTTGACGGAATACCTCACATCCCCCTGACATCTCGAGAGGCACGCAGAGTTCATTGCTTCAAAAGGTGACGATGCCTGACTCCTCTTGAATACTTATAGGAATCCCAAAATCCCTGTTGCTACTGGAAAGGGTCCTTGGGTGCCCTGGCTCACCTCGAGAAGCGTCCCTTTTGCCCTGCCAAGCCTCGAAGAAATTGCTGAGGTGTCCCTCGTTACTAGACAGGAGTCCTGACGTCACGGAAGAAACTCGTGTTTTGAAGGGCCATCCCCGCCGTAAGTCGAGAACATAACCCAGGTCCCCGCCGCAACTCGAGAAAAACCATGAGACTTCCCCCTAGAGGCGAGATGAGGCCCCATTCCCCTGCAGTGCATGCAGAGCTATTCCGTGATCCCATTCAAACAAGTCAGGAGCTTCGACTTGCTTAATGGATCTCGAGGCAGTCCCCAAGAACACTGTCACCAGTCTAGACGGACCCTGAGGTCACCCAGCAATGCAAAGCAGCTCCATGTGCCCCAAATCAACTCGAGATGAGGCCGGATTCCCCTGCATTGACTCCAGAGCCATTCCTTGTTCCCCATTCAACACGACCGGTGGCTCGACTTCTTTCAGGCAACTCCAGAGATGCCCCGAGAACACTGTCCCAAGTCTAGAGGACCACCAACTTCAGCACAGCAACTCGAGAAATGCTCTGTGTACCCCAAATCGTCTCGAGATGAGAGCTGATTCCCTGGATTAGGCTCAAGACGTATGCCACCTTTCCAGAAGCACCTCAGGAGGAGGCTTCTCTCAGCAATAGGTATGTGGGAGGGACCCCGAGTTTGCTGCCTCAAGGGGAATATACAGCGAGAAGCCCTAACTTGAAAGGAGGCCGGATTTCCTTGCAGTGGCTTGAATACAGGCTCGTCTTTCATCTCACAACATGAAGGGATGTCTGAATCCCCTGTGGAGACCTTAGAGAAAGCCCTAGGTCCCTGCCTCATTTTGACGGAATCCTCATATCCCGCTGACACCTCGAGAGGCACGCGGAGTTCATTGCTTCAAAAGGTGACGATGCCTGACTCCTCTTGAATACTTATAGGAATCCCAAAATCCCTGTGGCTACTGGAAAGGGTCCTTGGGTGCCCTGGCTCACCTCGAGAAGCGTCCCTTTTGCCCTGCCAAGCCTCGAAGAGATTGCTGAGGTGTCCCTCGTTACTAGACAGGAGTCCTGACGTCACGGAAGAAACTCGTGTTTTGAAGGGCCATCCCCGCCGTAAGTCGAGAACATACCCCAGGTCCCCGCCGCAACTCGAGAAAAACCATGAGACTTCCCCCTAGAGGCGAGATGAGGCCCCATTCCCCTGCAGTGCATGCAGAGCTATTCCGTGATCCCATTCAAACAAGTCAGGAGCTTCGACTTGCTTAATGGATCTCGAGACAGTCCCCAAGAACACTGTCACCAGTCTAGACGGACCCTGAGGTCACCCAGCAATGCAAAGCAGCTCCATGTGCCCCAAATCAACTCGAGATGAGGCCGGATTCCCCTGCATTGACTCCAGAGCCATTCCTTGTTCCCCATTCAACACGACCGGTGGCTCGACTTCCTTCAGGCAACTCCAGAGATGCCCCGAGAACACTCTCCCAAGTCTAGAGGAACACCTACTTCAGCACAGCAACTCGAGGAATGCTCTGTGTACCCCAAATCGTCTCGAGATGAGAGCTGATTCCCTGGCTTAGGCTCAAGACGTATGCCACCTTTCCAGAAACAACTCAGGAGGAGGCTTCTCTCAGCAATAGGTATGTGGGAGGGACCCCGAGTTTGCTGCCTCAAGGGGAATATACAGCGAGAAGTCCTAACTTGAAAGGAGGCCAGATTTCCTTGCAGTGGCTTGAATACCGGCTCGTCTTTCATCTCACAACATGAAGGGTTGTCTGAATCCCCTGTGGAGACCTTAGAGAAAGCCCTACGTCCCTGCCTCATTTTGACGGAATCCTCACATCCCGCTGACACCTCGAAAGGCACGCGGAGTTCATTGCTTCAAAAGGTGACGATGCCTGACTCCTCTTGAATACTTATAGGAATCCCAAAATCCCTGTGGCTACTGGAAAGGGTCCTTGGGTGCCCTGGCTCACCTCGAGAAGCTTCCCTTTTGCCCTGCCAAGCCTCGAAGAGATTGCTGAGGTGTCCCTTGTTACTAGACAGGAGTCCTGACGTCACTGAAGAAACTCGTGTTTTGAAGGGCCATCCCCGCCGTAAGTCGAGAACATACCCCAGGTCCCCGCCGCAACTCGAGAAAAACCATGAGACTTCCCCCTAGAGGCGAGATGAGGCCCCATTCCCCTGCAGTGCATGCAGAGCTATTCCGTGATCCCATTCAAACAAGTCAGGAGCTTCGACTTGCTTAATGGATCTCGAGACAGTCCCCAAGAACACTGTCACCAGTCTAGACGGACCCTGAGGTTACCCCAGCAACGCAAAGCTGCTCCATGTGCCCCAAATCAACTCGAGATGAGGCCCGATTCCCCTGCATTGACTCCAGAGCCATTCCCCGTTCCCCATTCAACACGACCGGTGGCTCGACTTCCTTCAGGCAACTGCAGAGATGCCCCGAGAACACTGCCCCAAGTCTAGAGGAACACCAACTTCAGCACAGCAACTCGAGGAATGCTCCGTGTACCCCAAATCATCTCGAGATGAGAGCTGATTCTCTGGCTTAGGCTCAAGACGTATGCCAACTTTCCAGAAGCACCTCAGGAGGAGGCTTCTCTCAGCAATAGCTATGTGGGAGGGACCCCGAGTTTGCTGCCTCAAGGGGAATACACAGGGAGAAGCCCTAACGTGAACGGAGGCCAGATTTCCTTGCAGTGGGTTGAATAAAGGCTCGTCTTCAATCTGAAAACATGAAGGGATGTCTGAATTCCCTGTGGAGACCTTAGAGGAAGCCCTAGGTCCCTGCCTCATTTTGACGGAATACCTCACATCCCCCTGACACCTCGAGAGGCACGCAGAGTTCATTGCTTCAAAAGGTGACGATGCCTGACTCCTCTTGAATACTTATAGGAATCCCAAAATCCCTGTTGCTACTGGAAAGGGTCCTTGGGTGCCCTGGCTCACCTCGAGAAGCGTCCCTTTTGCCCTGCCAAGCCTCGAAGAAATTGCTGAGGTGTCCTTCGTTACTAGACAGGAGTCCTGACGTCACGGAAGAAACTCGTGTTTTGAAGGGCCATCCCCGCCGTAAGTCGAGAACATACCCCAGGTCCCCGCCGCAACTCGAGAAAAACCATGAGACTTCCCCCTAGAGGCGAGATGAGGCCCCATTCCCCTGCAGTGCATGCACAGCTATTCCGTGATCCCATTCAAACAAGTCAGGAGCTTCGACTTGCTTAATGGATCTCGAGGCAGTCCCCAAGAACACTGTCACCAGTCTAGACGGACCCTGAGGTCACCCAGCAATGCAAAGCAGCTCCATGTGCCCCAAATCAACTCGAGATGAGGCCGGATTCCCCTGCATTGACTCCAGAGCCATTCCTTGTTCCCCATTCAACACGACCGGTGGCTCGACTTCTTTCAGGCAACTCCAGAGATGCCCCGAGAACACTGTCCCAAGTCTAGAGGACCACCAACTTCAGCACAGCAACTCGAGAAATGCTCTGTGCACCCCAAATCGTCTCGAGATGAGAGCTGATTCCCTGGCTTAGGCTCAAGACGTATGCCACCTTTCCAGAAGCACCTCAGGAGGAGGCTTCTCTCAGCAATAGGTATGTGGGAGGGACCCCGAGTTTGCTGCCTCAAGGGGAATATACAGCGAGAAGCCCTAACTTGAAAGGAGGCCGGATTTCCTTGCAGTGGCTTGAATACAGACTCGTCTTTCATATCACAACATGAAGGGATGTCTGAATCCCCTGTGGAGACCTTAGAGAAAGCCCTAGGTCCCTGCCTCATTTTGACGGAATCCTCATATCCCGCTGACACCTCGAGAGGCACGCGGAGTTCATTGCTTCAAAAGGTGACGATGCCTGACTCCTCTTGAATACTTATAGGAATCCCAAAATCCCTGTGGCTACTGGAATGGGTCCTTGGGTGCCCTGGCTCACCTCGAGAAGCGTCCCTTTTGCCCTTCCAAGCCTCGAAGAGATTGCTGAGGTGTCCCTCGTTACTAGACAGGAGTCCTGACGTCACGGAAGAAACTCGTGTTTTGAAGGGCCATCCCCGCCGTAAGTCGAGAACATACCCCAGGTCCCCGCCGCAACTCGAGAAAAACCATGAGACTTCCCCCTAGAGGCGAGATGAGGCCCCATTCCCCTGCAGTGCATGCAGAGCTGTTCCGTGATCCCATTCAAACAAGTCAGGAGCTTCGACTTGCTTAATGGATCTGGAGACAGTCCCCAAGAACACTGTCACCAGTCTAGACGGACCCTGAGGTCACCCAGCAATGCAAAGCAGCTCCATGTGCCCCAAATCAACTCGAGATGAGGCCGGATTCCCCTGCATTGACTCCAGAGCCATTCCTTGTTCCCCATTCAAGACGACCGGTGGCTCGACTTCCTTCAGGCAACTCCAGAGATGCCCCGAGAACACTGTCCCAAGTCTAGAGGAACACCAACTTCAGCACAGCAACTCGAGGAATGCTCTGTGTACCCCAAATCGTCTCGAGATGAGAGCTGATTCCCTGGCTTAGGCTCAAGACGTATGCCACCTTTCCAGAAACACCTCAGGAGGAGGCTTCTCTCAGCAATAGGTATGTGGGAGGGACCCCGAGTGTGCTGCCTCAAGGGGAATATACAGCGAGAAGTCCTAACTTGAAAGGAGGCCGGATTTCCTTGCAGTGGCTTGAATACCGGCTCGTCTTTCATCTCACAACATGAAGGGATGTCTGAATCCCCTGTGGAGACCTTAGAGAAAGCCCTAGGTCCCTGCCTCATTTTGACGGAATCCTCACATCCCGCTGACACCTCGAGAGGCACGCGGAGTTCATTGCTTCAAAAGGTGACGATGCCTGACTCCTCTTGAATACTTATAGGAATCCCAAAATCCCTGTGGCTACTGGAAAGGGTCCTTGGGTGCCCTGGCTCACCTCGAGAAGCGTCCCTTTTGCCCTGCCAAGCCTCGAAGAGATTGCTGAGGTGTCCTTCGTTACTAGACAGGAGTCCTGACGTCACGGAAGAAACTCGTGTTTTGAAGTTCCATCCCCGCCGTAAGTCGAGAACATACCCCAGGTCCCCGCCGCAACTCGAGAAAAACCATGAGACTTCCCCCTAGAGGCGAGATGAGGCCCCATTCCCCTGCAGTGCATGCAGAGCTATTCCGTGATCCCATTCAAACAAGTCAGGAGCTTCGACTTGCTTAATGGATCTCGAGACAGTCCCCAAGAACACTGTCACCAGTCTAGACGGACCCTGAGGTCACCCCAGCAACGCAAAGCAGCTCCATGTGCCCCAAATCAACTCGAGATGAGGCCCGATTCCCCTGCATTGACTCCAGAGCCATTCCCCGTTCCCCATTCAACACGACTGGTGGCTCGCTTTCCTTCAGGCAACTCCAGAGATGCCCCGAGAACACTGTCCCAAGTCTAGAGGAACACCAACTTCAGCACAGCAACTCGAGGAATGCTCTGTGTACCCCAAATCGTCTCGAGATGAGAGCTGATTCCCTGGCTTAGGCTCAAGACGTATGCCAACTTTCCAGAAGCACCTCAGGAGGAGGCTTCTCAGCAATAGGTATGTGGGAGGGACTCCGAGTTTGCTGCCTCAAGGGGAATATACAGCGAGAAGCCCTAACTTGAAAGGAGGCCGGATTTCCTTGCAGTAGCTTGAATACAGGCTTGTCTTTCATCTCACAACATGAAGGGATGTCTGAATCCCCTGTGAAGACCTTAGAGAAAGCCCTAGGACCCTGCCTCATTTTGACGGAATGCCTCACATCCCGCTGACAACTCGAGAGGCACGCGGAGTTCATTGCTTCAAAAGGTGACGATGCCTGACTCCTCTTGAATACTGATAGGAATCCCAAAATCCCTGTGGCTACTGGAAAGGTTCCTTGGGTGCCCTGGCTCACCTCGAGAAGCGTCCCTTTTGCCCTGCCAAGCCTCGAAGAGATTCCTGAGGTGTCCCTCGTTACTAGACAGGAGTCCTGACGTCACTGAAGAAACTCGTGTTTTGAAGGGCCATCCCCGCCGTAAGTCGAGAACATACCCCAGGTCCCCGCCGCAACTCGAGAAAAACCATGAGACTTCCCCCTAGAGGCGAGATGAGGCCCCATTCCCCTGCAGTGCATGCAGAGCTATTCCGTGATCCCATTCAAACAAGTCAGGAGCTTCGACTTGCTTAATGGATCTCGAGACAGTCCCCAAGAACACTGTCACCAGTCTAGACGGACCCTGAGGTCACCCCAGCAACGCAAAGCTGCTCCATGTGCCCCAAATCAACTCGAGATGAGGCCCGATTCCCCTGCATTGACTCCAGAGCCATTCCCCGTTCCCCATTCAACACGACCGGTGGCTCGACTTCCTTCAGGCAACTGCAGAGATGCCCCGAGAACACTGCCCCAAGTCTAGAGGAACACCAACTTCAGCACAGCAACTCGAGGAATGCTCCGTGTACTCCAAATCATCTCGAGATGAGAGCTGATTCTCTGGCTTAGGCTCAAGACGTATGCCAACTTTCCAGAAGCACCTCAGGAGGAGGCTTCTCTCAGCAATAGGTATGTGGGAGCGACCCCGAGTTTGCTGCCTCAAGGGGAATACACAGGGAGAAGCCCTAACGTGAACGGAGGCCAGATTTCCTTGCAGTGGGTTGAATAAAGGCTCGTCTTCGATCTGAAAACATGAAGGGATGTCTGAATTCCCTGTGGAGACCTTAGAGGAAGCCCTAGGTCCCTGCCTCATTTTGACGGAATACCTCACATCCCCCTGACACCCCGAGAGGCACTCAGAGTTCATTGCTTCAAAAGGTGACGATGCCTGACTCCTCTTGAATACTTATAGGAATCCCAAAATCCCTGTGGCTACTGGAAAGGGTACTTGGGTGCCCTGGCTCACCTCGAGAAGCGTCCCTTTTGCCCTGCCAAGCCTCGAAGAGATTGCTGAGGTGTCCCTCGTTACTAGACAGGAGTCCTGACGTCACTGAAGAAACTCGTGTTTTGAAGTTCCATCCCCGCCGTAAGTCGAGAACATACCCCAGGTCCCCGCCGCAACTCGAGAAAAACCATGAGACTTCCCCCTAGAGGCGAGATGAGGCCCCATTCCCCTGCAGTGCATGCAGAGCTATTCCGTGATCCCATTCAAACAAGTCAGGAGCTTCGACTTGCTTAATGGATCTCGAGACAGTCCCCAAGAACACTGTCACCAGTCTAGACGGACCCTGAGGTCACCCCAGCAACGCAAAGCAGCTCCATGTGCCCCAAATCAACTCGAGATGAGGCCCGATTCCCCTGCATTGACTCCAGAGCCATTCCCCGTTCCCCATTCAACACGACTGGTGGCTCGCTTTCCTTCAGGCAACTCCAGAGATGCCCCGAGAACACTGTCCCAAGTCTAGAGGAACACCAACTTCAGCACAGCAACTCGAGGAATGCTCTGTGTACCCCAAATCGTGTCGAGATGAGAGCTGATTCCCTGGCTTAGGCTCAAGACGTATGCCAACTTTCCAGAAGCACCTCAGGAGGAGACTTCTCAGCAATAGGTATGTGGGAGGGACTCCGAGTTTGCTCCCTCAAGGGGAATATACAGCGAGAAGCCCTAACTTGAAAGGAGGCCGGATTTCCTTGCAGTAGCTTGAATACAGGCTTGTCTTTCATCTCACAACATGAAGGGATGTCTGAATCCCCTGTGAAGACCTTAGAGAAAGCCCTAGGACCCTGCCTCATTTTGACGGCATGCCTCACATCCCGCTGACAACTCGAGAGGCACGCGGAGTTCATTGCTTCAAAAGGTGACGATGCCTGACTCCTCTTGTATACTGATAGGAATCCCAAAATCCCTGTGGCTACTGGAAAGGTTCCTTGGGTGCCCTGGCTCACCTCGAGAAGCGTCCCTTTTGCCCTGCCAAGCCTCGAAGAAATTGCTGAGGTGTCCCTCGTTACTAGACAGGAGTCCTGACGTCACGGAAGAAACTCGTGTTTTGAAGGGCCATCCCCGCCGTAAGTCGAGAACATACCCCAGGTCCCCGCCGCAACTCGAGAAAAACCATGAGACTTCCCCCTAGAGGCGAGATGAGGCCCCATTCCCCTGCAGTGCATGCAGAGCTATTCTGTGATCCCATTCAAACAAGTCAGGAGCTTCGACTTGCTTAATGGATCTCGAGACAGTCCCCAAGAACACTGTCACCAGTCTAGACGGACCCTGAGGTCACCACAGCAACGCAAAGCAGCTCCATGTGCCCCAAATCAACTCGAGATGAGGCCCGATTCCCCTGCATTGACTCCAGAGCCATTCCCCGTTCCCCGTTCAACACGAACGGAGGCTCGCCTTCCTTCAGGCAACTCCAGAGATGCCCCGAGAACACTGTCCCAAGTCTAGAGGAACACCAACTTCAGCACAGCAACTCGAGGAATGCTCTGTGTACCCCAAATCGTCTCGAGATGAGAGCTGATTCCCTGGCGTAGGCTCAAGACGTATGCCAACTTTCCAGAAGCACCTCAGGAGGAGGCTTCTCAGCAATAGGTATGTGGGAGGGACTCCGAGTTTGCTGCCTCAAGGGGAATATACAGCGAGAAGCCCTAACTTGAAAGGAGGCCGGATTTCCTTGCAGTGGCTTGAATACAGGCTCGTCTTTCATCTCACAACATGAAGGGATGTCTGAATCCCCTGTGGAGACCTTAGAGAAAGCCCTAGGTCCCTGCCTCATTTTGACGGAATGCCTCACATCCCGCTGACACCTCGAGAGGCACGCGGAGTTCATTGCTTCAAAAGGTGACGATGCCTGACTCCTCTTGAATACTGATAGGAATCCCATAATCCCTGTGGCTACTGGAAAGGGTCCTTGGGTGCCCTGGCTCACCTCGAGAAGCGTCCCTTTTGCCCTGCCAAGCCTCAAAGAGATTCCTGAGGTGTCCCTCGTTACTAGGCAGGAGTCCTGACGTCACTGGAGAAACTCGTGTTTTGAAGGGCCATCCCCGCCGTAAATCGAGAACATACCCCAGGGCCCCGCCGCAACTCGAGAAAAACCGTGAGACTTCCCCCTAGAGGCGAGATGAGGCCCCATTCCCCTGCAGTGCATGCAGAGCTATTCCGTGATCCCATTCAAACAAGTCAGGAGCTTCGACTTGCTTAATGGATCTCGAGACAGTCCCCAAGAACACTGTCACCAGTCTAGACGGACCCTGAGGTCACCCAGCAATGCAAAGCAGCTCCATGTGCCCCAAATCAACTCGAGATGAGGCCGGATTCCCCTGCATTGACTCCAGAGCCATTCCTTGTTCCCCATTCAACACGACCGGTGGCTCGACTTCCTTCAGGCAACTCCAGAGATGCCCCGAGAACACTCTCCCAAGTCTAGAGGAACACCTACTTCAGCACAGCAACTCGAGGAATGCTCTGTGTACCCCAAATCGTCTCGAGATGAGAGCTGATTCCCTGGCTTAGGCTCAAGACGTATGCCACCTTTCCAGAAACAACTCAGGAGGAGGCTTCTCTCAGCAATAGGTATGTGGGAGGGACCCCGAGTTTGCTGCCTCAAGGGGAATATACAGCGAGAAGTCCTAACTTGAAAGGAGGCCAGATTTCCTTGCAGTGGCTTGAATACCGGCTCGTCTTTCATCTCACAACATGAAGGGATGTCTGAATCCCCTGTGGAGACCTTAGAGAAAGCCCTACGTCCCTGCCTCATTTTGACGGAATCCTCACATCCCGCTGACACCTCGAAAGGCACGCGGAGTTCATTGCTTCAAAAGGTGACGATGCCTGACTCCTCTTGAATACTTATAGGAATCCCAAAATCCCTGTGGCTACTGGAAAGGGTCCTTGGGTGCCCTGGCTCACCTCGAGAAGCTTCCCTTTTGCCCTGCCAAGCCTCGAAGAGATTGCTGAGGTGTCCCTTGTTACTAGACAGGAGTCCTGACGTCACTGAAGAAACTCGTGTTTTGAAGGGCCATCCCCGCCGTAAGTCGAGAACATACCCCAGGTCCCCGCCGCAACTCGAGAAAAACCATGAGACTTCCCCCTAGAGGCGAGATGAGGCCCCATTCCCCTGCAGTGCATGCAGAGCTATTCCGTGATCCCATTCAAACAAGTCAGGAGCTTCGACTTGCTTAATGGATCTCGAGACAGTCCCCAAGAACACTGTCACCAGTCTAGACGGACCCTGAGGTTACCCCAGCAACGCAAAGCTGCTCCATGTGCCCCAAATCAACTCGAGATGAGGCCCGATTCCCCTGCATTGACTCCAGAGCCATTCCCCGTTCCCCATTCAACACGACCGGTGGCTCGACTTCCTTCAGGCAACTGCAGAGATGCCCCGAGAACACTGCCCCAAGTCTAGAGGAACACCAACTTCAGCACAGCAACTCGAGGAATGCTCCGTGTACCCCAAATCATCTCGAGATGAGAGCTGATTCTCTGGCTTAGGCTCAAGACGTATGCCAACTTTCCAGAAGCACCTCAGGAGGAGGCTTCTCTCAGCAATAGCTATGTGGGAGGGACCCCGAGTTTGCTGCCTCAAGGGGAATACACAGGGAGAAGCCCTAACGTGAACGGAGGCCAGATTTCCTTGCAGTGGGTTGAATAAAGGCTCGTCTTCAATCTGAAAACATGAAGGGATGTCTGAATTCCCTGTGGAGACCTTAGAGGAAGCCCTAGGTCCCTGCCTCATTTTGACGGAATACCTCACATCCCCCTGACACCTCGAGAGGCACGCAGAGTTCATTGCTTCAAAAGGTGACGATGCCTGACTCCTCTTGAATACTTATAGGAATCCCAAAATCCCTGTTGCTACTGGAAAGGGTCCTTGGGTGCCCTGGCTCACCTCGAGAAGCGTCCCTTTTGCCCTGCCAAGCCTCGAAGAAATTGCTGAGGTGTCCTTCGTTATTAGACAGGAGTCCTGACGTCACGGAAGAAACTCGTGTTTTGAAGGGCCATCCCCGCCGTAAGTCGAGAACATACCCCAGGTCCCCGCCGCAACTCGAGAAAAACCATGAGACTTCCCCCTAGAGGCGAGATGAGGCCCCATTCCCCTGCAGTGCATGCAAAGCTATTCCGTGATCCCATTCAAACAAGTCAGGAGCTTCGACTTGCTTAATGGATCTCGAGGCAGTCCCCAAGAACACTGTCACCAGTCTAGACGGACCCTGAGGTCACCCAGCAATGCAAAGCAGCTCCATGTGCCCCAAATCAACTCGAGATGAGGCCGGATTCCCCTGCATTGACTCCAGAGCCATTCCTTGTTCCCCATTCAACACGACCGGTGGCTCGACTTCTTTCAGGCAACTCCAGAGATGCCCCGAGAACACTGTCCCAAGTCTAGAGGACCACCAACTTCAGCACAGCAACTCGAGAAATGCTCTGTGCACCCCAAATCGTCTCGAGATGAGAGCTGATTCCCTGGCTTAGGCTCAAGACGTATGCCACCTTTCCAGAAGCACCTCAGGAGGAGGCTTCTCTCAGCAATAGGTATGTGGGAGGGACCCCGAGTTTGCTGCCTCAAGGGGAATATACAGCGAGAAGCCCTAACTTGAAAGGAGGCCGGATTTCCTTGCAGTGGCTTGAATACAGACTCGTCTTTCATCTCACAACATGAAGGGATGTCTGAATCCCCTGTGGAGACCTTAGAGAAAGCCCTAGGTCCCTGCCTCATTTTGACGGAATCCTCATATCCCGCTGACACCTCGAGAGGCACGCGGAGTTCATTGCTTCAAAAGGTGACGATGCCTGACTCCTCTTGAATACTTATAGGAATCCCAAAATCCCTGTGGCTACTGGAATGGGTCCTTGGGTGCCCTGGCTCACCTCGAGAAGCGTCCCTTTTGCCCTTCCAAGCCTCGAAGAGATTGCTGAGGTGTCCCTCGTTACTAGACAGGAGTCCTGACGTCACGGAAGAAACTCGTGTTTTGAAGGGCCATCCCCGCCGTAAGTCGAGAACATACCCCAGGTCCCCGCCGCAACTCGAGAAAAACCATGAGACTTCCCCCTAGAGGCGAGATGAGGCCCCATTCCCCTGCAGTGCATGCAGAGCTATTCCGTGATCCCATTCAAACAAGTCAGGAGCTTCGACTTGCTTAATGGATCTGGAGACAGTCCCCAAGAACACTGTCACCAGTCTAGACGGACCCTGAGGTCACCCAGCAATGCAAAGCAGCTCCATGTGCCCCAAATCAACTCGAGATGAGGCCGGATTCCCCTGCATTGACTCCAGAGCCATTCCTTGTTCCCCATTCAAGACGACCGGTGGCTCGACTTCCTTCAGGCAACTCCAGAGATGCCCCGAGAACACTGTCCCAAGTCTAGAGGAACACCAACTTTAGCACAGCAACTCGAGGAATGCTCTGTGTACCCCAAATCGTCTCGAGATGAGAGCTGATTCCCTGGCTTAGGCTCAAGACGTATGCCACCTTTCCAGAAACACCTCAGGAGGAGGCTTCTCTCAGCAATAGGTATGTGGGAGGGACCCCGAGTGTGCTGCCTCAAGGGGAATATACAGCGAGAAGTCCTAACTTGAAAGGAGGCCGGATTTCCTTGCAGTGGCTTGAATACCGGCTCGTCTTTCATCTCACAACATGAAGGGATGTCTGAATCCCCTGTGGAGACCTTAGAGAAAGCCCTAGGTCCCTGCCTCATTTTGACGGAATCCTCACATCCCGCTGACACCTCGAGAGGCACGCGGAGTTCATTGCTTCAAAAGGTGACGATGCCTGACTCCTCTTGAATACTTATAGGAATCCCAAAATCCCTGTGGCTACTGGAAAGGGTCCTTGGGTGCCCTGGCTCACCTCGAGAAGCGTCCCTTTTGCCCTGCCAAGCCTCGAAGAGATTGCTGAGGTGTCCCTCGTTACTAGACAGGAGTCCTGACGTCACGGAAGAAACTCGTGTTTTGAAGTTCCATCCCCGCCGTAAGTCGAGAACATACCCCAGGTCCCCGCCGCAACTCGAGAAAAACCATGAGACTTCCCCCTAGAGGCGAGATGAGGCCCCATTCCCCTGCAGTGCATGCAGAGCTATTCCGTGATCCCATTCAAACAAGTCAGGAGCTTCGACTTGCTTAATGGATCTCGAGACAGTCCCCAAGAACACTGTCACCAGTCTAGACGGACCCTGAGGTCACCCCAGCAACGCAAAGCAGCTCCATGTGCCCCAAATCAACTCGAGATGAGGCCCGATTCCCCTGCATTGACTCCAGAGCCATTCCCCGTTCCCCATTCAACACGACTGGTGGCTCGCTTTCCTTCAGGCAACTCTAGAGATGCCCCGAGAACACTGTCCCAAGTCTAGAGGAACACCAACTTCAGCACAGCAACTCGAGGAATGCTCTGTGTACCCCAAATCGTCTCGAGATGAGAGCTGATTCCCTGGCTTAGGCTCAAGACGTATGCCAACTTTCCAGAAGCACCTCAGGAGGAGGCTTCTCAGCAATAGGTATGTGGGAGGGACTCCGAGTTTGCTGCCTCAAGGGGAATATACAGCGAGAAGCCCTAACTTGAAAGGAGGACGGATTTCCTTGCAGTAGCTTGAATACAGGCTTGTCTTTCATCTCACAACATGAAGGGATGTCTGAATCCCCTGTGAAGACCTTAGAGAAAGCCCTAGGACCCTGCCTCATTTTGACGGAATGCCTCACATCCCGCTGACAACTCGAGAGGCACGCGGAGTTCATTGCTTCAAAAGGTGACGATGCCTGACTCCTCTTGAATACTGATAGGAATCCCAAAATCCCTGTGGCTACTGGAAAGGTTCCTTGGGTGCCCTGGCTCACCTCGAGAAGCGTCCCTTTTGCCCTGCCAAGCCTCGAAGAGATTCCTGAGGTGTCCCTCGTTACTAGACAGGAGTCCTGACGTCACTGAAGAAACTCGTGTTTTGAAGGGCCATCCCCGCCGTAAGTCGAGAACATACCCCAGGTCCCCGCCGCAACTCGAGAAAAACCATGAGACTTCCCCCTAGAGGCGAGATGAGGCCCCATTCCCCTGCAGTGCATGCAGAGCTATTCCGTGATCCCATTCAAACAAGTCAGGAGCTTCGACTTGCTTAATGGATCTCGAGACAGTCCCCAAGAACACTGTCACCAGTCTAGACGGACCCTGAGGTCACCCCAGCAACGCAAAGCTGCTCCATGTGCCCCAAATCAACTCGAGATGAGGCCCGATTCCCCTGCATTGACTCCAGAGCCATTCCCCGTTCCCCATTCAACACGACCGGTGGCTCGACTTCCTTCAGGCAACTGCAGAGATGCCCCGAGAACACTGCCCCAAGTCTAGAGGAACACCAACTTCAGCACAGCAACTCGAGGAATGCTCCGTGTACTCCAAATCATCTCGAGATGAGAGCTGATTCTCTGGCTTAGGCTCAAGACGTATGCCAACTTTCCAGAAGCACCTCAGGAGGAGGCTTCTCTCAGCAATAGGTATGTGGGAGCGACCCCGAGTTTGCTGCCTCAAGGGGAATACACAGGGAGAAGCCCTAACGTGAACGGAGGCCAGATTTCCTTGCAGTGGGTTGAATAAAGGCTCGTCTTCGATCTGAAAACATGAAGGGATGTCTGAATTCCCTGTGGAGACCTTAGAGGAAGCCCTAGGTCCCTGCCTCATTTTGACGGAATACCTCACATCCCCCTGACACCCCGAGAGGCACTCAGAGTTCATTGCTTCAAAAGGTGACGATGCCTGACTCCTCTTGAATACTTATAGGAATCCCAAAATCCCTGTTGCTACAGGAAAGGGTACTTGGGTGCCCTGGCTCACCTCGAGAAGCGTCCCTTTTGCCCTGCCAAGCCTCGAAGAGATTGCTGAGGTGTCCCTCGTTACTAGACAGGAGTTCTGACGTCACTGAAGAAACTCGTGTTTTGAAGTTCCATCCCCGCCGTAAGTCGAGAACATACCCCAGGTCCCCGCCGCAACTCGAGAAAAACCATGAGACTTCCCCCTAGAGGCGAGATGAGGCCCCATTCCCCTGCAGTGCATGCAGAGCTATTCCGTGATCCCATTCAAACAAGTCAGGAGCTTCGACTTGCTTAATGGATCTCGAGACAGTCCCCAAGAACACTGTCACCAGTCTAGACGGACCCTGAGGTCACCCCAGCAACGCAAAGCAGCTCCATGTGCCCCAAATCAACTCGAGATGAGGCCCGATTCCCCTGCATTGACTCCAGAGCCATTCCCCGTTCCCCATTCAACACGACTGGTGGCTCGCTTTCCTTCAGGCAACTCCAGAGATGCCCCGAGAACACTGTCCCAAGTCTAGAGGAACACCAACTTCAGCACAGCAACTCGAGGAATGCTCTGTGTACCCCAAATCGTCTCGAGATGAGAGCTGATTCCCTGGCTTAGGCTCAAGACGTATGCCAACTTTCCAGAAGCACCTCAGGAGGAGACTTCTCAGCAATAGGTATGTGGGAGGGACTCCGAGTTTGCTCCCTCAAGGGGAATATACAGCGAGGAGCCCTAACTTGAAAGGAGGCCGGATTTCCTTGCAGTAGCTTGAATACAGGCTTGTCTTTCATCTCACAACATGAAGGGATGTCTGAATCCCCTGTGAAGACCTTAGAGAAAGCCCTAGGACCCTGCCTCATTTTGACGGCATGCCTCACATCCCGCTGACAACTCGAGAGGCACGCGGAGTTCATTGCTTCAAAAGGTGACGATGCCTGACTCCTCTTGAATACTGATAGGAATCCCAAAATCCCTGTGGCTACTGGAAAGGTTCCTTGGGTGCCCTGGCTCACCTCGAGAAGCGTCCCTTTTGCCCTGCCAAGCCTCGAAGAGATTCCTGAGGTGTCCCTCGTTACTAGACAGGAGTCCTGACGTCACTGAAGAAACTCGTGTTTTGAAGGGCCATCCCTGCCGTAAGTCGAGAACATACCCCAGGTCCCCGCCGCAACTCGAGAAAAACCATGAGACTTCCCCCTAGAGGCGAGATGAGGCCCCATTCCCCTGCAGTGCATGCAGAGCTATTCCGTGATCCCATTCAAACAAGTCAGGAGCTTCGACTTGCTTAATGGATCTCGAGACAGTCCCCAAGAACACTGTCACCAGTCTAGACGGACCCTGAGGTCACCCCAGCAACGCAAAGCTGCTCCATGTGCCCCAAATCAACTCGAGATGAGGCCCGATTCCCCTGCATTGACTCCAGAGCCATTCCCCGTTCCCCATTCAACACGACCGGTGGCTCGACTTCCTTCAGGCAACTGCAGAGATGCCCCGAGAACACTGCCCCAAGTCTAGAGGAACACCAACTTCAGCACAGCAACTCGAGGAATTCTCCGTGTACTCCAAATAATCTCGAGATGAGAGCTGATTTTCTGGCTTAGGCTCAAGACGTATGCCAACTTTCCAGAAGCACCTCAGGAGGAGGCTTCTCTCAGCAATAGGTATGTGGGAGCGACCCCGAGTTTGCTGCCTCAAGGGGAATACACAGGGAGAAGCCCTAACGTGAACGGAGGCCAGATTTCCTTGCAGTGGGTTGAATAAAGGCTCGTCTTCGATCTGAAAACATGAAGGGATGTCTGAATTCCCTGTGGAGACCTTAGAGGAAGCCCTAGGTCCCTGCCTCATTTTGACGGAATACCTCACATCCCCCTGACACCCCGAGAGGCACGCAGAGTTCATTGCTTCAAAAGGTGACGATGCCTGACTCCTCTTGAATACTTATAGGAATCCCAAAATCCCTGTTGCTACAGGAAAGGGTCCTTGGGTGCCCTGGCTCACCTCGAGAAGCGTCCCTTTTGCCCTGCCAAGCCTCGAAGAAATTGCTGAGGTGTCCCTCGTTACTAGACAGGAGTCCTGACGTCACGGAAGAAACTCGTGTTTTGAAGGGCCATCCCCGCCGTAAATCGAGAACATACCCCAGGTCCCCGCCGCAACTCGAGAAAAACCATGAGACTTCCCCCTAGAGGCGAGATGAGGCCCCATTCCCCTGCAGTGCATGCAGAGCTATTCTGTGATCCCATTCAAACAAGTCAGGAGCTTCGACTTGCTTAATGGATCTCGAGACAGTCCCCAAGAACACTGTCACCAGTCTAGACGGACCCTGAGGTAACCACAGCAACGCAAAGCAGCTCCATGTGCCCCAAATCAACTCGAGATGAGGCCCGATTCCCCTGCATTGACTCCAGAGCCATTCCCCGTTCCCCGTTCAACACGAACGGAGGCTCGCCTTCCTTCAGGCAACTCCAGAGATGCCCCGAGAACACTGTCCCAAGTCTAGAGGAACACCAACTTCAGCACAGCAACTCGAGGAATGCTCTGTGTACCCCAAATCGTCTCGAGATGAGAGCTGATTCCCTGGCTTAGGCTCAAGACGTATGCCAACTTTCCAGAAGCACCTCAGGAGGAGGCTTCTCAGCAATAGGTATGTGGGAGGGACTCCGAGTTTGCTGCCTCAAGGGGAATATACAGCGAGAAGCCCTAACTTGAAAGGAGGCCGGATTTCCTTGCAGTGGCTTGAATACAGGCTCGTCTTTCATCTCACAACATGAAGGGATGTCTGAATCCCCTGTGGAGACCTTAGAGAAAGCCCTAGGTCCCTGCCTCATTTTGACGGAATGCCTCACATCCCGCTGACACCTCGAGAGGCACGCGGAGTTCATTGCTTCAAAAGGTGACGATGCCTGACTCCTCTTGAATACTGATAGGAATCCCATAATCCCTGTGGCTACTGGAAAGGGTCCTTGGGTGCCCTGGCTCACCTCGAGAAGCGTCCCTTTTGCCCTGCCAAGCCTCAAAGAGATTCCTGAGGTGTCCCTCGTTACTAGGCAGGAGTCCTGACGTCACTGGAGAAACTCGTGTTTTGAAGGGCCATCCCCGCCGTAAGTCGAGAACATACCCCAGGGCCCCGCCGCAACTCGAGAAAAACCGTGAGACTTCCCCCTAGAGGCGAGATGAGGCCCCATTCCCCTGCAGTGCATGCAGAGCTATTCCGTGATCCCATTCAAACAAGTCAGGAGCTTCGACTTGCTTAATGGATCTCGAGACAGTCCCCAAGAACACTGTCACCAGTCTAGACGGACCATGAGGTCACCCAGCAATGCAAAGCAGCTCCATGTGCCCCAAATCAACTCGAGATGAGGCCGATTCCCCTGCATTGACTCCAGAGCCATTCCTTGTTCCCCATTCAACACGACCGGTGGCTCGACTTCCTTCAGGCAACTGCAGAGATGCCTCGAGAGCACTATCCCAAGTCTAGAGGAACACCAACTTCAGCACAGCAACTCGAGGAATGCTCTGTGTACCCCAAATCGTCTCGAGATGAGAGCTGATTCCCTGGCTTAGGCTCAAGACGTATGCCACCTTTCCAGAAGCACCTCAGGAGGAGGCTTCTCTCAGCAATAGGTATGTGGGAGGGACCCCGAGTTTGCTGCCTCAAGGGGAATATACAGCGAGAAGCCCTAACTTGAAAGGAGGCCGGATTTCCTTGCAGTGGCTTGAATACAGGCTCGTCTTTCATCTCACAACATGAAGGGATGTCTGAATCCCCTGTGGAGACCTTAGAGAAAGCCCTAGGACCCTGCCTCATTTTGACGGAATCCTCACATCCCGCTGACACCTCGAGAGGCACGCGGAGTTCATTGCTTCAAAAGGTGACGATGCCTGACTCCTCTTGAATACTTATAGGAATCCCAAAATCCCTGTGGCTACTGGAAAGGGTCCTTGGGTGCCCTGGCTCACCTCGAGAAGCGTCCCTTTAGCCCTGCCAAGCCTCGAAGAGATTGCTGAGGTGTCCCTCGTTACTAGACAGGAGTCCTGACGTCACGGAAGAAACTCGTGTTTTGAAGGGCCATCCCCGCCGTAAGTCGAGAACATACCCCAGGTCCCCGCCGCAACTCGAGAAAAACCATGAGACTTCCCCCTAGATGCGAGATGAGGCCCCATTCCCCTGCAGTGCATGCAGAGCTATTCCGTGATCCCATTCAAACAAGTCAGGAGCTTCGACTTGCTTAATGGATCTCGAGGCAGTCCCCAAGAACACTGTCACCAGTCTAGACGGACCCTGAGGTCACCCAGCAATGCAAAGCAGCTCCATGTGCCCCAAATCAACTCGAGATGAGGCCAGATTCCCCTGCATTGACTCCAGAGCCATTCCTTGTTCCCCATTCAACACGACCGGTGGATCGACTTCTTTCAGGCAACTCCAGAGATGCCCCGAGAACACTGTCCCAAGTCTAGAGGAACACCAACTTCAGCACAGCAACACGAGGAATGCTCTGTGTACCCCAAATCGTTTCGAGATGAGAGCTGATTCCCTGGCTTAGGCTCAAGACGTATGCCAACTTTCCAGAAGCACCTCAGGAGGAGGCTTCTCAGCAATAGGTATGTGGGAGGGACTCCGAGTTTGCTGCCTCAAGGGGAATATACAGCGAGAAGCCCTAACTTGAAAGGAGGCCGGATTTCCTTGCAGTAGCTTGTATACAGGCTTGTCTTTCATCTCACAACATGAAGGGATGTCTGAATCCCCTGTGAAGACCTTAGAGAAAACCCTAGGACCCTGCCTCATTTTGACGGAATGCCTCACATCCCGCTGACACCTCGAGAGGCACGCGGAGTTCATTGCTTCAAAAGGTGACGATGCCTGACTCCTCTTGATAGGAATCCCAAAATCCCTGTGGCTACTGGAAAGGTTCCTTGGGTGCCCTGGCTCACCTCGAGAAGCGTCCCTTTTGCCCTGCCAAGCCTCGAAGAGATTCCTGAGGTGTCCCTCGTTACTAGACAGGAGTCCTGACGTCACTGAAGAAACTCGTGTTTTGAAGGGCCATCCCCGCCGTAAGTCGAGAACATACCCCAGGTCCCCGCCGCAACTCGAGAAAAACCATGAGACTTCCCCCTAGAGGCGAGATGAGGCCCCATTCCCCTGCAGTGCATGCAGAGCTATTCCGTGATCCCATTCAAACAAGTCAGGAGCTTCGACTTGCTTAATGGATCTCGAGACAGTCCCCAAGAACACTGTCACCAGTCTAGACGGACCCTGAGGTCACCCCAGCAACGCAAAGCTGCTCCATGTGCCCCAAATCAACTCGAGATGAGGCCCGATTCCCCTGCATTGACTCCAGAGCCATTCCCCGTTCCCCATTCAACACGACCTGTGGCTCGACTTCCTTCAGGCAACTGCAGAGATGCCCCGAGAACACTGCCCCAAGTCTAGAGGAACACCAACTTTAGCACAGCAACTCGAGGAATGCTCCGTGTACCCCAAATCATCTCGAGATGAGAGCTGATTCTCTGGCTTAGGCTCAAGACGAATGCCAACTTTCCAGAAGCACCTCAGGAGGAGGCTTCTCTCAGCAATAAATATGTGGGAGCGACCCCGAGTTTGCTGCCTCAAGGGGAATACACAGGGAGAAGCCCTAATGTGAACGGAGGCCAGATTTCCTTGCAGTGGGTTGAATAAAGGCTCGTCTTCGATCTGAAAACATGAAGGGATGTCTGAATTCCCTGTGGAGACCTTAGAGGAAGCCCTAGGTCCCTGCTTCATTTTGACGGAATACCTCACATCTCCCAGACACCTCGAGAGGCACGCAGAGTTCATTGCTTCAAAAGGTGACGATGCCTGACTCCTCTTGAATACTTATAGGAATCCCAAAATCCCTGTTGCTACTGGAAAGGGTCCTTGGGTGCCCTGGCTCACCTCGAGAAGCGTCCCTTTTGCCCTGCCAAGCCTCGAAGAAATTGCTGAGGTGTCCCTCGTTACTAGACAGGAGTCCTGAGGTCACGGAAGAAACTCGTGTTTTGAAGGGCCATCCCCGCCGTAAGTCGAGAACATACGCCAGGTCCCCGCCGCAACTCGAGAAAAACCATGAGACTTCCCCCTAGAGGCGAGATGAGGCCCCATTCCCCTGCAGTGCATGCAGAGCTATTCCGTGATCCCATTCAAACAAGTCAGGAGCTTCGACTTGCTTAATGGATCTCGAGACAGTCCCCAAGAACACTGTCACCAGTCTAGACGGACCCTGAGGTCACCCCAGCAACGCAAAGCAGCTCCATGTGCCCCAAATCAACTCGAGATGAGGCCCGATTCCCCTGCATTGACTCCAGAGCCATTCCCCGTTCCCCATTCAACACGACTGGTGGCTCGCTTTCCTTCAGGCAACTCCAGAGATGCCCCGAGAACACTGTCCCAAGTCTAGAGGAACACCAACTTCAGCACAGCAACTCGAGGAATGCTCTGTATACCCCAAATCGTCTCGAGATGAGAGCTGATTCCCTGGCTTAGGCTCAAGACGTATGCCACCTTTCCAGAAGCACCTCAGGAGGAGGCTTCTCAGAAATAGGTATGTGGGAGGGACTCCGAGTTTGCTGCCTCAAGGGGAATATACAGCGAGAAGCCCTAACTTGAAAGGAGGCCGGATTTCCTTGCAGTGGCTTGAATACAGGCTCGTCTTTCATCTCACAACATGAAGGGATGTCTGAATCCCCTGTGGAGACCTTAGAGAAAGCCCTAGGTCCCTGCCTCATTTTGACGGAATGCCTCACATCCCGCTAACACCTCGAGAGGCACGCGGAGTTCATTGCTTCAAAAGGTGACGATGCCTGACTCCTCTTGAATACTTATAGGAATCCCAAAATCCCTGTGGCTACTGGAAAGGGTCCTTGGGTGCCCTGCCTCACCTCGAGAAGCGTCCCTTTTGCCCTGCCAAGACTCGAAGAGATTCCTGAGGTGTCACTCGTTACTAGGCAGGAGTCCTGACCTCACTGAAGAAAGTCGTGTTTTGAAGGGCCATCCCTGCCGTAAGTCGAGAACATACCCCAGGTCCCCGCCGCAACTCGAGAAAAACCATGAGACTTCCCCCTAGAGGCGAGATGAGGCCCCATTCCCCTGCAGTGCATGCAGAGCTATTCCGTGATCCCATTCAAACAAGTCAGGAGCTTCGACTTGCTTAATGGATCTCGAGACAGTCCCCAAGAACACTGTCACCAGTCTAGACGGACCCTGAGGTCACCCAGCAATGCAAAGCAGCTCCATGTGCCCCAAATCAACTCGAGATGAGGCCGGATTCCCCTGCATTGACTCCAGAGCCATTCCTTGTTCCCCATTCAACACGACCGGTGGCTCGACTTCCTTCAGGCAACTCCAGAGATGCCCCGAGAACACTGTCCCAAGTCTAGAGGAACACCAACTTCAGCACAGCAACTCGAGGAATGCTCTGTGTACCCCAAATCGTCTCGAGATGAGAGCTGATTCCCTGGCTTAGGCTCAAGACGTATGCCACCTTTCCAGAAACACCTCAGGAGGAGGCTTCTCTCAGCAATAGTTATGTGGGAGGGACCCCGAGTTTGCTGCCTCAAGGGGAATATACAGCGAGAAGTCCTAACTTGAAAGGAGGCCGGATTTCCTTGCAGTGGCTTGAATACCGGCTCGTCTTTCATCTCACAACATGAAGGGATGTCTGAATCCCCTGTGGAGACCTTAGAGAAAGCCCTAGGTCCCTGCCTCATTTTCACGGAATCCTCACATCCCGCTGACACCTCGAGAGGCACGCGGAGTTCATTGCTTCAAAATGTGACGATGCCTGACTCCTCGTGAATACTTATAGGAATCCCAAAATCCCTGTGGCTACTGGAAAGGGTACTTGGGTGCCCTGGCTCACCTCGAGAAGCGTCCCTTTTGCCCTGCCAAGCCTCGAAGAGATTCCTGAGGTGTCCCTCGTTACTAGACAGGAGTCCTGACGTCACTGAAGAAACTCGTGTTTTGAAGGGCCATCCCCGCCGTAAGTCGAGAACATACCCCAGGTCCCCGCCGCAACTCGAGAAAAACCATGAGACTTCCCCCTAGAGGCGAGATGAGGCCCCATTCCCCTGCAGTGCATGCAGAGCTATTCCGTGATCCCATTCAAACAAGTCAGGAGCTTCGACTTGCTTAATGGATCTCGAGACAGTCCCCAAGAACACTGTCACCAGTCTAGACGGACCCTGAGGTCACCCCAGCAACGCAAAGCTGCTCCATGTGCCCCAAATCAACTCGAGATGAGGCCCGATTCCCCTGCATTGACTCCAGAGCCATTCCCCGTTCCCCATTCAACACGACCTGTGGCTCGACTTCCTTCAGGCAACTGCAGAGATGCCCCGAGAACACTGCCCCAAGTCTAGAGGAACACCAACTTCAGCACAGCAACTCGAGGAATGCTCCGTGTACCCCAAATCGTCTCGAGATGAGAGCTGATTCCCTGGCTTAGGCTCAAGACGTATGCCAACTTTCCAGAAGCACCTCAGGAGGAGGCTTCTCTCAGCAATAGTTATGTGGGAGCGACCCCGTGTTTGCTGCCTCAAGGAGAATACACAGGGAGAAGCCCTAACGTGAACGGAGGCCAGATTTCCTTGCAGTGGGTTGAATAAAGGCTCGTCTTCGATCTGAAAACATGAAGGGATGTCTGAATCCCCTGTGGAGACCTTAGAGGAAGCCCTAGGTCCCTGCCTCATTTTGACGGAATACCTCACATCCCCCTGACACCTCGAGAGGCACGCAGAGTTCATTGCTTCAAAAGGTGACGATGCCTGACTCCTCTTGAATACTTATAGGAATCCCAAAATCCCTGTTGCTACTGGAAAGGGTCCTTGGGTGCCTTGGCTCACCTCGAGAAGCGTCCCTTTTGCCCTGCCAAGCCTCGAAGAGATTCCTGAGGTGTCCCTCGTTACTAGACAGGAGTCCTGACGTCACTGAAGAAACTCGTGTTTTGAAGGGCCATCCCCGCCGTAAGTCGAGAACATACCCCAGGTCCCCGCCACAACTCGAGAAAAACCATGAGACTTCCCCCTAGAGGCGAGATGAGGCCCCATTCCCCTGCAGTGCATGCAGAGCTATTCCGTGATCCCATTCAAACAAGTCAGGAGCTTCGACTTGCTTAATGGATCTCGAGACAGTCCCCAAGAACACTGTCACCAGTCTAGACGGACCCTGAGGTCACCCCAGCAACGCAAAGCTGCTCCATGTGCCCCAAATCAACTCGAGATGAGGCCCGATTCCCCTGCATTGACTCCAGAGCCATTCCCCGTTCCCCATTCAACACGACCTGTGGCTCGACTTCCTTCAGGCAACTGCAGAGATGCCCCGAGAACACTGCCCCAAGTCTAGAGGAACACCAACTTCAGCACAGCAACTCGAGGAATGCTCCGTGTACCCCAAATCATCTCGAGATGAGAGCTGATTCTCTGGCTTAGGCTCAAGACGTATGCCAACTTTCCAGAAGCACCTCAGGAGGAGGCTTCTCTCAGCAATAGGTATGTGGGAGCGACCCCGTGTTTGCTGCCTCAAGGAGAATACACAGGGAGAAGCCCTAACGTGAACGGAGGCCAGATTTCCTTGCAGTGGGTTGAATAAAGGCTCGTCTTCGATCTGACAACATGAAGGGATGTCTGAATCCCCTGTGGAGACCTTAGAGGAAGCCCTAGGTCCCTGCCTCATTTTGACGGAATACCTCACATCCCCCTGACACCTCGAGAGGCACGCAGAGTTCATTGCTTCAAAAGGTGACGATGCCTGACTCCTCTTGAATACTTATAGGAATCCCAAAATCCCTGTTGCTACTGGAAAGGGTCCTTGGGTGCCTTGGCTCACCTCGAGAAGCGTCCCTTTTGCCCTGCCAAGCCTCGAAGAAATTGCTGAGGTGTCCCTCGTTACTAGACTGGAGTCCTGACGTCACGGAAGAAACTCGTGTTTTGAAGGGCCATCCCCGCCGTAAGTCGAGAACATACGCCAGGTCCCCGCCGAAACTCGAGAAAAACCATGAGACTTCCCCCTAGAGGCGAGATGAGGCCCCATTCCCCTGCAGTGCATGCAGAGCTATTCCGTGATCCCATTCAAACAAGTCAGGAGCTTCGACTTGCTTAATGGATCTCGAGACAGTCCCCAAGAACACTGTCACCAGTCTAGACGGACCCTGAGGTCACCCCAGCAACGCAAAGCAGCTCCATGTGCCCCAAATCAACTCGAGATGAGGCCCGATTCCCCTGCATTGACTCCAGAGCCATTCCCCGTTCCCCATTCAACACGACTGGTGGCTCGCTTTCCTTCAGGCAACTCCAGAGATGCCCCGAGAACACTGTCCCAAGTCTAGAGGAAAACAAACTTCAGCACAGCAACTCGAGGAATGCTCTGTATACCCCAAATCGTCTCGAGATGAGAGCTGATTCCCTGGCTTAGGATCAAGACGTATGCCACCTTTCCAGAAGCACCTCAGGAGGAGGCTTCTCAGCAATAGGTATGTGGGAGGGACTCCGAGTTTGCTGCCTCAAGGGGAATATACAGCGAGAAGCCCTAACTTGAAAGGAGGCCGGATTTCCTTGCAGTGGCTTGAATACAGGCTCGTCTTTCATCTCACAACATGAAGGGATGTCTGAATCCCCTGTGGAGACCTTAGAGAAAGCCCTAGGTCCCTGCCTCATTTTGACGGAATGCCTCACATCCCGCTAACACCTCGAGAGGCACGCGGAGTTCATTGCTTCAAAAGGTGACGATGCCTGACTCCTCTTGAATACTGATAGGAATCCCAAAATCCCTGTGGCTACTGGAAAGGGTCCTTGGGTGCCCTGCCTCACCTCGAGAAGCGTCCCTTTTGCCCTGCCAAGACTCGAAGAGATTCCTGAGGTGTCACTCGTTACTAGGCAGGAGTCCTGACCTCACTGAAGAAAGTCGTGTTTTGAAGGGCCATCCCTGCCGTAAGTCGAGAACATACCCCAGGTCCCCGCCGCAACTCGAGAAAAACCATGAGACTTCCCCCTAGAGGCGAGATGAGGCCCCATTCCCCTGCAGTGCATGCAGAGCTATTCCGGGATCCCATTCAAACAAGTCAGGAGCTTCGACTTGCTTAATGGATCTCGAGACAGTCCCCAAGAACACTGTCACCAGTCTAGACGGACCCTGAGGTCACCCAGCAATGCAAAGAAGCTCCATGTGCCCCAAATCAACTCGAGATGAGGCCCGATTCCCCTGCATTGACTCCAGAGCCATTCCCCGTTCCCCATTCAACACGACCGGTGGCTCGACTTCCTTCAGGCAACTCCAGGGATGCCCCGAGAACACTGTCCCAAGTCTAGAGCAACACCAAATTCAGCACAGCAACTCGAGGAATGCTCTGTGTACCCCAAATCGTCTCGAGATGAGAGCTGATTCCCTGGCTTAGGCTCAAGACGTATGCCACCTTTCCAGAAGCACCTCAGGAGGAGGCTTCTCTCAGCAATAGGTATGTGGGAGGGACCCCGAGTTTGCTGCCTCAAGAGGAATATACAGCGAGAAGCCCTAACTTGAAAGGAGGCCGGATTTCCTTGCAGTGGCTTGAATATAGGCTCGTCTTTGATCTGACAACATGAAGGGATGTCTGAATCCCCTGTGGAGACCTTAGAGAAAGCCCTAGGTCCCTGCCTCATTTTGACGGAATGCCTCACATCCCGCTGACACCTCGAGAGGCACGCGGAGTTCATTGCTTCAAAAGGTGACGATGCCTGACTCCTCTTGAATACTGATAGGAATCCCAAAATCCCTGTGGCTACTGGAAAGGGTCCTTGGGTGCCCTGGCTCACCTCGAGAAGCGTCCCTTTTGCACTGCCAAGCCTCGAAGAGATTGCTGAGGTGTCCCTCGTTACTAGACATGAGTCCTGACCTCACGGAAGAAACTCGTGTTTTGAGGGCCATCCCCGCCGTAAGTCGAGAACATACCCCAGGTCCCCGCCGCAACTCGAGAAAAACCATGAGACTTCCCCCTAGAGGCGAGATGAGGCCCCATTCCCCTGCAGTGCATGCAGAGCTATTCCGTGATCCCATTCAAACAAGTCAGGAGCTTCGACTTGCTTAATGGATCTCGAGACAGTCCCCAAGAACACTGTCACCAGTCTAGACGGACCCTGAGGTCACCCAGCAATGCAAAGCAGCTCCATGTGCCCCAAATCAACTCGAGATGAGGCCGTATTCCCCTGCATTGACTCCAGAGCCATTCCTTGTTCCCCATTCAACACGACCGGTGGCTCGACTTCCTTCAGGCAACTCCAGAGATGCCTCGAGAGCACTATCCCAAGTCTAGAGGACCACCAACTTCAGCAGAGCAACTCGAGGAATGCTCTGTGTACCCCAAATCGTCTCGAGATGAGAGCTGATTCCCTGGCTTAGGCTCAAGACGTATGCCACCTTTCCAGAAGCACCTCAGGAGGAGGCTTCTCTCAGCAATAGGTATGTGGGAGGGACCCCGAGTTTGCTGCCTCAAGGGGAATATACAGCGAGAAGCCCTAACTTGAAAGGAGGCCGGATTTCCTTGCAGTGGCTTGAATACAGGCTCGTCTTTCATCTCACAACATGAAGGGATGTCTGAATCCCCTGTGGAGACCTTAGAGAAAGCCCTAGGTCCCTGCCTCATTTTGACGGAATCCTCATATCCCGCTGACACCTCGAGAGGCACGCGGAGTTCATTGCTTCAAAAGGTGACGATGCCTGACTCCTCTTGAATACTTATAAGAATCCGAAAATCCCTGTGGCTACTGGAAAGGGTCCTTGGGTGCCCTGGCTCACCTCGAGAAGCGTCCCTTTTGCCCTGCCAAGCCTCGAAGAGATTGCTGAGGTGTCCCTCGTTACTAGACATGAGTCCTGACGTCACGGAAGAAACTCGTGTTTTGAAGGGCCATCCCCGCCGTAAGTCGAGAACATACCCCAGGTCCCCGCCGCAACTCGAGAAAAACCATGAGACTTCCCCCTAGAGGCGAGATGAGGCCCCATTCCCCTGCAGTGCATGCAGAGCTATTCCGTGATCCCATTCAAACAAGTCAGGAGCTTCGACTTGCTTAATGGATCTCGAGACAGTCCCCAAGAACACTGTCACCAGTCTAGACGGACCCTGAGGTCACCCAGCAATGCAAAGCAGCTCCATGTGCCCCAAATCAACTCGAGATGAGGCCGGATTCCCCTGCATTGACTCCAGAGCCATTCCTTGTTCCCCATTCAACACGACCGGTGGCTCGACTTCCTTCAGGCAACTCCAGAGTTGACCCGAGAACACTGTCCCAAGTCTAGAGGAACACCAACTTCAGCACAGCAACTCGAGGAATGCTCTGTGTACCCCAAATCGTCTCGAGATGAGAGCTGATTCCCTGGCTTAGGCTCAAGACGTATGCCACCTTTCCAGAAACACCTCAGGAGGAGGCTTCTCTCAGCAATAGGTATGTGGGAGGGACCCCGAGTTTGCTGCCTCAAGGGGAATATACAGCGAGAAGTTCTAACTTGAAAGGAGGCCGGATTTCCTTGCAGTGGCTTGAATACCGGCTCGTCTTTCATCTCACAACATGAAGGGATGTCTGAATCCCCTGTGGAGACCTTAGAGAAAGCCCTAGGTCCCTGCCTCATTTTGACGGAATCCTCATATCCCGCTGACACCTCGAGAGGCACGCGGAGTTCATTGCTTCAAAAGGTGACGATGCCTGACTCCTCTTGAATACTTATAGGAATACGAAAATCCCTGTGGCTACTGGAAAGGGTCCTTGGGTGCCCTGGCTCACCTCGAGAAGCGTCCCTTTTGCCCTGCCAAGCCTCGAAGAGATTGCTGAGGTGTCCCTCGTTACTAGACATGAGTCCTGACGTCACGGAAGAAACTCGTGTTTTGAAGGGCCATCCCCGCCGTAAGTCGAGAACATACCCCAGGTCCCCGCCGCAACTCGAGAAAAACCATGAGACTTCCCCCTAGAGGCGAGATGAGGCCCCATTCCCCTGCAGTGCATGCAGAGCTATTCCGTGATCCCATTCAAACAAGTCAGGAGCTTCGACTTGCTTAATGGATCTCGAGACAGTCCCCAAGAACACTGTCACCAGTCTAGACGGACCCTGAGGTCACCCAGCAATGCAAAGCAGCTCCATGTGCCCCAAATCAACTCGAGATGAGGCCGGATTACCCTGCATTGACTCCAGAGCCATTCCTTGTTCCCCATTCAACACGACCGGTGGCTCGACTTCCTTCAGGCAACTCCAGAGTTGCCCCGAGAACACTGTCCCAAGTCTAGAGGAACACCAACTTCAGCACAGCAACTCGAGGAATGCTCTGTGTACCCCAAATCGTCTCGAGATGAGAGCTGATTCCCTGGCTTAGGCTCAATACGTATGCCACCTTTCCAGAAACACCTCAGGAGGAGGCTTCTCTCAGCAATAGGTATGTGGGAGGGACCCCGAGTTTGCTGCCTCAAGGGGAATATACAGCGAGAAGTCCTAACTTGAAAGGAGGCCGGATTTCCTTGCAGTGGCTTGAATACCGGCTCGTCTTTCATCTCACAACATGAAGGGATGTCTGAATCCCCTGTGGAGACCTTAGAGAAAGCCCTAGGTCCCTGCCTCATTTTCACGGAATCCTTACATCCCGCTGACACCTCGAGAGGCACGCGGAGTTCATTGCTTCAAAAGGTGACGATGCCTGACTCCTCTTGAATACTTATAGGAATCCCAAAATCCCTGTGGCTACTGGAAAGGGTACTTGGGTGCCCTGGCTCACCTCGAGAAGCGTCCCTTTTGCCCTGCCAAGCCTCGAAGATATTGCTGAGGTGTCCCTCGTTACTAGACAGGAGTCCTGACGTCACTGAAGAAACTCGTGTTTTGAAGGGCCATCCCCGCCGTAAGTCGAGAACATACCCCAGGTCCCCGCCGCAACTCGAGAAAAACCATGAGACTTCCCCCTAGAGGCGAGATGAGGCCCGATTCCCCTGCAGTGCATGCAGAGCTATTCCGTGATCCCATTCAAACAAGTCAGGAGCTTCGACTTGCTTAATGGATCTCGAGACAGTCCCCAAGAACACTGTCACCAGTCTAGACGGACCCTGAGGTCACCCCAGCAACGCAAAGCAGCTCCATGTGCCCCAAATCAACTCGAGATGAGGCCCGATTCCCCTGCATTGACTCCAGAGCCATTCCCCGTTCCCCATTCAACACGACTGGTGGCTCGCTTTCCTTCAGGCAACTCCAGAGATGCCCCGAGAACACTGTCCCAAGTCTAGAGGAACACCAACTTCAGCACAGCAACTGGAGGAATGCTCTGTGTACCCCAAATCGTCTCGAGATGAGAGCTGATTCCCTGGCTTAGGCTCAAGACGTATGCCAACTTTCCAGAAGCACCTCAGGAGGAGGCTTCTCAGCAATAGGTATGTGGGAGGGACTCCGAGTTTGCTGCCTCAAGGGGAATATACAGCGAGAAGCCCTAACTTGAAAGGAGGCCGGATTTCTTTGCAGTGGCTTGAATACAGGCTCGTCTTTCATCTCACAACATGAAGGGATGTCTGAATCCCCTGTGGAGACCTTAGAGAAAGCCCTAGGTCCCTGCCTCATTTTGACGGAATGCCTCACATCCCGCTAACACCTCGAGAGGCACGCGGAGTTCATTGCTTCAAAAGGTGACGATGCCTGACTCCTCTTGAATACTGATAGGAATCCCAAAATCCCTGTGGCTACTGGAAAGGGTCCTTGGGTGCCCTGCCTCACCTCGAGAAGCGTCCCTTTTGCCCTGCCAAGACTCGAAGAGATTCCTGAGGTGTCACTCGTTACTAGGCAGGAGTCCTGACCTCACTGAAGAAAGTCGTGTTTTGAAGGGCCATCCCTGCCGTAAGTCGAGAACATACCCCAGTGCCCCGCCGCAACTCGAGAAAAACCATGAGACTTCCCCCTAGAGGCGAGATGAGGCCCCATTCCCCTGCAGTGCATGCAGAGCTATTCCGGGATCCCATTCAAACAAGTCAGGAGCTTCGACTTGCTTAATGGATCTCGAGACAGTCCCCAAGAACACTGTCACCAGTCTAGACGGACCCTGAGGTCACCCAGCAATGCAAAGCAGCTCCATGTGCCCCAAATCAACTCGAGATGAGGCCCGATTCCCCTGCATTGACTCCAGAGCCATTCCCCGTTCCCCATTCAACACGACCGGTGGCTCGACTTCCTTCAGGCAACTCCAGGGATGCCCCGAGAACACTGTCCCAAGTCTAGAGGAACACCAACTTCAGCACAGCAACTCGAGGAATGCTCTGTGTACCCCAAATCGTCTCGAGATGAGAGCTGATTCCCTGGCTTAGGCTCAAGACGTATGCCACCTTTCCAGAAGCACCTCAGGAGGAGGCTTCTCTCAGCAATAGGTATGTGGGAGGGACCCCGAGTTTGCTGCCTCAAGAGGAATATACAGCGAGAAGCCCTAACTTGAAAGGAGGCCGGATTTCCTTGCAGTGGCTTGAATATAGGCTCGTCTTTGATCTGACAACATGAAGGGATGTCTGAATCCCCTGTGGAGACCTTAGAGAAAGCCCTAGGTCCCTGCCTCATTTTGACGGAATGCCTCACATCCCGCTGACACCTCGAGAGGCACGCGGAGTTCATTGCTTCAAAAGGTGACGATGCCTGACTCCTCTTGAATACTTATAGGAATCCCAAAATCCCTGTGGCTACTGGAAAGGGTCCTTGGGTGCCCTGCCTCACCTAAAGAAGCGTCCCTTTTGCACTGCCAAGCCTCGAAGAGATTCCTGAGGTGTCCCTCGTTACTAGGCAGGAGTCCTGACGTCACTGGAGAAACTCGTGTTTTGAAGGGCCATCCCCGCTGTAAGTCGAGAACATACCCCAGGGCCGCGCCGCAACTCGAGAAAAACCGTGAGACTTCCCCCTAGAGGCGAGATGAGGCCCCATTCCCCTGCAGTGCATGCAGTGCTATTCCGTGATCCCATTCAAACAAGTCAGGAGCTTCGACTTGCTTAATGGATCTCGAGACAGTCCCCAAGAACACTGTCACCAGTCTAGACGGACCCTGAGGTCACCCCAGCAACGCAAAGCAGCTCCATGTGCCCCAAATCAACTCGAGATGAGGCCCGATTCCCCTGCATTGACTCCAGAGCCATTCCCCGTTCCCCATTCAACACGACTGGTGGCTCGCTTTCCTTCAGGCAACTCCAGAGATGCCCCGAGAACACTGTCCCAAGTCTAGAGGAACACCAACTTCAGCAGAGCAACTCGAGGAATGCTCTGTGTACCCCAAATCGTCTCGAGATGAGAGCTGATTCCCTGGCTTAGGCTCAAGACGTATGCCAACTTTCCAGAAGCACCTCAGGAGGAGGCTTCTCAGCAATAGGTATGTGGGAGGGACTCCGAGTTTGCTGCCTCAAGGGGAATATACAGCGAGAAGCCCTAACTTGAAAGGAGGCCGGATTTCCTTGCAGTAGCTTGAATACAGGCTTGTCTTTCATCTCACAACATGAAGGGATGTCTAAATCCCCTGTGAAGACCTTAGAGAAAGCCCTAGGACCCTGCCTCATTTTGACGGAATGCCTCACATCCCGCTGACAGCTCGAGAGGCACGCGGAGTTCATTGCTTCAAAAGGTGACGATGCCTGACTCCTCTTGAATACTTATAGGAATCCCAAAATCCCTGTGGCTACTGGAAAGGTTCCTTGGGTGCCCTGGCTCACCTCGAGAAGCGTCCCTTTTGCACTGCCAAGCCTCGAAGAGATTCCTGAGGTGTCCCTCGTTACTAGACAGGAGTCCTGACGTCACTGAAAAAACTCGTGTTTTGAAGGGCCATCCCCGCCGTAAGTCGAGAACATACCCCAGGTCCCCGCCGCAACTCGAGAAAAACCATGAGACTTCCCCCTAGAGGCGAGATGAGGCCCCATTCCCCTGCAGTGCATGCAGAGCTATTCCGTGATCCCATTCAAACAAGTCAGGAGCTTCGACTTGCTTAATGGATCTCGAGACAGTCCCCAAGAACACTGTCACCAGTCTAGACGGACCCTGAGGTCACCCCAGCAACGCAAAGCTGCTCCATGTGCCCCAAATCAACTCGAGATGAGGCCCGATTCCCCTGCATTGACTCCAGAGCCATTCCCCGTTCCCCATTCAACACGACCGGTGGCTCGACTTACTTCAGGCAACTGCAGAGATGCCCCGAGAACACTGCCCCAAGTCTAGAGGAACACCAACTTCAGCACAGCAACTCGAGGAATGCTCCGTGTACCCCAAATCATCTCGAGATGAGAGCTGATTCTCTGGCTTAGGCTCAAGACGTATGCCAACTTTCCAGAAGCACCTCAGGAGGAGGCTTCTCTCAGCAATAGGTATGTGGGAGCGACCCCGAGTTTGCTGCCTCAAGGGGAATACACAGGGAGAAGCCCTAACGTGAACGGAGGCCAGATTTCCTTGCAGTGGGTTGAATAAAGGCTCGTCTTCGATCTGAAAACATGAAGGGATGTCTGAATTCCCTGTGGAGACCTTAGAGGAAGCCCTAGGTCCCTGCCTCATTTTGACGGAATACCTCACATCCCCCTGACACCTCGAGAGGCACGCAGAGTTCATTGCTTCAAAAGGTGACGATGCCTGACTCCTCTTGAATACTTATAGGAATCCCAAAATCCCTGTTGCTACTGGAAAGGGTCCTTGGGTGCCCTGGCTCACCTCGAGAAGCGTCCCTTTTGCCCTGCCAAGCCTCGAAGAAATTGCTGAGGTGTCCCTCGTTACTAGACAGGAGTCCTGACGTCACGGAAGAAACTCGTGTTTTGAAGGGCCATCCCCGCCTTAAGTCGAGAACATACCCCAGGTCCCCGCCGCAACTCGAGAAAAACCATGAGACTTCCCCCTAGAGGCGAGATGAGGCCCCATTCCCCTGCAGTGCATGCAGAGCTATTCCGTGATCCCATTCAAACAAGTCAGGAGCTTCGACTTGCTTAATGGATCTCGAGACAGTCCCCAAGAACACTGTCACCAGTCTAGACGGACCCTGAGGTCACCCAGCAATGCAAAGCAGCTCCATGTGCCCCAAATCAACTCGAGATGAGACCCGATTCCCCTGCATTGACTCCAGAGCCATTCCCCGTTCCCCATTCAACACGACCGGTGGCTCGACTTCCTTCAGGCAACTCCAGGGATGCCCCGAGAACACTGTCCCAAGTCTAGAGGAACACCAACTTCAGCACAGCAACTCGAGGAATGCTCTGTGTACCCCAAATCGTCTCGAGATGAGAGCTGATTCCCTGGCTTAGGCTCAAGACGTATGCCACCTTTCCAGAAGCACCTCAGGAGGAGGCTTCTCTCAGCAATAGGTATGTGGGAGGGACCCCGAGTTTGCTGCCTCAAGGGGAATATACAGCGAGAAGCCCTAACTTGAAAGGAGGCCGGATTTCCTTGCAGTGGCTTGAATACAGGCTCGTCTTTGATCTGACAACATGAAGGGATGTCTGAATCCCCTGTGGAGACCTTAGAGAAAGCCCTAGGTCCCTGCCTCATTTTGACGGAATGCCTCACATCCCACTGACACCTCGAGAGGCACGCGGAGTTCATTGCTTCAAAAGGTGACGATGCCTGACTCCTCTTGAATACTGATAGGAATCCCAAAATCCCTGTGGCTACTGGAAAGGGTCCTTGGGTGCCCTGCCTCACCTCGAGAAGCGTCCCTTTTGCCCTGCCAAGACTCGAAGAGATTCCTGAGGTGTCACTCGTTACTAGGCAGGAGTCCTGACCTCACTGAAGAAAGTCGTGTTTTGAAGGGCCATCCCTGCCGTAAGTCGAGAACATACCCCAGGTCCCCTCCGCAACTCGAGAAAAACCATGAGACTTCCCCCTAGAGGCGAGATGAGGCCCCATTCCCCTGCAGTGCATGCAGAGCTATTCCGTGATCCCATTCAAACAAGTCAGGAGCTTCGACTTGCTTAATGGATCTCGAGACAGTCCCCAAGAACACTGTCACCAGTCTAGACGGACCCTGAGGTCACCCCAGCAACGCAAAGCTGCTCCATGTGCCCCAAATCAACTCGAGATGAGGCCCGATTCCCCTGCATTGACTCCAGAGCCATTCCCCGTTCCCCATTCAACACGACCGGTGGCTCGACTTCCTTCAGGCAACTCCAGGGATGCCCCGAGAACACTGTCCCAAGTCTAGAGGAACACCAACTTCAGCACAGCAACTCGAGGAATGCTCTGTGTACCACAAATCGTCTCGAGATGAGAGCTGATTCCCTGGCTTAGGCTCAAGACGTATGCCACCTTTCCAGAAGCACCTCAGGAGGAGGCTTCTCTCAGCAATAGGTATGTGGGAGGGACCCCGAGTTTGCTGCCTCAAGGGGAATATACAGCGAGAAGCCCTAACTTGAAAGGAGGCCGGATTTCCTTGCAGTGGCTTGAATACAGGCTCGTCTTTCATCTCACAACATGAAGGGATGTCTGAATCCCCTGTGGAGACCTAAGATAAAGCCCTAGGTCCCTGCCTCATTTTGACGGAATCCTCACATCCCGCTGACACCTCGAGAGGCACGCGGAGTTCATTGCTTCAAAAGGTGACGATGCCTGACTCCTCTTGAATACTGATAGGAATCCCAAAATCCCTGTGGCTACTGGAAAGGGTCCTTGGGTGCCCTGGCTCACCTCGAGAAGCGTCCCTTTTGCCCTGCCAAGCCTCGAAGAGATTGCTGAGGTGTCCCTCGTTACTAGACAGGAGTCCTGACCTCACTGAAGAAACTCGTGTTTTGAAGGGCCATCCCCGCCGTAAGTCAAGAACATACCCCAGGTCCCTGCCACAACTCGAGAAAAACCATGAAACTTCCCCCTAGAGGCGAGATGAGGCCCCATTTCCCTGCAGTGCATGCAGAGCTATTCCGTGATCCCATTCAAACAAGTCAGGAGCTTCGACTTGCTTAATGGATCTCGAGACAGTCCCCAAGAACACTGTCACCAGTCTAGACGGACCCTGAGGTCACTCAGCAATGCAAAGCAGCTCCATGTGCACCAAATCAACTCGAGATGAGGCCCGATTCCCCTGCATTGACTCCAGAGCCATTCCTTGTTCCCCATTCAACACGACCGGTGGCTCGACTTCCTTCAGGCAACTCCAGAGATGCCTCGAGAGCACTATCCCAAGCCTAGAGGACCACCAACTTCAGCAGAGCAAGTCGAGGAATGCTCTGTGTACCTCAAATCGTCTCGAGATGAGAGCTGATTCCCTGGCTTAGGCTCAAGACGTATGCCACCTTTCCAGAAGCACCTCAGGAGGAGGCTTCTCTCAGCAATAGGTATGTGGGAGGGACCCCGATTTTGCTGCCTCAAGGGGAATATACAGCGAGAAGCCCTAACTTGAAAGGAGGCCGGATTTCCTTGCATTGGCTTGAATACAGGCTCGTCTTTCATATCACAACATGAAGGGATGTCTGAATCCCCTGTGGAGACCTTAGAGAAAGCCCTAGGTCCCTGCCTCATTTTGACGGAATCCTCACATCCCGCTGACACCTCGAGAGGCACGCGGAGTTCATTGCTTCGAAAGGTGACGATGCCTGACTCCTCTTGAATACTTATAGGAATCCCAAAATCCCTGTGGCTACTGGAAAGGGTCCTTGGGTTCCCTGGCTCACCTCGAGAAGCGTCCCTTTTGCCCTGCCAAGCCTCGAAGAGATTGCTGAGGTGTCCCTCGTTACTAGACAGGAGTCCTGACGTCACGGAAGAAACTCGTGTTTTGAAGGGCCATCCCCGCCGTAAGTCGAGAACATACCCCAGGTCCCCGCCGCAACGCGAGAAAAACCATGAGACTTCCCCCTAGAGGCGAGATGAGGCCCCATTCCCCTGCAGTGCATGCAGAGCTATTCCGTGATCCCATTCAAACAAGTCAGGAGCTTCGACTTGCTTAATGGATCTCGAGACAGTCCCCAAGAACACTGTCACCAGTCTAGACGGACCCTGAGGTCACCCCAGCAACGCAAAGCAGCTCCATGTGCCCCAAATCAACTCGAGATGAGGCCCGATTCCCCTGCATTGACTCCAGAGCAATTCCCCGTTCCCCATTCAACACGACTGGTGGCTCGCTTTCCTTCAGGCAACTCCAGAGATGCCCCGAGAACACTGTCCCAAGTCTAGAGGAACACCAACTTCAGCACAGCAACTCGAGGAATGCTCTGTGTACCCCAAATCGTCTCGAGATGAGAGCTGATTCCCTGGCTTAGGCTCAAGACGTATGCCAACTTTCCAGAAGCACCTCAGGAGGAGGCTTCTCAGCAATAGGTATGTGGGAGGGACTCCGAGTTTGCTGCCTCAAGGGGAATATACAGCGAGAAGCCCTAACTTGAAAGGAGGCCGGATTTCCTTGCAGTAGCTTGAAAACAGGCTTGTCTTTCATCTCACAACATGAAGGGATGTCTGAATCCCCTGTGAAGACCTTAGAGAAAGCCCTAGGACCCTGCCTCGTTTTGACGGAATGCCTCACATCCCGCTGACACCTCGAGAGGCACGCGGAGTTAATTGCTTCAAAAGGTGACGATGCCTGACTCCTCTTGAATACTGATAGGAATCCCACAATCCCTGTGGCTACTGGAAAGGTTCCTTGGGTGCCCTGGCTCACCTCGAGAAGCGTCCCTTTTGCCCTGCCAAGCCTCGAAGAGATTGCTGAGGTGTCCCTCGTTACTAGACAGGAGTCCTGACGTCACTGAAGAAACTCGTGTTTTGAAGGGCCATCCCCGCCGTAAGTCGAGAACATACCCCAGGTCCACGCCGCAACTCGAGAAAAACCATGAGACTTCCCCCTAGAGGCGAGATGAGGCCCCATTCCCCTGCAGTGCATGCAGAGCTATTCCGTGATCCCATTCAAACAAGTCAGGAGCTTCGACTTGCTTAATGGATCTCGAGACAGTCCCCAAGAACACTGTCACCAGTCTAGACGGACACTGAGGTCACCCCAGCAACGCAAAGCTGCTCCATGTGCCCCAAATCAACTCGAGATGAGGCCCGATTCCCCTGCATTGATTCCAGAGCCATTCCCCGTTGCCCATTCAACACGACCGGTGGCTCGACTTCCTTCAGGCAACTGCAGAGATGCCCCGAGAACACTGCCCCAAGTCTAGAGGAACACCAACTTCAGCACAGCAACTCGAGGAATGCTCCGTGTACCCCAAATCGTCTCGAGATGAGAGCTGATTCCCTGGCTTAGGCTCAAGACGTATGCCACCTTTCCAGAAGCACCTCAGGAGGAGGCTTCTCTCAGCAATAGGTATGTGGGAGGGACCCCGAGTTTGCTGCCTCAAGGGTAATATACAGCGAGAAGCCCTAACTTGAAAGGAGGCCGGATTTCCTTGCAGTGGCTTGAATACAGGCTCGTTTTTCATCTCACAACATGAAGGGATGTCTGAATCCCCTGTGGAGACCTTAGAGAAAGCCCTAGGTCCCTGCCTCATTTTGACGGAATCCTCACATCCCGCTGACACCTCGAGAGGCACGCAGAGTTCATTGCTTCAAAAGGTGACGATGCCTGACTCCTCTTGAATACTGATAGGAATCCCAAAATCCCTGTGGCTACTGGAAAGGGTCCTTGGGTGCCCTGGCTCACCTCGAGAAGCGTCCCTTTTGCCCTGCGAAGCCTCGAAGAGATTGCTGAGGTGTCCCTCGTTACTAGACAGGAGTCCTGACGTCACGGAAGAAACTCGTGTTTTGAAGGGGCATCCCCGCCGTAAGTCGAGAACATACCCCAGGTCCCCGCCGCACCTCGAGAAAAACCATGAGACTTCCCCCTAGAGGCGAGATGAGGCCCCATTCCCCTGCAGTGCATGCAGAGCTATTCCGTGATCCCATTCAAACAAGTCAGGAGCTTCGACTTGCTTAATGGATCTCGAGACAGTCCCCAAGAACACTGTCACCAGTCTAGACGGACCCTGAGGTCACCCAGCAATGCAAAGCAGCTCCATGTGCCCCAAATCAACTCGAGATGAGGCCGGATTCCCCTGCCTTGACTCCAGAGCCATTCCTTGTTCCCCATTCAACACGACCGGTGGCTCGACTTCCTTCAGGCAACTCCAGAGATGCCCCGAGAACATTGTCCCAAGTCTAGAGGACCACCAACTTCAGCACAGCAACTCGAGAAATGCTCTGTGTACCCCAAATCGTCTCGAGATGAGAGCTGATTCCCTGGCTTAGGCTCAAGACGTATGCCACCTTTCCAGAAGCACCTCAGGAGGAGGCTTCTCTCAGCAATAGGTATGTGGGAGGGACATCGAGTTTGCTGCCTCAAGGGGAATATACAGCAAGAAGCCCTAACTTGAAAGGAGGCCGGATTTCCTTGCAGTGGCTTGAATACAGGCTCGTCTTTCATCTCACAACATGAAGGGATGTCTGAATCCCCTGTGGAGACCTTAGAGAAAGCCCTAGGTCCCTGCCTCATTTTGACGGAATCCTCACATCCCGCTGACACCTCGAGAGGCACGCGGAGTTCATTGCTTCGAAAGGTGACGATGCCTGACTCCTCTTGAATACTTATAGGAATCCCAAAATCCCTGTGGCTACTGGAAAGGGTCCTTGGGTGCCCTGCCTCACCTCGAGAAGCGTCCCTTTTGCCGTGCCAAGCCTCGAAGAGATTGCTGAGGTGTCCCTCGTTACTAGACAGGAGTCCTGACGTCACGGAAGAAACTCGTGTTTTGAAGGGCCATCCCCGCCGTAAGTCGAGAACATACCCCAGGTCCCCTCCGCAACTCGAGAAAAACCATGAGACTTCCCCCTAGAGGCGAGATGAGGCCCCATTCCCCTGCAGTGCATGCAGAGCTATTCCGTGATCCCATTCAAACAAGTCAGGAGCTTCGACTTGCTTAATGGATCTCGAGACAGTCCCCAAGAACACTGTCACCAGTCTAGACGGACCCTGAGGTCACCCCAGCAACGCAAAGCAGCTCCATGTGCCCCAAATCAACTCGAGATGAGGCCCGATTCCCCTGCATTGACTCCAGAGCCATTCCCCGTTCCCCATTCAACACGACTGGTGGCTCGCTTTCCTTCAGGCAACTCCAGAGATGCCCCGAGAACACTGTCCCAAGTCTAGAGGAACACCAACTTCAGCACAGCAACTCGAGGAATGCTCTGTGTACCCCAAATCGTCTCGAGATGCGAGCTGATTCCCTGGCTTAGGCTCAAGACGTATGCCAACTTTCCAGAAGCACCTCACGAGGAGGCTTCTCAGCAATAGGTATGTGGGAGGGACTCCGAGTTTGCTGCCTCAAGGGGAATATACAGCGAGAAGCCCTAACTTGAAAGGAGGCCGGATTTCCTTGCAGTAGCTTGAAAACAGGCTTGTCTTTCATCTCACAACATGAAGGGATGTCTGAATCCCCTGTGAAGACCTTAGAGAAAGCCCTAGGACCCTGCCTCGTTTTGACGGAATGCCTCACATCCCGCTGACACCTCGAGAGGCACGCGGAGTTAATTGCTTCAAAAGTTGACGATGCCTGACTCCTCTTGAATACTGATAGGAATCCCAAAATCCCTGTGGCTACTGGAAAGGTTCCTTGGGTGCCCTGGCTCACCTCGAGAAGCGTCCCTTTTGCTCTGCCAAGCCTCGAAGAGATTGCTGAGGTGTCCCTCGTTACTAGACAGGAGTCCTGACGTCACTGAAGAAACTCGTGTTTTGAAGGGCCATCCCCGCCGTAAGTCGAGAACATACCCCAGGTCCCCGCCGCAACTCGAGAAAAACCATGAGACTTCCCCCTAGAGGCGAGATGAGGCCCCATTCCCCTGCAGTGCATGCAGAGCTATTCCGTGATCCCATTCAAACAAGTCAGGAGCTTCGACTTGCTTAATGGATCTCGAGACAGTCCCCAAGAACACTGTCACCAGTCTAGACGGACCCTGAGGTCACCCCAGCAACGCAAAGCTGCTCCATGTGCCCCAAATCAACTCGAGATGAGGCCCGATTCCCCTGCATTGACTCCAGAGCCATTCCCCGTTCCCCATTCAACACGACCGGTGGCTCGACTTCCTTCAGGCAACTGCAGAGATGCCCCGAGAACACTGCCCCAAGTCTAGAGGAACACCAACTTCAGCACAGCAACTCGAGGAATGCTCCGTGTACCCCAAATCGTCTCGAGATGAGAGCTGATTCCCTGGCTTAGGCTCAAGACGTATGCCACCTTTCCAGAAGCACCTCAGGAGGAGGCTTCTCTCAGCAATAGGTATGTGGGAGGGACCCCGAGTTTGCTGCCTCAAGGGTAATATACAGCGAGAAGCCCTAACTTGAAAGGAGGCCGGATTTCCTTGCAGTGGCTTGAATACAGGCTCGTTTTTCATCTCACAACATGAAGGGATGTCTGAATCCCCTGTGGAGACCTTAGAGAAAGCCCTAGGTCCCTGCCTCATTTTGACGGAATCCTCACATCCCGCTGACACCTCGAGAGGCACGCAGAGTTCATTGCTTCAAAAGGTGACGATGCCTGACTCCTCTTGAATACTGATAGGAATCCCAAAATCCCTGTGGCTACTGGAAAGGGTCCTTGGGTGCCCTGGCTCACCTCGAGAAGCGTCCCTTTTGCCCTGCGAAGCCTCGAAGAGATTGCTGAGGTGTCCCTCGTTACTAGACAGGAGTCCTGACGTCACGGAAGAAACTCGTGTTTTGAAGGGCCATCCCCGCCGTAAGTCGAGAACATACCCCAGGTCCCCGCCGCACCTCGAGAAAAACCATGAGACTTCCCCCTAGAGGCGAGATGAGGCCCCATTCCCCTGCAGTGCATGCAGAGCTATTCCGTGATCCCATTCAAACAAGTCAGGAGCTTCGACTTGCTTAATGGATCTCGAGAGAGTCCCCAAGAACACTGTCACCAGTCTAGACGGACCCTGAGGTCACCCAGCAATGCAAAGCAGCTCCATGTGCCCCAAATCAACTCGAGATGAGGCCGGATTCCCCTGCATTGACTCCAGAGCCATTCCTTGTTCCCCATTCAACACGACCGGTGGCTCGACTTCCTTCAGGCAACTCCAGAGATGCCCCGAGAACATTGTCCCAAGTCTAGAGGACCACCAACTTCAGCACAGCAACTCGAGAAATGCTCTGTGTACCCCAAATCGTCTCGAGATGAGAGCTGATTCCCTGGCTTAGGCTCAAGACGTATGCCACCTTTCCAGAAGCACCTCAGGAGGAGGCTTCTCTCAGCAATAGGTATGTGGGAGGGACCTCGAGTTTGCTGCCTCAAGGGGAATATACAGCAAGAAGCCCTAACTTGAAAGGAGGCCGGATTTCCTTGCAGTGGCTTGAATACAGGCTCGTCTTTCATCTCACAACATGAAGGGATGTCTGAATCCCCTGTGGAGACCTTAGAGAAAGCCCTAGGTCCCTGCCTCATTTTGACGGAATCCTCACATCCCGCTGACACCTCGAGAGGCACGCGGAGTTCATTGCTTCGAAAGGTGACGATGCCTGACTCCTCTTGAATACTTATAGGAATCCCAAAATCCCTGTGGCTACTGGAAAGGGTCCTTGGGTGCCCTGCCTCACCTCGAGAAGCGTCCCTTTTGCCGTGCCAAGCCTCGAAGAGATTGCTGAGGTGTCCCTCGTTACTAGACAGGAGTCCTGACGTCACGGAAGAAACTCGTGTTTTGAAGGGCCATCCCCGCCGTAAGTCGAGAACATACCCCAGGTCCCCGCCGCAACTCGAGAAAAACCATGAGACTTCCCCCTAGAGGCGAGATGAGGCCCCATTCCCCTGCAGTGCATGAAGAGCTATTCCGTGATCCCATTCAAACAAATCAGGAGCTTCGACTTGCTTAATGGATCTCGAGACAGTCCCCAAGAACACTGTCACCAGTCTAGACGGACCCTGAGGTCACCCAGCAACGCAAAGCTGCTCCATGTGCCCCAAATCAACTCGAGATGAGGCCGGATTCCCCTGAATTGACTCCAGAGCCACTCCTTGTTCCCCATTCAACACGACCGGTGGCTCGACTTCCTTCAGGCAACACCAGAGATGCCCCGAGAACACTGTCCCAAGTCTAGAGGACCACCAACTTCAGCACAGCAACTCGAGGAATGCTCTGTGTACCCCAAATCGTCTCGAGATGAGAGCTGATTCCCTGCTTAGGCTCAAGACGTATGCCACCTTTCCAGAAGCACCTCAGGAGGAGGCTTCTCTCAGCAATAGGTATGTGGGAGGGACCCCGAGTTTGCTGCCTCAAGGGGAATACACAGGGAGAAGCCCTAATGTGAACGGAGGCCAGATTTCCTTGCAGTGGCTTGAATACAGGCTCGTCTTTGATCTGACAACATGAAGGGATTTCTGAATCCCCTGTGGAGACCTTAGAGGAAGCCCTAGGTCCCTGCCTCATTTTGACGGAATACCTCACATCCCCCTGACACCTCGAGAGGCACGCAGAGTTCATTGCTTCAAAAGGTGACGATGCCTGACTCCTCTTGAATACTGATAGGAATCCCAAAATCCCTGTGGCTACTGGAAAGGGTCCTTGGGTGCCCTGGCTCACCTCGAGAAGCGTCCCTTTTGCCCTGCCAAGCCTCGAAGAGATTGCTGACGTGTCCCTCGTTACTAGACAGGAGTCCTGACGTCACTGAAGAAACTCGTGTTTTGAAGGGCCATCCCCGCCGTAAGTCGAGAACATACCCCAGTTCCCCGCCGCAACTCGAGAAAAAACATGAGACTTCCCCCTAGAGGCGAGATGAGGCCCCATTCCCCTGCAGTGCATGCAGAGCTATTCCGTGATCCCATTCAAACAAGTCAGGAGCTTCGACTTGCTTAATGGATCTCGAGGCAGTCCCCAAGAACACTGTCACCAGTCTAGACGGACCCTGAGGTCACCCCAGCAACGCAAAGCAGCTCCAGGTGCCACAAATCAACTCGAGATGAGGCCCGATTCCCCTGCATTGACTCCAGAGCCATTCCCCGTTCCCCATTCAACACGACCGGTGGCTCGACTTCCTTCAGGCAACTCCAGAGATGCCCAGAGAACACTGTCCCAAGTCTAGAGGAACACCAACTTCAGCACAGCAACTCGAGGAATGCTCTGTGTACCCCAAATCGTCTGGAGATGAGAGCTGAATCCCTGGCTTAGGCTCAAGACGTATGCCAACTTTCCAGAAGCACCTCAGGAGGAGGCTTCTCTCAGCAATAGGTATGTGGGAGGGACTCCGAGTTTGCTGCCTCAAGGGGAATATACAGCGAGAAGCCCTAACTTGAAAGGAGGCCGGATTTCCTTGCAGTGGCTTGAATACAGGCTCGTCTTTCATCTCACAACATGAAGGGATGTCTGAATCCCCTGTGGAGACCTTAGAGAAAGCCCTAGGTCCCTGCCTCATTTTGACGGAATCCTCACATCCCGCTGACACCTCGAGAGGCACGCGGAGTTCATTGCTTCAAAAGGTGACGATGCCTGACTCCTCTTGAATACTTATAGGAATCCCAAAATCCCTGTGGCTACTGGAAAAGGTCCTTGGATTCCCTGGCTCACCTCGAGAAGCGTCCCTTTTGCCCTGCCAAGCCTCGAAGAGATTGCTGAGGTGTCCCTCGTTACTAGACAGGAGTCCTGACGTCACGGAAGAAACTCGTGTTTTGAAGGGCCATCCCCGCCGTAAGTCGAGAACATACCCCAGGTCCCCGCCGCAACTCGAGAAAAACCATGAGACTTCCCCCTAGAGGCGAGATGAGGCCCCATTCCCCTGCAGTGCATGCAGAGCTATTCCGTGATCCCATTCAAACAAGTCAGGAGCTTCGACTTGCTTAATGGATCTCGAGACAGTCCCCAAGAACACTGTCACCAGTCTAGACGGACCCTGAGGTCACCCCAGCAACGCAAAGCTGTTCCATGTGCCCCAAATCAACTCGAGATGAGGCCCGATTCCCCTGCATTGACTCCAGAGCCATTCCCCGTTCCCCATTCAACACGACCGGTGGCTCGACTTCCTTCAGGCAACTCCAGAGATGCCCGAGAACACTGTCCCAAGTCTAGAGGAGCACCAATTTCAGCACAGCAACCCAAGAATGCTCCGTGTACCCCAAATCATCTCGAGATGAGAGCTGATTCCCTGGCTTAGGCTCAAGACGTATGCCAACTTTCCAGAAGCACCTCAGCAGGAGGCTTCTCTCAGCAATAGGTATGTGGGAGGGACCCCGAGTTTCCTGCCTCAAGGGGAATACACAGGGAGAAGCCCTAATGTGAACGGAGGCCAGATTTCCTTGCAGTGGCTTGAATACAGGCTCGTCTTTGATCTGACAACATGAAGGGATTTCTGAATCCCCTGTGGAGACCTTAGAGGAAGCCCTAGGTCCCTGCCTCATTTTGACGGAATACCTCACATCCCCCTGACACCTCGAGAGGCACGCAGAGTTCATTGCTTCAAAAGGTGACGATGCCTGACTCCTCTTGAATACTGATAGGAATCCCAAAATCCCTGTGGCTACTGGAAAGGGTCCTTGGGTGCCCTGGCTCACCTCGAGAAGCGTCCCTTTTGCCCTGCCAAGCCTCGAAGAGATTCCTGAGGTGTCCCTCGTTACTAGACAGGAGTCCTGACGTCACTGAAGAAACTCGTGTTTTGAAGGGCCATCCCCGCCGTAAGTCGAGAACATACCCCAGATCCCCGCCGCAACTCGAGAAAAACCATGAGACTTCCCCCTAGAGGCGAGATGAGGCCCCATTCCCCTGCAGTGCATGCAGAGCTATTCCGTGATCCCATTCAAACAAGTCAGGAGCTTCGACTTGCTTAATAGATCTCGAGACAGTCCCCAAGAACACTGTCACCAGTCTAGACGGACCCTGAGGTCACCCCAGCAACGCAAAGCTGCTCCATGTGCCCCAAATCAACTCGAGATGAGGCCCGATTCCCCTGCATTGACTCCAGAGCCATTCCCCGTTCCCCATTCAACACGACCGGTGGCTCGACTTCCTTCAGGCAACTCCAGAGATGCCCCGAGAACACTGTCCCAAGTCTAGAGGAGCACCAATTTCAGCACAGCAACCCGAGGAATGCTCCGTGTACCCCAAATCATCTCGAGATGAGAGCTGATTCCCTGGCTTAGGCTCAAGACGTATGCCAACTTTCCAGAAGCACCTCAGGAGGAGGCTTCTCTCAGCAATAGGTATGTGGGAGGGACCCCGAGTTTCCTGCCTCAAGGGGAATACACAGGGAGAAGCCCTAATGTGAACGGAGGCCAGATTTCCTTGCAGTGGCTTGAATACAGGCTCGTCTTTGATCTGACAACATGAAGGGATTTCTGAATCCCCTGTGGAGACCTTAGAGGAAGCCCTAGGTCCCTGCCTCATTTTGACGGAATACCTCACATCCCCCTGACACCTCGAGAGGCACGCATAGTTCATTGCTTCAAAAGGTGACGATGCCTGACTCCTCTTGAATACTGATAGGAATCCCAAAATCCCTGTGGCTACTGGAAAGGGTCTTTGGGTGCCCTGGCTCACCTCGAGAAGCGTCCCTTTTGCCCTGCCAAGCCTCGAAGAGATTGCTGACGTGTCCCTCGTTACTAGACAGGAGTCCTGACGTCACTGAAGAAACTCGTGTTTTGAAGGGCCATCCCCGCCGTAAGTCGAGAACATACCCCAGTTCCCCGCCTCAACTCGAGAAAAAAACATGAGACTTCCCCCTAGAGGCGAGATGAGGCCCCATTCCCCTGCAGTGCATGCAGAGCTATTCCGTGATCCCATTCAAACAAGTCAGGAGCTTCGACTTGCTTAATGGATCTCGAGGCAGTCCCCAAGAACACTGTCACCAGTCTAGACGGACCCTGAGGTCACCCCAGCAACGCAAAGCAGCTCCAGGTGCCACAAATCAACTCGAGATGAGGCCCGATTCCCCTGCATTGACTCCAGAGCCATTCCCCGTTCCCCATTCAACACGACCGGTGGCTCGACTTCCTTCAGGCAACTCCAGAGATGCCCAGAGAACACTGTCCCAAGTCTAGAGGAACACCAACTTCAGCACAGCAACTCGAGGAATGCTCTGTGTACCCCAAATCGTCTGGAGATGAGAGCTGAATCCCTGGCTTAGGCTCAAGACGTATGCCAACTTTCCAGAAGCACCTCAGGAGGAGGCTTCTCTCAGCAATAGGTATGTGGGAGGGACTCCGAGTTTGCTGCCTCAAGGGGAATATACAGCGAGAAGCCCTAACTTGAAAGGAGGCCGGATTTCCTTGCAGTGGCTTGAAAACAGGCTCGTCTTTCATCTCACAACATGAAGGGATGTCTGAATCCCCTGTGGAGACCTTAGAGGAAGCCCTAGGTCCCTGCCTCATTTTGACGGAATACCTCACATCCCCCTGACACCTCGAGAGCCACGCAGAGTTCATTGCTTCAAAAGGTGAAGATGCCTGACTCCTCTTGAATACTGATAGGAATCCCAAAATCCCTGTGGCTACTGGAAAGGGTCCTTGGGTGCCCTGGCTCACCTCGAGAAGCGTCCCTTTTGCCCTGCCAAGCCTCGAAGAGATTGCTGACGTGTCCCTCCTTACTAGACAGGAGTCCTGACGTCACTGAAGAAACTCGTGTTTTGAAGGGCCATCCCCGCCGTAAGTCGAGAACATACCCCAGGTCCCCGCCGCAACTCGAGAAAAACCATGAGACTTCCCCCTAGAGGCGAGATGAGGCCCAATTCCCCTGCAGTGCATGCAGAGCTATTCCGTGATCCCATTCAAACAAGTCAGGAGCTTCGACTTGCTTAATGGATCTCGAGACAGTCCCCAAGAACACTGTCACCAGTCTAGACGGACCCTGAGGTCACCCCAGCAACGCAAAGCAGCTCCATGTGCCCCAAATCAACTCGAGATGAGGCCCGATTCCCCTGCATTGACTCCAGAGCAATTCCCCGTTCCCCATTCAACACGACTGGTGGCTCGCTTTCCTTCAGGCAACTCCAGAGATGCCCCGAGAACACTGTCCCAAGTCTAGAGGAACACCAACTTCAGCACAGCAACTCGAGGAATGCTCTGTGTACCCCAAATCGTCTCGAGATGAGAGCTGATTCCCTGGCTTAGGCTCAAGACGTATGCCAACTTTCCAGAAGCACCTCAGGAGGAGGCTTCTCAGCAATAGGTATGTGGGAGGGACTCCGAGTTTGCTGCCTCAAGGGGAATATACAGCGAGAAGCCCTAACTTGAAAGGAGGCCGGATTTCCTGGCAGTAGCTTGAACACAGGCTTGTCTTTCATCTCACAACATGAAGGGATGTCTGAATCCCCTGTGAAGACCTTAGAGAAAGCCCTAGGACCCTGCCTCGTTTTGACGGAATGCCTCACATCCCGCTGACACCTCGAGAGGCACGCGGAGTTAATTGCTTCAAAAGGTGACGATGCCTGACTCCTCTTGAATACTGATAGGAATCCCACAATCCCTGTGGCTACTGGAAAGGTTCCTTGGGTGCCCTGGCTCACCTCGAGAAGCGTCCCTTTTGCCCTGCCAAGCCTCGAAGAGATTGCTGAGGTGTCCCTCGTTACTAGACAGGAGTCCTGACGTCACTGAAGAAACTCGTGTTTTGAAGGGCCATCCCCGCCGTAAGTCGAGAACATACCCCAGGTCCACGCCGCAACTCGAGAAAAACCATGAGACTTCCCCCTAGAGGCGAGATGAGGCCCCATTCCCCTGCAGTGCATGCAGAGCTATTCCGTGATCCCATTCAAACAAGTCAGGAGCTTCGACTTGCTTAATGGATCTCGAGACAGTCCCCAAGAACACTGTCACCAGTCTAGACGGACACTGAGGTCACCCCAGCAACGCAAAGCTGCTCCATGTGCCCCAAATCAACTCGAGATGAGGCCCGATTCCCCTGCATTGATTCCAGAGCCATTCCCCGTTGCCCATTCAACACGACCGGTGGCTCGACTTCCTTCAGGCAACTGCAGAGATGCCCCGAGAACACTGCCCCAAGTCTAGAGGAACACCAACTTCAGCACAGCAACTCGAGGAATGCTCCGTGTACCCCAAATCGTCTCGAGATGAGAGCTGATTCCCTGGCTTAGGCTCAAGACGTATGCCACCTTTCCAGAAGCACCTCAGGAGGAGGCTTCTCTCAGCAATAGGTATGTGGGAGGGACCCCGAGTTTGCTGCCTCAAGGGTAATATACAGCGAGAAGCCCTAACTTGAAAGGAGGCCGGATTTCCTTGCAGTGGCTTGAATACAGGCTCGTTTTTCATCTCACAACATGAAGGGATGTCTGAATCCCCTGTGGAGACCTTAGAGAAAGCCCTAGGTCCCTGCCTCATTTTGACGGAATCCTCACATCCCGCTGACACCTCGAGAGGCACGCAGAGTTCATTGCTTCAAAAGGTGACGATGCCTGACTCCTCTTGAATACTGATAGGAATCCCAAAATCCCTGTGGCTACTGGAAAGGGTCCTTGGGTGCCCTGGCTCACCTCGAGAAGCGTCCCTTTTGCCCTGCGAAGCCTCGAAGAGATTGCTGAGGTGTCCCTCGTTACTAGACAGGAGTCCTGACGTCACTGAAGAAACTCGTGTTTTGAAGGGGCATCCCCGCCGTAAGTCGAGAACATACCCCAGGTCCCCGCCGCACCTCGAGAAAAACCATGAGACTTCCCCCTAGAGGCGAGATGAGGCCCCATTCCCCTGCAGTGCATGCAGAGCTATTCCGTGATCCCATTCAAACAAGTCAGGAGCTTCGACTTGCTTAATGGATCTCGAGACAGTCCCCAAGAACACTGTCACCAGTCTAGACGGACCCTGAGGTCACCCAGCAATGCAAAGCAGCTCCATGTGCCCCAAATCAACTCGAGATGAGGCCGGATTCCCCTGCATTGACTCCAGAGCCATTCCTTGTTCCCCATTCAACACGACCGGTGGCTCGACTTCCTTCAGGCAACTCCAGAGATGCCCCGAGAACATTGTCCCAAGTCTAGAGGACCACCAACTTCAGCACAGCAACTCGAGAAATGCTCTGTGTACCCCAAATCGTCTCGAGATGAGAGCTGATTCCCTGGCTTAGGCTCAAGACGTATGCCACCTTTCCAGAAGCACCTCAGGAGGAGGCTTCTCTCAGCAATAGGTATGTGGGAGGGACATCGAGTTTGCTGCCTCAAGGGGAATATACAGCAAGAAGCCCTAACTTGAAAGGAGGCCGGATTTCCTTGCAGTGGCTTGAATACAGGCTCGTCTTTCATCTCACAACATGAAGGGATGTCTGAATCCCCTGTGGAGACCTTAGAGAAAGCCCTAGGTCCCTGCCTCATTTTGACGGAATCCTCACATCCCGCTGACACCTCGAGAGGCACGCGGAGTTCATTGCTTCGAAAGGTGACGATGCCTGACTCCTCTTGAATACTTATAGGAATCCCAAAATCCCTGTGGCTACTGGAAAGGGTCCTTGGGTGCCCTGCCTCACCTCGAGAAGCGTCCCTTTTGCCGTGCCAAGCCTCGAAGAGATTGCTGAGGTGTCCCTCGTTACTAGACAGGAGTCCTGACGTCACGGAAGAAACTCGTGTTTTGAAGGGCCATCCCCGCCGTAAGTCGAGAACATACCCCAGGTCCCCTCCGCAACTCGAGAAAAACCATGAGACTTCCCCCTAGAGGCGAGATGAGGCCCCATTCCCCTGCAGTGCATGCAGAGCTATTCCGTGATCCCATTCAAACAAGTCAGGAGCTTCGACTTGCTTAATGGATCTCGAGACAGTCCCCAAGAACACTGTCACCAGTCTAGACGGACCCTGAGGTCACCCCAGCAACGCAAAGCAGCTCCATGTGCCCCAAATCAACTCGAGATGAGGCCCGATTCCCCTGCATTGACTCCAGAGCCATTCCCCGTTCCCCATTCAACACGACTGGTGGCTCGCTTTCCTTCAGGCAACTCCAGAGATGCCCCGAGAACACTGTCCCAAGTCTAGAGGAACACCAACTTCAGCACAGCAACTCGAGGAATGCTCTGTGTACCCCAAATCGTCTCGAGATGCGAGCTGATTCCCTGGCTTAGGCTCAAGACGTATGCCAACTTTCCAGAAGCACCTCACGAGGAGGCTTCTCAGCAATAGGTATGTGGGAGGGACTCCGAGTTTGCTGCCTCAAGGGGAATATACAGCGAGAAGCCCTAACTTGAAAGGAGGCCGGATTTCCTTGCAGTAGCTTGAAAACAGGCTTGTCTTTCATCTCACAACATGAAGGGATGTCTGAATCCCCTGTGAAGACCTTAGAGAAAGCCCTAGGACCCTGCCTCGTTTTGACGGAATGCCTCACATCCCGCTGACACCTCGAGAGGCACGCGGAGTTAATTGCTTCAAAAGGTGACGATGCCTGACTCCTCTTGAATACTGATAGGAATCCCAAAATCCCTGTGGCTACTGGAAAGGTTCCTTGGGTGCCCTGGCTCACCTCGAGAAGCGTCCCTTTTGCTCTGCCAAGCCTCGAAGAGATTGCTGAGGTGTCCCTCGTTACTAGACAGGAGTCCTGACGTCACTGAAGAAACTCGTGTTTTGAAGGGCCATCCCCGCCGTAAGTCGAGAACATACCCCAGGTCCCCGCCGCAACTCGAGAAAAACCATGAGACTTCCCCCTAGAGGCGAGATGAGGCCCCATTCCCCTGCAGTGCATGCAGAGCTATTCCGTGATCCCATTCAAACAAGTCAGGAGCTTCGACTTGCTTAATGGATCTCGAGACAGTCCCCAAGAACACTGTCACCAGTCTAGACGGACCCTGAGGTCACCCCAGCAACGCAAAGCTGCTCCATGTGCCCCAAATCAACTCGAGATGAGGCCCGATTCCCCTGCATTGACTCCAGAGCCATTCCCCGTTCCCCATTCAACACGACCGGTGGCTCGACTTCCTTCAGGCAACTGCAGAGATGCCCCGAGAACACTGCCCCAAGTCTAGAGGAACACCAACTTCAGCACAGCAACTCGAGGAATGCTCCGTGTACCCCAAATCGTCTCGAGATGAGAGCTGATTCCCTGGCTTAGGCTCAAGACGTATGCCACCTTTCCAGAAGCACCTCAGGAGGAGGCTTCTCTCAGCAATAGGTATGTGGGAGGGACCCCGAGTTTGCTGCCTCAAGGGTAATATACAGCGAGAAGCCCTAACTTGAAAGGAGGCCGGATTTCCTTGCAGTGGCTTGAATACAGGCTCGTTTTTCATCTCACAACATGAAGGGATGTCTGAATCCCCTGTGGAGACCTTAGAGAAAGCCCTAGGTCCCTGCCTCATTTTGACGGAATCCTCACATCCCGCTGACACCTCGAGAGGCACGCGGAGTTCATTGCTTCAAAAGGTGACGATGCCTGACTCCTCTTGAATACTTATAGGAATCCCAAAATCCCTGTGGCTACTGGAAAAGGTCCTTGGGTTCCCTGGCTCACCTCGAGAAGCGTCCCTTTTGCCCTGCCAAGCCTCGAAGAGATTGCTGAGGTGTCCCTCGTTACTAGACAGGAGTCCTGACGTCACGGAAGAAACTCGTGTTTTGAAGGGCCATCCCCGCCGTAAGTCGAGAACATACCCCAGGTCCCCGCCGCACCTCGAGAAAAACCATGAGACTTCCCCCTAGAGGCGAGATGAGGCCCCATTCCCCTGCAGTGCATGCAGAGCTATTCCGTGATCCCATTCAAACAAGTCAGGAGCTTCGACTTGCTTAATGGATCTCGAGAGAGTCCCCAAGAACACTGTCACCAGTCTAGACGGACCCTGAGGTCACCCAGCAATGCAAAGCAGCTCCATGTGCCCCAAATCAACTCGAGATGAGGCCGGATTCCCCTGCATTGACTCCAGAGCCATTCCTTGTTCCCCATTCAACACGACCGGTGGCTCGACTTCCTTCAGGCAACTCCAGAGATGCCCCGAGAACATTGTCCCAAGTCTAGAGGACCACCAACTTCAGCACAGCAACTCGAGAAATGCTCTGTGTACCCCAAATCGTCTCGAGATGAGAGCTGATTCCCTGGCTTAGGCTCAAGACGTATGCCACCTTTCCAGAAGCACCTCAGGAGGAGGCTTCTCTCAGCAATAGGTATGTGGGAGGGACCTCGAGTTTGCTGCCTCAAGGGGAATATACAGCAAGAAGCCCTAACTTGAAAGGAGGCCGGATTTCCTTGCAGTGGCTTGAATACAGGCTCGTCTTTCATCTCACAACATGAAGGGATGTCTGAATCCCCTGTGGAGACCTTAGAGAAAGCCCTAGGTCCCTGCCTCATTTTGACGGAATCCTCACATCCCGCTGACACCTCGAGAGGCACGCGGAGTTCATTGCTTCGAAAGGTGACGATGCCTGACTCCTCTTGAATACTTATAGGAATCCCAAAATCCCTGTGGCTACTGGAAAGGGTCCTTGGGTGCCCTGCCTCACCTCGAGAAGCGTCCCTTTTGCCGTGCCAAGCCTCGAAGAGATTGCTGAGGTGTCCCTCGTTACTAGACAGGAGTCCTGACGTCACGGAAGAAACTCGTGTTTTGAAGGGCCATCCCCGCCGTAAGTCGAGAACATACCCCAGGTCCCCGCCGCAACTCGAGAAAAACCATGAGACTTCCCCCTAGAGGCGAGATGAGGCCCCATTCCCCTGCAGTGCATGAAGAGCTATTCCGTGATCCCATTCAAACAAATCAGGAGCTTCGACTTGCTTAATGGATCTCGAGACAGTCCCCAAGAACACTGTCACCAGTCTAGACGGACCCTGAGGTCACCCAGCAACGCAAAGCTGCTCCATGTGCCCCAAATCAACTCGAGATGAGGCCGGATTCCCCTGAATTGACTCCAGAGCCACTCCTTGTTCCCCATTCAACACGACCGGTGGCTCGACTTCCTTCAGGCAACACCAGAGATGCCCCGAGAACACTGTCCCAAGTCTAGAGGACCACCAACTTCAGCACAGCAACTCGAGGAATGCTCTGTGTACCCCAAATCGTCTCGAGATGAGAGCTGATTCCCTGCTTAGGCTCAAGACGTATGCCACCTTTCCAGAAGCACCTCAGGAGGAGGCTTCTCTCAGCAATAGGTATGTGGGAGGGACCCCGAGTTTGCTGCCTCAAGGGGAATACACAGGGAGAAGCCCTAATGTGAACGGAGGCCAGATTTCCTTGCAGTGGCTTGAATACAGGCTCGTCTTTGATCTGACAACATGAAGGGATTTCTGAATCCCCTGTGGAGACCTTAGAGGAAGCCCTAGGTCCCTGCCTCATTTTGACGGAATACCTCACATCCCCCTGACACCTCGAGAGGCACGCAGAGTTCATTGCTTCAAAAGGTGACGATGCCTGACTCCTCTTGAATACTGATAGGAATCCCAAAATCCCTGTGGCTACTGGAAAGGGTCCTTGGGTGCCCTGGCTCACCTCGAGAAGCGTCCCTTTTGCCCTGCCAAGCCTCGAAGAGATTGCTGACGTGTCCCTCGTTACTAGACAGGAGTCCTGACGTCACTGAAGAAACTCGTGTTTTGAAGGGCCATCCCCGCCGTAAGTCGAGAACATACCCCAGTTCCCCGCCGCAACTCGAGAAAAAACATGAGACTTCCCCCTAGAGGCGAGATGAGGCCCCATTCCCCTGCAGTGCATGCAGAGCTATTCTGTGATCCCATTCAAACAAGTCAGGAGCTTCGACTTGCTTAATGGATCTCGAGGCAGTCCCCAAGAACACTGTCACCAGTCTAGACGGACCCTGAGGTCACCCCAGCAACGCAAAGCAGCTCCAGGTGCCACAAATCAACTCGAGATGAGGCCCGATTCCCCTGCATTGACTCCAGAGCCATTCCCCGTTCCCCATTCAACACGACCGGTGGCTCGACTTCCTTCAGGCAACTCCAGAGATGCCCAGAGAACACTGTCCCAAGTCTAGAGGAACACCAACTTCAGCACAGCAACTCGAGGAATGCTCTGTGTACCCCAAATCGTCTGGAGATGAGAGCTGAATCCCTGGCTTAGGCTCAAGACGTATGCCAACTTTCCAGAAGCACCTCAGGAGGAGGCTTCTCTCAGCAATAGGTATGTGGGAGGGACTCCGAGTTTGCTGCCTCAAGGGGAATATACAGCGAGAAGCCCTAACTTGAAAGGAGGCCGGATTTCCTTGCAGTGGCTTGAATACAGGCTCGTCTTTCATCTCACAACATGAAGGGATGTCTGAATCCCCTGTGGAGACCTTAGAGAAAGCCCTAGGTCCCTGCCTCATTTTGACGGAATCCTCACATCCCGCTGACACCTCGAGAGGCACGCGGAGTTCATTGCTTCAAAAGGTGACGATGCCTGACTCCTCTTGAATACTGATAGGAATCCCAAAATCCCTGTGGCTACTGGAAAGGGTCCTTGGGTGCCCTGGCTCACCTCGAGAAGCGTCCCTTTTGCCCTGCCAAGCCTCGAAGAGATTGCTGACGTGTCCCTCGTTACTAGACAGGAGTCCTGACGTCACTGAAGAAACTCGTGTTTTGAAGGGCCATCCCCGCCGTAAGTCGAGAACATACCCCAGTTCCCCGCCGCAACTCGAGAAAAAACATGAGACTTCCCCCTAGAGGCGAGATGAGGCCCCATTCCCCTGCAGTGCATGCAGAGCTATTCTGTGATCCCATTCAAACAAGTCAGGAGCTTCGACTTGCTTAATGGATCTCGAGGCAGTCCCCAAGAACACTGTCACCAGTCTAGACGGACCCTGAGGTCACCCCAGCAACGCAAAGCAGCTCCAGGTGCCACAAATCAACTCGAGATGAGGCCCGATTCCCCTGCATTGACTCCAGAGCCATTCCCCGTTCCCCATTCAACACGACCGGTGGCTCGACTTCCTTCAGGCAACTCCAGAGATGCCCAGAGAACACTGTCCCAAGTCTAGAGGAACACCAACTTCAGCACAGCAACTCGAGGAATGCTCTGTGTACCCCAAATCGTCTGGAGATGAGAGCTGAATCCCTGGCTTAGGCTCAAGACGTATGCCAACTTTCCAGAAGCACCTCAGGAGGAGGCTTCTCTCAGCAATAGGTATGTGGGAGGGACTCCGAGTTTGCTGCCTCAAGGGGAATATACAGCGAGAAGCCCTAACTTGAAAGGAGGCCGGATTTCCTTGCAGTGGCTTGAATACAGGCTCGTCTTTCATCTCACAACATGAAGGGATGTCTGAATCCCCTGTGGAGACCTTAGAGAAAGCCCTAGGTCCCTGCCTCATTTTGACGGAATCCTCACATCCCGCTGACACCTCGAGAGGCACGCGGAGTTCATTGCTTCAAAAGGTGACGATGCCTGACTCCTCTTGAATACTTATAGGAATCCCAAAATCCCTGTGGCTACTGGAAAAGGTCCTTGGATTCCCTGGCTCACCTCGAGAAGCGTCCCTTTTGCCCTGCCAAGCCTCGAAGAGATTGCTGAGGTGTCCCTCGTTACTAGACAGGAGTCCTGACGTCACGGAAGAAACTCGTGTTTTGAAGGGCCATCCCCGCCGTAAGTCGAGAACATACCCCAGGTCCCCGCCGCAACTCGAGAAAAACCATGAGACTTCCCCCTAGAGGCGAGATGAGGCCCCATTCCCCTGCAGTGCATGCAGAGCTATTCCGTGATCCCATTCAAACAAGTCAGGAGCTTCGACTTGCTTAATGGATCTCGAGACAGTCCCCAAGAACACTGTCACCAGTCTAGACGGACCCTGAGGTCACCCCAGCAACGCAAAGCTGTTCCATGTGCCCCAAATCAACTCGAGATGAGGCCCGATTCCCCTGCATTGACTCCAGAGCCATTCCCCGTTCCCCATTCAACACGACCGGTGGCTCGACTTCCTTCAGGCAACTCCAGAGATGCCCGAGAACACTGTCCCAAGTCTAGAGGAGCACCAATTTCAGCACAGCAACCCAAGAATGCTCCGTGTACCCCAAATCATCTCGAGATGAGAGCTGATTCCCTGGCTTAGGCTCAAGACGTATGCCAACTTTCCAGAAGCACCTCAGCAGGAGGCTTCTCTCAGCAATAGGTATGTGGGAGGGACCCCGAGTTTCCTGCCTCAAGGGGAATACACAGGGAGAAGCCCTAATGTGAACGGAGGCCAGATTTCCTTGCAGTGGCTTGAATACAGGCTCGTCTTTGATCTGACAACATGAAGGGATTTCTGAATCCCCTGTGGAGACCTTAGAGGAAGCCCTAGGTCCCTGCCTCATTTTGACGGAATACCTCACATCCCCCTGACACCTCGAGAGGCACGCAGAGTTCATTGCTTCAAAAGGTGACGATGCCTGACTCCTCTTGAATACTGATAGGAATCCCAAAATCCCTGTGGCTACTGGAAAGGGTCCTTGGGTGCCCTGGCTCACCTCGAGAAGCGTCCCTTTTGCCCTGCCAAGCCTCGAAGAGATTCCTGAGGTGTCCCTCGTTACTAGACAGGAGTCCTGACGTCACTGAAGAAACTCGTGTTTTGAAGGGCCATCCCCGCCGTAAGTCGAGAACATACCCCAGATCCCCGCCGCAACTCGAGAAAAACCATGAGACTTCCCCCTAGAGGCGAGATGAGGCCCCATTCCCCTGCAGTGCATGCAGAGCTATTCCGTGATCCCATTCAAACAAGTCAGGAGCTTCGACTTGCTTAATAGATCTCGAGACAGTCCCCAAGAACACTGTCACCAGTCTAGACGGACCCTGAGGTCACCCCAGCAACGCAAAGCTGCTCCATGTGCCCCAAATCAACTCGAGATGAGGCCCGATTCCCCTGCATTGACTCCAGAGCCATTCCCCGTTCCCCATTCAACACGACCGGTGGCTCGACTTCCTTCAGGCAACTCCAGAGATGCCCCGAGAACACTGTCCCAAGTCTAGAGGAGCACCAATTTCAGCACAGCAACCCGAGGAATGCTCCGTGTACCCCAAATCATCTCGAGATGAGAGCTGATTCCCTGGCTTAGGCTCAAGACGTATGCCAACTTTCCAGAAGCACCTCAGGAGGAGGCTTCTCTCAGCAATAGGTATGTGGGAGGGACCCCGAGTTTCCTGCCTCAAGGGGAATACACAGGGAGAAGCCCTAATGTGAACGGAGGCCAGATTTCCTTGCAGTGGCTTGAATACAGGCTCGTCTTTGATCTGACAACATGAAGGGATTTCTGAATCCCCTGTGGAGACCTTAGAGGAAGCCCTAGGTCCCTGCCTCATTTTGACGGAATACCTCACATCCCCCTGACACCTCGAGAGGCACGCAGAGTTCATTGCTTCAAAAGGTGACGATGCCTGACTCCTCTTGAATACTGATAGGAATCCCAAAATCCCTGTGGCTACTGGAAAGGGTCTTTGGGTGCCCTGGCTCACCTCGAGAAGCGTCCCTTTTGCCCTGCCAAGCCTCGAAGAGATTGCTGACGTGTCCCTCGTTACTAGACAGGAGTCCTGACGTCACTGAAGAAACTCGTGTTTTGAAGGGCCATCCCCGCCGTAAGTCGAGAACATACCCCAGTTCCCCGCCTCAACTCGAGAAAAAAACATGAGACTTCCCCCTAGAGGCGAGATGAGGCCCCATTCCCCTGCAGTGCATGCAGAGCTATTCCGTGATCCCATTCAAACAAGTCAGGAGCTTCGACTTGCTTAATGGATCTCGAGGCAGTCCCCAAGAACACTGTCACCAGTCTAGACGGACCCTGAGGTCACCCCAGCAACGCAAAGCAGCTCCAGGTGCCACAAATCAACTCGAGATGAGGCCCGATTCCCCTGCATTGACTCCAGAGCCATTCCCCGTTCCCCATTCAACACGACCGGTGGCTCGACTTCCTTCAGGCAACTCCAGAGATGCCCAGAGAACACTGTCCCAAGTCTAGAGGAACACCAACTTCAGCACAGCAACTCGAGGAATGCTCTGTGTACCCCAAATCGTCTGGAGATGAGAGCTGAATCCCTGGCTTAGGCTCAAGACGTATGCCAACTTTCCAGAAGCACCTCAGGAGGAGGCTTCTCTCAGCAATAGGTATGTGGGAGGGACTCCGAGTTTGCTGCCTCAAGGGGAATATACAGCGAGAAGCCCTAACTTGAAAGGAGGCCGGATTTCCTTGCAGTGGCTTGAAAACAGGCTCGTCTTTCATCTCACAACATGAAGGGATGTCTGAATCCCCTGTGGAGACCTTAGAGGAAGCCCTAGGTCCCTGCCTCATTTTGACGGAATACCTCACATCCCCCTGACACCTCGAGAGCCACGCAGAGTTCATTGCTTCAAAAGGTGAAGATGCCTGACTCCTCTTGAATACTGATAGGAATCCCAAAATCCCTGTGGCTACTGGAAAGGGTCCTTGGGTGCCCTGGCTCACCTCGAGAAGCGTCCCTTTTGCCCTGCCAAGCCTCGAAGAGATTGCTGACGTGTCCCTCCTTACTAGACAGGAGTCCTGACGTCACTGAAGAAACTCGTGTTTTGAAGGGCCATCCCCGCCGTAAGTCGAGAACATACCCCAGGTCCCCGCCGCAACTCGAGAAAAACCATGAGACTTCCCCCTAGAGGCGAGATGAGGCCCAATTCCCCTGCAGTGCATGCAGAGCTATTCCGTGATCCCATTCAAACAAGTCAGGAGCTTCGACTTGCTTAATGGAGCTCGAGGCAGTCCCGAAGAAAACTGTCACCAGTCTAGACGGACCCTGAGGTCACCCCAGCAACGCAAAGCAGCTCCAGGTGCCACAAATCAACTCGAGATGAGGCCCCATTCCCCTGCATTGACTCCAGAGCCATTCCCCTTCCCCATTCAACAGGACTGGTGCCTCGCTTTCCTTCAGGCAACTCCAGAGATGCCCTGAGAACACTGTCCCAAGTCTAGAGGAACACCAACTTCAGCACAGCAACTCGAGGAATGCTCTGTGTACCCCAAATTGTCTCGAGATGAGAGCTGATTCCCTGGCTTAGGCTCAAGACGTATGCCACCTTTCCAGAAGCACCTCAGGAGGAGGCTTCTCTCAGCAATAGGTATGTGGGAGGGACCCCGAGTTTGCTGCCTCAAGGGGAATATACAGCGAGAAGCCCTACTTGAAAGGAGGCCAGATTTCCTTGCACTGGCTTGAATACAGGCTCGTCTTTCATCTCACAACATGAAGGGATGTCTGAATCCCCTGTGGAGACCTTAGAGAAAGCCCTAGGTCCCTGCCTCATTTTGACGGAATCCTCACATCCCGCTGACACCTCGAGAGGCACGCGGAGTTCATTGCTTCGAAAGGTGACGATGCCTGACTCCTCTTGAATACTTATAGGAATCCCAAAATCCCTGTGGCTACTGGAAAGGGTCCTTGGGTGCCCTGCCTCACCTCGAGAGGCGTCCCATTTGCCGTGCCAAGCCTCGAAGAGATTGCTGAGGTGTCCCTCGTTACTAGACAGGAGTCCTGACGTCACGGAAGAAACTCGTGTTTTGAAGGGCCATCCCCGCCGTAAGTCGAGAACATACCCCAGGTCCCCGCCGCAACTCGAGAAAAACCATGAGACTTCCCCCTAGAGGCGAGATGAGGCCCCATTCCCCTGCAGTGCATGCAGAGCTATTCCGTGATCCCATTCAAACAAATCAGGAGCTTCGACTTGCTTAATGGATCTCGAGACAGTCCCCAAGAACACTGTCACCAGTCTAGACGGACCCTGAGGTCACCCAGCAATGCAAAGCAGCTCCATGTGCCCCAAATCAACTCGAGATGAGGCCCGATTCCCCTGCATTGACTCCAGAGCCATTCCTTGTTCCCCATTCAACACGACCGGTGGCTCGCCTTCCTTCAGGCAACTCCAGAGATGCCCCGAGAACACTGTCCCAAGTCTAGAGGAACACCAACTTCAGCACAGCAACTCGAGGAATGCTCTGTGTACCCCAAATCGTCTCGAGATGAGAGCTGATTCCCTGGCTTAGGCTCAAGACGTATGCCAACTTTCCAGAAGCACCTCAGGAGGAGGCTTCTCTCAGCAATAGGTATGTGGGAGGGACCCCGAGTTTGCTGCCTCAAGGGGAATATACAGCGAGAAGTCCTAACTTGAAAGAAGGCCGGATTTCCTTGCAGTGGCTTGAATACCGGCTCGTCTTTCATCTCACAACATGAAGGGATGTCTGAATCCCCTGTGGAGACCTTAGAGAAAGCCCTAGGTCCCTGCCTCATTTTGACGGAATCCTCACATCCCGCTGACACCTCGAGAGGCACGCGGAGTTCATTGCTTCAAAAGGTGACGATGCCTGACTCCTCTTGAATACTGATAGGAATCCCAAAATACCTGTGGCTACTGGAAAGGGTCCTTGGGTGCCCTGGCTCACCTCGAGAAGCGTCCCTTTTGCCCTGCCAAGCCTCGAAGAGATTGCTGAGGTGTCCCTCGTTACTAGACAGGAGTCCTGACGTCACGGAAGAAACTCGTGTTTTGAAGGGCCATCCCCGCCGTAAGTCGAGAACATACCCCAGGTCCCCGCCGCAACTCGAGAAAAACCATGAGACTTCCCCCTAGAGGCGAGATGAGGCCCCATTCCCCTGCAGTGCATGCAGAGCTATTCCGTGATCCCATTCAAACAAGTCAGGAGCTTCGACTTGCTTAATGGATCTCGAGACCGTCCCCAAGAACACTGTCACCAGTCTAGACGGACCCTGAGGTCACCCCAGCAACGCAAAGCTGCTCCATGTGCCCCAAATCAACTCGAGATGAGGCCGGATTCCCCTGAATTGACTCCAGAGCCACTCCTTGTTCCCCATTCAACACGACCGGTGGCTCGACTTCCTTCAGGCAACACCAGAGATGCCCCGAGAACACTGTCCCAAGTCTAGAGGACCACCAACTTCAGCACAGCAACTCGAGGAATGCTCTGTGTACCCCAAATCGTCTCGAGATGAGAGCTGATTCCCTGCTTAGGCTCAAGACGTATGCCACCTTTCCAGAAGCACCTCAGGAGGAGGCTTTTCTCAGCAATAGGTATGTGGGAGGGACCCCGAGTTTGCTGCCTCAAGGGGAATACACAGGGAGAAGCCCTAATGTGAACGGAGGCCAGATTTCCTTGCAGTGGCTTGAATACAGGCTCGTCTTTGATCTGACAACATGAAGGGATTTCTGAATCCCCTGTGGAGACCTTAGAGGAAGCCCTAGGTCCCTGCCTCATTTTGACGGAATACCTCACATCCCGCTGACACCTCGAGAGGCACGCGGAGTTCATTGCTTCAAAAGGTGACGATGCCTGACTCCTCTTGAATACTGATAGGAATCCCAAAATCCCTGTGGCTACTGGAAAGGGTCCTTGGGTGCCCTGGCTTACCTCGAGAAGCGTCCCTTTTGCCCTGCCAAGCCTCGAAGAGATTGCTGACGTGTCCCTCGTTACTAGACAGGAGTCCTGACGTCACTGAAGAAACTCGTGTTTTGAAGGGCCATCCCCGCCGTAAGTCGAGAACATACCCCAGGTCCCCGCCGCAACTCGAGAAAAACCATGAGACTTCCCCCTAGAGGCGAGATGAGGCCCAATTCCCCTGCAGTGCATGCAGAGCTATTCCGTGATCCCATTCAAACAAGTCAGGAGCTTCGACTTGCTTAATGGATCTCGAGGCAGTCCCGAAGAACACTGTCACCAGTCTAGACGGACCCTGAGGTCACCCCAGCAAAGCAAAGCAGCTCCAGGTGCCACAAATCAACTCGAGATGAGGCCCGATTCCCCTGCATTGACTCCAGAGCCATTCCCCGTTCCCCATTCAACACGACCGGTGGCTCGACTTCCTTCAGGCAACTCCAGAGATGCCCAGAGAACACTGTCCCAAGTCTAGAGGAACACCAACTTCAGCACAGCAACTCGAGGAATGCTCTGTGTACCCCAAATCGTCTCGAGATGAGAGCTGAATCCCTGGCTTAGGCTCAAGACGTATGCCAACTTTCCAGAAGCACCTCAGGAGGAGGCTTCTCTCAGCAATAGGTATGTGGGAGGGACTCCGAGTTTGCTGCCTCAAGGGGAATATACAGCGAGAAGCCCTAACTTGAAAGGAGGCCGGATTTCCTTGCAGTGGCTTGAATACAGGCTCGTCTTTCATCTCACAACATGAAGGGATGTCTGAATCCCCTGTGGAGACCTTAGAGAAAGCCCTAGGTCCCTGCCTCATTTTGACGGAATCCTCACATCCCGCTGACACCTCGAGAGGCACGCAGAGTTCATTGCTTCAAAAGGTGACGATGCCTGACTCCTCTTGAATACTTATAGGAATCCCAAAATCCCTGTGGCTACTGGAAAGGGTCCTTGGGTGCCCTGGCTCACCTCGAGAAGCGTCCCTTTTGCCCTGCCAAGCCTCGAAGAGATTGCTGAGGTGTCCCTCGTTACTAGACAGGAGTCCTGACGTCACGGAAGAAACTCGTGTTTTGAAGGGCCATCCCCGCCGTAAGTCGAGAACATACCCCAGGTCCCCGCCGCAACTCGAGAAAAACCATGAGACTTCCCCCTAGAGGCGAGATGAGGCCCCATTCCCCTGCAGTGCATGCAGAGCTATTCCGTGATCCCATTCAAACAAGTCAGGAGCTTCGACTTGCTTAATGGATCTCGAGACAGTCCCCAAGAACACTGTCACCCGTCTAGACGGACCGTGAGGTCACCCAGCAATGCAAAGCAGCTCCATGTGCCCCAAATCAACTCGAGATGAGGCCGGATTCCCCTGCATTGACTCCAGAGCCATTCCTTGTTCCCCATTCAACACGACCGGTGGCTCGACTTCCTTCAGGCAACTCCAGAGATGCCCCGAGAACACTGTCCCAAGTCTAGAGGACCACCAACTTCAGCACAGCAACTCGAGGAATGCTCTGTGTACCCCAAATCGTCTCGAGATGAGAGCTGATTCCCTGCTTAGGCTCAAGACGTATGCCACCTTTCCAGAAGCACCTCATGAGGAGGCTTCTCTCAGCAATAGGTATGTGGGAGGGACCCCGAGTTTCCTGCCTCAAGGGGAATACACAGGGTGAAGCCCTAATGTGAACGGAGGCCAGATTTCATTGCAGTGGCTTGAATACAGGCTCGTCTTTGATCTGACAACATGAAGGGATTTCTGAATCCCCTGTGGAGACCTTAGAGGAAGCCCTAGGTCCCTGCCTCATTTTGACGGAATACCTCACATCCCCCTGACACCTCGAGAGGCACGCAGAGTTCATTGCTTCAAAAGGTGACGATGCCTGACTCCTCTTGAATACTGATAGGAATCCCAAAATCCCTGTGGCTACTGGAAAGGGTCCTTGGGTGCCCTGGCTCACCTCGAGAAGCGTCCCTTTTGCCCTGCCAAGCCTCGAAGAGATTGCTGAGGTGTCCCTCGTTACTAGACAGGAGTCCTGACGTCACGGAAGAAACTCGTGTTTTGAAGGGCCATCCCCGCCGTAAGTCGAGAACATACCCCAGGTCCCCGCCGCAACTCGAGAAAAACAATGAGACTTCCCCCTAGAGGCGAGATGAGGCCCCATTCCCCTGCAGTGCATGCAGAGCTATTCCGTGATCCCATTCAAACAAGTCAGGAGCTTCGACTTGCTTAATGGATCACGAGACAGTCCCCAAGAACACTGTCACCAGTCTAGACGGACCGTGAGGTCACCCAGCAATGCAAAGCAGCTCCATGTGCCCCAAAACAACTCGAGATGAGGCCCGATTCCCCTGCATTGACTCCAGAGCCATTCCCCGTTCCCCATTCAACACGACCGGTGGCTCGACTTCCTTCAGGCAACTCCAGAGATGCCCGAGAACACTGTCCCAAGTCTAGAGGAGCACCAATTTCAGCACAGCAACCCGAGGAATGCTCCGTGTACCCCAAATCATCTCGAGATGAGAGCTGATTCCCTGGCTTAGGCTCAAGACGTATGCCAACTTTCCAGAAGCACCTCAGGAGGAGGCTTCTCTCAGCAATAGGTATGTGGGAGGGACCCCGAGTTTCCTGCCTCAAGGGGAATACACAGGGAGAAGCCCTAATGTGAACGGAGGCCAGATTTCCTTGCAGTGGCTTGAATACAGGCTCGTCTTTGATCTGACAACATGAAGGGATTTCTGAATCCCCTGTGGAGACCTTAGAGGAAGCCCTAGGTCCCTGCCTCATTTTGACGGAATACCTCACATCCCCCTGACACCTCGAGAGGCACGCAGAGTTCATTGCTTCAAAAGGTGACGATGCCTGACTCCTCTTGAATACTGATAGGAATCCCAAAATCCCTGTGGCTACTGGAAAGGGTCCTTGGGTGCCCTGGCTCACCTCGAGAAGCGTCCCTTTTGCCCTGCCAAGCCTCGAAGAGATTGCTGACGTGTCCCTCGTTACTAGACAGGAGTCCTGACGTCACTGAAGAAACTCGTGTTTTGAAGGGCCATCCCCGCCGTAAGTCGAGAACATACCCCAGTTCCCCGCCGCAACTCAAGAAAAAACATGAGACTTCCCCCTAGAGGCGAGATGAGGCCCCATTCCCCTGCAGTGCATGCAGAGCTATTCCGTGATCCCATTCAAACAAGTCAGGAGCTTCGACTTGCTTAATGGATCTCGAGGCAGTCCCCAAGAACACTGTCACCAGTCTAGACGGACCCTGAGTTCACCCCAGCAATGCAAAGCAGCTCCAGGTGCCACAAATCAACTCGAGATGAGGCCCGATTCCCCTGCATTGACTCCAGAGCCATTCCCCGTTCCCCATTCAACACGACCTGTGGCTCGACTTCCTTCAGGCAACTCCAGAGATGCCCAGAGAACACTGTCCCAAGTCTAGAGGAACACCAACTTCAGCACAGCAACTCGAGGAATTCTCTGTGTACCCCAAATCGTCTCGAGATGAGAGCTGAATCCCTGGCTTAGGCTCAAGACGTATGCCAACTTTCCAGAAGCACCTCAGGAGGAGGCTTCTCTCAGCAATAGGTATGTGGGAGGGACTCCGAGTTTGCTGCCTCAAGGGGAATATACAGCGAGAAGCCCTAACTTGAAAGGAGGCCGGATTTCCTTGCAGTGGCTTGAATACAGGCTCATCTTTCATCTCACAACATGAAGGGATGTCTGAATCCCCTGTGGAGACCTTAGAGAAAGCCCTAGGTCCCTGCCTCATTTTGACGGAATCCTCACATCCCGCTGACACCTCGAGAGGCACGCGGAGTTCATTGCTTCAAAAGGTGACGATGCCTGACTCCTCTTGAATACTTATAGGAATCCCAAAATCCCTGTGGCTACTGGAAAAGGTCCTTGGGTTCCCTGGCTCACCTCGAGAAGCGTCCCTTTTGCCCTGCCAAGCCTCGAAGAGATTGCTGAGGTGTCCCTCGTTACTAGACAGGAGTCCTGACGTCACGGAAGAAACTCGTGTTTTGAAGGGCCATCCCCGCCGTAAGTCGAGAACATACCCCAGGTCCCCGCCGCAACTCGAGAAAAACCATGAGACTTCCCCCTAGAGGCGAGATGAGGCCCCATTCCCCTGCAGTGCATGCAGAGCTATTCCGTGATCCCATTCAAACAAGTCAGGAGCTTCGACTTGCTTAATGGATCTCGAGACAGTCCCCAAGAACACTGTCACCAGTCTAGACGGACCCTGAGGTCACCCCAGCAACGCAAAGCTGTTCCATGTGCCCCAAATCAACTCGAGATGAGGCCCGATTCCCCTGCATTGACTCCAGAGCCATTCCCCGTTCCCCATTCAACACGACCGGTGGCTCGACTTCTTTCAGGCAACTCCAGAGATGCCCGAGAACACTGTCCCAAGTCTAGAGGAGCACCAATTTCAGCACAGCAACCCAAGAATGCTCCGTGTACCCCAAATCATCTCGAGATGAGAGCTGATTCCCTGGCTTAGGCTCAAGACGTATGCCAACTTTCCAGAAGCACCTCAGGAGGAGGCTTCTCTCAGCAATAGGTATGTGGGAGGGACCCCGAGTTTCCTGCCTCAAGGGGAATACACAGGGAGAAGCCCTAATGTGAACGGAGGCCAGATTTCCTTGCAGTGGCTTGAATACAGGCTCGTCTTTGATCTGACAACATGAAGGGATTTCTGAATCCCCTGTGGAGACCTTAGACGAAGCCCTAGGTCCCTGCCTCATTTTGACGGAATACCTCACATCCCCCTGACACCTCGAGAGGCACGCAGAGTTCATTGCTTCAAAAGGTGACGATGCCTGACTCCTCTTGAATACTTATAGGAATCCCAAAATCCCTGTGGCTACTGGAAAGGGTCCTTGGGTGCCCTGGCTCACCTCGAGAAGCGTCCCTTTTGCCCTGCCAAGCCTCGAAGAGATTCCTGAGGTGTCCCTCGTTACTAGACAGGAGTCCTGACGTCACTGAAGAAACTCGTGTTTTGAAGGGCCATCCCCGCCGTAAGTCGAGAACATACCCCAGATCCCCGCCGCAACTCGAGAAAAACCATGAGACTTCCCCCTAGAGGCGAGATGAGGCCCCATTCCCCTGCAGTGCATGCAGAGCTATTCCGTGATCCCATTCAAACAAGTCAGGAGCTTCGACTTGCTTAATAGATCTCGAGACAGTCCCCAAGAACACTGTCACCAGTCTAGACGGACCCTGAGGTCACCCCAGCAACGCAAAGCTGCTCCATGTGCCCCAAATCAACTCGAGATGAGGCCCGATTCCCCTGCATTGACTCCAGAGCCATTCCCCGTTCCCCATTCAACACGACAGGTGGCTCGACTTCCTTCAGGCAACTCCAGAGATGCCCCGAGAACACTGTCCCAAGTCTAGAGGAGCACCAATTTCAGCACAGCAACCCGAGGAATGCTCCGTGTACCCCAAATCATCTCGAGATGAGAGCTGATTCCCTGGCTTAGGCTCAAGGCGTATGCCAACTTTCCAGAAGCACCTCAGGAGGAGGCTTCTCTCAGCAATAGGTATGTGGGAGGGACCCGGAGTTTCCTGCCTCAAGGGGAATACACAGGGAGAAGCCCTAATGTGAACGGAGGCCAGATTTCCTTGCAGTGGCTTGAATACAGGCTCGTCTTTGATCTGACAACATGAAGGGATTTCTGAATCCCCTGTGGAGACCTTAGAGGAAGCCCTAGGTCCCTGCCTCATTTTGACGGAATACCTCATATCCCCCTGACACCTCGAGAGCCACGCAGAGTTCATTGCTTCAAAAGGTGACGATGCCTGACTCCTCTTGAATACTGATAGGAATCCCAAAATCCCTGTGGCTACTGGAAAGGGTCCTTGGGTGCCCTGGCTCACCTCGAGAAGCGTCCCTTTTGCCCTGCCAAGCCTCGAAGAGATTGCTGACGTGTCCCTCCTTACTAGACAGGAGTCCTGACGTCACTGAAGAAACTCGTGTTTTGAAGGGCCATCCCCGCCGTAAGTCGAGAACATACCCCAGGTCCCCGCCGCAACTCGAGAAAAACCATGAGATTTCCCCCTAGAGGCGAGATGAGGCCCCATTCCCCTGCAGTGCATGCAGAGCTATTCCGTGATCCCATTCAAACAAGTCAGGAGCTTCGACTTGCTTAATGGAGCTCGAGGCAGTCCCGAAGAAAACTGTCACCAGTCTAGACGGACCCTGAGGTCACCCCAGCAACGCAAAGCAGCTCCAGGTGCCACAAATCAACTCGAGATGAGGCCCGATTCCCCTGCATTGACTCCAGAGCCATTCCCCGTTCCCCATTCAACACGACCGGTGGCTCGACTTCCTTCAGGCAACTCCAGAGATGCCCAGAGAACACTGTCCCAAGTCTAGAGGAACACCAACTTCAGCACAGCAACTCGAGGAATGCTCTGTGTACGCCAAATCGTCTCGAGATGAGAGCTGAATCCCTGGCTTAGGCTCAAGACGTATGCCAACTTTCCAGAAGCACCTCAGGAGGAGGCTTCTCTCAGCAATAGGTATGTGGGAGGGACTCCGAGTTTGCTGCCTCACGTGGAATATACAGCGAGAAGCCCTAACTTGAAAGGAGGCCGGATTTCCTTGCAGTGGCTTGAATACAGGCTCGTCTTTCATCTCACAACATGAAGGGATGTCTGAATCCCCTGTGGAGACCTTAGAGAAAGCCCTAGGTCCCTGCCTCATTTTGACGGAATCCTCACATCCCGCTGACACCTCGAGAGGCACGCAGAGTTCATTGCTTCAAAAGGTGACGATGCCTGACTCCTCTTGAATACTTATAGGAATCCCAAAATCCCTGTGGCTACTGGAAAGGGTCCTTGGGTGCCCTGGCTCACCTCGAGAAGCGTCCCTTTTGCCCTGCCAAGCCTCGAAGAGATTGCTGAGGTGTCCCTCGTTACTAGACAGGAGTCCTGACGTCACGGAAGAAACTCGTGTTTTGAAGGGCCATCCCCGCCGTAAGTCGAGAACATACCCCAGGTCCCCGCCGCAACTCGAGAAAAACCATGAGACTTCCCCCTAGAGGCGAGATGAGGCCAAATTCCCCTGCAGTGCATGCAGAGCTATTCCGTGATCCCATTCAAACAAGTCAGGAGCTTCGACTTGCTTAATGGATCTCGAGACAGTCCCCAAGAACACTGTCACCAGTCTAGACGGACCGTGAGGTCACCCAGCAATGCAAAGCAGCTCCATGTGCCCCAAATCAACTCGAGATGAGGCCGGATTCCCCTGAATTGACTCCAGAGCCACTCCTTGTTCCCCATTCAACACGACCGGTGGCTCGACTTCCTTCAGGCAACTCCAGAGATGCCCCGAGAACACTGTCCCAAGACTAGAGGACCACCAACTTCAGCACAGCAAATCGAGGAATGCTCTGTGTACCCCAAATCGTCTCGAGATGAGAGCTGATTCCCTGCTTAGGCTCAAGACGTATGCCACCTTTCCAGAAGCACCTCAGGAGGAGGCTTCTCTCAGCAATAGGTATGTGGGAGGGATCCCGAGTTTGCTGCCTCAAGGGGAATATACAGCGAGAAGCCCTAACTTGAAAGGAGGCCGGATTTCCTTGCAGTGGCTTGAATACAGGCTCGTCTTTCATCTCACAACATGAAGGGATGTCTGAATCCCCTGTGGAGCCCTCAGATAAAGCCCTAGGTCCCTGCCTCATTTTGACGGAATCCTCACATCCCGCTGACACCTCGAGAGGCACGCAGAGTTCATTGCTTCAAAAGGTGACGAAGCCTGACTCCTCTTGAATACTTATACGAATCCCAAAATCCCTGTGGCTACTGGAACGGGTCCTTGGGTGCCTTGGCTCACCTCGAGAAGCGTCCCTTTTGCCCTGCCAAGCCTCGAAGAGATTGCTGAGGTGTCCCTCGTTACTAGACAGGAGTCCTGACGTCACTGAAGAAACTCGTGTTTTGAAGGGCCATCCCCGCCGTAAGTCGAGAACATACCCCAGGTCCCCGCCGCAACTCGAGAAAAACCATGAGACTTCCCCCTAGAGGCGAGATGAGGCCCCATTCCCCTGCAGTGCATGCAGAGCTATTCCGTGATCCCATTCAAACAAGTCAGGAGCTTCGACTTGCTTAATGGATCTCGAGACAGACCCCAAGAACACTGTCACCAGTCTAGACGGACCCTGAGGTCACCCGAGCAACGCAAAGCAGCTCCATGTGCCCCAAATCAACTCGAGATGAGGCCCCATTCCCCTGCATTGACTCCAGAGCCATTCCCCTTCCCCATTCAACAGGACTGGTGCCTCGATTTCCTTCAGGCAACTCCAGAGATGCCCTGAGAACACTGTCCCAAGTCTAGAGGAACACCAACTTCAGCACAGCAACTCGAGGAATGCTCTGTGTACCCCAAATCGTCTCGAGATGAGAGCTGATTCCCTGGCTTAGGCTCAAGAAGTATGCCACCTTTCCAGAAGCACCTCAGGAGGAGGCTTCTCTCAGCAATAGGTATGTGGGAGGGATCCCGAGTTTGCTGCCTCAAGGGGAATATACAGCGAGAAGCCCTAACTTGAAAGGAGGCCGGATTTCCTTGCAGTGGCTTGAATACAGGCTCGTCTTTCATCTCACAACATGAAGGGATGTCTGAATCCCCTGTGGAGCCCTCAGATAAAGCCCTAGGTCCCTGCCTCATTTTGACGGAATCCTCACATCCCGCTGACACCTCGAGAGGCACGCGGAGTTCATTGCTTCAAAAGGTGACGATGCCTGACTCCTCTTGAATACTGATAGGAATCCCAAAATCCCTGTGGCTACTGGAAAGGGTCCTTGGGTGCCCTGGCTCACCTCGAGAAGCGTCCCTTTTGCCCTGCCAAGCCTCGAAGAGATTGCTGAGGTGTCCCTCGTTACTAGACAGGAGTCCTGACGTCACGGAAGAAACTCGTGTTTTGAAGGGCCATCCCCGCCGTAAGTCGAGAACATACCCCAGGTCCCCGCCTCAACTCGAGAAAAACCATGAGACTTCCCCCTAGAGGCGAGATGAGGCCCCATTCCCCTGCAGTGCATGCAGAGCTATTCCGTGATCCCATTCAAACAAGTCAGGAGCTTCGACTTGCTTAATGGATCTCGAGACAGTCCCCAAGAACACTGTCACCAGTCTAGACGGACCGTGAGGTCACCCAGCAAAGCAAAGCAGCACTATGTGGCCCAAATCAACTCGAGATGAGGCCGGATTCCCCTGTATTGAATCCAGAGCCATTCCTTGTTCCCCATTCAACACGACCGGTGGCTCGACTTCCTTCAGGCAACTCCAGAGATGCCCCGAGAACACTGTCCCAAGTCTAGAGGACCACCAACTTCAGCACAGCAACTCGAGGAATGCTCTGTGTACCCCAAATCGTCTCGAGATGAGAGCTGATTCCCTGGCTTAGGCTCAAGACGTATGCCACCTTTCCAGAAGCACTTCAGGAGGAGGCTTCTCTCAGCAATAGGTATGTGGGAGGGACCCCGAGTTTGCTGCCTCAAGGGGAATATACAGCGAGAAGCCGTAACTTGAAAGGAGGCCGGATTTCCTTGCAGTGGCTTGAATACAGGCTTGTCTTTCATCTCACAACATGAAGGGATGTCTGAATCCCCTGTGGAGACCTTAGAGAATGCCCTAGGTCCCTGCCTCATTTTGACGGAATCCTCACATCCCGCTGACACCTCGAGAGGCACGCGGAGTTCATTGCTTCAAAAGGTGACGATGCCTGACTCCTCTTGAATACTTATAGGAATCCCAAAATCCCTGTGGCTACTGGAAAGGGTCCTTGGGTTCCCTGGCTCACCTCGAGAAGCGTCCCTTTTGCCCTGCCAAGCCTCGAAGAGATTGCTGAGGTGTCCCTCGTTACTAGACAGGAGTCCTGACGTCACTGAAGAAACTCGTGTTTTGAAGGGCCATCCCCGCCGTAAGTCGAGAACATACCCCAGGTCCCCGCCGCAACTCGAGAAAAACCATGAGACTTCCCCCTAGAGGCGAGATGAGGCCCCATTCCCCTGCAGTGCATGCAGAGCTATTCCGTGATCCCATTCAAACAAGTCAGGACCTTCGACTTGCTTAATGGATCTCGAGACAGTCCCCAAGAACACTGTCACCAGTCCAGACGAAGCCTGAGGTCACCCAGCAATGCAAAGCAGCTCCATGTGCCCCAAATCAACTCGAGATGAGGCCGGATTCCCCTGCATTGACTCCAGAGCCACTCCTTGTTCCCCATTCAACACGACCGGTGGCTCGACTTCCTTCAGGCAACTCCAGAGATGCCCCAAGAACACTGTCCCAAGTCTAGAGGACAACCAACTTCAGCACAGCAACTCGAGGAATGCTCTGTGTACCCCAAATCGTCTCGAGATGAGAGCTGATTCCCTGGCTTAGGCTCAAGACGTATGCCACCTTTCCAGAAGCACCTCAGGAGGAGGCTTCTCTCACCAATAGGTATGTGGGAGGGACCCCGAGTTTGCTGCCTCAATGGGAATATACAGCGAGAAGCCCTAACTTGAAAGGAGGCCAGATTTCCTTGCAGTGGCTTGAATACAGGCTCGTCTTTCATCTCACAACATGAAGGGATGTCTGAATCCCCTGTGGAGACCTAAGAGAAAGCCCTAGGTCCCTGCCTCATTTTGACGGAATCCTCACATCCCGCTGACACCTCGAGAGGCACGCGGAGTTCATTGCTTCAAAAGGTGACGATGCCTGACTCCTCTTGAATACTTATAGGAATCCCAAAATCCCTGCGGATACTGGAAAGGGTCCTTTGGTGCCCTGGCTCACCTCGAGAAGCGTCCCTTTTGCCCTGCCAAGCCTCGAAGAGATTGCTGAGGTGTCCCTCGGTACTAGACAGGAGTCCTGACGTCACTGAAGAAACTCGTGTTTTGAAGGGCCATCCCCGCCGTAAGTCGAGAACATACCCCAGGTCCCCGCCGCAACTCGAGAAAAACCATGAGACTTCCCCCTAGAGGCGAGATGAGGCCCCATTCCCCTGCAGTGCATGCAGAGCTATTCCGAGATCCCATTCAAACAAGTCAGGAGCTTCGACTTGCTTAATGGATCTCGAGACAGTCCCCAAGAACACTGTCACCAGTCTAGACGGACCCTGAGGTCACCCCAGCAACGCAAAGCAGCTCCATGTTCCCCAAATCAACTCGAGATGAGGCCCCATTCCCCTGCATTGACTCCAGAGCCATTCCCCGTTCCCCATTCAACAGGACTGGTGGCTCGCTTTCCTTCAGGCAACTCCAGAGATGCCCCGAGAACACTGTCCCAAGTCTAGAGGACCACCAACTTCAGCACAGCATCTCGAGGAATGCTCTGTGTACCCCAAATCATCTCGAGATGAGAGCTGATTCCCTGCTTAGGCTCAAGACGTATGCCACCTTTCCAGAAGCACCTCAGGAGGAGGCTTCTCTCAGCAATAGGTATGTGGGAGGGACCCCGAGTTTGCTGCCTCAAGGGGAATATACAGCGAGAAGCCCTAACTTGAAAGGAGGCCGGATTTCCATGCAGTGGCTTGAATACAGGCTCGTCTTTCATCTCACAACATGAAGGGATGTCTGAATCCCCTGTGGAGCCCTCAGAGAAAGCCCTAGGTCCCTGCCTCATTTTGACGGAATCCTCACATCCCGCTGACACCTCGAGAGGCACGCAGAGTTCATTGCTTCAAAAGGTGACGAAGCCTGACTCCTCTTGAATACTTATAGGAATCCCAAAATCCCTGTGGCTACTGGAACGGGTCCTTGGGTGCCTTGGCTCACCTCGAGAAGCGTCCCTTTTGCCCTGCCAAGCCTCGAAGAGATTGCTGAGGTGTCCCTCGTTACTAGACAGGAGTCCTGACGTCACTGAAGAAACTCGTGTTTTGAAGGGCCATCCCCGCCGTAAGTCGAGAACATACCCCAGGTCCCCGCCGCAACTCGAGAAAAACCATGAGACTTCCCCCTAGAGGCGAGATGAGGCCCCATTCCCCTGCAGTGCATGCAGAGCTATTCCGTGATCCCATTCAAACAAGTCAGGAGCTTCGACTTGCTTAATGGATCTCGAGACAGACCCCAAGAACACTGTCACCAGTCTAGACGGACCCTGAGGTCACCCCAGCAATGCACAGCAGCTCCATGTGCCCCAAATCAACTCGAGATGAGGCCCCATTCCCCTGCATTGACTCCAGAGCCATAGCCCTTCCCCATTCAACAGGACTGGTGGCTCGCTTTCCTTCAGGCAACTCCAGAAATGCCCCGAGAACACTGTCCCAAGTCTAGAGGAACACCAACTTCAGCACAGCAACTCGAGGAATGCTCTGTGTACCCCAAATCGTCTCGAGATGAGAGCTGATTCCCTGGCTTAGGCTCAAGACGTATGCCACCTTTCCAGAAGCACTTCAGGAGGAGGCTTCTCTCAGCAATAGGTATGTGGGAGGGACTCCGAGTTTGCTGCCTCAAGGGGAATATAGAGCGAGAAGCCCTAACTTGAAAGGAGGCCGGATTTCCTTGCAGTGGCTTGAATACAGGCTCGTCTTTCATCTCACAACATGAAGGGATGTCTGAATCCCCTGTGGAGACCTTAGAGAATGCCCTAGGTCCCTGCCTCATTTTGACGGAATCCTCACATCCCGCTGAAACCTCGAGAGGCACGCGGAGTTCATTGCTTCAAAAGGTGACGATGCCTGACTCCTCTTGAATACTGATAGGAATCCCAAAATCCCTGTGGCTACTGGAAAGGGTCCTTGGGTGCCCTGGCTCACCTCGAGAAGCGTCCCTTTTGCCCTGCCAAGCCTCGAAGAGATTGCTGAGGTGTCCCTCGTTACTAGACAGGAGTCCTGACGTCACTGAAGAAACTCGTGTTTTGAAGGGCCATCCCCGCCGTAAGTCGAGAACATACCCCAGGTCCCCGACTCAACTCGAGAAAAACCATGAGACTTCCCCCTAGAGGCGAGATGAGGCCCCATTCCCCTGCAGTGCATGCAGAGCTATTCCGTGATCCCATTCAAACAAGTCAGGAGCTTCGACTTGCTTAATGGATCTCGAGACAGTCCCCAAGAACACTGTCATCAGTCTAGACGGACCGTGAGGTCACCCAGCAATGCAAAGCAGCTCTATGTGGCCCAAATCAACTCGAGATGAGGCCGGGTTCCCCTGTATTGACTCCAGAGCCATTCCTTGTTCCCCATTCAACACGACCGGTGGCTCGACTTCCTTCAGGCAACTCCAGAGATGCCCCGAGAACACTGTCCCAAGTCTAGAGGACCACCAACTTCAGCACAGCAACTCGAGGAATGCTCTGTGTACCCCAAATCGTCTCGAGATGAGAGCTGATTCCCTGGCTTAGGCTCAAGACGTATGCCACCTTTCCAGAAGCACTTCAGGAGGAGGCTTCTCTCAGCAATAGGTATGTGGGAGGGACCCCGAGTTTGCTGCCTCAAGGGGAATATACAGCGAGAAGCCGTAACTTGAAAGGAGGCCGGATTTCCTTGCAGTGGCTTGAATACAGGCTTGTCTTTCATCTCACAACATGAAGGGATGTCTGAATCCCCTGTGGAGACCTTAGTGAATGCCCTAGGTCCCTGCCTCATTTTGACGGAATCCTCACATCCCGCTGACACCTCGAGAGACACGCGGAGTTCATTGCTTCAAAAGGTGACGATGCCTGACTCCTCTTGAATACTTATAGGAATCCCAAAATCCCTGTGGCTACTGGAAAGGGTCCTTGGGTTCCCTGGCTCACCTCGAGAAGCGTCCCTTTTGCCCTGCCAAGCCTCGAAGAGATTGCTGAGGTGTCCCTCGTTACTAGACAGGAGTCCTGACGTCACTGAAGAAACTCGTGTTTTGAAGGGCCATCCCCGCCGTAAGTCGAGAACATACCCCAGGTCCCCGCCTCAACTCGAGAAAAACCATGAGACTTCCCCCTAGAGGCGAGATGAGGCCCCATTCCCCTGCAGTGCATGCAGAGCTATTCCGTGATCCCATTCAAACAAGTCAGGAGCTTCGACTTGCTTAATGGATCTCGAGACAGTCCCCAAGAACACTGTCACCAGTCCAGACGAACCCTGAGGTCACCCAGCAATGCAAAGCAGCTCCATGTGCCCCAAATCAACTCGAGATGAGGCCGGATTCCCCTGCATTGACTCCAGAGCAACTCCTTGTTCCCCATTCAACACGACCGGTGGCTCGACTTCCTTCAGGCAACTCCAGAGATGCCCCAAGAACACTGTCCCAAGTCTAGAGGACAACCAACTTCAGCACAGCAACTCGAGGAATGCTCTGTGTACCCCAAATCGTCTCGAGATGAGAGTTGATTCCCTGGCTTAGGCTCAAGACGTATGCCACCTTTCCAGAAGCACCTCAGGAGGAGGCTTCTCTCAGCAATAGGTATGTGGGAGGGACCCCGAGTTTGCTGCCTCAAGGGGAATATACAGCGAGAAGCCCTAACTTGAAAGGAGGCCAGATTTCCTTGCAGTGGCTTGAATACAGGCTCGTCTTTCATCTCACAACATGAAGGGATGTCTGAATCCCCTGTGGAGACCTTAGAGAAAGCCCTAGGTCCCTGCCTCATTTTGACGGAATCCTCACATCCCGCTGACACCTCGAGAGGCACGCGGAGTTCATTGCTTCAAAAGGTGACGATGCCTGACTCCTCTTGAATACTTATAGGAATCCCAAAATCCCTGTGGATACTGGAAAGGGTCCTTTGGTGCCCTGGCTCACCTCGAGAAGCGTCCCTTTTGCCCTGCCAAGCCTCGAAGAGATTGCTGAGGTGTCCCTCGGTACTAGACAGGAGTCCTGACGTCACTGAAGAAACTCGTGTTTTGAAGGGCCATCCCCGCCGTAAGTCGAGAACATAACCCAGGTCCCCGCCGCAACTCGAGAAAAACCATGAGACTTCCCCCTAGAGGCGAGATGAGGCCCCATTCCCCTGCAGTGCATGCAGAGCTATTCCGAGATCCCATTCAAACAAGTCAGGAGCTTCGACTTGCTTAATGGATCTCGAGACAGTCCCCAAGAACACTGTCACCAGTCTAGACGGACCCTGAGGTCACCCCAGCAACGCAAAGCAGCTCCATGTGCCCCAAATCAACTCGAGATGAGGCCCCATTCCCCTGCATTGACTCCAGAGCCATTCCCCGTTCCCCATTCAACAGGACTGGTGGCTCGCTTTCCTTCAGGCAACTCCAGAGATGCCCCGAGAACACTGTCCCAAGTCTAGAGGAACACCAACTTCAGCACAGCAACTTGAGGAATGCTCTGTGTACCCCAAATCGTCTCGAGATGAGAGCTGATTCCCTGGCTTAGGCTCAAGACGTATGCCAACTTTCCAGAAGCACCTCAGGAGGAGGCTTCTCAGCAATAGGTATATGGGAGGGACTCCGAGTTTGCTGCCTCAAGGGGAATATACAGCGAGAAGCCCTAACTTGAAAGGAGGCCGGATTTCCTTGCAGTAGCTTGAATTCAGGCTTGTCTTTCATCTCACAACATGAAGGGATGTCTGAATCCCCTGTGAAGACCTTAGAGAAAGCCCTAGGTCCTTGCCTCATTTTGACGGAATGCTTCACATCCCGCTGACAACTCGAGAGGCACGCGGAGTTCATTGCTTCAAAAGGTGACGATGCCTGACTCCTCTTGAATACTGATAGGAATCCCAAAATCCCTGTGGCTACTGGAAAGGTTCCTTGGGTGCCCTGCCTCACTTCGAGAAGCGTCCCTTTTGCCCTGCCAAGCCTCGAAGAGATTCCTGAGGTGTCCCTCGTTACTAGACAGGAGTCCTGACGTCACTGAAGAAACTCGTGTTTTGAAGGGCCATCCCCGCCGTAAGTCGAGAACATACCCCAGGTCCCCGCCGCAACTCGAGAAAAACCATGAGACTTCCCCCTAGAGGCGAGATGAGGCCCCATTCCCCTGCAGTGCATGCAGAGCTATTCCGTGATCCCATTCAAACAAGTCAGGAGCTTCGACTTGCTTAATGGATCTCGAGACAGTCCCCAAGAACACTGTCACCAGTCTAGACGGACCCTGAGGTCACCCCAGCAACGCAAAGCTGCTCCATGTGCCCCAAATCAACTCGAGATGAGGCCCGATTCCCCTGCATTGACTCCAGAGCCATTCCCCGTTCCCCATTCAACACGACCGGTGGCTCGACTTCCTTCAGGCAACTCCAGAGATGCCCCGAGAACACTGTCCCAAGTCTAGAGGAGCACCAATTTCAGCATAGCAACCCGAGGAATGCTCCATGTACCCCAAATCATCTCGAGATGAGAGCTGATTCCCTGGCTTAGGCTCAAGACGTATGCCAAATTTCCAGAAGCACCTCAGGAGGAGGCTTCTCTCAGCAATAGGTATGTGGGAGGGACTCCGAGTTTGCTGCCTCAAGGGGAATATACAGCGAGAAGCCCTAACTTGAAAGGAGGCCGGATTTCCTTGCAGTAGCTTGAAACAGGCTTGTTTTTCATCTCACAACATGAAGGGATGTCTGAATCCCCTGTGGAGACCTTAGAGAAAGCCCTAGGTCCCTGCCTCATTTTGACGGAATACCTCACATCCCCCTGACACCTCGAGAGGCACGCAGAGTTCATTGCTTCAAAAGGTGACGGTGCCTGACTCCTCTTGAATACTTATAGGAATCCCCAAATCCCTGTGGCTACTCTAAAGGGTCCTTGGGTGCCCTGGCTCACCTCGAGAAGCGTCCCTTTTGCCCTGCCAAGCCTCGAAGAGATTGCTGAGGTGTCCCTCGTTACTAGACAGGAGTCCTGACGTCACGGAAGAAACTCGTGTTTTGAAGGGGCATCCCCGCCGTAAGTCGAGAACATACCCCAGGTCCCCGCCGCACCTCGAGAAAAACCATGAGACTTCCCCCTAGAGGCGAGATGAGGCCCCATTCCCCTGCAGTGCATGCAGAGCTATTCCGTGATCCCATTCAAACAAGTCAGGAGCTTCGACTTGCTTAATGGATCTCGAGACAGTCCCCAAGAACACTGTCACCAGTCTAGACGGACCCTGACGTCACCCCAGAAACGCAAAGCAGCTCTATGTGCCCCAAATCAACTTGAGATGAGGCCCGATTCCCCTGCATTGACTCCAGAGCCATTCCCCGTTCCCCATTCAACAGGACTGGTGGCTCGCTTTCCTTCAGGCAACTCCAGGGATGCCCCGAGAACACTGTCCCAAGTCTAGAGGAACACCAATTTCAGCACAGCAACTCGAGGAATGCTCTGTGTACCCCAAATCGTCTCGACATGAGAGCTGATTCAAAGGCTTAGGCTCAAGACGTATGCCAACTTTCCAGAAGCACCTCAGGAGGAGGCTTCTCAGCAATAGGTATGTGGGAGGGACTCCGAGTTTGTTGCCTCAAGGGGAATATACAGCGAGAAGCCCTAACTTGAAAGGAGGCCGGATTTCCTTGCAGTAGCTTGAATACAGGCTCGTCTTTCATCTCACAACATGAAGGGATGTCTGAATCCCCTGTGAAGACCTTAGAGAAAGCCCTAGGTCCCTGCCTCATTTTGACGGAATGCCTCACATCCCGCTGACAACTCGAGAGGCACGCGGAGTTCATTGCTTCAAAAGGTGACGATGCCTGACTCCTCTTGAATACTGATAGGAATCCCAAAATCCCTGTGGCTACTGGAAAGGTTCCTTGGGTGCCCTGCCTCACTTCGAGAAGCGTCCCTTTTGCCCTGCCAAGCCTCGAAGAGATTCCTGAGGTGTCCCTCGTTACTAGACAGGAGTCCTGACGTCACTGAAGAAACTCGTGTTTTGAAGGGCCATCCCCGCCATAAGTCGAGAACATATCCCAGGTCCCCGCCGCAACTCGAGAAAAACCATGAGACTTCCCCCTAGAGGCGAGATGAGGCCCCATTCCCCTGCAGTGCATGCAGAGCTATTCCGTGATCCCATTCAAACAAGTCAGGAGCTTCGATTTGCTTAATGGATCTCGAGACAGTCCCCAAGAACACTGTCACCAGTCTAGACGGACCCTGAGGTCAGCCCAGCAACGCAAAGCTGCTCCATGTGCCCCAAATCAACTCGAGATGAGGCCCGATTCCCCTGCATTGACTCCAGAGCCATTCCCCGTTCCCCATTCAACACGACCGGTGGCTCGACATCCTTCAGGCAACTCCAGAGATGCCCCGAGAACACTGTCCCAAGACTAGAGGAGCACCAATTTCAGCACAGCAACCCGAGGAATGCTCCGTGTACCCCAAATCATCTCGAGATGAGAGCTGATTCCCTGGCTTAGGCTCAAGACGTATGCCACCTTTCCAGAAGCACCTCAGGAGGAGGCTTCTCTCAGCAATAGGTATGTGGGAGGGACCCCGAGTTTGCTGCCTCAAGGGGAATACACAGGGAGAAGCCCTAATGTGAACGGAGGCCAGATTTCCTTGCAGTGGCTTGAATACAGGCTCGTCTTTGATCTGACAACATGAATGGATTTCTGAATCCCCTGTGGAGACCTTAGAGGAAGCCCTAGGTCCCTGCCTCATTTTGACGGAATACCTCACATCCCCCTGACACCTCGAGAGGCACGCAGAGTTCATTGCTTCAAAAGGTGACGATGCCTGACTCCTCTTGAATACTTATAGGAATCCCCAAATCCCTGTGGCTACTGGAAAGGGTCCTTGGGTGCTCTGGCTCACCTCGAGAAGCGTCCCTTTTGCCCTGCCAAGCCTCGAAGAGATTGCTGAGGTGTCCCTCGTTACTAGACAGGAGTCCTGACGTCACTGAAGAAACTCGTGTTTTGAAGGGCCATCCCCGCCGTAAGTCGAGAACATACCCCAGGTCCCCGCCGCAACTCGAGAAAAACCATGAGATTTCCCCCTAGAGGCGAGATGAGGCCCCATTCCCCTGCAGTGCATGCAGAGCTATTCCATGATCCAATTCAAACAAGTCAGGAGCTTCAACTTGCTTAATGGATCTCGCGACAGTCCCGAAGAACACTGTCACCAGTCTACACGGACCCTGAGGTCACCCCAGCAACACAAAGCAGCTCCATGTGCCCCAAATCAACTCGAGATGAGGCCCGATTCCCCTGCATTGACTCCAGAGCCATTCCCCGTTCCCAGTTCAACACGAACGGTGGCTAGCCTTCCTTCAGGCAACTCCAGAGATGGCCAGAGAACACTGTCCCAAGTCTAGAGGAACACCAACTTCAGCACAGCAACTCGAGGAATGCTCTGTGTACCCCAAATCGTCTCGAGATGAGAGGTGATTCCCTGGCTTAGGCTCAGGACGTATGCCAACTTTCCAGAAGCACCTCAGGAGGAGGCTGCTCAGCAATAGGTATGTGGGAGGGACTCCGAGTTTGCTGCCTCAAGGGGAATACACAGCGAGAAGCCCTAACTTGAAAGGAGGCCGGATTTCCTTGCAGTGGCTTGAATACAGGCTCGTCTTTCATCTCACAACATGAAGGGATGTCTGAATCCCCTGTGGAGACCTTAGAGAAAGCCCTAGGTCCCTGCCTCATTTTGACGGAATACCTCACATCCCCCTGACACCTCGAGAGGCACGCAGAGTTCATTGCTTCAAAAGGTGACGATGCCTGACTCCTCTTGAATACTTATAGGAATCCCAAAATCCCTGTGGCTACTGGAAAGGGTCCTTCGGTGCCCTGGCTCACCTCGAGAAGCGTCCCTTTTGCCCTGCCAAGCCTCGAAGAGATTGCTGAGGTGTCCCTCATTACTAGACAGGAGTCCTGACGTCACTGAAGAAACTCGTGTTTTGAAGGGCCATCCCCGCCGTAAGTCGAGAACATACCCCAGGTCCCCGCCGCAACTCGAGAAAAACCATGAGACTTCCCCCTAGAGGCGAGATGAGGCCCCATTCCCCTGCAGTGCATGCAGAGCTATTCCGTGATCCCATTCAAACAAGTCAGGAGCTTCGACTTGCTTAATGGATCTCGAGACAGTCCCCAAGAACACTGTCACCAGTCTAGACGGACCCTGAGGTCACCCCAGCAACGCAAAGCTGCTCCATGTGCCCCAAATCAACTCGAGATGAGGCCCGATTCCCCTGCATTGACTCCAGAGCCATTCCCCGTTCCCCATTCAACACGACCGGTGGCTCGACTTCCTTCAGGCAACTCCAGAGATGCCCCGAGAACACTGTCCCTAGTCTAGAGGACCACCAACTTCAGCACAGCAACTCGAGGAATGCTCTGTGTACCCCTAATCGTCTCGAGATGAGAGCTGATTCCCTGGCTTAGGCTCAAGACGTATGCCACCTTTCCAGAAGCACCTCAGGTGGAGGCTTCTGTCAGCAATAGGTATGTGGGAGGGACCCCGAGTTTGCTGCCTCAAGGGGAATACACAGCGAGAAGCCCTAACTTGAAAGGAGGCCGGATTTCCTTGCAGTGGCTTGAATACAGGCTCATCTTTCATCTCACAACATGAAGGGATGTCTGAATCCCCTGTGGAGACCTTAGAGAAAGCCCTAGGTCCCTGCCTCATTTTGACGGAATCCTCACATCCCGCTGACACCTCGAGAGGCACGCGGAGTTCATTGCTTCAAAAGGTGACGATGCCTGACTCCTCTTGAATACTTATAGGAATCCCAAAATCCGTGTGGCTACTGGAAAGGGTCCTTGGGTGCCCTGGCTCACTTCGAGAAGCGTCCCTTTTGCCCTGCCAAGCCTAGAAGAGATTGCTGACGTGTCCCTCGTTACTAGACAGGAGTCCTGACGTCACTGAAGAAACTCGTGTTTTGAAGGGCCATCCCCGCCGTAAGTCGAGAACATACCCCAGGTCCCCGCCGCAACTCGAGTAAAACCATGAGACTTCCCCCTAGAGGCGAGATGAGGCCCCATTCCCCTGCAGTGCATGCAGAGCTATTCCGAGATCCCATTCAAACAAGTCAGGAGCTTCGACTAGCTTAATGGATCTAGATACAGTCCCCAAGAACACTGTCACCAGTCTAGACGGACCCTGAGGTCACCCCAGCAACGCAAAGCAGCTCCATGTGCCCCAAATCAATTCGAGATGAGGCCCCATTCCCCTGCATTGACTCCAGAGCCATTCCCCGTTCCCCATTCAACAGGACTGGTGACTCGCATTCCTTCAGGCAACTCCAGAGATGCCCTGAGAACACTGTTCCAAGTCTAGAGAAACACCAACTTCAGCACAGCAACACGAGGAATGCTCTGTGTACCCCAAATCGTCTCGAGATGAGAGGTGATTCCCTGGCTTAGGCTCAAGACGTATGCCAACTTTCCAGAAGCACCTCAGGAGGAGGCTTCTCAGCAATAGGTATGTGGGAGGGACTCCGAGTTTGCTGCCTCAAGGGGAATATATAGCGAGAAGCCCTAACTTGAAAGGAGGCCGGATTTCCTTGCAGTAGCTTGAATACAGGCTTGTCTTTCATCTCACAACAAGAAGGGATGTCTGAATCCCCTGTGAAGACCTTAGAGAAAGCCCTAGGTCCCAGCCTCATTTTGACGGAATGCCTCACATCCCGCTGACAACTCGAGAGGCACGCGGAGTTCATTGCTTCAAAAGGTGACGATGCCTGACTCCTCTTGTATACTGATAGGAATCCCAAAATCCCTGTGGCTACTGGAAAGGTTCCTTGGGTGCCCTGCCTCACTTCGAGAAGCGTCCCTTTTGCCCTGCCAAGCCTCGAAGAGATTCCTGAGGTGTCCCTCGTTACTAGACAGGAGTCCTGACGTCACTGAAGAAACTCGTGTTTTGAAGGGCCATCCCCGCCGTAAGTCGAGAACATACACCAGGTCCCCGCCACAACTCGAGAAAAACCATGAGACTTCCCCCTAGAGGCGAGATGAGGCCCCATTCCCCTGCAGTGCATGCAGAGCTATTCCGTGATCCCATTCAAACAAGTCAGGAGCTTCGACTTGCTTAATGGATCTCGAGACAGTCCCCAAGAACACTGTCACCAGTGTAGACGGACCCTGAGGTCACCCCAGCAACGCAAAGCAGCTCCATGTGTCCCAAATCAACTCGAGATGAGGCCCGATTCCTCTGCATTGACTCCAGAGCCATTCCCCGTTCCCCATTCAACAAGACCGGTGGCTCGACTTCCTTCAGGCAACTCCAGAGATGCCCCGAGAACACTGTCCCAAGTCTAGAAGAGCACCAGTTTCAGCACAGCAACCCGAGGAATGCTCCGTGTACCCCAAATCATCTCGAGATGAGAGCTGATTCCCTGGCTTAGGCTCAAGACGTATGCCACCTTTCCAGAAGCACCTCAGGAGGAGGCTTCTCTCAGCAATAGGTATGTGGGAGGGACCCCGAGTTTGCTGCCTCAAGGGGAATACACAGGGAGAAGCCCTAATGTGAACGGAGGCCAGATTTCCTTGCACTGCGTTGAATACAGGCTCGTCTTTGATCAGACAACATGAAGGGTTGTCTGAATCCCCTGTGGAGACCTTAGAGGAAGCCCTAGGTCCCTGCCTCATTTTGACGGAATACCTCACATCCCCCTGACACCTCGAGAGGCACGCAGAGTTCATTGCTTCAAAAGGTGACGATGCCTGACTCGTCTTGAATACTTATAGGAATCCCAAAATCCCTGTGGCAACTGGAAAGGGTCCTTGGGTGCCCTGGCTCACCTCGAGAAGCGTCCCTTTTGCCCTGCCAAGCCTCGAAGAGATTGCTGAGGTGTCCTTCATTACTAGACAGGAGTCCTGACGTCACTGAAGAAACTCGTGTTTTGAAGGGCCATCCCCGCCATAAGTCGAGAACATACCACAGGTCCCCGCCGCAACTCGAGAAAAACCATGAGATTTCCCCCTAGAGGCGAGAAGAGGCCCCATTCCCCTGCAGTGCATGCAGAGCTATTCCATGATCACATTCAAACAAGTCAGGAGCTTCGACTTGCTTAATGGATCTCGAGACAGTCCCCAAGAACACTGTCACCAGTCTAGACGGACCCTGAGGTCACCCCAGCAACACAAAGCAGCTCCATGTGCCCCAAATCAACTCGAGATGAGGCCCGATTCCCCTGCATTGACTCCAGAGCCATTCCCCGTTCCAAGTTCAACACGAACGGTGGCTCGCCTTCCTTCAGGCAACTCCAGAGATGCCCCGAGAACACTGTCCCAAATCTAGAGGAACACCAACTTCAGCACAGCAACTCGAGGAATGCTCTGTGTACCCCAAATCGTCTCGAGATGAGAGCTGATTCCCTGGCTTAGGCTCAAGACGTATGCCAACTTTCCAGAAGCACCTCAGGAGGAGGCTTCTCAGCAATAGGTATGTGGGAGGGACCCCGAGTTTGCTGCCTCAAGGGGAATACACAGGGAGAAGCCCTAATGTGAACGAAGGCCAGATTTCCTTGCAGTGGCTTGAATACAGGCTCGTCTTTGATCTGACAACATGAAGGGATGTCTGAATCCCCTGTGGAGACCTTAGAGGAAGCCCTAGGTCCCTGCCTCATTTTGACGGAATACCTCACATCCCCCTGACACCTCGAGAGGCACGCAGAGTTCATTGCTTCAAAAGGTGACGATGCCTGACTCCTCTTGAATACTGATAGGAATCCCAAAATCCCTGGGGCTACTGGAAAGGGTCCTTGGGTGCCCTGGCTCACCTCGAGAAGCGTCCCTTTTGCCGTGCCAAGCCTCGAAGTGATTGCTGAGGTGTCCCTCGTTACTAGACAGGAGTCCTGACGTCACTGAAGAAACTCGTGTTTTGAAGGGCCATCCCCGCCGTAAGTCGAGAACATACCCCAGGTCCCCGCCGCAACTCGAGAAAAACCATGAGACTTCCCCCTAGAGGCGAGATGAGGCCCCATTCCCCTGCAGTGCATGCAGAGCTATTCCGTGATCCCATTCAAACAAGTCAGGAGCTTCGACTTGCTTAATGGATCTCGAGGCAGTCCCCAAGAACACTGTAACCAGTCTAGACGGACCCTGAGGTTACCCAGCAATGCAAAGCAGCTCCATGTGCCCCAAATCAACTCGAGATGAGGCCGGATTCCCCTGCATTGACTCCAGAGCCATTCCTTGTTCCCCATTCAACACGACCTGTGGCTCGACTTCCTTCAGGCAACTCCAGAGATGCCCCGAGAACACTGTCCCAAGTCTAGTGGACCACCAACTTCAGCACAGCAACACGAGGAATACTCTGTGTACCCCTAATCGTCTCGAGATGAGAGCTGATTCCCTGGCTTAGGCTCAAGACGTATGCCAACTTTCCAGAAGCACCTCAGGAGGAGGCTTCTCAGCAATAGGTATGTGGGAGGGACTCCGAGTTTGCTGCCTCAAGGGGAATATACAGCGAGAAGCCCTAACTTGAAAGGAGGCCGGATTTACTTGCAGTAGCTTGAAACAGGCTTGTTTTTCATCTCACAACATGAAGGGATGTCTGAATCCCCTGTGGAGACCTTAGAGAAAGCCCTAGGTCCCTGCCTCATTTTACGGGAATCCTCACATCCCGCTGAACCCTCGAGAGGCACGCGGAGTTCATTGCTTCAAAAGGTGACGATGCCTGACTCCTCTTGAATACTTATAGGAATCCCAAAATCCCTGTGGCTACTGGAAAGGGTCCTTGGGTGCCCTGGCTCACCTCGAGAAGCGTCCCTTTTGCCCTGCCAAGCCTCGAAGAGATTGCTGAGGTGTCCCTCGGTACTAGACAGGAGTCCTGACGTCACTGAGGAAACTCGTGTTTTGAAGGGCCATCCCCGCCGTAAGTCGAGAACATACCCCAGGTCCCCGCCGCAACTCGAGAAAAACCAAGAGACTACCCCCTAGAGGCGAGATGAGGCCCCATTCCCCTGCAGTGCATGCAGAGCTATTCCGTGATCCCATTCAAACAAGTCAGGAGCTTCGACTTGCTTAATGGATCTCGAGACAGTCCCCAAGAACACTGTCACCAGTCTAGACGGACCCTGAGGTCACCCAGCAATGCAAAGCAGCTCCATGTGCCCCAAATCAACTCGAGATGAGGCCGGATTCCCCTGCATTGACTCCAGAGCCACTCCTTGTTCCCCATTCAACACGACCGGTGGCTCGACTTCCTTCAGGCAACTCCAGAGATGCCCCGAGAACACTGTCCCAAGTCTAGAGGACCACCAACTTCAGCACAGCAACTCGAGGAATGCTCTGTGTACCCCAAATCGTCTCGAGATGAGAGCTGATTCCCTGGCTTAGGCTCAAGACGTATGCCACCTTTCCAGAAGCACCTCAGGAGGAGGCTTCTCTCAGCAATAGGTATGTGGGAGGGACCCCGAGTTTGCTGCCTCAAGGGGAATATACAGCGAGAAGCCCTAACTTGAAAGAGGCCGGATTTCCTTGCAGTGGCTTGAATACAGGCTCGTCTTTCATCTCACAACATGAAGGGATGTCTGAATCCCCTGTGGAGACCTTAGAGAAAGCCCTAGGTGCCTGCCTCATTTTGACGGAATCCTCACATCCCGCTGACACCTCGAGAGGCACGCGGAGTTCATTGCTTCAAAAGGTGACGATGCCTGACTCCTCTTGAATACTTATAGTAATCCCAAAATCCCTGTGGCTACTGGAAAGGGTCCTTGCGTGCCCTGGCTCACCTCGAGAAGCGTCCCTTTTGCCCTGCCAAGCCTCGAAGAGATTGCTGAGGTGTCCCTCATTACTAGACAGGAGTCCTGACGTCACTGAAGAAACTCGTGTTTTGAAGGGCCATCCCCGCCGTAAGTCGAGAACATTCCCCAGGTCCCCGCCGCAACTCGAGAAAAACCATGAGATTTCCCCCTAGAGGCGAGATGAGGCCCCATTCCCCTGCAGTGCATGCAGAGCTATTCCATGATCCAATTCAAACAAGTCAGGAGCTTCGACTTGCTTAATGGATCTCGAGACAGTCCCCAAGAACACTGTCACCAGTCTAGACGGACCCTGAGGTCACCCCAGCAACACAAAGCAGCTCCATGTGCCCCAAATCAACTCGAGATGAGGCCCGATTCCCCTGCATTGACTCCATAGCCATTCCCCGTTCCAAATTCAACACGAACGGTGGCTCGCCTTCCTTCAGGCAACTCCAGAGATGCCCCGAGAACACTGTCCCAAGTCTAGAGGAACACCAACTTCAGCACAGCAACTCGAGGAATGCTCTGTGTACCCCAAATCGTCTCGAGATGAGAGCTGATTCCCTGGCTTAGGCTCAAGACGTATGCCAACTTTCCAGAAGCACCTCAGGAGGAGGCTTCTCAGCAATAGGTATGTGGGAGGGACTCCGAGTTTGCTGCCTCAAGGGGAATATACAGCGAGAAGCCCTAACTTGAAAGGAGGCCGGATTTCCTTGCAATAGCTTGAAACAGGCTTGTTTTTCATCTCACAACATGAAGGGATGTCTGAATCCCCTGTGGAGACCTTAGAGAAAGCCCTAGGTCCCTGCCTCATTTTGACAGAATCCTCACATCCCGCTGACACCTCGAGAGGCACGCGGAGTTCATTGCTTCAAAAGGTGACGATGCCTGACTCCTCTTGAATACTGATAGGAATCCCAAAATCCCTGTGGCTACTGGAAAGGTTCCTTGGGTGCCCTGCCTCACTTCGAGAAGCGTCCCTTTTGCCCTGCCAAGCCTCAAAGAGATTCCTGAGGTGTCCCTCGTTACTAGACAGGAGTCCTGACGTCATTGAAGAAACTCGTGTTTTGAAGGGCCATTCCCGCCATAAATCGAGAACATACCCCAGGTCCCCGCCGCAACTCGAGAAAAACCATGAGACTTCCCCCTAGAGGCGAGATGAGGCCCCATTCCCCTGCAGTGCATGCAGAGCAATTCCGTGATCCCATTCAAACAAGTCAGGAGCTTCGACTTGCTTAATGGATCTCGAGACAGTCCCCAAGAACACTGTCACCAGTCTAGACAGACCCTGAGGTCACCCCAGCAACGCAAAGCTGCTCCATGTGCCCCAAATCAACTCGAGATGAGGCCCGATTCCCCTGCATTTACTCCAGAGCCATTCCCCGTTCCCCATTCAACACGACCGGTGGCTCGACTTCCTTCAGGCAACTCCAGAGATGCCCCGAGAACACTGTCCCAAGTCTAGAGGAGCACCAATTTCAGCACAGCAACCCGAGGAATGCTCCGTGTACCCCAAATCATCTCGAGATGAGAGCTGATTCCCTGGCTTAGGCTCAAGACGTATGCCAACTTTCCAGAAGCACCTCAGGAGGAGGCTTCTCTCAGCAATAGGTATGTGGGAGGGACCCCGAGTTTGCTGCCTCAAGGGGAATACACAGGGAGAAGCCCTAATGTGAACGAAGGCCAGATTTCCTTGCAGTGGCTTGAATACAGGCTCGTCTTTGATCTGACAACATGAAGGGATGTCTGAATCCCCTGTGGAGACCTTAGAGGAAGCCCTAGGTCCCTGCCTCATTTTGACGGAATACCTCACATCTCCCTGACACCTCGAGAGGCACGCAGAGTTCATTGCTTCAAAAGGTGACGATGCCTGACTCCTCTTGAATACTGATAGAAATCCCAAAATCCCTGTGGCTACTGGAAAGGGTCCTTGGGTACCCTGCCTCACCTCGAGAAGCGTCCCTTTTGCCCTGCCAAGCCTCGAAGAGATTGCTGAGGTGTCCCTCGTTACTAGACAGGAGTCCTGACGTCACTGAAGAAACTCGTGTTTTGAAGGGCCATCCCCGCCGTAAGTCGAGAACATACCCCAGGTCCCCGCCGCAACTCGAGAAAAACCATGAGACTTCCCCCTAGAGGCGAGATGAGGCCCCATTCCCCTGCAGTGCATGCAGAGCTATTCCGTGATCCCATTCAAACAAGTCAGGAGCTTCGACTTGCTTAATGGATCTCGAGGCAGTCCCCAAGAACACTGTCACCAGTCTAGACGGACCCTGAGGTCACCCAGCAATGCAAAGCAGCTCCATGTGCCCCAAATCAACTCGAGATGAGGCCGGATTCCCCTGCATTGACTCCAGAGCCATTCCTTGTTCCCCATTCACACGACCGGTGGCTCGACTTCCTTCAGGCAACTCCAGAGATGCCCCGAGAACACTGTCCCAAGTCTAGAGGACCACCAACTTCAGCACAGCAACTCGAGAAATGCTCTGTGTACCCCTAATCGTCTCGAGATGAGAGCTGATTCCCTGGCTTAGGCTCAAGACGTATGCCACCTTTCCAGAAGCACCTCAGGAGGAGGCTTCTGTCAGCAATAGGTATGTGGGAGGGACCCCGAGTTTGCTGCCTCAAGGGGAATATACAGCGAGAAGTCGTAACTTGAAAGGAGGCCGGATTTCCTTGCAGTGGCTTGAATACAGGCTCGTCTTTCATCTCACAACATGAAGGGATGTCTGAATCCCCTGTGGAGACCTTAGAGAATGCCCTAGGTCCCTGCCTCATTTTGACAGAATCCTCACATCCCGCTGACACCTCGAGAGGCACGCGGAGTTCATTGCTTCAAAAGGTGACGATGCCTGACTCCTCTTGAATACTTATAGGAATCCCAAAATCCCTGTGGCTACTGGAAAGGGTCCTTGGGTGCCCTGCCTCACCTCGAGAAGCGTCCCTTTTGCCCTGCCAAGCCTCGAAGAGATTGCTGACGTGTCCCTCGTTACTAGACAGGAGTCCTGACGTCACTGAAGAAACTCGTGTTTTGAAGGGCCATCCCCGCCGTAAGTCGAGAACATACCCCAGGTCCCCGCCGCAACTCGAGAAAAACCATGACACTTCCCCCTAGAGGCGAGATGAGGCCCCATTCCCCTGCAGTGCATGCAGAGCTATTCCGTGATCCCATTCAAACAAGTCAGGAGCTTCGACTTGCTTAATGGATCTCGAGACAGTCCCCAAGAACACTGTCACCAGTCTAGACGGACCCTGAGGTCACCCCAGCAACACAAAGCAGCTCCATGTGCCCCAAATCAACTCTAGATGAGGCCGGATTCCCCTGCATTGACTCCAGAGCCACTCCTTGTTCCCCATTCAACACGACCGGTGGCTCGACTTCCTTCAGGCAACTCCAGAGATTCCCCGAGAACACTGTCCCAAGTCTAGAGGACCACCAACTTCAGCACAGCAACTCGAGGAATGCTCTGTGTACCCCAAATCGTCTCGAGATGAGAGCTGATTCCCTGGCTTAGGCTCAAGACGTATGCCACCTTTCCAGAAGCACCTCAGGAGGAGGCTTCTCTCAGCAATAGGTATGTGGGAGGGACCCCGAGTTTGCTGCCTCAAGGGGAATATACAGCGAGAAGCCCTAACTTGAAAGGAGGCCGGATTTCCTTGCAGTGGCTTGAATACAGGCTCCTCTTTCATCTCACAACATGAAGGGATGTCTGAATCCCCTGTGGAGACCTTAGAGAAAGCCCTAGGTCCCTGCCTCATTTTGACGGAATCCTCACATCCCGCTGACACCTCGAGAGGCACGCGGAGTTCATTGCTTCAAAAGGTGACGATGCCTGACTCCTCTTGAATACTTTTAGTAATCCCAAAATCCCTGTGGCTACTGGAAAGGGTCCTTGCGTGCCCTGGCTCACCTCGAGAAGCGTCCCTTTTGCCCTGCCAAGCCTCGAAGAGATTGCTGAGGTGTCCCTCATTACTAGACAGGAGTCCTGACGTCACTGAAGAAACTCGTGTTTTGAAGGGTCATCCCCGCCGTAAGTCGAGAACATACCCCAGGTCCCCGCCGCAACTCGAGAAAAACCATGAGACTTCCCCCTAGAGGCGAGATGAGGCCCCATTCCCCTGCAGTGCATGCAGAGCTATTCCATGATCCAATTCAAACAAGTCAGGAGCTTCGACTTGCTTAATGGATCTCGAGACAGTCCCCAAGAACACTGTCACCAGTCTAGACGGACCCTGAGGTCACCCCAGCAACACAAAGCAGCTCCATGTGCCCCAAATCAACTCGAGATGAGGCCCGATTCCCCTGCATTGACTCCATAGCCATTCCCCGTTCCAAGTTCAACACGAACGGTGGCTCGCCTTCCTTCAGGCAACTCCAGAGATGCCCCGAGAACACTGTCCCAAGTCTAGAGGAACACCAACTTCAGCACAGCAACTCGAGGAATGCTCTGTGTACCCCAAATCGTCTCGAGATGAGAGATGATTCCCTGGCTTAGGCTCAAGACGTATGCCAACTTTCCAGAAGCACCTCAGGAGGAGGCTTCTCAGCAATAGGTATGTGGGAGGGACTCCGAGTTTGCTGCCTCAAGGGGAATATACAGCCTGAAGCCCTAACTTGAAAGGAGGCCGGATTTCCTTGCAATAGCTTGAAACAGGCTTGTTTTTCATCTCACAACATGAAGGGATGTCTGAATCCCCTGTGGAGACCTTAGAGAAAGCCCTAGGTCCCTGCCTCATTTTGACAGAATCCTCACATCCCGCTGACACCTCGAGAGGCACGCAGAGTTCATTGCTTCAAAAGGTGACGATGCCTGACTCCTCTTGAATACTGATAGGAATCCCAAAATCCCTGTGGCTACTGGAAAGGTTCCTTGGGTGCCCTGCCTCACTTCGAGGTTCCTTTTGCCCTGCCAAGCCTCGAAGAGATTCCTGAGGTGTCCCTCGTTACTAGACAGGAGTCCTGACGTCACTGAAGAAACTCGTGTTTTGAAGGGCCATCCCCGCCGTAAGTCGAGAACATACCCCAGGTCCCCGCCGCAACTCGAGAAAAACCATGAGACTTCCCCCTAGAGGCGAGATGAGGCCCCATTCCCCTGCAGTGCATGCAGAGCTATTCCGTGATCCCATTCAAACAAGTCAGGAGCTTCGACTTGCTTAATGGATCTCGAGACAGTCCCCAAGAACACTGTCACCAGTCTAGACGGACCCTGACGTCACCCCAGAAACGCAAAGCAGCTCTAAGTGCCCCAAATCAACTCGAGATGAGGCCCCATTCCCCTGCATTGACTCCAGAGCCATTCCCCGTTCCCCATTCAACAGGACTGGTGGCTCGCTTTCCTTCAGGCAACTCCAGAGATGCCCCGAGAACACTGTCCCAAGTCTAGAGGAGCACCAATTTCAGCACAGCAACCCGAGGAATGCTCCGTGTACCCCAAATTATCTCGAGATGAGAGCTGATTCCCTGGCTTAGGCTCAAGACGTATGCCAACTTTCCAGAAGCACCTCAGGAGGAGGCTTCTCTCAGCAATAGGTATGTGGGAGGGACCCCGAGTTTGCTGCCTCAAGGGGAATACACAGGGAGAAGCCCTAATGTGAACGAAGGCCAGATTTCCTTGCAGTGGCTTGAATACAGGCTCGTCTTTGATCTGACAACATGAAGGGATGTCTGAATCCCCTGTGGAGACCTTAGAGGAAGCCCTAGGTCCCTGCCTCATTTTGACGGAATACCTCACATCCCCCTGACACCTCGAGAGGCACGCAGAGTTCATTGCTTCAAAAGGTGACGATGCCTGACTCCTCTTGAATACTGATAGGAATCCCAAAATCCCTGGGGCTACTGGAAAGGGTCCTTGGGTGCCCTGGCTCACCTCGAGAAGCGTCCCTTTTGCCGTGCCAAGCCTCGAAGTGATTGCTGAGGTGTCCCTCGTTACTAGACAGGAGTCCTGACGTCACTGAAGAAACTCGTGTTTTGAAGGGCCATCCCCGCCGTAAGTCGAGAACATACCCCAGGTCCCCGCCGCAACTCGAGAAAAACCATGAGACTTCCCCCTAGAGGCGAGATGAGGCCCCATTCCCCTGCAGTGCATGCAGAGCTATTCCGTGATCCCATTCAAACAAGTCAGGAGCTTCGACTTGCTTAATGGATCTCGAGGCAGTCCCCAAGAACACTGTAACCAGTCTAGACGGACCCTGAGGTTACCCAGCAATGCAAAGCAGCTCCATGTGCCCCAAATCAACTCGAGATGAGGCCGGATTCCCCTGCATTGACTCCAGAGCCATTCCTTGTTCCCCATTCAACACGACCTGTGGCTCGACTTCCTTCAGGCAACTCCAGAGATGCCCCGAGAACACTGTCCCAAGTCTAGTGGACCACCAACTTCAGCACAGCAACACGAGGAATACTCTGTGTACCCCTAATCGTCTCGAGATGAGAGCTGATTCCCTGGCTTAGGCTCAAGACGTATGCCAACTTTCCAGAAGCACCTCAGGAGGAGGCTTCTCAGCAATAGGTATGTGGGAGGGACTCCGAGTTTGCTGCCTCAAGGGGAATATACAGCGAGAAGCCCTAACTTGAAAGGAGGCCGGATTTACTTGCAGTAGCTTGAAACAGGCTTGTTTTTCATCTCACAACATGAAGGGATGTCTGAATCCCCTGTGGAGACCTTAGAGAAAGCCCTAGGTCCCTGCCTCATTTTACGGGAATCCTCACATCCCGCTGAACCCTCGAGAGGCACGCGGAGTTCATTGCTTCAAAAGGTGACGATGCCTGACTCCTCTTGAATACTTATAGGAATCCCAAAATCCCTGTGGCTACTGGAAAGGGTCCTTGGGTGCCCTGGCTCACCTCGAGAAGCGTCCCTTTTGCCCTGCCAAGCCTCGAAGAGATTGCTGAGGTGTCCCTCGGTACTAGACAGGAGTCCTGACGTCACTGAGGAAACTCGTGTTTTGAAGGGCCATCCCCGCCGTAAGTCGAGAACATACCCCAGGTCCCCGCCGCAACTCGAGAAAAACCATGAGACTACCCCCTAGAGGCGAGATGAGGCCCCATTCCCCTGCAGTGCATGCAGAGCTATTCCGTGATCCCATTCAAACAAGTCAGGAGCTTCGACTTGCTTAATGGATCTCGAGACAGTCCCCAAGAACACTGTCACCAGTCTAGACGGACCCTGAGGTCACCCAGCAATGCAAAGCAGCTCCATGTGCCCCAAATCAACTCGAGATGAGGCCGGATTCCCCTGCATTGACTCCAGAGCCACTCCTTGTTCCCCATTCAACACGACCGGTGGCTCGACTTCCTTCAGGCAACTCCAGAGATGCCCCGAGAACACTGTCCCAAGTCTAGAGGACCACCAACTTCAGTACAGCAACTCGAGGAATGCTCTGTGTACCCCAAATCGTCTCGAGATGAGAGCTGATTCCCTGGCTTAGGCTCAAGACGTATGCCAACTTTCCAGAAGCACCTCAGGAGGAGGCTTCTCAGCAATAGGTATGTGGGAGGGACTCCGAGTTTGCTGCCTCAAGGGGAATATACAGCGAGAAGCCCTAACTTGAAAGGAGGCCGGATTTCCTTGCAATAGCTTGAAACAGGCTTGTTTTTCATCTCACAACATGAAGGGATGTCTGAATCCCCTGTGGAGACCTTAGAGAAAGCCCTAGGTCCCTGCCTCATTTTGACAGAATCCTCACATCCCGCTGACACCTCGAGAGGCACGCGGAGTTCATTGCTTCAAAAGGTGACGATGCCTGACTCCTCTTGAATACTGATAGGAATCCCAAAATCCCTGTGGCTACTGGAAAGGTTCCTTGGGTGCCCTGCCTCACTTCGAGAAGCGTCCCTTTTGCCCTGCCAAGCCTCGAAGAGATTCCTGAGGTGTCCCTCGTTACTAGACAGGAGTCCTGACGTCATTGAAGAAACTCGTGTTTTGAAGGGCCATTCCCGCCATAAATCGAGAACATACCCCAGGTCCCCGCCGCAACTCGAGAAAAACCATGAGACTTCCCCCTAGAGGCGAGATGAGGCCCCATTCCCCTGCAGTGCATGCAGAGCAATTCCGTGATCCCATTCAAACAAGTCAGGAGCTTCGACTTGCTTAATGGATCTCGAGACAGTCCCCAAGAACACTGTCACCAGTCTAGACAGACCCTGAGGTCACCCCAGCAACGCAAAGCTGCTCCATGTGCCCCAAATCAACTCGAGATGAGGCCCGATTCCCCTGCATTGACTCCAGAGCCATTCCCCGTTCCCCATTCAACACGACCGGTGGCTCGACTTCCTTCAGGCAACTCCAGAGATGCCCCGAGAACACTGTCCCAAGTCTAGAGGAGCACCAATTTCAGCACAGCAACCCGAGGAATGCTCCGTGTACCCCAAATCATCTCGAGATGAGAGCTGATTCCCTGGCTTAGGCTCAAGACGTATGCCAACTTTCCAGAAGCACCTCAGGAGGAGGCTTCTCTCAGCAATAGGTATGTGGGAGGGACCCCGAGTTTGCTGCCTCAAGGGGAATACACAGGGAGAAGCCCTAATGTGAACGAAGGCCAGATTTCCTTGCAGTGGCTTGAATACAGGCTCGTCTTTGATCTGACAACATGAAGGGATGTCTGAATCCCCTGTGGAGACCTTAGAGGAAGCCCTAGGTCCCTGCCTCATTTTGACGGAATACCTCACATCTCCCTGACACCTCGAGAGGCACGCAGAGTTCATTGCTTCAAAAGGTGACGATGCCTGACTCCTCTTGAATACTGATAGAAATCCCAAAATCCCTGTGGCTACTGGAAAGGGTCCTTGGGTACCCTGCCTCACCTCGAGAAGCGTCCCTTTTGCCCTGCCAAGCCTCGAAGAGATTGCTGAGGTGTCCCTCGTTACTAGACAGGAGTCCTGACGTCACTGAAGAAACTCGTGTTTTGAAGGGCCATCCCCGCCGTAAGTCGAGAACATACCCCAGGTCCCCGCCGCAACTCGAGAAAAACCATGAGACTTCCCCCTAGAGGCGAGATGAGGCCCCATTCCCCTGCAGTGCATGCAGAGCTATTCCGTGATCCCATTCAAACAAGTCAGGAGCTTCGACTTGCTTAATGGATCTCGAGGCAGTCCCCAAGAACACTGTCACCAGTCTAGACGGACCCTGAGGTCACCCAGCAATGCAAAGCAGCTCCATGTGCCCCAAATCAACTCGAGATGAGGCCGGATTCCCCTGCATTGACTCCAGAGCCATTCCTTGTTCCCCATTCACACGACCGGTGGCTCGACTTCCTTCAGGCAACTCCAGAGATGCCCCGAGAACACTGTCCCAAGTCTAGAGGACCACCAACTTCAGCACAGCAACTCGAGGAATGCTCTGTGTACCCCTAATCGTCTCGAGATGAGAGCTGATTCCCTGGCTTAGGCTCAAGACGTATGCCACCTTTCCAGAAGCACCTCAGGAGGAGGCTTCTGTCAGCAATAGGTATGTGGGAGGGACCCCGAGTTTGCTGCCTCAAGGGGAATATACAGCGAGAAGTCGTAACTTGAAAGGAGGCCGGATTTCCTTGCAGTGGCTTGAATACAGGCTCGTCTTTCATCTCACAACATGAAGGGATGTCTGAATCCCCTGTGGAGACCTTAGAGAAAGCCCTAGGTCCCTGCCTCATTTTGACAGAATCCTCACATCCCGCTGACACCTCGAGAGGCACGCGGAGTTCATTGCTTCAAAAGGTGACGATGCCTGACTCCTCTTGAATACTTATAGGAATCCCAAAATCCCTGTGGCTACTGGAAAGGGTCCTTGGGTGCCCTGGCTCACCTCGAGAAGCGTCCCTTTTGCCCTGCCAAGCCTCGAAGAGATTGCTGACGTGTCCCTCGTTACTAGACAGGAGTCCTGACGTCACTGAAGAAACTCGTGTTTTGAAGGGCCATCCCCGCCGTAAGTCGAGAACATACCCCAGGTACCCGCCACAACTCGAGAAAAACCATGACACTTCCCCCTAGAGGCGAGATGAGGCCCCATTCCCCTGCAGTGCATGCAGAGCTATTCCGTGATCCCATTCAAACAAGTCAGGAGCTTCGACTTGCTTAATGGATCTCGAGACAGTCCCCAAGAACACTGTCACCAGTCTAGACGGACCCTGAGGTCACCCCAGCAACACAAAGCAGCTCCATGTGCCCCAAATCAACTCTAGATGAGGCCGGATTCCCCTGCATTGACTCCAGAGCCACTCCTTGTTCCCCATTCAACACGACCGGTGGCTCGACTTCCTTCAGGCAACTCCAGAGATTCCCCGAGAACACTGTCCCAAGTCTAGAGGACCACCAACTTCAGCACAGCAACTCGAGGAATGCTCTGTGTACCCCAAATCGTCTCGAGATGAGAGCTGATTCCCTGGCTTAGGCTCAAGACGTATGCCACCTTTCCAGAAGCACCTCAGGAGGAGGCTTCTCTCAGCAATAGGTATGTGGGAGGGACCCCGAGTTTGCTGCCTCAAGGGGAATATACAGCGAGAAGCCCTAACTTGAAAGGAGGCCGGATTTCCTTGCAGTGGCTTGAATACAGGCTCCTCTTTCATCTCACAACATGAAGGGATGTCTGAATCCCCTGTGGAGACCTTAGAGAAAGCCCTAGGTCCCTGCCTCATTTTGACGGAATCCTCACATCCCGCTGACACCTCGAGAGGCACGCGGAGTTCATTGCTTCAAAAGGTGACGATGCCTGACTCCTCTTGAATACTTATAGTAATCCCAAAATCCCTGTGGCTACTGGAAAGGGTCCTTGCGTGCCCTGGCTCACCTCGAGAAGCGTCCCTTTTGCCCTGCCAAGCCTCGAAGAGATTGCTGAGGTGTCCCTCATTACTAGACAGGAGTCCTGACGTCACTGAAGAAACTCGTGTTTTGAAGGGTCATCCCCGCCGTAAGTCGAGAACATACCCCAGGTCCCCGCCGCAACTCGAGAAAAACCATGAGACTTCCCCCTAGAGGCGAGATGAGGCCCCATTCCCCTGCAGTGCATGCAGAGCTATTCCATGATCCAATTCAAACAAGTCAGGAGCTTCGACTTGCTTAATGGATCTCGAGACAGTCCCCAAGAACACTGTCACCAGTCTAGACGGACCCTGAGGTCACCCCAGCAACACAAAGCAGCTCCATGTGCCCCAAATCAACTCGAGATGAGGCCCGATTCCCCTGCATTGACTCCATAGCCATTCCCCGTTCCAAGTTCAACACGAACGGTGGCTCGCCTTCCTTCAGGCAACTCCAGAGATGCCCCGAGAACACTGTCCCAAGTCTAGAGGAACACCAACTTCAGCACAGCAACTCGAGGAATGCTCTGTGTACCCCAAATCGTCTCGAGATGAGAGATGATTCCCTGGCTTAGGCTCAAGACGTATGCCAACTTTCCAGAAGCACCTCAGGAGGAGGCTTCTCAGCAATAGGTATGTGGGAGGGACTCCGAGTTTGCTGCCTCAAGGGGAATATACAGCCTGAAGCCCTAACTTGAAAGGAGGCCGGATTTCCTTGCAATAGCTTGAAACAGGCTTGTTTTTCATCTCACAACATGAAGGGATGTCTGAATCCCCTGTGGAGACCTTAGAGAAAGCCCTAGGTCCCTGCCTCATTTTGACAGAATCCTCACATCCCGCTGACACCTCGAGAGGCACGCAGAGTTCATTGCTTCAAAAGGTGACGATGCCTGACTCCTCTTGAATACTGATAGGAATCCCAAAATCCCTGTGGCTACTGGAAAGGTTCCTTGGGTGCCCTGCCTCACTTCGAGGTTCCTTTTGCCCTGCCAAGCCTCGAAGAGATTCCTGAGGTGTCCCTCGTTACTAGACAGGAGTCCTGACGTCACTGAAGAAACTCGTGTTTTGAAGGGCCATCCCCGCTGTAAGTCGAGAACATACCCCAGGTCCCCGCCGCAACTCGAGAAAAACCATGAGACGTCCCCCTAGAGGCGAGATGAGGCCCCATTCCCCTGCAGTGCATGCAGAGCTATTCCGTGATCCCATTCAAACAAGTCAGGAGCTTCGACTTGCTTAATGGATCTCGAGACAGTCCCCAAGAACACTGTCACCAGTCTAGAAGGACCCTGAGGTCACGAAAGCAACGCAAAGCAGCTCCATGTGCCCCAAATCAACTCGAGATGAGGCCCGATTCCCCTGCATTGACTCCAGAGCCATTCCCCGTTCCCCATTCAACACGACCGGTGGCTCGACTTCCTTCAGGCAACTCCAGAGATGCCCCGAGAACACTGGCCCATGTCTAGAGGAGCACCAATTTCTGAACAGCAACCCGAGGAATGCTCCGTGTACCATAAATCATCTCGAGATGAGAGCTGATTCCCTGGCTTAGGCTCAAGACGTATGCCAACTTTCCAGAAGCGCCTCAGGAGGAGGCTTCTCTCAGCAATAGTTATGTGGGAGGGACCCCGAGTTTGCTGCCTCAAGGGGAATACACAGGGAGAAGCCCTAATGTGAACGAAGGCCAGATTTCCTTGCAGTGGCTTGAATACAGGCTCGTCTTTGATCTGACAACATGAAGGGATTTCTGAATCCCCTGTGGAGACCTTAGAGGAAACCCTAGGTCCCTGCCTCATTTTGACGCAATACCTCACATCCCCCTGACACCTCGAGAGGCAAGCAGAGTTCATTGCTTAAAAAGGTGACGATGCCTGACTCCTCTTGAATACTTATAGGAATCCCAAAATCCCTGTGGCTACTGGAAAGGGTCCTTGGGTGCCCTGGCTCACCTCGAGAAGCGTCCCTTTTGCCCTGCCAAGCCTCGAAGAGATTGCTGAGGTGTCCCTCATTACTAGACAGGAGTCCTGACGTCACTGAAGAAACTCGTGTTTTGAAGGGCCATCCCCGCCGTAAGTCGAGAACATACCCCAGGTCCCCGCCGCAACTCGAGAAAAACCATGAGATTTCCCCCTAGAGGAGAGATGAGGCCCCATTCCCCTGCAGTGCATGCAGAGCTATTCCATGATCCAATTCAAACAAGTCAGGAGCTTCGGCTTGCTTAATGGATCTCGAGACAGTCCCCAAGAACACTGTCACCAGTCTAGACGGACCCTGATGTCACCCCAGCAACACAAAGCAGCTCAATGTGCTCCAAATCAACTCGAGATCAGGTCCGATTCCCCTGCATTGACTCCAGAGCCATTCCCCGTTCCAAGTTCAACACGGACGGTGGTTCGCCTTCCTTCAGGCAACTCCAGAGATGCCCCGAGAACACTGTCCCAAGTCTAGAGGAACACCAACTTCAGCACAGCAACTCGAGGAATGCTCTGTGTACCCCAAATCGTCTCGAGATGAGAGCTGATTCCCTGGCTTAGGCTCAAGACGTATGCCAACTTTCCAGAAGCACCTCAGGAGGAGGCTTCTCAGCAATAGGTATGTGGGAGGGACTCCGAGTTTGCTGCCTCAAGGGGAATATACAGCGAGAAGCCCTAACTTGAAAGGAGGCCGGATTTCCTTGCAGTAGCTTGAAACAGGCTTGTTTTTCATCTCACAACATGAAGGGATGTCTGAATCCCCTGTGGAGACCTTAGAGAAAGCCCTAGGTCCCTGCCTCATTTTGACGGAATCCTCACATCCCGCTGACACCTCGAGAGGCACGCGGAGTTCATTGCTTCAAAAGGTGACGATGCCTGACTCCTCTTGAATACTTATAGTAATCCCAAAATCCCTGTGGCTACTGGAAAGGGTCCTTGCGTGCCCTGGCTCACCTCGAGAAGCGTCCCTTTTGCCCTGCCAAGCCTCGAAGAGATTGCTGAGGTGTCCCTCATTACTAGACAGGAGTCCTGACGTCACTGAAGAAACTCGTGTTTTGAAGGGTCATCCCCGCCGTAAGTCGAGAACATACCCCAGGTCCCCGCCGCAACTCGAGAAAAACCATGAGACTTCCCCCTAGAGGCGAGATGAGGCCCCATTCCCCTGCAGTGCATGCAGAGCTATTCCATGATCCAATTCAAACAAGTCAGGAGCTTCGACTTGCTTAATGGATCTCGAGACAGTCCCCAAGAACACTGTCACCAGTCTAGACGGACCCTGAGGTCACCCCAGCAACACAAAGCAGCTCCATGTGCCCCAAATCAACTCGAGATGAGGCCCGATTCCCCTGCATTGACTCCATAGCCATTCCCCGTTCCAAGTTCAACACGAACGGTGGCTCGCCTTCCTTCAGGCAACTCCAGAGATGCCCCGAGAACACTGTCCCAAGTCTAGAGGAACACCAACTTCAGCACAGCAACTCGAGGAATGCTCTGTGTACCCCAAATCGTCTCGAGATGAGAGATGATTCCCTGGCTTAGGCTCAAGACGTATGCCAACTTTCCAGAAGCACCTCAGGAGGAGGCTTCTCAGCAATAGGTATGTGGGAGGGACTCCGAGTTTGCTGCCTCAAGGGGAATATACAGCCTGAAGCCCTAACTTGAAAGGAGGCCGGATTTCCTTGCAATAGCTTGAAACAGGCTTGTTTTTCATCTCACAACATGAAGGGATGTCTGAATCCCCTGTGGAGACCTTAGAGAAAGCCCTAGGTCCCTGCCTCATTTTGACAGAATCCTCACATCCCGCTGACACCTCGAGAGGCACGCAGAGTTCATTGCTTCAAAAGGTGACGATGCCTGACTCCTCTTGAATACTGATAGGAATCCCAAAATCCCTGTGGCTACTGGAAAGGTTCCTTGGGTGCCCTGCCTCACTTCGAGGTTCCTTTTGCCCTGCCAAGCCTCGAAGAGATTCCTGAGGTGTCCCTCGTTACTAGACAGGAGTCCTGACGTCACTGAAGAAACTCGTGTTTTGAAGGGCCATCCCCGCTGTAAGTCGAGAACATACCCCAGGTCCCCGCCGCAACTCGAGAAAAACCATGAGACGTCCCCCTAGAGGCGAGATGAGGCCCCATTCCCCTGCAGTGCATGCAGAGCTATTCCGTGATCCCATTCAAACAAGTCAGGAGCTTCGACTTGCTTAATGGATCTCGAGACAGTCCCCAAGAACACTGTCACCAGTCTAGACGGACCCTGAGGTCACCCAGCAATGCAAAGCAGCTCCATGTGCCCCAAATCAACTCGAGATGAGGCCGGATTCCCCTGCATTGACTCCAGAGCCACTCCTTGTTCCCCATTCAACACGACCGGTGGCTCGACTTCCTTCAGGCAACTCCAGAGATACCCCGAGAACTCTTTCCCAAGTCTAGAGGACCACCAACTTCAGCACAGCAACTCGAGGAATGCTCTGTGTACCCCAAATCGTCTCGAGATGAGAGCTGATTCCCTGGCTTAGGCTCAAGACGTATGCCAACTTTCCAGAAGCACCTCAGGAGGAGGCTTCTCAGCAATAGGTATGTGGGAGGGACTCCGAGTTTGCTGCCTCAAGGGGAATATACAGCGAGAAGGCCTAACTTGAAAGGAGGCCGGATTTCCTTGCAGTGGCTTGAATACTGGCTCGTCTTTCATCTCACAACATGAAGGGATGTCTGAATCCCCTGTGGAGACCTTAGAGAAAGCCCTAGGTCCCTGCCTCATTTTGACGGAATCCTCACATCCCGCTGACACCTCGAGAGGCACGCGGAGTTCATTGCTTCAAAAGGTGACGATGCCTGACTCCTCTTGAATACTATTAGGAATCCCAAAATCCCTTTGGCTGCTGGAAAGGGTCCTGGGTGCCCTGCCTCACATCGAGAAGCGTCCCTTTTGCCCTGCCAAGCCTCGAAGAGATTCCTGAGGTGTCCCTCGTTATTAGACAGGAGTCCTGACGTCACTGAAGAAACTCGTGTTTTGAAGGGCCATCCCCGCCGTAAGTCGAGAACATACCCCAGGTCCCCGCCGCAACTCGAGAAAAACCATGAGACTTCCCCCTAGAGGCGAGATGAGGCCCCATTCCACTGCAATGCATGCAGAGCTATTCCGTGATCCCATTCAAACAAGTCAGGAGCTTCGACTTGCTTAATGGATCTCGAGACAGTCCCCAAGAACACTGTCACCAGTCTAGTCGGACCCTGAGGTCACCCCAGCAACACAAAGCAGCTCCATGTGCCCCAAATCAACTCGAGATGAGGCCCGATTCCCCTGCATTGACTCCAGAGCCATTCCCCGTTCCAAGTTCAACACGAACGGTGGCTCGACTTCCTTCAGGCAACTCCAGAGATGCCCCGAGAACACTGTCCCAAATCTAGAGGAACACCAACTTCAGCACAGCAACTCGAGGAATGCTCTGTGTACCCCAAATCTTCTCGAGATGAGAGCTGATTCCCTGCTTAGGCTCAAGACGTATGCCACCTTTCCAGAAGCACCTCAGGAGGAGGCTTCTCTCAGCAATAGGTATGTGGGAGGGACCCCGAGTTTGCTGCCTCAAGGGGAATATACAGCGAGAAGCCCTAACTTGAAAGGAGGCCGGATTTCCATGCAGTGGCTTGAATACAGGCTCGTCTTTCATCTCACAACATGAAGGGATGTCTGAATCCCCTGTGGAGCCCTCAGAGAAAGCCCTAGGTCCCTGCCTCATTTTGACGGAATCCTCACATCCCGCTGACACCTCGAGAGGCACGCAGAGTTCATTGCTTCAAAAGGTGACGAAGCCTGACTCCTCTTGAATACTTATAGGAATCCCAAAATCCCTGTGGCTACTGGAACGGGTCCTTGGGTGCCTTGGCTCACCTCGAGAAGCGTCCCTTTTGCCCTGCCAAGCCTCGAAGAGATTGCTGAGGTGTCCCTCGTTACTAGACAGGAGTCCTGACGTCACTGAAGAAACTCGTGTTTTGAAGGGCCATCCCCGCCGTAAGTCGAGAACATACCCCAGGTCCCCGCCGCAACTCGAGAAAAACCATGAGACTTCCCCCTAGAGGCGAGATGAGGCCCCATTCCCCTGCAGTGCATGCAGAGCTATTCCGTGATCCCATTCAAACAAGTCAGGAGCTTCGACTTGCTTAATGGATCTCGAGACAGACCCCAAGAACACTGTCACCAGTCTAGACGGACCCTGAGGTCACCCCAGCAATGCACAGCAGCTCCATGTGCCCCAAATCAACTCGAGATGAGGCCCCATTCCGCTGCATTGACTCCAGAGCCATACCCCTTCCCCATTCAACAGGACTGGTGGCTCGCTTTCCTTCAGGCAACTCCAGAGATGCCCCGAGAACACTGTCCCAAGTCTAGAGGAACACCAACTTCAGCACAGCAACTCGAGGAATGCTCTGTGTACCCCAAATCGTCTCGAGATGAGAGCTGATTCCCTGGCTTAGGCTCAAGACGTATGCCACCTTTCCAGAAGCACTTCAGGAGGAGGCTTCTCTCAGCAATAGGTATGTGGGAGGGACTCCGAGTTTGCTGCCTCAAGGGGAATATACAGCGAGAAGCCCTAACTTGATAGGAGGCCGGATTTCCTTGCAGTGGCTTGAATACAGGCTCGTCTTTCATCTCACAACATGAAGGGATGTCTGAATCCCCTGTGGAGACCTTAGAGAATGCCCTAGGTCCCTGCCTCATTTTGACGGAATCCTCACATCCCGCTGAAACCTCGAGAGGCACGCGGAGTTCATTGCTTCAAAAGGTGACGATGCCTGACTCCTCTTGAATACTGATAGGAATCCCAAAATCCCTGTGGCTACTGGAAAGGGTCCTTGGGTGCCCTGGCTCACCTCGAGAAGCGTCCCTTTTGCCCTGCCAAGCCTCGAAGAGATTGCTGAGGTGTCCCTCGTTACTAGACAGGAGTCCTGACGTCACTGAAGAAACTCGTGTTTTGCAGGGCCATCCCCGCCGTAAGTCGAGAACATACCCCAGGTCCCCGCCGCAACTCGAGAAAAACCATGAGACTTCCCCCTAGAGGCGAGATGAGGCCCCATTCCCCTGCAGTGCATGCAGAGCTATTCCGTGATCCCATTCAAACAAGTCAGGAGCTTCGACTTGCTTAATGGATCTCGAGACAGTCCCCAAGAACACTGTCATCAGTCTAGACGGACCGTGAGGTCACCCAGCAATGCAAAGCAGCTCTATGTGGCCCAAATCAACTCGAGATGAGGCCGGATTCCCCTGTATTGACTCCAGAGCCATTCCTTGTTCCCCATTCAACACGACCGGTGGCTCGACTTCCTTCAGGCAACTCCAGAGATGCCCCAAGAACACTGTCCCAAGTCTAGAGGACAACCAACTTCAGCACAGCAACTCGAGGAATGCTCTGTGTACCCCAAATCGTCTCGAGATGAGAGCTGATTCCCTGGCTTAGGCTCAAGACGTATGCCACCTTTCCAGAAGAACCTCAGGAGGAGGCTTCTCTCAGCAATAGGTATGTGGGAGGGACCCCGAGTTTGCTGCCTCAAGGGGAATATACAGCGAGAAGCCCTAACTTGAAAGGAGGCCAGATTTCCTTGCAGTGGCTTGAATACAGGCTCGTCTTTCATCTCACAACATGAAGGGATGTCTGAATCCCCTGTGGAGACCTTAGAGAAAGCCCTAGGTCCCTGCCTCATTTTGACGGAATCCTCACATCCCGCTGACACCTCGAGAGGCACGCGGAGTTCATTGCTTCAAAAGGTGACGATGCCTGACTCCTCTTGAATATTTATAGGAATCCCAAAATCCCTGTGGATACTGGAAAGGGTCCTTTGGTGCCCTGGCTCACCTCGAGAAGAGTCCCTTTTGCCCTGCCAAGCCTCGAAGAGATTGCTGAGGTGTCCCTCGGTACTAGACAGGAGTCCTGACGTCACTGAAGAAACTCGTGTTTTGAAGGGCCATCCCCGCCGTAAGTCGAGAACATAACCCAGGTCCCCGCCGCAACTCGAGAAAAACCATGAGACTTCCCCCTAGAGGCGAGATGAGGCCCCATTCCCCTGCAGTGCATGCAGAGCTATTCCGAGATCCCATTCAAACAAGTCAGGAGCTTCGACTTGCTTAATGGATCTCGAGACAGTCCCCAAGAACACTGTCACCAGTCTAGACGGACCCTGAGGTCACCCCAGCAACACAAAGCAGCTCCATGTGCCCCAAATCAACTCGAGATGAGGCCCCATTCCCCTGCATTGACTCCAGAGCCATTCCCCGTTCCCCATTCAACAGGACTGGTGGCTCGCTTTCCTTCAGGCAACTCCAGAGATGCCCCGAGAACACTGTCCCAAGTCTAGAGGAACACCAACTTCAGCACAGCAACTCGAGGAATGCTCTGTGTACCCCAAATCGTCTCAAGATGAGAGCTGATTCCCTGGCTTAGGCTCAAGACGTATGCCAACTTTCCAGAAGCACCTCAGGAGGAGGCTTCTCAGCAATAGGTATATGGGAGGGACTCCGAGTTTGCTGCCTCAAGGGGAATATACAGCGAGAAGCCCTAACTTGAAAGGAGGCCGGATTTCCTTGCAGTAGCTTGAATTCAGGCTTGTCTTTCATCTCACAACATGAAGGGATGTCTGAATCCCCTGTGAAGACCTTAGAGAAAGCCCTAGGTCCTTGCCTCATTTTGACGGAATGCTTCACATCCCGCTGACAACTCGAGAGGCACGCGGAGTTCATTGCTTCAAAAGGTGACGATGCCTGACTCCTCTTGAATACTGATAGGAATCCCAAAATCCCTGTGGCTACTGGAAAGGTTTCTTGGGTGCCCTGCCTCACTTCGAGAAGCGTCCCTTTTGCCCTGCCAAGCCTCGAAGAGATTCCTGAGGTGTCCCTCGTTACTAGACAGGAGTCCTGACGTCACTGAAGAAACTCGTGTTTTGAAGGGCCATCCCCGCCGTAAGTCGAGAACATACCCCAGGTCCCCGCCGCAACTCGAGAAAAACCATGAGACTTCCCCCTAGAGGCGAGATGAGGCCCCATTCCCCTGCAGTGCATGCAGAGCTATTCCGTGATCCCATTCAAACAAGTCAGGAGCTTCGACTTGCTTAATGGATCTCGAGACAGTCCCCAAGAACACTGTCACCAGTCTAGACGGACCCTGAGGTCACCCCAGCAACGCAAAGCTGCTCCATGTGCCCCAAATCAACTCGAGATGAGGCCCGATTCCCCTGCATTGACTCCAGAGCCATTCCCCGTTCCCCATTCAACACCACCGGTGGCTCGACTTCCTTCAGGCAACTCCAGAGATGCCCCGAGAACACTGTCCCAAGTCTAGAGGAGCACCAATTTCAGCATAGCAACCCGAGGAATGCTCCATGTACCCCAAATCATCTCGAGATGAGAGCTGATTCCCTGGCTTAGGCTCAAGACGTATGCCAAATTTCCAGAAGCACCTCAGGAGGAGGCTTCTCTCAGCAATAGGTATGTGGGAGGGACTCCGAGTTTTTTGCCTCAAGGGGAATATACAGCGAGAAGCCCTAACTTGAAAGGAGGCCGGATTTCCTTGCAGTAGCTTGAATACAGGCTCGTCTTTCATCTCACAACATGAAGGGATGTCTGAATCCCCTGTGGAGACCTTAGAGAAAGCCCTAGGTCCCTGCCTCATTTTGACGGAATACCTCACATCCCCCTGACACCTCGAGAGGCACGCAGAGTTCATTGCTTCAAAAGGTGACGATGCCTGACTCCTCTTGAATACTTATAGGAATCCCCAAATCCCTGTGGCTACTCTAAAGGGTCCTTGGGTGCCCTGGCTCACTTCGAGAAGCGTCCCTTTTGCCCTGCCAAGCCTCTAAGAGATTGCTGAGGTGTCCCTCGTTACTAGACAGGAGTCCTGACGTCACTGAAGAAACTCGTGTTTTGAAGGGCCATCCCCGCCGTAAGTCGAGAACATACCCCAGGGCCGCGCCGCAACTCGAGAAAAACCGTGAGACTTCCCCCTAGAGGCGAGATGAGGCCCCATTCCCCTGCAGTGCATGCAGAGCTATTCCGTGATCCCATTCAAACAAGTCAGGAGCTTCGACTTGCTTAATGGATCTCGAGACAGTCCCCAAGAACACTGTCACCAGTCTAGACGGACCCTGACGTCACCCCAGAAACGCAAAGCAGCTCTATGTGCCCCAAATCAACTTGAGATGAGGCCCCATTCCCCTGCATTGACTCCAGAGCCATTCCCCGTTCCCCATTCAACAGGACTGGTGGCTCGCTTTCCTTCAGGCAACTCCAGGGATGCCCCGAGAACACTGTCCCAAGTCTAGAGGAACACCAATTTCAGCACAGCAACTCGAGGAATGCTCTGTGTACCCCAAATCGTCTCGAGATGAGAGCTGATTCCCTGGCTTAGGCTCAAGACGTATGCCAACTTTCCAGAAGCACCTCAGGAGGAGGCTTCTCAGCAATAGGTATGTGGGAGGGACTCCGAGTTTGTTGCCTCAAGGGGAATATACAGCGAGAAGCCCTAACTTGAAAGGAGGCCGGATTTCCTTGCAGTAGCTTGAATACAGGCTCGTCTTTCATCTCACAACATGAAGGGATGTCTGAATCCCCTGTGAAGACCTTAGAGAAAGCCCTAGGTCCCTGCCTCATTTTGACGGAATGCCTCACATCCCACTGACAACTCGAGAGGCACGCGGAGTTCATTGCTTCAAAAGGTGACGATGCCTGACTCCTCTTGAATACTGATAGGAATCCCAAAATCCCTGTGGCTACTGGAAAGGTTCCTTGGGTGCCCTGCCTCACTTCGAGAAGCGTCCCTTTTGCCCTGCCAAGCCTCGAAGAGATTCCTGAGGTGTCCCTCGTTACTAGACAGGAGTCCTGACGTCACTGAAGAAACTCGTGTTTTGAAGGGCCATCCCCGCCATAAGTCGAGAACATATCCCAGGTCCCCGCCGCAACTCGAGAAAAACCATGAGACTTCCCCCTAGAGGCGAGATGAGGCCCCATTCCCCTGCAGTGCATGCAGAGCTATTCCGTGATCCCATTCAAACAAGTCAGGAGCTTCGATTTGCTTAATGGATCTCGAGACAGTCCCCAAGAACACTGTCACCAGTCTAGACGGACCCTGAGGTCAGCCCAGCAACGCAAAGCTGCTCCATGTGCCCCAAATCAACTCGAGATGAGGCCCGATTCCCCTGCATTGACTCCAGAGCCATTCCCCGTTCCCCATTCAACACGAGCGGTGGCTCGACTTCCTTCAGGCAACTCCAGAGATGCCCCGAGAACACTGTCCCAAGACTAGAGGAGCACCAATTTCAGCACAGCAACCCGAGGAATGCTCCGTGTACCCCAAATCATCTCGAGATGAGAGCTGATTCCCTGGCTTAGGCTCAAGACGTATGCCAACTTTCCAGAAGCACCTCAGGAGGAGGCTTCTCTCAGCAATAGGTATGTGGGAGGGACCCCGAGTTTGCTGCCTCAAGGGGAATACACAGGGAGAAGCCCTAATGTGAACGGAGGCCAGATTTCCTTGCAGTGGCTTGAATACAGGCTCGTCTTTGATCTGACAACATGAATGGATTTCTGAATCCCCTGTGGAGACCTTAGAGGAAGCCCTAGGTCCCTGCCTCATTTTGACGGAATACCTCACATCCCCCTGACACCTCGAGAGGCACGCAGAGTTCATTGCTTCAAAAGGTGACGATGCCTGACTCCTCTTGAATACTTATAGGAATCCCCAAATCCCTGTGGCTACTGGAAAGGGTCCTTGGGTGCTCTGGCTCACCTCGAGAAGCGTCCCTTTTGCCCTGCCAAGCCTCGAAGAGATTGCTGAGGTGTCCCTCATTACTAGACAGGAGTCCTGACGTCACTGAAGAAACTCGTGTTTTGAAGGGCCATCCCCGCCGTAAGTCGAGAACATACCCCAGGTCCCCGCAGCAACTCGAGAAAAACCATGAGATTTCCCCCTAGAGGCGAGATGAGGCCCCATTCCCCTGCAGTGCATGCAGAGCTATTCCATGATCCAATTCAAACAAGTCAGGAGCTTCAACTTGCTTAATGGATCTCGCGACAGTCCCCAAGAACACTGTCACCAGTCTATACGGACCCTGAGGTCACCCCAGCAACACAAAGCAGCTCCATGTGCCCCAAATCAACACGAGATGAGGCCCGATTCCCCTGCATTGACTCCAGAGCCATTCCCCGTTCCAAGTTCAACACGAACGGTGGCTCGCCTTCCTTCAGGCAACTCCAGAGATGCCCAGAGAACACTGTCCCAAGTCTAGAGGAACACCAACTTCAGCACAGCAACTCTAGGAATGCTCTGTGTACCCCAAATCGTCTCGAGATGAGAGGTGATTCCCTGGCTTAGGCTCAGGACGTATGCCAACTTTCCAGAAGCACCTCAGGAGGAGGCTGCTCAGCAATAGGTATGTGGGAGGGACTCCGAGTTTGCTGCCTCAAGGGGAATATACAGCGAGAAGCCCTAACTTGAAAGGAGGCCGGATTTCCTTGCAGTAGCTTGAATACAGCCTCATCTTTCATCTCACAACATGAAGGGATGTCTGAATCCCCTGTGGAGACCTTAGAGAAAGCCCTAGGTCCCTGCCTCATTTTGACGGAATACCTCACATCCCCCTGACACCTCGAGAGGCACGCAGAGTTCATTGCTTCAAAAGGTGACGATGCCTGACTCCTCTTGAATACTTATAGGAATCCCAAAATCCCTGTGGCTACTGGAAAGGGTCCTTCGGTGCCCTGGCTCACCTCGAGAAGCGTCCCTTTTGCCCTGCCAAGCCTCGAAGAGATTGCTGAGGTGTCCCTCGTTACTAGACAGGAGTCCTGACGTCACTGAAGAAACTCGTGTTTTGAAGGGCCATCCCCGCCGTAAGTCGAGAACATACCCCAGGTCCCCGCAGCAACTCGAGAAAAACCATGAGACTTCCCCCTAGAGGCGAGATGAGGCCCCATTCCCCTGCAGTGCATGCAGAGCTATTCCGTGATCCCATTCAAACAAGTCAGGAGCTTCGACTTGCTTAATGGATCTCGAGACAGTCCCCAAGAACACTGTCACCAGTCTAGGCGGACCCTGAGGTCACCCCAGCAACGCAAAGCTGCTCCATGTGCCCCAAATCAACTCGAGATGAGGCCCGATTCCCCTGCATTGACTCCAGAGCCATTCCCCGTTCCCCATTCAACACGACCGGTGGCTCGACTTCCTTCAGGCAACTCCAGAGATGCCCCGAGAACACTGTCCCTAGTCTAGAGGACCACCAACTTCAGCACAGCAACTCGAGGAATGCTCTGTGTACCCCTAATCATCTCGAGATGAGAGCTGATTCCCTGGCTTAGGCTCAAGACGTATGCCACCTTTCCAGAAGCACCTCAGGTGGAGGCTTCTGTCAGCAATAGGTATGTGGGAGGGACCCCGAGTTTGCTGCCTCAAGGGGAATACACAGCGAGAAGCCCTAACTTGAAAGGAGGACGGATTTCCTTGCAGTGGCTTGAATACAGGCTCGTCTTTCATCTCACAACATGAAGGGATGTCTGAATCCCCTGTGGAGACCTTAGAGAAAGCCCTAGGTCCCTGCCTCATTTTGACGGAATCCTCACATCCCGCTGACAACTCGAGCGGCACGCGGAGTTCATTGCTTCAAAAGGTGACGATGCCTGACTCCTCTTGAATACTGATAGGAATACCAAAATCCCTGTGGCTACTGGAAAGGTTCCTTGGGTGCCCTGCCTCACTTCGAGAAGCGTCCCTTTTGCCCTGCCAAGCCTCGAAGAGATTCCTGAGGTGTCCCTCGTTACTAGACAGGAGTCCTGACGTCACTGAAGAAACTCGTGTTTTGAAGGGCCATCCCCGCCGTAAGTCGAGAACATACCCCAGGTCCCCGCCACAACTCGAGAAAAACCATGAGACTTCCCCCTAGAGGCGAGATGAGGCCCCATTCCCCTGCAGTGCATGCAGAGCTATTCCGTGATCCCATTCAAACAAGTCAGGAGCTTCGACTTGCTTAATGGATCTCGAGACAGTCCCCAAGAACACTGTCACCAGTGTAGACGGACCCTGAGGTCACCCCAGCAACGCAAAGCAGCTCCATGTGTCCCAAATCAACTCGAGATGAGGCCCGATTCCCCTGCATTGACTCCAGAGCCATTCCCCGTTCCCCATTCAACACGACCGGTGGCTCGGCTTCCTTCAGGCAACTCCAGAGATGCCCCGAGAACACTGTCCCAAGTCTAGAAGAGCACCAGTTTCAGCACAGCAACCCGAGGAATGCTCCGTGTACCCCAAATCATCTCGAGATGAGAGCTGATTCCCTGGCTTAGGCTCAAGACGTATGCCAACTTTCCAGAAGCACCTCAGGAGGAGGCTTCTCTCAGCAATACTTATGTGGGAGGGACCCCGAGTTTGCTGCCTCAAGGGGAATACACAGGGAGAAGCCCTAATGTGAACGGAGGCCAGATTTCCTTGCACTGCGTTGAATACAGGCTCGTCTTTGATCAGACAACATGAAGGGTTGTCTGAATCCCCTGTGGAGACCTTAGAGGAAGCCCTAGGTCCCTGCCTCATTTTGACGGAATACCTCACATCCCCCTGACACCTCGAGAGGCACGCAGAGTTCATTGCTTCAAAAGGTGACGATGCCTGACTCATCTTGAATACTTATAGGAATCCCAAAATCCCTGTGGCAACTGGAAAGGGTCCTTGGGTGCCCTGGCTCACCTCGAGAAGCGTCCCTTTTGCCCTGCCAAGCCTCGAAGAGATTGCTGAGGTGTCCCTCATTACTAGACAGGAGTCCTGACGTCACTGAAGAAACTCGTGTTTTGAAGGGCCATCCCCGCCGTAAGTCGAGAACATACCACAGGTCCCCGCCGCAACTCGAGAAAAACCATGAGATTTCCCCCTAGAGGCGAGAAGAGGCCCCATTCCCCTGCAGTGCATGCAGAGCTATTCCATGATCACATTCAAACAAGTCAGGAGCTTCGACTTGCTTAATGGATCTCGAGACAGTCCCCAAGAACACTGTCACCAGTCTAGACGGACCCTGAGGTCACCCCAGCAACACAAAGCAGCTCCATGTGCCCCAAATCAACTCGAGATGAGGCCCGATTCCCCTGCATTGACTCCAGAGCCATTCCCCGTTCCAAGTTCAACACGAACGGTGGCTCGCCTTCCTTCAGGCAACTCCAGAGATGCCCCGAGAACACTGTCCCAAATCTAGAGGAACACCAACTTCAGCACAGCAACTCGAGGAATGCTCTGTGTACCCCAAATCGTCTCGAGATGAGAGCTGATTCCCTGGCTTAGGCTCAAGACGTATGCCAACTTTCCAGAAGCACCTCAGGAGGAGGCTTCTCAGCAATAGGTATGTGGGAGGGACTCCGAGTTTGCTGCCTCAAGGGGAATATACAGCGAGAAGCCCTAACTTGAAAGGAGGCCGGATTTCCTTGCAGTAGCTTGAAACAGGCTTGTTTTTCATCTCACAACATGAAGGGATGTCTGAATCCCCTGTGGAGACCTTAGAGAAAGCCCTAGGTTCCTGCCTCATTTTGACGGAATCCTCACATCCCGCTGACACCTCGAGAGGCACGCGGAGTTCATTGCTTCAAAAGGTGACGATGCCTGACTCCTCTTGAATACTGATAGGAATCCCAAAATCCCTGTGGCTACTGGAAAGGTTCCTTGGGTGCCCTGCCTCACTTCGAGAAGCGTCCCTTTTGCCCTGCCAAGCCTCGAAGAGATTCCTTAGGTGTCCCTCGTTACTAGACAGGAGTCCTGACGTCATTGAAGAAACTCGTGTTTTGAAGGGCCATTCCCGCCATAAATCGAGAACATACCCCAGGTCCCCGCCGCAACTCGAGAAAAACCATGAGACTTCCCCCTAGAGGCGAGATGAGGCCCCATTCCCCTGCAGTGCATGCAGAGCTATTCCGTGATCCCATTCAAACAAGTCAGGAGCTTCGACTTGCTTAATGGATCTCGAGACAGTCCCCAAAAACACTGTCACCAGTCTAGACAGACACTGAGGTCACCCCAGCAACGCAAAGCTGCTCCATGTGCCCCAAATCAACTCGAGATGAGGCCCGATTCCCCTGCATTGACTCCAGAGCCATTCCCCGTTCCCCATTCAACACGACCGGTGGCTCGACTTCCTTCAGGCAACTCCAGAGATGCCCCGAGAACACTGTCCCTAGTCTAGAGGACCACCAACTTCAGCACAGCAACTCGAGGAATGCTCTGTGTACCCCTAATCGTCTCGAGATGAGAGCTGATTCCCTGGCTTAGGCTCAAGACGTATGCCACCTTTCCAGAAGCACCTCAGGTGGAGGCTTCTGTCAGCAATAGGTATGTGGGAGGGACCCCGAGTTTGCTGCCTCAAGGGGAATACACAGCGAGAAGCCCGAACTTGAAAGGAGGCCGGATTTCCTTGCAGTGGCTTGAATACAGGCTCGTCTTTGATCTGACAACATGAAGGGATGTCTGAATCCCCTGTGGAGATCTTAGAGGAAGCCCTAGGTCCCTGCCTCATTTTGACGGAATACCTCACATCCCCCTGACACCTCGAGAGGCACGCAGAGTTCATTGCTTCAAAAGGTGACGATGCCTGACTCCTCTTGAATACTGATAGGAATCCCAAAATCCCTGGGGCTACTGGAAAGGGTCCTTGGGTGCCCTGGCTCACCTCGAGAAGCGTCCCTTTTGCCCTGCCAAGCCTCGAAGAGATTGCTGAGGTGTCCCTCGGTACTAGACAGGAGTCCTGACGTCACTGAGGAAACTCGTGTTTTGAAGGGCCATCCCCGCCGTAAGTCGAGAACATACCCCAGGTCTCCGCCGCAACTCGAGAAAAACCATGAGACTACCCCCTAGAGGCGAGATGAGGCCCCATTCCCCTGCAGTGCATGCAGAGCTATTCCGTGATCCCATTCAAACAAGTCAGGAGCTTCGACTTGCTTAATGGATCTCGAGACAGTCCCCAAGAACACTGTCACCAGTCTAGACGGACCCTGAGGTCACCCAGCAATGCAAAGCAGCTCCATGTGCCCCAAATCAACTCGAGATGAGGCCGGATTCCCCTGCATTGACTCCAGAGCCACTCCTTGTTCCCCATTCAACACGACCGGTGGCTCGACTTCCTTCAGGCAACTCCAGAGATGCCCCGAGAACACTGTCCCAAGTCTAGAGGACCACCAACTTCAGCACAGCAACTCGAGGAATGCTCTGTGTACCCCAAATCGTCTCGAGATGAGAGCTGATTCCCTGGCTTAGGCTCAAGACGTATGCCACCTTTCCAGAAGCACCTCAGGAGGAGGCTTCTCTCAGCAATAGGTATGTGGGAGGGACCCCGAGTTTGCTGCCTCAAGGGGAATATACAGCGAGAAGTCGTAACTTGAAAGGAGGCCGGATTTCCTTGCAGTGGCTTGAATACAGGCTCGCCTTTCATCTCACAACATGAAGGGATGTCTGAATCCCCTGTGGAGACCTTAGAGAAAGCCCTAGGTCCCTGCCTCATTTTGACGGAATCCTCACATCCCGCTGACACCTCGAGAGGCACGCGGAGTTCATTGCTTCAAAAGGTGACGATGCCTGACTCCTCTTGAATACTTATAGGAATCCCAAAATCCATGTGGCTACTGGAAAGGGTCCTTGGGTGCCCTGGCTCACCTCGAGAAGCGTCCCTTTTGCCCTGCCAAGCCTCGAAGAGATTGCTGACGTGTCCCTCGTTACTAGACAGGAGTCCTGACGTCACTGAAAAAACTCGTGTTTTGAAGGGCCATCCCCGCCGTAAGTCGAGAACATACCCCAGGTCCCCGCCGCAACTCGAGAAAAACCATGAGACTTCCCCCTAGAGGCGAGATGAGGCCCCATTCCCCTGCAGTGCATGCAGAGCTATTCCGTGATCCCATTCAAACAAGTCAGGAGCTTCGACTTGCTTAATGGATCTGGAGACAGTCCCCAAGAACACTGTCACCTGTCTAGACGGACCCTGAGGTCACCCCAGCAACGCAAAGCAGCTCCATGTGCCCCAAATCAACTCGAGATGAGGCCGGATTCCCCTGCATTGACTCCAGAGCCACTCCTTGTTCCCCATTCAACACGACCGGTGGCTCGACTTCCTTCAGGCAACTCCAGAGATGCCCCGAGAACACTGTCCCAAGTCTAGAGGACCACCAACTTCAGCACAGCAACTCGAGGAATGCTCTGTGTACCCCAAATCGTCTCGAGATGAGAGCTGATTCCCTGGCTTAGGCTCAAGACGTATGCCACCTTTCCAGAAGCACCTCAGGAGGAGGCTTCTCTCAGCAATAGGTATGTGGGAGGGACCCCGAGTTTGCTGCCTCAAGGGGAATATACAGCGAGAAGCCCTAACTTGAAAGGAGGCCGGATTTCCTTGCAGTGGCTTGAATACAGGCTCCTCTTTCATCTCACAACATGAAGGGATGTCTGAATCCCCTGTGGAGACCTTAGAGAAAGCCCTAGGTCCCTGCCTCATTTTGACGGAATCCTCACATTCCGCTGACACCTCGAGAGGCACGCGGAGTTCATTGCTTCAAAAGGTGACGATGCCTGACTCCTCTTGAATACTTATAGTAATCCCAAAATCCCTGTGGCTACTGGAAAGGGTCCTTGCGTGCCCTGGCTCACCTCGAGAAGCGTCCCTTTTGCCCTGCCAAGCCTCGAAGAGATTGCTGAGGTGTCCCTCATTACTAGACAGGAGTCCTGACGTCACTGAAGAAACTCGTGTTTTGAAGGGCCATCCCCGCCGTAAGTCGAGAACATACCCCAGGTCCCCGCCGCAACTCGAGAAAAACCATGAGACTTCCCCCTAGAGGCGAGATGAGGCCCCATTCCCCTGCAGTGCATGCAGAGCTATTCCATGATCCAATTCAAACAAGTCAGGAGCTTCGACTTGCTTAATGGATCTCGAGACAGTCCCCAAGAACACTGTCACCAGTCTAGACGGACCCTGAGGTCACCCCAGCAACACAAAGCAGCTCCATGTGCCCCAAATCAACTCGAGATGAGGCCCGAATCCCCTGCATTGACTCCATAGCCATTCCCCGTTCCAAGTTCAACACGAACGGTGGCTCGCCTTCCTTCAGGCAACTCCAGAGATGCCCCGAGAACACTGTCCCAAGTCTAGAGGAACACCAACTTCAGCACAGCAACTCGAGGAATGCTCTGTGTACCCCAAATCGTCTCGAGATGAGAGATGATTCCCTGGCTTAGGCTCAAGACGTATGCCAACTTTCCAGAAGCACCTCAGGAGGAGGCTTCTCAGCAATAGGTATGTGGGAGGGACTCCGAGTTTGCTGCCTCAAGGGGAATATACAGCCTGAAGCCCTAACTTGAAAGGAGGCCGGATTTCCTTGCAATAGCTTGAAACAGGCTTGTTTTTCATCTCACAACATGAAGGGATGTCTGAATCCCCTGTGGAGACCTTAGAGAAAGCCCTAGGTCCCTGCCTCATTTTGACAGAATCCTCACATCCCGCTGACACCTCGAGAGGCACACAGAGTTCATTGCTTCAAAAGGTGACGATGCCTGACTCCTCTTGAATACTGATAGGAATCCCAAAATCCCTGTGGCTACTGGAAAGGTTCCTTGGGTGCCCTGCCTCACTTCGAGTTTCCTTTTGCCCTGCCAAGCCTCGAAGAGATTCCTGAGGTGTCCCTCGTTACTAGACAGGAGTCCTGACGTCACTGAAGAAACTCGTGTTTTGAAGGGCCATCCCCGCTGTAAGTCGAGAACATACCCCAGGTCCCCGCCGCAACTCGAGAAAAACCATGAGACTTCCCCCTAGAGGCGAGATGAGGCCCCATTCCCCTGCAGTGCATTCAGAGCTATTCCGTGATCCCATTCAAACAAGTCAGGAGCTTCGACTTGCTTAATGGATCTCGAGACAGTCCCCAAGAACACTGTCACCAGTCTAGACGGACCCTGAGGTCACGAAAGCAACGCAAAGCAGCTCCATGTGCCCCAAATCAACTCGAGATGAGGCCCGATTCCCCTGCATTGACTCCAGAGCCATTCCCCGTTCCCCATTCAACACGACCGGTGGCTCGACTTCCTTCAGGCAACTCCAGAGATGCCCCGAGAACACTGGCCCATGTCTAGAGGAGCACCAATTTCAGAACAGCAACCCGAGGAATGCTCCGTGTACCCCAAATCATCTCGAGATGAGAGCTGATTCCCTGGCTTAGGCTCAAGACGTATGCCAACTTTCCAGAAGCGCCTCAGGAGGAGGCTTCTCTCAGCAATAGTTATGTGGGAGGGACCCCGAGTTTGCTGCCTCAAGGGGAATACACAGGGAGAAGCCCTAATGTGAACGAAGGCCAGATTTCCTTGCAGTGGCTTGAATACAGGCTCGTCTTTGATCTGACAACATGAAGGGATTTCTGAATCCCCAGTGGAGACCTTAGAGGAAACCCTAGGTCCCTGCCTCATTTTGACGCAATACCTCACATCCCCCTGACACCTCGAGAGGCAAGCAGAGTTCATTGCTTAAAAAGGTGACGATGCCTGACTCCTCTTGAATACTTATAGGAATCCCAAAATCCCTGTGGCTACTGGAAAGGGTCCTTGCGTGCCCTGGCTCACCTCGAGAAGCGTCCCTTTTGCCCTGCCAAGCCTCGAAGAGATTGCTGAGGTGTCCCTCATTACTAGACAGGAGTCCTGACTTCACTGAAGAAACTCGTGTTTTGAAGGGCCATCCCCGCCGTAAGTCGAGAACATACCCCAGGTCCCCGCCGCAACTCGAGAAAAACCATGAGATTTCCCCCTAGAGGCGAGATGAGGCCCCATTCCCCTGCAGTGCATGCAGAGCTATTCCATGATCCAATTCAAACAAGTCAGGAGCTTCGGCTTGCTTAATGGATCTCGAGACAGTCCCCAAGAACACTGTCACCAGTCTAGACGGACCCTGATGTCACCCCAGCAACACAAAGCAGCTCCATGTGCTCCAAATCAACTCGAGATGAGGTCCGATTCCCCTGCATTGACTACAGAGCCATTCCCCGTTCCAAGTTCAACACGGACGGTGGCTCGCCTTCTTTCAGGCAACTCCAGAGATGCCCCGAGAACACTGTCCCAAGTCTAGAGGAACACCAACTTCAGCACAGCAACTCGAGGAATGCTCTGTGTACCCCAAATCGTCTCGAGATGAGAGCTGATTCCCTGGCTTAGGCTCAAGACGTATGCCAACTTTCCAGAAGCACCTCAGGAGGAGGCTTCTCAGCAATAGGTATGTGGGAGGGACTCCGAGTTTGCTGCCTCAAGGGGAATATACAGCGAGAAGCCCTAACTTGAAAGGAGGCCGGATTTCCTTGCAGTAGCTTGAAACAGGCTTGTTTTTCATCTCACAACATGAAGGGATGTCTGAATCCCCTGTGGAGACCTTAGAGAAAGCCCTAGGTCCCTGCCTCATTTTGACGGAATCCTAACATCCCGCTGACACCTCGAGAGGCACGCAGAATTCATTGCTTCAAAAGAGGACGATGCCTGACTCCTCTTGAATACTTATAGGAATCCCAAAATTCCTGTGGCTAATGGAAAGGGTCCTTGGGTGCCCTGGCTCACCTCGAGAAGCGTCCCTTTTTCCCCTGCCAAGCCTCGAAGCGATTGCTGAGGTGTCCCTCGTTACTAGACAGGAGTCCTGATGTCACTGAAGAAACTCGTGTTTTGAAGGGCCATCCCCGCTGTAAGTCGAGAACATACCCCAGGTCCCCGCCGCAACTCGAGAAAAACCATGAGACTTCCCCCTAGAGGCGAGATGAGGCCCCATTCCCCTGCAGTGCATGCAGAGCTATTCCGTGATCCCATTCAAACAAGTCAGGAGCTTCGACTTGCTTAATGGATCTCGAGACAGTCCCCAAAAACACTGTCACCAGTCTAGACGGACCCTGAGGTCACCCAGCAATGCAAAGCAGCTCCATGTGCCCCAAATCAACTCGAGATGAGGCCGGATTCCCCTGCATTGACTCCAGAGCCACTCCTTGTTCCCCATTCAACACGACCGGTGGCTCGACTTCCTTCAGGCAACTCCAGAGATACCCCGAGAACTCTGTCCCAAGTCTAGAGGACCACCAACTTCAGCACAGCAACTCGAGGAATGCTCTGTGTACCCCAAATCGTCTCGAGATGAGAGCTGATTCCCTGGCTTAGGCTCAAGACGTATGCCAACTTTCCAGAAGCACCTCAGGAGGAGGCTTCTCAGCAATAGGTATGTGGGAGGGACTCCGAGTTTGCTGCCTCAAGGGGAATATACAGCGAGAAGGCCTAACTTGAAAGGAGGCCGGATTTCCTTGCAGTGGCTTGAATACTGGCTCGTCTTTCATCTCACAACATGAAGGGATGTCTGAATCCCCTGTGGAGACCTTAGAGAAAGCCCAAGGTCCCTGCCTCATTTTGACGGAATCCTCACATCCCGCTGACACCTCGAGAGGCACGCGGAGTTCATTGCTTCAAAAGGTGACGATGCCTGACTCCTCTTGAATACTATTAGGAATCCCAAAATCCCTTTGGCTGCTGGAAAGGGTCCTGGGTGCCCTGCCTCACCTTGAGAAGCGTCCCTTTTGCCCTGCCAAGCCTCGAAGAGATTCCTGAGGTGTCCCTCGTTATTAGACAGGAGTCCTGACGTCACTGAAGAAACTCGTGTTTTGAAGGGCCATCCCCGCCGTAAGTCGAGAACATACCCCAGGTCCCCGCCGCAACTCGAGAAAAACCATGAGACTTCCCCCTAGAGGCGAGATGAGGCCCCATTCCACTGCAATGCATGCAGAGCTATTCCGTGATCCCATTCAAACAAGTCAGGAGCTTCGACTTGCTTAATGGATATCGAGACAGTCCCCAAGAACACTGTCACCAGTCTAGTCGGACCCTGAGGTCACCCCAGCAACACAAAGCAGCTCCATGTGCCCCAAATCAACTCGAGATGAGGCCCGATTCCCCTGCATTGACTCCAGAGCCATTCCCCGTTCCAAGTTCAACACGAACGGTGGCTCGACTTCCTTCAGGCAACTCCAGAGATGCCCCGAGAACACTGTCCCAAATCTAGAGGAACACCAAATTCAGCACAGCAACTCGAGGAATGCTCTGTGTACCCCAAATCTTCTCGAGATGAGAGCTGATTCCCTGGCTTAGGCTCAAGACGTATGCCAACTTTCCAGAAGCACCTCAGGAGGAGGCTTCTCAGCAATAGGTATGTGGGAGGGACTCCGAGTTTGCTGCCTCAAGGGGAATATACAGCGAGAAGCCCTAACTTGAAAGGAGGCCCGATATCCTTGCAGTAGCTTGAATACAGGCTTGTC